CCCCCCCCCCCCCCCCCCCCCCGGGGTCGCTAACGCTACTAGTTGCATTGCGCTCAACACGAAGATGGCGGCCAGCTAGGCGAAGTTGCGGCGGAGGAAGTCGGCGCTGGTGAAGGGATGGTGGATGTACATACGATGATGCGTGGAGTGATCGAGAGAGCGAGGATGAGGAGGAGGAGGAAGAGCAGGAGGAGGAGGGGGTGAGGGAGGGATTGTTTTGTTGGTACTGTGTGTGTGGATTCCGCTTTGTGGTCGGGGTTGGTGTCTGGGGGGAGGATATGTGAGGCACTGGAGGGAGGTGGTCAGGCTGGAGGGAGAGCTCGACAATTGCAAAGAAAGATCGGCATGACAGACATCTGCCGTGAGTGTGAGAGGGATGCGTATATAGCGACGATACTCGGCTGGCCTCTGTTGATGCAGCTGTACTCTCTTCCTGCTCAGAGGGATAGCAAAATCAACATCGAAACGGCAAAGACCAACCAGAAGAGGCGAAGGATTCCGCAAGACTGGCAAACGCAGCAAAACGTGACGGCTCTTCCATGAAGACCATAGCTATATGGGCTGCCCTCTTCCTTCCTGGCACATCCTTTTCGGTCAGCTCAATCGCGCGAACAATAATGGCAGTCACTAACCAAGATTTTGGCACTCTTCAACACACCGGTGATTGAATCCGTTCCGATCACTATACCGCTGACAGGGTTGGTAATGTGACTCTGGGCGGTATGGATGTATTGGTCATACAAGAGAAACACGGTCAAGGATGAAGAAACTGCGGATGCAGTAGGGTCTGATGGAGGTAATGAAATAGAGAACGAGACAAAGATCGTGAGGCCGATTTTGACTCCTTAACGATCAACGATTTGAAGCCGCTTCTACCATAGGAAACAAGGGCCAAGCTACGGATATTATGACTGAGGCAATTTAGAGAAAGTGTTGGTCGGTGATCGCAGAAGGCCACATGAGGACATGATTGATTCTGGATGATTTATTGAATCTGCTGCTACGTGGTGCTTATGTGCATGATCAAAAAGAATAGCGATATCGGCAACGAGTGTCGAGGGAGGTGAAAGTGATGATATCATGGTGTTGAGCACCACTTTCAGCAAATGATGACGTCCGTAAAACAACGATCGTGTCCATCATCGTTCTGACAAATACTAAAGCTCAAACGCGTTCTGGATGTAGCTTGCATCGACATTCAGGTTTTTCCACGTCATATACGTGTTCACTTGGTGCTTTGTCCATTTAGCATAGGATTAGAACTATGAGTCTCTTTAAGCAGTCTGAGTGACTTGCATCGTGACATCTCCATCTTCAATGCAAAGAATATACCATGAAACAAGTCTATACCATCATCCCGACATCCAACATCCATAACGTCCCAGGAACAAACAGCCCCATCTACAACTTCCTCAACTTCTTCCTCATCGCCTGCTGCGTCTCGGTATCCACGCCAATCGTGATGTACCCGACCATGCCCTTGGTCACATCGTTCCCGTCGAGCGGCACGATGTCCATGACGGGATCGAAGCCGTTCTTGATCTCGTCGGCGTAGATGTCGTCGATGGCGTTGGTGGTGCGGTTGATGCCGGTGTGGCTGACGTACGGCTCGAGCGCGACGATCTGCTGGGTGAGGTCCTCGGCGGCGAAGATCTGGCCGGTCGAGACCGTGTCCGACGACGCGAGGGTGCCGTTGGCGCGGACGACCCAGTTGTCGTGGACCTGGACGTGGATGTGCACCGTGCGCTCGACGTAGAAGCCGGGGAAGATGGTGCGGATCTCGGTGATGCCGTTCTCGTCGGTGGGCCACTGTTTGGGAGAGAAAAGACAACGTTAGCGTTTGGTTTTCATGCGGGAAAGGACGGAGATGGGGAGTGGAGTGATGCCGTACCATTCCGCGCAGGAACGTGGTGTCGTCGGTGTGCAGGTCGTCGCCGATGGTGGCGTTGAGCTGGTCGAGGAGCGTCTCGAACGGCGTGTCCGGGCTCAGGCCGGTGAAGGACGAGTAGCTGCCGGTGGCGTTGCAGTGCCAGACGTCGACGAGCACGTTGGGCAGCGGCTCGCAGGAGTTGACGTCCATGACACCAATGTCCAGGTACAGAGGCACACCGGCCTCGCCCTCGGTCATGTCTTGGCGCAGAGTCTGCGAACGGGGCCAGATGTATGGGCCTCCGGTCACTTCTTCGGTAAGAATGCAAGTGTTGTTCTGGAGCACGTCGTAGTACGGCGCCTCGGTGTTTATGCTGTAAGTGGTGTTGGCGGACCGTGAGACAAGATCGCGCTTCGAGTTGCGCTTGGCCCAGCGCTTGCGGTTCATGGAGGCGGCGGCGCCCTCACAGCGCTTCGACAGGTGCGAGCGGCGAGTGATCTCGGCGTGGGACATGTCTGCGTGGTGGGGGTGGGCGATGACCCCGGAGAGGAGAGACGCCCCGAGGGCGAGAAGCAGGGTGGGCTGCATTTTTTGCTGAACAAAAGACCAAACGAACGGCTAAGTGAGAGAAGGTGAAGCCTAAGGGAGCGGCAAGCGGTGGAGGAGAAATTGGATTCAAGTGTTCTGGGGCATGTCTTTATAAGGGAGCCCCACGGAATCCCCTTCCCCAAGCTCCGCCTTCTCGTCGCAGGAGACTTACGCATTGCGTGTAGCATACTACTAGTGTCCGACACCCAATCAGCGCGAGGGTGATTGGAAACGTCCACGCGTAACTGAGAAACAGTGCCGAATATCCTGCCTGAACACGACCTAAGGCCAGCTCAAATGTGCCCAGTGCATCCATGCCAGGTAAACGGTTTCGATCGACGGCAGCGATTATGCTTACCGCTATCGTAGATCTAGAAGCGCCAATTGGTGTCTCATGTGCCGACGCCTTGCCGGGACCCACCAAGGCTTACGACTGTTTTTGCTGTTTCGAGCCCGCATTGTCTGCTTGCCTGCCACTGCGGAATCCAGCCAAGAAACAGCCAAGATATTTAGGCCGGCTGTACTGCCCGAAATCCGATTGCTTGTTGTTCCTGCGGGATGCAGTGTGTGGCTTGACGCGCATGCTGACGGAATCCGGAGAAAAAGTGACGAACACACACACACACGATTGAGATGGCGGCACAGCGCTCCATGGGGTGATGAATGCAAAACGATTATGATTTTCCGAAAGACAATCCTATTCTGTGCTTTTCTGATGTCCTTTGAGAACCGAGTTTAATGTACCGCCCGGCAGGTTCAGGAGAACCGCAAGGGTTCTGAAACCAGGTTTCACGGAGGCCACGGCCAGAGTTTGGCTCGTTGGTGTTGTCTGCCTTGCGACCCTGCGACCTGCCCTATACATCGTTGTCGTTACGCGTCTACCTATTCTCGAAGAAGGAATAGAGCTGGTGATCTTCTTGTTCGGTGTTACCGAGATCCGGCCGGATTTGCAAATAGGCTAGACACTATTCGTCAGCTCCGAAGCTCAGGCTGCCTTATAGAGTCGAATTTAATGACACCACTTTGCAGGCATGAACGACGCTGCAGAGAACAATATCGATGGAACCTTCCTTGGGTAGCCAAACAATGCAAACGGCATGAGGTCGTCGGCTTGTCCGGCACTGACGTATGATACGGACATGTCTGGACGCCGGTGCTCGGGGAGTGGTGGAAAGTGGCCGAGTGCATGTCATCCAAGCAGTCAGGGGAAGCGGCCCACGAAGCTGCGGTAAGTCGGCAGCACGGGAAGTCAGGCGGCGCTCGGAAGCAGCTACTAAATTCTCAGGGCAACAGAAGCCAAGGCCGCTTGGACGTGAGGATCTCTTGGTAGGTATTGAACAGCGATGCGCAAGAGCTTTCTTGCCTGCTCTGTTTCATCAAGAGCTTTGCAAGCGAGGGCTGTCCGATAGTAAATCTTGCCCATCTCATTGGCAGCAGCAAAGCCCGGCATCGGCTGGTCGTCATCGTCGTTCTCGATGCCCATGCCATCGCGCATAAGCTGGATGCTGCGCATGCCCCAAAACTTGGTCATGTGGTAATCCTCCAGCTTCAGGTAGGCCAGAGTGGTATTCGCGACAAGCTTGACCCGCAAGACGAGCCGTACCAGCTGCCCGTACTGGTCGGCAAATTGACCTTCGTGCAGGTGTGTCTCGAAGTAGGCATTGCCCCAAATAGAGCGCCTCTTGCCGGACACGACGATGTGCATGGCCAGAAATGCCTCTTCGTACAAGCGCAATGCTTCGCGAAATTGGTTCTTCTGAAGAGCGGCGTTTCCCTCGTCCTTGAGCCGGGATGCTTCCTCCAAGCATTCTTCGGCCGTCTTGTAAGGCACAGCCTGGGCACTGCGCAGTTCGGCCTCTAACGACGCGTCAGCCTGGCCTTCTATACGCAAGGCATGCAGGTGCTTGATGTCCCCGAACGGAGCCAGCATCCTCCGCTTCAGAGCTTGCGGTATCCTGTTGTCGGCGGTCGTGGGCGAGAAAGGATCTTGCAGGGCCAGAGTGAGGCGCAGATGGGTATTGAGACCGGGGTGGCTCAAGTCCGAGTAGTACCACATTCGGCAGAAGTGAGGCAGATGGTCGACTAGGACGACCAGGCTGTGGGTCTCGTCGTGGCCGAAGGCGTATTGGTATGCCTCAATGTTGACTCGGAGGTGGGCGGCGGAGAAGCTGGCGGCGGCGGGACCGGATGCGACGATGGGGACACGGCCTTCGCCGGAGATGTGCTGCTTTGCCTCGGGCCACGGGGTTTCGATGCGGGCGAAGACATTCAAGCGGCGGAAGACTTGGGTGGCTTCGTCGTGGAGCTGACGGTTGACGCGCATGAGTCGCAGGTCGTACTTGTACTCGACGTGATCATCGTCGTGCTCGACGCGGAAGTTGTGCGGGGCGAGGGCGGAGGCGTAGACCTCATCGCGCAGCTCGCGCGGGAGGCGGAAGAATGGAGGGGTGGCTGAATCTGCGTCCGGCGCCGACATGGCTTCCGTCGCGGGGTGAGTGAGTGCTGAGATGACGGTACCGTCGAGGGCGGGCGAAAGTGCAGCTACGGTGCTTTATCGCCGATAAGCCGGCCACGTCTTTTCCTTTGCGCCCTCAATTCCTCCCCAACATGCTGCCTACCAGCTGGTAGTCACTTGCCTCTTCCTCGCCTGCATTCAATTCCATCAGTCAGCCGTGTCTCCACGCCGTCACGGCGTAATGCCTTTTTTCGTATGCGGCACAGCCAGCAGCCCACCGCCTCGGGCCAACCCACCTTCCAAATTCGACAGTACATCATTCGAGCACAGAACTAAATAGACTGGAGATCGGAAAGCCGAAAACCCCTCATGCCTTCAATAATGCCGCCGAATTTCCACTGGCTGGGCCGCCCGTCAGGCGTCGACCTCAATCGAGATCGACAACGAGGCTGCCAGCACAGCCGACCCATCGTCTCACGCTGATTCAACGTCCTTGCGTTCAGGCATCCGAGACCACTCTTCCGAAATGTGAAGGTGCTATCATTGCTACCGCGAAGGATTCTACCAATTCACCAATTATGAGCCCGAGATCGAGGATTCCACGATATACGGCTTTCGGCATTCTCAGCGCAGACAAACCGGAGGCGCTTTGTACATACGTCCCTAAGCGAGGCTACCTTTTTTTTCATATAAAAACAAAAATTCAGATACTACCTGTTTATTCCCCTTCCATGATGCAGCTATATCATTTCTGTTGGACAATGACGAACACGTATAATGAATAACATTGAGGCGCATTGTAAGGATGAACATCAATAATCATCAACCCAACAGGGTATTCAACAACGTGTTATATTGTTCACCTCCCTTATTAACCCTTGCTACAATCGCTGTCCCCTGTTGAGTTCGTGTATATAAACACCAGATAGCAGCAGCGTACAACAAACCATCCAGATCCACCAGCTTCTGCCTGTGACCGTCTGTGATCACCGTCCGACAATTTCCTGCGCACTCAGCCAGATGGGAAACAAACCTCGCTCGCCTTACTATACTTTCATTCCGGCTTTTGAGCGTACGTGACGTAGCTAACGATATGCGCCACGCGTCAGCGTCTCGAACGACATGCAAAGAATGTTCCGGTGACAGAAGCTTACAACTCGTCGTACGCATGGTACTTCATGCTCTTCAGCTCCTTGGTCGTCTTTGCGATAAGCACCTGCACCTCCTCGAGCGACCAGCCCAGGATCCCCGTGAACAGGCGGTACGAAAACGCCTCCATGCCCTCCAGAACCTGCATCAGGTTCACCGTGCCGACCTCTTTCTGCAGTGTTGTCCGCTCGTGAGTACGAAGTCTCGAGACATCACCATCTTCTCTCCTGATCGGACAACATACGGGAGGAGGAGGAGGGGAGAGAGGGACAGATGGGAGGAAAACATACCATCTTCTTATCCTTCGGCCACGGACCCAGCGGCAACTTGTACTTTTGCACGTGGACGTTCACGAAGCCCGCATCTTTGAGCAGGCCCGCGAATGTTGGGCCCGTATAGACTTCCTTGCCCAGCTTCGTGCAGCCCTCTTCGAGCATGCCAACGAACTTGTGGATGTACGAGTCCACGGGCAAGGAGCCGTCGTCGGATTTGTAGTGCGTGTCGAAGCCTTGGAGTCTGGGCGGGGAGAAGGAAAGGAGGGGATCAGTGGTAGGTTTTTTTCCGCGGGGAAGAGGAAAGTACGGAAAGAGAATGGTGGGGGAAGGAGCGGAGGAGAAGAAGAGAGCGTGTACGTACTCGGCCCAACCTCCTGGCCTGGTGCTGGCGAACATGTTCGCCACGAGTGCGGGCCAGTTGGAGATGGCGGCGTCCATGTACCTGGAGAAGATGAGATCGAACGGCTCCGCATACGTCCAGGGCTCTTCGATGTCGTCGACTTCGAACTTGACGTTCGGTGGCTGTTCGTGTTTTCGTTTCACGTCAGATACCTCGCTTGTCCCTTTTTCTTTCTCCGACTGGAGCGGGCAATAGTACGTACCACCCACTGTGGCTGAGTGGGGCTGAGATCGTTGCCGATAACCTGCGCTATACTATCAATCGTGTTTCTCAAACGGTACATGGAGTAGAAAATACCTCTGCCTCGGGATACTCATCGCCTGAGCATGTGTGAGTTGATTAGCGATAAAAGCTGGCAAGAGTCACCTACCGACGTCGATTGCCCAAATACCCTAGATGCGAGTCAGCTCCGGTTCTACGTTTCTCAATCATTCTTTTTCTGGAAATACTAACCGTCCCAGTACCGGCATCAAGAACACGTCTGAGGTTTTCCCTCTTGACCGGAGAGTGGATACGCTTGCCGTCGAACAAGATCATCAGCATATGGTGCAGCAGGTCAAGGCGATCTGCCTCATTCTGCCATGATCGCTTAGTCAAAACCTTTGCCCGAAACCGCGTGGCCACGAACCTCATCATTGGGCATGATGTAAGAGCCATCCTTGTACGCGTGGTAGCGGCGGCCGTGCTCAATCGGATAGGCGATGACACTCGAGCTTAGTGACTGCGAATATTGGGAACTGCAGCACACCGTTCAACACTTGTCTATTGGAACTCGTGAGCGACTGAAAAAAGGGGTCAGTTACAGGCGATCCTCCACACTTCCAACGGCAGAGTCGTCATCGAACTGGCAATTTAATCAGACGCCAAAGTTCTGCCCGTCAACACGCGGCGCTTACACTGGTATCGACCTCGATCTCCTGGTCCCCGGGAGCGTAGACAATCTGATCCAAAGACGTCATTGCGGCTGGAAGAGTCCCGCCGATGCAAGCGCTGCTGATCGCACGGAGAAGGGGGGTTGTTGCGGGGGTGGGGGAAAAAGAAAAAAAAAGTCAAAAATTTGAGTGAAACGTAGCGAAGGGCGGGGCGGGCCGTGATTCCTTTGTGCGCGCAAGGTGAGAGGCGCAGTTTCTGCAGAGGGTATCCGACGCTGTGGTTCACGGTGCGGCGTGGCGATTATACACTCAAATAGCCTCGCCTACTCCACATGCCCCACACCTCAGGAGACCTGAGCGTCCGGTGGCCGAAATGAGTCCGTGATCGCATGAAAATCCCCATCATCACAGTATAGCTGAGTATGATGGGATCAGTAAGCATAACTGGGAGGGAGATCGTCTTTGGATGTGGACGACAACTGATGAACACGGGGAGAGACGGTACACATACCTTCCACATTGGGTTAGTTCGGTTTTGCGGAAAGTTTCAATGCGTATATACCGGGAGCAATCACGATACACGGAAAGTATTCGGATGCAAATTGAATATAGTACCAGACTTCCAGGGAATCTAAATATCTTTGCCAACTATCCCCGATGCTGTAACGATGGAGACTTTCTTGAGGCCTGCCTTTCCCGTTATATAAAGATGGCATTCATTCAATTGGAGTGTAGACAGTAGGCCCTAATTAAGACAATGCATAAACAAAAGCAGATGATAAGATTTCACAGCGCGAGATACTGCCTCAGGTTGGTTTTTGACGAAATCGATTGTTGGACATCTTTTTACATCTGCATTTACTACTCCTCCGTTGGTCAATCCATTGAGATTCCAACCCTTCTTTGCCCGGTTCCGCCTTCGCAGTCACCCCGCCGAAAAAGCTCAAATCCAAGACATTCGAGAAGAACCAACACTCCACCAAAAACACCGGAACATCATCCCACCCACGCTATGCTCTAGGTAGAAGAGCACAAAACCCAACCTCCGTCTCCATATCCACCCACCAGCCACAACCACCAGCCAAGCAGCGCTGAGAACCATCGGCTCCCCCTCACCACCATCCCACGACGCCCTCTGCAAAAGAAACCCCCCCAAAAAAAAACAAGCTTTTCAGCCACACACCGCCACACCCACCCCGGTCTTACCTACAGCCCCGCACCAAGTCAGCTACCCGAGACACATCCTATTATTCCCTCCCGGGCAAACAAACCCAACCCGCGTCACTGGTTCACCCATCCCACCCCTCCGTCCCGTCCCGCCCCGCCCCCGGTCTCCGCCTCCGCTTCACCCGGCCTGCGCGTACATACGCCTTTTGTCTCAAACCCCCCACACCACACCTCCCTTCCCCTCCTCCCCGGGAGGCAGCTAGCCGTCCGTCCCGTGTGCATCATCATCATCTCAGACATGGCAGTACCTCCCTCAGCACACCGCCCCCCACTCTGATCCGCGCGCGCGCGGGTGGAAACGTAGGTAGAAAAGCCAAAGGGTCGGTGTGCTTGTGTCAGACACGAATCCAAAACGCAGAAACAAGAAGAAGAAAAGAGATAGATAGCGCGTGCACAAAGACAAGCACCGAGAAAGAAAGACTCCACGACAACCGCAAACGCGCACAGAAAGCAATCACAACGGCTGACGGTGGTGATGAAGATCGTATCATACGTTTGAATTAAACTTAAATACTAGTAGTAACCTTCAGACATGAGGTTAATCCAGCAGCTCGCTCGCTATTTCTTTGCCTCCATCCTTCCCTGCTCTCCCCTTCCCCACTACCGTGCTGCTGTGGCTGCCATCCCAATATTACTATACTCTGAAAAGAGAGATGGAATAAAAGAACCATGACGCCCCAGCTCTAATGAATCCAGAATCCAGTCGACTGAACCCCATCTTCTGCCAAAGGTTAAAGAAAAACCTTCCTACCCCCCGGAAGAAAAAAAAGACCAGCATGCATGCATGTATAGAAAGAAGGAATAGCCACAATTCCGTGTATGTGTATGTGCAGCAGCGCGCAGATCAATGTCAGGAGGAGGGGGCAGACAGGCGGAAAACGCCCCCCATTCGAAAAAAATCCCACTTTTTAATGACGATATAAAAAAAAACGCCGATTCCATGCAGCAAATGTATAAAGTGAAAGGGAAAAACTCAGTCAGCCTGGCTTTGCCTGCGACTGCTAGGCGGCTGCTTCGTCAGCCTCTTCCGCCTCTTGCCCTCGCTGTCGCGGCTGCCGGTGCGCGAGTGGCCCTGCTGCTGTTCCTGCTGAGCTCCCGCAGCACTGGACTGGGCGACGGCGGCGGCAGGAGTGTTGTCGTCGTCAGAAGGCATGGCGGGCCGGTACACCTGGACGTCCGGGACGCTGTAGACGACGGCCGGGCTGCGGCTGCGGTCGCGCGGATCCATCAGCGGCGTCTGCTGCTGCTGTTGTCCCTGTTGCACCTGCATCTCGAATTCCTGGTCCATGTGCTCGCTCGTGCGGACGAAGCTGGCGCGCGCGAGCGGGCTGCGGCCCTGGCGGCCGGCGCTGCCGATGGAAGCCGTGGGGCGATGGCTGGGCGCAGGCACCGCGAGGCTGGAGGCGGAGGTGCTGGCGTTGGAGTTCGAGTAAGGCGAGTTGTTGTCGGTGGGCTGCTGGGCCGACGCCAGAGCCGGGTGGCCCTTGCCGGCCTCGGCACTGCTGTTGTACTCCTTCAGCTCAGCCGCTAGCGGAGAGGAACCGGGACCGGGGGACTTGGAACGCGAGGAGTACATGCTGTTCTCACTTGCGACGCGCGTGTGTTGCTGGCGATCAGATTGATCGCGGCTCGGAGAAAGGTCGCGAAGATCCTTGCGCTCGTAGTAGCCGTAGTTGGAGCTATCGAGTGAGTCAATAGACTCGTGGAAACCAGGCTTGCCTTGACTGACGGGCCCGTACTGTGCGTCGCCAGGACCCTGCTCATAGAAGGCACCACCTGCTGGACGCTGAGCAGCTTGGGCGAGGTGGTACGCGGCGACGCCCTCGACGTCCATGACGGACTCGACGCGGCGAGGCATGTAGATCGAGTTGTTGCCGCCCGACGTCTGCGTGACGAACGAATCGAAGGACTCGCGAGGGTGGAGCGGCAGGCGTGGCGCGTTCGGGTCGCGGGGAAGCATATCTGGGAGCGTGAGACCAGAATCGTTGCCTTGCTCGTACCAACCTCCTGGAAGCCTGTTCGCAGGCGCGAAACGACCCTCCAAGTGGTCCGCCGGCTGGAGTGGCAACTGGGCCGCACGTCCCTCCTTCTTCGACTTCTTGCGCGCAATCTCGACGGCGGGCTTGAACGTCTCGGGTACCACGTTGAGATCGTCGCCGGTGGCTTCGGCATGCTCGATGGCGGCCTGGGGAGTGGTGCTGCTGTCGGCCGATCCGGCGTCGGCACGAGGACCACCCCAGGTGCGCTGTCCAGCGGTGAAGATTCCGTAAACCATGTAGCACCAGTTGAAGAAGGGGTTCACAACGAACATGATCGGGTAGAGCATGATCTTGTAACGGCCGAGCATGGCGCCGAAGTAGAGCATGAGAACCCAGTTGAGACCGAGAGACACGGCAATAAAACCGACGGGCAAGTTCGAAATCTTCTGGGAGGTGGTGATGATGGAGATGACCATGATGAAGAAAAGCAGAGCAGTGGTCCGGATGGTGTTTTGCATGAAACGAACGATGCAAAGGATGGTGTAGCGTTTCCAAAGGCGAATGTCTGTAAGCATGCAAACCTCGTTGGTGATGAATCCCAAGAACCAACGGCGGCGCTGCTTGAGCAAACTTTTGTACGTCTGAACGGCCTCGGTCTTGCAGAAAGCGCCAGTGTTCATCTGGATCTGGTAGCGCTCCTTTGCTCCAATCATGAACAAGTGAGTCAGCCAGCGATCCTCGCCCAAGTGGCACTTGCCGTAGTCAAAGAGATCCTCGCACTGCTCGGCCTTGTCGGCGAAGTAGTACTTGGCCATCTTACGGAAGGCAGAGAAACGCAGGATGGTAAGGGCGCCGGGCAAGCACGTGACGGCACCGCAGCCGGACTCGACAGAACGCTCGAAAAGCTGGCCGTGGATATACTCCATGTCCTGCAGGATCGTGATCAGACTGTTCTTCTCGGTAGTAGAGGTAATGACGCCAGTCATGGCCAACATGTTCTGCTTGCTTCCGGGCTTGAGCTCCATTTCGTACATGAAGTTCTGGATGCAGACCTTGTCCAGGATGCAGTCCGAATCGATGAACAGCACGAAAAGGTTGTCGTTCCGCTTGAGGTACTCGGAGTAGATTTTGTCGATGAGCTTGTAGGTGCTCTTCTGGCAGTGTCGCTTGCCGCCGTGCTTGAACCGGGAGACTGTGATGCGGCAGCTGCGGTAGGTCACGTCGATGCTCTTGGGGTATGTGTCCAGGGTGAGCGGCACGCCAAGCTTCTCGATCGTGTTCAGGTAAAGTTCGTCCTCCTGGTCACCGTCGAAAGAGAGGAAGATGTGCAGGCACGAGGGCGGGTATTCGCAGTCGACCAGGGAGTCGCAGGTGCGCATGAGGACTTCGGGCATTTCCTTGTAGCAGGGCAAGATGATGACGACTTTGGGAGCGGAAGCCTCGTCCAAGACATGCTTGATCCGCTTTGTGCGACCAATGGAGTGTGTAACCAGCTGGTAGACACAGAAAAGCCAAGGAATAGTGAGCAGACCAGCGAAGGACCAGAAAGCGAACCATTGGAAGAATTCGACCATGACCTGGGGGAAGGTCTGCGTGACCTGGGAAGGGAGCGGGAGAGTGACGACCATGATGGGGAGGAAAATGCATCTAGGTGGCGGCTGGGTTAGTCGACGGCCTTGGCTATGGACGGCTGGGCCACGTACCTGAGCAGAGTGAAGACGATGCTGATGATGACGGCCAGGACCTTGATGCTGGTGGTTTCGGCCTTCTGGTAGACCTTGACAAGGCAGTACAGGAAAGCAGCGACCCAGAGGAACCATTCGAGAAGGGCCATGAGCATGACTCCGCCAACAATGGCGCAGTATACGATCTGCAAGAGACATCAGTGGGACAGCATTCCCCGAGCAGGCGAGGCGACTCACGTCTTTGACGGGCCACGGGTCGGTGATGGCAATGACGCCATTCTCGTTGGCCTCGCGGGCCACCAGGCCCAAGGCTTCGCGCAACATATTGAAGCGAGGGTGGGAGTTGGAAGTGTCGAAGCGAGTGACAAGGGAGAAGCGGATTGGGAGCGGAGCGGAGGGGTTAAGCGGCGGGAAGAAAGGACATGTGCAAGGGAGTAAGTAGTAGGCGGGCGCAATCCAGGCGGCGAAGAATTAGGGTTGTAGACGGGCGACTGCTCCAGGCGGGGGGGTTAGCGTGTTTATGCGAAACGGAAACGGGCAGGGTTATTTTGGGACAGGAAGGCCGTACGGTTCGGGTGAAGAAGGCGGCGGGCTCAGGAAAGAAAGGCGGTGGTTGAGGGCTGCAACTGACGTGGGCGAGGGCGCTCAATTGTAGCACGGCAGATGCGCTTGCTACCCGTCTGGCGGGCGTGTCGCACAACGCTAGAAAAGAAGAAAACGAGAAGGCACGGATATGGCGGACGGAGATGGCGAGGGCTGGTCCTTTTGTTCTCGAAGGGCCAAAGCAGGCGCCACCTGCAGCGCGGCCTTGGTGCGCTGGAATGTCTCGTATCGCGGGCGTGGAGCGCGAGGCAGCGGCAGCGGGTGCACGATCAGCTGCGAGATCTGCGAGCGCGTCGACGACTAGCGGCGATCTCGTCGAGGCAGGCAAACGAGCGACGGAGGGCGGAATGGGGCAGAGCGAAGCAGGCAATGGAGCGATGAAAAGAAGAGGACTCAGGGACTCAGGCCGGCTCACCCGTCTGCGGCAGGCGACGAGGCTCTTGATGCTGGGATATAAACGGCAGGCCCCAAGAGGCGCTCTGGGCCGCCGCCATGCTGGATGGAGGACATGGGCTAACGGCAGCAATATCTTGGCGGTCGTGTATGCGCATTGCGGGCCCAGCTACGACGGCACCATCGACACGGCTCGCGCTGGGCGGTTGCATGCATCCCCATGCATCTCCAGCGCCGCGCAGGGGTCCCCGGGCCGTGCGCTGACAGGCGAGGCATGCGCAGCCAGTCGCGGCCAGTCGCGGCCAGTCGCCGCATGCCAGTCGCGATGGATGCGCGCTGCTCGCTGCTCGCTGCTCGCTCTACGCGCGCTGGGCCGGCGATCGCCTCACGCGCGCGCTGACGGGTGACCCGCAGACCAGCGCCACCCGCTGGGGGCGGCGTGGTGCCTGGCGGTAGGAGGGCAGCCGGGCAGCTGGGCTTCGGGTGTGCTGGCATGGCGTCAAGCTCGCAACGGCGGTTCTGGCAGCGCGCTCGCTTGGTGGCGGGAGGCGCGCACTGGCTGGCTCCCCGGCCGCGGTGGCCGCGGTGGAGCCTGCCGCTTTGGGCCACCCGGCGTTTGAGACCAGCGAGCTCGGGCAATCAGGACTCGCTCGCCGCGTCGCACCACCGCAAATGCGACCGCGACTCGCCAAAAATAGCCCCAGAGCCCCCCCAGAGCCCGCCCGTTCAGGAATCACCACCACCAATGCCGTCCCGCCCACTGCCCGCCTACTGCAGCGACAGCCTGTCTGTGCGCTCGTGCCCCTCGTCCACCGCCCGCTCGCGCCCACCCCTCTCCTGCCGCCGCGCACGTTTTCGTGAGCCGCATGGAAAGGTTTTCTCTCGGCTGCCGGCTCCCATGCATGCCGCCACGCCGCAGCCGACTGCTCGAGCCTGGCACCCTTCAGCGAGCTGTCAGCCCCGAGAGCGAGCTGAACAGCGACAGCGTGCAACCGTCGCAGTGGAGTGGCAGTTCTAGTGCGCCCCCCTCACCAGCATCTTCCTGGCCCCCGGTGCCGGTAGCCCCATCGGTTCCTGCAAATCATCGACCCTGGACGCCCTGTGTGCATCCCGGCCGCGCCCATCAACCTCCGACCCTCCGCGAAGAGGACTGACAAGACTCTTTGGGACTGCCCCGTCTCTGCCGCGCAAGCTGGGGGAACGCCCGTCAGGAACAGGCAACTTTCTATAGTTTCGTGTTTCACGCTGCGACATCCCCGCCCTGATCAATCTGCTGTCGATCCGTCGCTCGGACAAAACATCAAGTCCCGCGCAACGCAGACCCTCTCCTCCATCACTCCATATGACGCCGCTAGCTCGTCACACTTGCAGCCGCCCGCAAAATCCTTCAGCTGCGACCTGCCGCATGAAACATTTTCCAATTTCATCATCCCGCCACTGATTGCAGCCAGCGTCACGCACGCTGCGCCTCTGGCCAACGCTCCACACTGGCGCAAGCCGCTGCCATCAGAATCGCGGATGCGGCGCCGACTATATCTAACTTTTGCTAACTTGACGCTGGCGTGATTCCTGGCGCCGCACTACCTCGCTGCGTACTGCTCCTAAACGCCCGTGGCCGACGCCGCATTTTAGCGCCGTCTTGGCTACCCTCAAAGAACCTCAACTCGATCTGCTGTCCTGGCTTGCCATACCTATTTTGCCTCCATTGTTCCCAATGACCAACTCTCAAAGCATGCGCCCTCCAGCTGTCTCGCTAGCAAGATGCATCTGCCATCACCATACTTCCAGAATCGACCCTGAGTCCAAACTGCAGTCAATGCCGAGCCAGCCGTCTTAAAGCCGACGCTAAACAAAGTGATCGTATCCGCTCCTTTTCTCGAACGAGTTTCGAGTCAAGTGGATACTCACCAAGTGCTTCTGGTCCGAAGGTACAGCTAGTAGCTGTTCCTACCAAGATAGCGCGGTAGTGGCCTGTTGGGAGGTCTTCGTCTGCATAACATCGATATGATGAACAGAACGGTCAACAGACCACGACTATATCCCTTCCGGCTTGATACGGCGCTGGAGTCCGAACGTGGTCCTAACGAGTAGTTCTACAAAGACACCCACCTTGTGCGCGGCGCAGGCAGCACTTACAGGAGAGGGCAGTGCGGAAAATGCGTTTGAGACCCCGCCTCGCCTCTTCCCATCCTTCAGCATGTCCTCTCGAGTCTCGAGGGCCTGATGTGTCCGCTTCTCAAGCGCATCATTCGAAGCCCTCGAGTTCCCGAAACTCGTATCTCCCTCGAGAGCGCTCCCCTGCTCCGCCCACCCACAAGATTTCGCCACTGCTCCATTTTCACTTCCGCTTCCACTTCAGCCACCACCACCACCATCCTTCACCTCTTCCCCATCTCGGCACCTAACATGCACACCACAAAGCCCGCATACTCCAGCTGAACCAAGCATCCTCGCCCTCCGTCACCCTCACCCCCATCATTGCGGTTCAGGGTGGAGGCGCGACACTATGGTAGCTCCCAGAGGAGCTACCAAGCGGGGACTTGAGCGTGTATGGCGAAAGAAGTTGCTGAAGATATGTCTTGAGGTGGGCAAGGAGGGCTATGGGTGCTAGAAGACGTATCGTGTCTTTGGGCTGACTTCGACGGTACCGGTTTGCAAGATCAAGGAGATGATCGGAAGGATAAACGTGCTTCATGGTCCGGGCAGGATCTGGCCTAGAGATTGCACAATAGGGAACAAAGCCTTGGAGACTGGGCTTGAATGCCCGCGTTGACATGTCCAGCAGGCTATTGAAACGCGGATTCCCAACATTTTTCTTCCCATACCTCTCATAATTATGAAACTTCCGGCCAGGAAGACTGCCGGACCACCCATTGATGCGCTTGTGCCGTTTTCTGCCAAGGACCCTGAATCTTTCGGTAAGAAGAAAGCGGTGCATTGCTGCAAGTGTGGATACATAGGGTTTTGCCAGAACTCGAAAAACCCACCCACTCCAAAGCAATCTGCACAAGCCTTTGGTGTGTCGACCTTTGTTCGAAGACTTGGAGTTCTGTTGCTTTCATCTCCATACTCTGGCCGCCGAGGTTGCTGGAATCTTAAAAGTGACGTACAGAAATACACACGATCGGAGTACAATAGTAAGCTTTCTTCAGCTCAAGGTATTGGATGCCAACAACCTGGCCGGTCCCCATCTACCAGTTGGTGCATCCCAAGTCGCTCCTGCTGCTCTTCATAACCCACCAAGAAATGTTGGAAATTTAGTTCAACACTGACAGATACTTTATTGTGCATGATCCGTAATACTTAACCGGACGGCAGCAGAAGATATAGTAATAATGACCAGCATTCAAGAGGCATTTCTAGAGAAAAGATTGCACAGGCAATTCGGACAAAGGCCCGGAACATTCAAAAGAGATGGTTGACACATCAGACGTAACAACGCCTGGGCTCGGCTGGGTTTTGGCTAAAATCTTCGGCCTCGGAGCATCAGTCGCCGGATCTCAATATGCCCCACCAGGTCACCCGGTAAATGGCCACCCAAGCTTTCTTTTTTCCCCTTGATTTCCCTCAGCGCAGGAGCCAGGTTTCTCACATGATGATTACAAGCTTACCACGGACTAGTAACCCTCTGAATCCACTCCAATGTGATCTGGTGCTGTCGCCAATATTCAGTAAAAGGAAGGCGTTTACTCTCCCACCGGAGAGTGACGTCATCAAATGGCGGGGTATTGCATCCTCTTCACTGCTCCTATCTGAATTGTGTTTCGATTTTATAGCCATTCTCGTCGTACCATGGCTGATAGATGTTACTAGAAACGGAAATGGTTGCACATTGCTGTTCTACGACGAGTACCGCGATGGCTTGCAGATTTGGCGGGGAGGGGCATGCAGAAGTGCCCATGCAAGCTGTCAGGGCCGCCAAGAAACCCACCGCGAGTAGTCGAACAGCGTGGGGCAAAGTGAATCACCAACATTCGACTTCTCGTTTTCACCTCCCCACAACGCAGTTTCTCCACAAATCGCCAAGCGGACCACAGGTGACTCAAATGCCAATCGGAACGACGCAGCGCGCCGCGTACGCAAGGTTCCGGAGGGCTAAAGCTACACGACAAGGCATAATCTTGAAGTGTTTTTGGCGAGTCGTGCTGGGGCAGCCGGCTCAACCGCGGACATTGAGATTGCAGCGCGTGCCTGAGACGACTCGAGCAGATCACCCGCCCACACGGATCCGGCGTCCTACGCAGCGACCAAAAATATCACGTTTAGAGTCCCTGAGCGGAAACGGTCGACCCCGGTGGGGATGCCCATACGAACCCTGCCAATGTTTGTTTCGCTCGTACGGGACTCCGGTCCGCCGGCTCCACACCAGAATCATGCACTGCGTCGGGATCCCCATTTATCAGGAATAACCGGGTAGTTTGTCGATGATCAGCACACGGATGGTAGGTATAAAGCGTCCGTCACGTTGCACTGCTGTACGCTTCAGTTGGCCCTCCCTTCCCAACCGACCACAGTCCGCGGAGAGAAACCATAAGAGCCAAAGCCAACATCATGTGGACCAACCTCAAGCGCCTCGGCCTCGCGGCAACACTCCTGGCCTCCCGGGCCGCCGGCGAGGTCCTCAGCACCTCGGGCCGCTGGATCGTCGACTCGAGCGGCGCACGCGTGAAGCTCCGGTGCGCCAACTGGGCCGGCCACATGGAAACCAAGATCCCCGAGGGCCTGAACCACCAGGCAACCTCGTACATCGCGTCGTGGCTGTCCGACAACGGCTTCAACTGCGTCCGCCTCACCTACTCGATCGACATGGCCCTCAACCCGTCGCAGTCCGTCTCGGACGCCTTCACCGCCGCCGGCGACTCGGCCGGCATCGCCGCCGCAGACATGACGGCCCTGTACGACGCCGCCGTCGCCGCCAACTCGTGGCTCGCAGACGCCACGACGCAGTCGACCTTCGCCCACATCATCGACGACCTCGCCGCCGCAAACGTGCTCGTCGTCCTCGACAACCACGTCTCGCACGCGTCGTGGTGCTGCGGCTCCGACGACGGCAACGGCTGGTGGGACGAGGCCGCGGGCTACAACGACGCGGCGTCGCGCTACTTCAACACGGCCAACTGGCTGCAAGGCCTCGCCGCCATGGCCGAGTTCGCCGCCGCGCACCCCAACGTCGTCGGCATGTCGCTGCGCAACGAGCTGCGCGCGGGGTCCGGCCAGGACAGCAGCGACCACGCCGACTGGTACAAATTCGTCGGCCAGGGGCTCGACGCCATCCACGGCGCCAACGCCGACCTGCTGCTCGTCGTCGGCGGGCCCAGCTACGCGACGGACCTGTCGTTCCTGTACGGCAACCCGCTCGACCGCGCCGCGTTCCCCGACAAGGTCGTGTGGGAGTTCCACAACTACCAGTGGTCGTGGTCGTACAGCGACTGCGCCGACCACCAGGCCAAGCTCGGCTCCAAGACGGGCTACCTGCTGGCCGAGGGCAAGGACTACACGGGCCCGCTCTGGCTGAGCGAGTTCGGCTGGAACCTGGACACGCCGAGCGCGAACGAGGTGGCGTATTACACGTGCTTGGTCGACTACATGACCGGGAACGATGCCGATTGGGCGTTTTGGGCGCTGCAGGGGACGTATTACATCCGCGACGGGCAGACGGACTTCGAGGAGACGTTTGGGCTGGTGGACAAGGAGTGGAGCGGGTGGAGGAACGCCAGCTTCCCGGACATTCTGGGCGATATGTTTGATGTTACGCAGGGTCCTTGAATGATGTCTGTGCGAGTTTGACTGGCTGTCAGCGGCTGGTTGAAGAATGGGATGCTCGGCCCATGTTTGTATCTATCGATATTCCAACTCTCCAACCGGCGCAGTTGAAAGTGCCGTGTCGCTCTCGGGCAATACAAGCCAAGGGTGCAGTGAAGGCAGGTCCGGCTACGCCCCCCCTCGTCGGATATAGGAGTTTCCCGGCTTTATATGACCTCAACACTGTTGCGCCAGGATCGCTTCGAGGACAGCTTTGCATGGGCGATGGATGGGGACAAAGTCTTGTTCCAGCTGGCCCTGGAGCGAATAAGTAACGGCTAGTGCTTACGCAGCGGAGGTGGTGATAAGCTGACGGCGTTACAACGTGAGAGGGGGTTAACCCCGCACTAAGTCCGGCACCTATTGCCGGACTCCATCGTAAGACTTACGGCGTTGACGGATGCATCGCATCTTGCAAAGTATGCGATCAGAGATTCACGCCTGTCAGCCGGAACGTAGACGGCCACCTCCGGCCAGTACATAAGCCTCCCGACTTCATAAGCATCTTCGCTCGCTTTTCACACCCCCAACCTCTCTCCATCCTTTTCGAGTTCAAGCAGGATGGCCGCCCAACAACCTCTCAAGAACGAAGCCGCCTGGCTCACTTCCGAGAAAGCCTACCCACTCCAAGTCAAGGAAGCCCCCTTTCCCGAGCCCGTCGGCGACGAAATCATCATCAAAGTCGGCGCCATAGCCGTCAATCCCGTCGAGTACGTTTTTTTCTCCTCCTCAAACGACCTGAACGAAAAGAAACACATCTGACCGCCCCCTGCCACAGCTACGTCCTCCAAGAATCAGCCTTCTACCCCCTCCCCTACCCGTGGATCCTCGGCGTAAGCCCCGCCCCCTCCCCTCCAATAAATAACAAAAAAAAACCCCCCTCCAACTAACCCCCCATTCCTCTTTCTCCCCCCTTTCCAGACCGACATAGCCGGCCACATCCACGCCCTCGGCCCCTCCGCCGACACCACCATCTTCCGCCCCGGCGACCCCGTCCTCGCCCTCACCCCCGGCTTCGACGCCAGGGACCCCGCCGGCGGCGCCTTCCAGCGCTTCGTCAGGCAGCGGCCGCCGCTGGTGGCGAGGATCCCCCCCGGCCTGCCGCTCGCCGACGCGTGCGTCGTGCCGCTGGCGACGGGCACGGCGGCGGCGGGGCTGTTTGAAGACGGGTTTTTGGGGTTGCGGTTGCCGAGTGCGATTCCTGCTGTTACTACTGGCGCCGGTGTTGAGGGGGGTGGGGAGGGGGAGGGGGATGGCGGGAAGGAGGGCGGGAACGAAAAGGATAAGGAAGTCTTGCTGGTGTGGGGCGCGGCGAGCAGCGTGGGGAGCTGCGCGGTGCAGCTGGCGCGGTGCGCGGGGTACGAGGTCTGGGGCGTTGCGGGGGAGGCGAACGCGGGGTATGTGGTTGACGGGCTGGGGGCGGCGCGGGCGTTTGATTATCGGGCGGAGGGCGTGGTGGATGGGATTGTGGAGGCGTTTGTGGGGAGGCGGTTTGCGGGCGTGTTTGATGCGGTGAGCGTGGGGGGTGCGGTCGAGGCGTGTGTGGAGGTGGCGGCGAGGGTGGGGACGGAGGGGAGGAGGTTCGTGGCGAGCGTGCGGTGGTTGCCCGAGGGGTTGAAGGACAATTTGCCGGAGGGCGTCGAGGCGAAGTGGATGTGGGGGAGCATGAGCGGGAAGACGGAGGTGGGGCCGGCGGTGTTTGGGACGTTTTTGCCCAAGGCGTTGGAGGATGGCCGGTTCAAGTGTATGCCGAGGCCGGAGGTGGTGGGGGAGGGCTTGGAGAGTTTGCAGAAGGCGTGCGATGTGCTGAAGGGGGGCGTTTCGGCGAAGAAGATTGTTGTTACTTTGTAGAAGGAGGAATCTACTGCGTTTGGTGGTTCTGAGAGAATGTCTATCGTTATACCCCCTGAAAGATTCACAGCTCAGTTGCTGAGCTCCTTGCTCCCTCGTCTCTTAGTATGGCCAAGTTTTGAATTGCCGCCAGCCCATATAGAGAGGTGATGTTGGTTGAAATCCACGGTGCTTCATCAACTCCATGGCCGCCGACCTTCTGAGTGACCCACGGTGCATCCACTCTATATCCATCACTGAGAAGGAGTTCGTTCCAGGCACGCGAGGCTAGAGATGGCTCATCAAGTTCTCGAGAAGCGTATGCAGTTAGCCGCGAGTGACCTTGCTTCAGCTGCAAGTTTCCAAAATCGACCCCAAAGCGCTCCGTCTGTTCTGCAGCCGGAGAATTGAAGTGGCGGCAATAGTCTAACCAAGCTTCTTTGAACCCCGGAGGTGTATCATCCCCAAGCGAATCTATGATATCGGCACAGATCTCAAACAGCCCGAACATGGCCGAAAGATGGGACACTTTCACAACGCCCTTGTTCTCCGGATCCTCGGCCGGTGGGAGTATCTCTCCTGTGAGGAGGTTGTAAGTGACCTGGCCGGTAACGAAGCCGTTTTTCAGGGAACCGATCCCCCTCATCGTGGCAAGAAGCTTGTTCCTGGATTCCTTCCACGTCGGGCCACGTCTTTCCCACTCGACGAACCACGCTGCAGCGAGCGCAGACCAGTCGGTCCCCAGAGAGATGGTAAGCGCCTTCGGGTCAGGCCGGTATGTGTCTCGATCTTTCCTGACCTTGCGGTACGGATCCAGTATGAGGAAAGTCTTCTCAGTCTCCAGTGTTTCTTCCATCAGGTCCCCGACCCTCTCATCTCCGCCGGAGAGGTAGTAGAAGAACTTTCGGTACAAAGCATTGGAGATGCGAGCCTGCTTGCAGCTGTCGCTCCAGTGCTGCACACCATGGCGTGTTCCAAGACCTTTGTATTTTCCGAGGTGATAGACGTCGACCTCTCCGGTATGCCTGGTCAGCGCCTCAGCCATCCGGTACACGTCTGCTCTGCCGGTGCGGAGGAAATACAACCAGAGCCACAGGTCAGGGGAGAGCTCGGAATTGTCCCAAGCGTAGCCGCCCACGTCGTATCTCCAGGTATGCCGATCCGCGTCGTAGGTATGCATGATGTCTCCATGGTCCCAAAAGCCGTACCACTTCCGCTGCTCCACCTGCCCTTTGTAGAAATTGAACAGGAAATCCAGCTTTGCATCCAAATCCCGCTGCAAGCCGCCGTCCGCCAGCTCCCGCGACGATGCCGGAGACCAGTACGTCCCCAGCGCCTCCGTCTCGCGGATCCGCTCCGCCCACGCCACCAGCACGGGCGGCTCCCTCACGACGCCCGTCAAGGCCGCCAGCTCCGCGTCCCCCGGCGTGGCCCCCGTCGCCAGCACGCACAGCTCGCTCGTGCGCGCCACGCCCTCGGGACTCCCCATGCCCTCCTCCCAGTCCTCATACGTCACCCGCATCGCCTCCAACTGGTCCGCATACCCCTCCTCCCCCAACGACCCCCGCCACGGCCTCACGTCCATCGGCCCCCCCGCGTGCGGACACCACACCCAAGCCGTAATCTCGCCCTCGCCCTCGTCATCTCCCGCCCGCACATCCACCCCCGTCGGCCACCTCTCCCACGCCCACCTCAACCCCACCGCCACCCCGCCCCTCCCCGCCGCCCCCACATACGCCACCCCCCCGAACACATTTCCCCCCTGGTCCTCCCCCTCCCCCTCCTCCTCCCTGTCCTCCCGCGACACCGACCCCTCCGCTTCCCTCGCCCTCGGCGGCACCCCCACCCACCCCCTCCCCCTCCCCGTCCTCTTCCGCACCTGCGCCGCATTCCCGCCCGGCCCACCCTGCACCACCCGCCACTCCCGCCACACGGGCACCCATCGCAGCGACCCCTCGCCGCCGCTACGCGTCTGATCACCCAGCGAGGGAACGGGCACGGGCAGCCCGTTTACCTGCGCCGCGCGCGCCTCGGGGCCGACCGGGTCGTGCCAGAGGCCGGTGAGGCCTTGGGCGGCTTCGGAGAGGAGGAGGAGCGGGGGGGAGGAGGGGGAGGGGGAGGGGTTGGGGCGGGACGCGGTGGTGGAGGTGGCGCGGATGTGGTGGTCGAATGGGAGGGCGGGGGAGAGGGGGACGGTGAGGCGGAGGGAGAGGCCGCGGATGTGGGTTTGGGTTTGGGGGTGGGGGTGTTGATTGGGATTGGGATTGGGTTCGGCGTCGGAGCGGGGGCTGGTCAGGGAGGAGAGGGTGTGGGTGAGGTGGAGGCGGAGGAGGGGGGAGGAGGCGGAGAGGTGGATGAGGAGGGTGAAGGGGAGGGTTTGGGGGGTTTCGGCTTTTTCTCTTTGTTTTTCTTGTTCATCGTGGCGGTGGTGGTTGTTGTTGTCGTCGTCGTGGGGGAGGGGGGCGTGGTGGCCGGTTATTTTGACGGTGGTGCGGATGGGGCCGTGGTGGAGGATGGTGGTGGAGGCGATGGTGCTGGTGAGTTTGTGGTAGGTGATGGGTGTGGAGGGAAGGTCGTCGTCGAGGATACCGGATTGGGTAAGCAGGACGAGGTGGCCGTTGGTGCTGACGGTGCGGCCGGCGGCGTTGACGATGCGGGAGATGAGGGTGCGGCCGGTTTTGGGGAAGGTGGCGGTGATTTCGCCGGTCGAGACGGTGATGGCGTCGGGGGAGTCTTGGACGCGGAGGCTGGTTTGGGGTTCTCGGGGCTCCTTTCTTTCTTCGTTTGGCGTGGCGTGGACTATGTATCCGTCTTTTGGTGCGTCACCAGCAGGGATTGCGTGCGCAGTCCATTTGATGGAGTCGTCGGGCCAGTAGGCGGTGACCCAAGATTGAAGTGGGATTTCTTGACCGTCTGGGGTGGTGCAAGTGAATGCGGCATCACCTGATCTATATCTGCCTCTGTGCCAAGGTAGGCCGAAAGTTGTCCCGTGCTGGTGTTGAGGCGGCGGCTCCAGCCACCTTACTGGGACGGATTCGGAAGGCATGCCGGCAACTTGGAGGATCAATGGCGATTTGGAGAAAAAGGCCAGTCTTATCGGGGCAAATGTGCTTCGGCAGGCATTCACCCGTCCGCTCTCGCTTGCGGGGTTGCGCGTTTGAGGGGCTCAATGGCATCACCCTTTCGCTTCTGGCAATGATCTGCCATGTCCTCCTTACTCACCAAGCAACAACCCAAGAAAGGCTTGGTGATGCCAAATCTTCCCGTAAGGCTGGCCCAAGTACGGACTGATCCGGCCATAGCGATGGAATTGAGAAGTGTCTCCGGTAGACGTCGTGGCACCAGCCCTGCGCCACCCGCCGCTTTTCGGCACCAGGGCGGAGCGTTATCTGTACGCACATGGTGTGGTATTTGACGTGATCGATGTCGCATCTGAACGGATGTGAAGCATGTCAGGGTCTCGCCACGGAGAATAAATTACATCTGGACTCGATGCGCACCGATTTTGAACCAACCGAGCTCGACACAACTCGCTGTCCGCGGCCTGAGCACCGGCACAATGGCACAGTCAGCGGGGGAAGATGCAGCAAAGTCGGTGGAAGAAGAGGGCACGTCGACGCCAACGCAAAAAGACATCGGCCACATCAACACCGCCGAAGTCGACGACCTCGCCGAGCCCGATGACCCGAACTCGACCACCCGCTGGCCGTGGGAAAGAAAGAACCGCAAGCCGGTCGACCTCGACGCCATCGCAACCAAGCGCAGCGTCTTCGATGACCCCGCGCTGGCGCCCTTCTACATGCCGCGGCCGGACCACGAGAACATCCACCGCTTCTCGATCCCGTTCCGGTGGACCTACCGCGAGGAGCAGGCGGTGCGGCGCAAGACGGACGTGCGCATCTTCCTCTGGATCCTGGTCATGTTCTTCGCCCTCAACATCGACCGCGGCAACCTGTCCAACGCGGTGGCGGACAACCTGCTGGACGACATCTCCATCACCACCAACGACTACAACAACGCCCAGAACATGTACCGCGTCGGGTTCCTGGTCAGCGAGATCCCGTCGCAGATGCTGGGCAAGTGGCTGGGGCCGGACCGGTGGATCCCGTGCCAGATCGTGCTCTGGAGCCTGGCGTCGGGCGGGCAGTTCTGGATGCGCGACCGCGCCGGCTTCTTCGCCTGCCGCTTCCTGCTGGGCCTGTTCATGGGCGGCTTCATCCCGGACGCGGTGCTGTACCTGTCGTACTTCTACACCGCCGCCGAGATGCCCATGCGGCTCGCCCTCTTCTGGTTCGTCGACTCCATGTCGGGCGTCGCCGCCTCCTTCATCGCCTACGGCGTGCTGCACATGGGCGGCGTGCGCGGCCGCGAGGGCTGGCGCTGGCTCTTCCTCGTCGAGGCCGCCCTCAGCCTCGCCATCGGCCTGCTCAGCTTCCTCTTCCTCGTCCCCGGCCCCACCCAGACCCGCACCCGCTGGAACCCGCGCGGCCTCTTCTCCGCCCGCGAGGAGCGCATCCTCGTCAACCGCGTGCTGCGCGACGACCCCTCCAAGGGCGACATGCACAACCGCCAGCCGCTCTCGCTCGCCATGCTCGCCCGCAGCCTGCGCGACGTCGACCTCTGGCCCGTCTACGCCATCGGCCTCGTCTTCGAGATCCCCGCCACCCCGCCCAAGGCCTACCTGAGCCTCACCCTGCGCGACCTCGGCTTCGACGCCTTCCAGACCACCCTGCTCGGCATCCCCGTCACCGTCTACGCCGCCCTCAACATGCTGCTCGCCACCTGGCTGAGCGAGCGCCTCGGCCAGGTCGCCCTGCCGGGCCTGCTCGCCCAGCTGTGGGTCCTGCCGCTGCTGGTCGTCGAGTACGCGCGCGCCGGCGCCCTGTCGCCGTGGGCCCAGTACGCCGTGCTCTTCTTCCTGCTCGGCCAGCCGTCGCTGCACGCCGCCCAGGTCGCCTGGTGCTCGCGCCTCAGCGGCGCCGTGCGCACCCGCGCCGTCGGCGCCGCCCTGTACAACATCGCCGTCCAGCTGTCCGGCATCGCCGCCTCCAACATCTACCGCGCCGACGACAAGCCGCTGTACAGGCGCGGGAATCGCGACTTGATCGCCATCACGGTCGGCACCGTCGCCGCGTATGCCGCCGCCAAGGCGTATTATGTGTGGCGGAATCGGGGGAAGAGGGCGAAGTGGGAGGCCATGACGAAGGAGGAGCAGCAGCACTATTTGGCGACCACCGGGGACATGGGGAACAAGCGATTGGATTTCATGTTTGAGAGCTAGAGAGAGAGAAAGAGAGAGAGTATGTGTGATAGTGATAGTGATAGGAATGAGGACCCCTTGCCTGCCGCCGGCGTGTCTCCTACCTACTACTCGTATGGGACCGCCTTGTTCTCCTTGACCCAGAGCTGCTCCCCCTCAGTGCCCGTGCCCGGCGGAACAAGGCCATTCAGCTTCCAGAGCTCACGGTCCGTCTCCAGCCCGTGGTATTCCCAGTCGTAGCCCTTGTCGGCGATGTACGGCTTCAGAACTTCGTCGACCTGTGCAGAGGGCGTCAGTCGATGCGTACGAGAGGTGCAATGTAGAGCCAGTTACAGACCCGTGAGAGGAATCCGCTCTTGCGGTCGCTGCTGCCCATTTTGCGAGCGATGTTCTCGAACACGATTCGAATGAAGGGCGTTCCGGCCTTGTCGTTCGAGACTCCTCCGACATATATTTTCTCTGCCGGCACGGCGTTGAAGATGACGACGACATAGAATGCCGGGAGGCCGGCTTTGGTGTAAATCTTGGTGATGTCCGCAGAGAGAGCGTCACGCTCCTCCTTGGTGGTGAAAGTGTTGTCCGGGTGGAAAACGCGCCACAGAGGCATCTTGTAGTATCAGGTTGACGGGAAGACGGTTGCTCTTGTGAAGTGATGTTGTCGATAACTTTTCGTACATGTCTTTGTTGACCAGTTTTATATCTTGTGTTGGACAGTGCAGTCTCGCACAGTATGACTTTCCCTACCGACAGAGGACCGTGGTTGGCCCAGCGCGCTAGCTGCTGCAGTTCAGTAATCATCTCACCTCACTTGAACGGAGCCATGAGACGGTCAAGACTGAAAAGTGATCAACCGAGGAATACTCCGCTACCATCTGATGTGGCCGTTGTGTCTGCGTAGGCGAGGCCAGAAGTAATTAGAAGTATAGTGAATGAACACTACCGTGAATGGCCTCTGCTGTGGAAGAGCACTGTTATAAGTGACCACTACTGTGAATGAACACTGCTGTAAGTATGAGGAAGGAACATCGCTACGAATATAGTGAATGAAGACTGCTGGAACGGGAGTAATAGTAGAGTGAGCTGAAGGCACTGTGATGATAAGTAATCGTCGGCATTGACAGACGCCTGTCAGTTAGAAGCAGTGCAACTAGACCAGCCAAGCCAGCGATAGATCCCAACGTAGAATACTAAACATTTCATACAAGCCCAGGGGGCTTAATGCGGAGACAAGCCGTGGCGCCAGTGAATAGTAATCAGGAGTGGTGGGATATCCATCCAACGCGGGGGTCATCGAATCAAATAAGCTAACTAGAGATTCACCAAGTGGAAGAGCATGTGCGGGGAAACAGATTGACGAAAGTGAAGGGAGGAAGAGAATCCTGGACGGCGCGTCTTACTGTGCCAGAGCGGTGAAGCCAGCTGGGCTGCAGCCGATCAGTCGATTCCGGCACCTCCGCCATCACAGATCACTAAACCTCGGCTGCGAGGTGAGAAAGAGTGAGAGTGAGAGCGAGAATCGGGCGTTGTGCGTTTGATTTGAGGCGGAGGTGATGGACGCGACGGTTGGTGTTGAGTGGTCGGTGCGGAGGCGGGGGTGCTGCAAGGCTGTCGCTTGAGCCGCCTCACCGGGTCTAGCGCACCACCCGGAGATATGTCGGACCGGCTTGTTGTTCGCACGGCTTTTTGTTCGCTCGGCTTTTCAATTTTCGCATCGACGACGACGGCGACTCGCAACCCATAACCCACCCACCCACGACAAATCCTCCATCTCCAAATCCACAGCCATGGGCGGTGTCACGGTCAGGGACGTTGAGGCGTCCAAGTTCATCAATGCCTACGGTATGCGCCAGAGCTTGTCGCAGCGCCCGCGCCTCCGCTAACGACCGTTGCAGCCGACTTCTTGAAGCGCCAGGGCCGTCTTCCCATCCCAGGTCCGTGATCTCGTCCAGGTTGAATCCCGTAACTGGGGGATGACAATGGCGGAAAAGCTAACAAGAGCCTCTCCATCTACAGCCTGGACTGATATCGCGAAGACTTCGCACGTGAGAAACTCCTTGATCTGATGCAAAGTCGGTGCGCAAAATCGCTAACAAACAACAGGCCAAGGAGCTCCCTCCCCAGAGCATCGACTGGTACGAACTGCGCGCGTTTTGACATGCCCGACACCCTGCTCACGCTCGTAAAAGGTACTACGTCCGCGCCGCTGCCGTCGCCCGCCACATCTACCTCCGCAAGACCGTCGGTGTCGGCCGTCTCCGCAAGGTCCACGGTGGCACCAAGAACCGCGGCTCGCGCCCCAGCCACCACGTCGACGCCTCCGGCTCCGTCGACCGCAAGGTCCTCCAGTCCCTCGAGAAGATTGGTGTTCTCGAGCACGACGAGGAGAAGGGTGGCCGCCGCATCACCCAGTCCGGCCAGCGTGACTTGGACCGCATTGCCATGTCTACCGTCGAGGCCGAGGAGGATGACGAGTAAACTTGTCATTCCGTGGGTTCAAAAATGGGGTAAATAAACGGGCATGGGATATCGGAGTTGCAAGGTTACGCGCTCTTGAACTCCAGGGCACTTCGCGCCTGGATGGAGGATGGAAGGGTACGGGCAATTCTCGGAGTGATTCCCAGCCAAAAATCAACTTTTCATCCATTCACTCTCGAGCCAGTCGGATGCTCGTCCTGAATTTATCGCCCATGTTCTCACCCACCTGCGTCCTGTAAGATGATGGAAAAGGGAATCTCCGGGAGGCGTACTGTTTTTGCGCATACCCCATTCATCTTTGAGCAACTAGTAGGCCAACGCCAAGGTCTGCTCAGACACTCAAGTTTTGTGTGCACGGCTGAAGATGCGGTAGATCACCTATCAGTAACAAGTCCGCCCTTTGCCTGAAACTTCTCGAGATGCAAGCATACGCGAAAATTTGACGTGAAGGGCGAGTGGACTGTCCACGAATTCGAACATGTCGATACCAAGTACTAAACCCTCGGTCTACATATACGCTGCCCCCAGTCGTTGGACCGAAGAGAAACCGTGCATCCACCGTCGATTGAGCTTGCCAAAAACGTCTGCGTTGGGAAGATCAATCAGCCTCATTCAATAATAGTAGTAGGGCAAGGCATCCTAAACTCACACATCGGGATGCACGTGGCAACAATGCACAACGACGCGACCCCGTACACCTTGAACAACTGCGCCGGCCCATCTTCCGTCACCCACGAGTTGACAAAGGTGGAGAAGCCGTAGAAAAGCAGGTTCTTCGCCGTCATCTGCACGATGAAGATCTCGGTCGCCTGCTCCTTGTACGCATCCCTACATTTGCGTAAGCAAACATGTCAACACACCACCACCCCCGAATCCGCCTCCGCCACATGAGAACACAAACACACAAACAAACTTACAAAACATACAGCGCCGCCGACCCCGACGCCACCGTAACCCCGCAGCACACGCACCCGTGGCAGAAGGCGCCGAGGAGGTATCCCGCTCCCGCCGCCGTCGGGTGCCGCACGTCCCACATGAAGACGAAGTAGCCGACGCCCAGCAGCGGCGCCGCCGCGACCGCCTGCGCCGGCAGCCGGAACTCGGGCTCGTGCACGCCCCGGTTGCGGCGCGCCAGCGCCCGCGACGTCGCCGAGCAGAGCGCGCCGGACCCGATGCCGCCGATGAGGCCGCCGATGAGGCCTGGGTGTGGGTTGTTGGTTAGTTGGTGGTTTGTTGTTTTTTGGGGGGATTGGGGGAGGGGGGATTGGCATTTACCGCCGACGTAAAAGTAACCGTTGCCCTCTGGGGTGAGGTTGTATGGTGGGGCGGACCAGATTTGTGCGAGGACGTAGGAGAGGCTGACGTAGAATGCCTGCGTGCGCGTGTTGAGCGTTGCGGTTCGTCACGGGGGAGGGGGGTCGTTGTTTGCTACGGTCATACCACGATGATGCCGGCGTCTAGGATGGTCTGCCCGTTGGTGAGTTCTCCCCGATGTGTGTAAAAAAAACGGGGAGAGTGCCTACCCAGAACACTGCTGGATTTACGAGCACCACTAGCGGCGCGATTGATAGCTTGATCGGAGACTCGTCCGTGAAGCTTCCGTTGTAAAGTGCCAGGCTCCGCAAGTACGACTTCTCCGGCCTCGGGGCGGCTACATCGACGCTCTCAAGGCACTTGACGTTCCCCTCGCGCTTATCCGGGCGTTGCTCCGTGTCCGCATACGCGTCCGGACCCGGACCGTGTGCAGGCAGCCTGCCATCCTGGTCTCGGCGCCGGAACTGCGTCTCAGGCACGAAGAAGAAGACGGCCAGCGCGCCGGCGACGGCGAACGGCAGATGCACGATGAACATGTACCGCCACCCCAGCCTCGCCGTTATAGGGCCGCCGATGATGGCGACGAGCGACGACATGCACGTCAGACAGAGCACCATGATGCCGGTGCGCACGCCGCGCTCGTGGACGAAGTACCTGTCAAACGCTCATCAGCGACACTGGCCCCCCCTCAAGACAATTTCCGGTGCAAGGGTTTGTTTTACATGTCACCCAGCATAGCCACGGACAGGCTCTCAAACGCGGTGGTGCCGAAGCCTTGCACCAGCCGCCCTGCGAGGAGGGTGCCGTAGTCTTCGTGCGCGGCGATGCAGACGGCGGTGCCGACGACGCCCATGACGGCAGCGAACACGAATTGCGGGCGCTTGCCGTACTTGCGCGCCAGCGCCGAGACGACGAGGCTTTTGCGGCAGGTAAGAAAGTCAGTCAGGCTTGCAGCAGCAGCGGATCGATCGTTCGAACTCACCCGAAGCAGCCGACGAGCAGGAGCTGGTATCCGGAGAGCTCGGCGACCTCGTCCAGGGTGACGCCCAGGATGCCTGACAGGACGACGGTGGCGGGCGCCAGCATTGGGGCTGGGACGGCGGCGAAGATGATGGTGCCGACGAAGACGGAGGCGTAGGCGACGTCTTTCTTCCACAGCGGCCAGTTCTGCATACTGTCGTCAGCCATATGTCCGCGGTCGGTGTTTCGGCGAGCAGCGGGATGACGGACCAATGGGTCGTTTGGGTCGTCCGAGGGCTGCGGGACTAGGACGATGTGCGAATTCTAAAAGGGTCAGTGGGTGGCAAGGTGTCTGGATTGGCTCGTCGCACCTTGCCCGTGCCGTGCTTGAGATGGTTGGCCGTGTCTCCGGTTCCCTCGTCGAGGAGAGACACTGTCCCCGGGACGTTCGCGACGGATGTCTCGATGACGCCAAGAGGCATTTTGGGCTGAGAGTATATGTAGACAATTAGGAGAGAGTCAGTGGCAAGTGAGGTTTATGTGGTGTTTTACATGGCGTACCCCGCATTATCAGGGTATTGCATAACGTCGGCTCTATTGACCCGACCCTGGAGCCACATACATACCGTTGGTCTTGTCGACAGAACAGAAAGGTGGCAGTTGCATTCTTACCCGACCCGTATATGAACAGAGGTAGGCCGAGCGCTCGAGGATTTTAGCCGGGGTGCTTTAGCGGTACGTTTGACAGCCCAGATTAGTACGCCTAGCTGCAAACACCGCTAAGAGAAGCTTGTAGAAGGCCACTCTTGCACTGGTTCCCATGTCTACCAAAACAATGGACCCAGCCTTTAAGCTCAGTGTTTAGGCACGCGTTGTGGAGCAGGAGGATCGGGGAGGATCGGGAATCCAGGGCCGGGCTCGGGCCGGAGGGAGGCTGACCGGCTCGGCGGGCAAGCTGACGCTTAGTAGCTTGCGTATGCCTGCTCTGTCCACGTCATTCGAAGTTGCGAAACAGGGGCGGGAAACTTGCTGCGTTTCTGGTCGCTTGTCTCGAGTCAAGCGATTGGCTGCCAGGCACCCATCCGGCTCGGCCTCTTCCCCGGATGAGCAACAAGCTTCAACGCCTTTCCAGAAGTCGTCGCCGGGAGGCTGGGAAAACTTGCACCGCGCCATGTGGGTCAAGGAACAAAGCCCGCCTCGCCTGAGCATCGCCCTGCACGCCGGCGTCCTGCATACATAGGGCTGCGTCGCGCGCGCGCGCGCCTGGCTTGTAACTCTACACCATCTTCTCACCACCACCATGGCTCCCTCCACCAATTTCTCCAAACCTCCCCTCCGCTCCGCCAGCACCAGCAGCAACGGCCACGGCCACCACCGCCCAGCTCACCCGTCCCGCCAAAACACCACCGCCAGCTCCACAACCACCCGCACCAGCTTTGCCGCCGACATCCCGACACCCAGCCGCCACAACAGCAGCAGCCGCAACAACAACAACAACGACGTCCAGCACCACTACCACTACCAATACCCGCCCCAAAACCACTACCCTCAACCGCCACCCCAACCCCAACAGTACCCACAACGGCAACCCTCACAACAACAATACCCACAACGGCAACCCTCCCAGCAACTCCCCCGCCGCAAACCCGTCCCCACCCGCGCCGCATCCACCCTCTCCCGCCCCACCCTCTCGCGCGCCCCCACCACGCAAACCGCCTACATCGACCTCCTCGTCCGCCTCGACGAGATCCCGCGCTGGCACAACGTCGTCTGCGCCTTCTGCACCTGGCTCCTCCTCGCCGGCTACCTCGTCTTCCCCGCGACTTTCACAAAGGTGCAGGAGCGGGTCGAGACGAAGATCGGGGGGGATGGCGATGGCGGCGGCGATGTGGTTGAGGTTTTCGTGGCGGGCGCGGTCAAGAATGTGGGGTTGTTGTGGGTGGCGGGGGCGTGTTGCGTGCTGGGTGGGGTGGGGCTGGCGTGGCTGTGGGTGCGGTGGTGGTGGCATTGGATTTGGTTGGTTAATAGGGTGTTTTTGTGAGTAGTTGTGGCTTTTCTTTTTTTTTTTTTTTTTGTGGTCGTGAAAAAAGGTCTCCCGCTGACACGCCATGCGGCAGACCCGGCACGACGAACTCCATCGCCGGCCTCATCTCCACCCTCGTCAACATCTACTCGGCCCAGGACGGCAAGATCAGCATCACGGCCAAGGTGACCGTCGGCGTCACGGCCGGCTGCACCCTGGTCTTCGGCACGCTGTTCGTCGTCCACCAGCTGCTGCTCATGCGCGTGAAGAAGAAGCACGAGCGCCAGATCAGGGATGACGAAAAGCGCGAGAGGCGGATGAACGGGGAGGAAGTGGAAGACCCCGGCGCCTTCGGGAAGTTGAGGAGGAAGGCGCAGGAGCCGAGCGCCATGCCGGGGAGTGTTGTTTGAAGGAGAGTTCTGGAACAGCTAGCTTGGATGTGCGCGGCGTTGCTTCGCTTCTCCTGCGTGGGTCGCTGGTGCGTGTCAGTTGTATGTATATTGCATGAGGCGGGGCTTTCTTTTCTGTTCTATACCCTGCCATAGCTGGGCTATCGGCCGTTTATCATTTCTGCTGTTTTCCTTGTTCTATATCTTTTGATATATGCGAACATGTGACCATCAGTCCAGAGCCTTGAATATATCAAGCCTCCTACACGGTTCCCCTTCAATCACTTGGTGTGCATCTCCCAGTGGATTTCTACTACGTACATTGCAATGCATGATAGCTGTGCCATTCCTACTCCTGTACACTCGGCCCACCATATCAAAGTGCTTTGATCTTTCTTGTGTGTCTTTCCATCCGCGATCTGTCAACTCTTGCTGGGTGGGGGGTAATGGTGAAGCCCAATTTTCACGAGTCGTGCGTTTCTGGCTTCCAAATCAGTGTCGTCCGGATCCTCTGGCCTACTGGGTCGTTGGCCCATGAAGCTTCTATCATCATAGATGCCCTTGCTTTGCTGGCGTATGGTTTGCATCATATCCGGATGGGACTGAGTCAAACCGTCTATGGCTCTCAGAATGCTTGATGCTCTTACAGCAAGGAGAGTGGCGCATTCTACGTTGTTCTTCTCCAGTGCGACCTCCAACGCCGTCTCGTTCCGTTTGCTCACACGCATCATGTCCGCGCCGTTGTCAAGAAGGAAGCCAAGGATACCGGCGTCTCCTCTACGAGCAGCTACTATAAGTGCTGTGTCGCCATCGACATTCGCCATGTTGACCTCGGCACCTTTTTTGATCATTTGCTGCACGGTTGCGGTTGGGCAATTGAAGGCAGCGTGAACAAGCGGGGTCGACTTGTCCGGGCCGCCGAGGACATTTAGATTGAGATTGGAATCCCCCATGAGCCGCTGCAGAATCGATTCCTCGCCCTTATTGGCCGCGACGCAGACTGGGGGGCTGCGCTCTCCCTTACCAAGGTTCGGGTCTGCGCCCTTGGCAAGTAGCGTGCCGACGATCTCAGACCAGCCAGCTTCGCATGCGGCTTGCAGGGCTGTGCCCGCTGGAAAATGCGGGTTGTCAGTGCAGGCGTTGACGTCGGCGCCAACTCTTTCCTCAAGAAGTTGGTTCACAACATTGAGGTGGCCTTGGGCAGCGGCAGCCTGAAGCGCCCATCCGTGCTCCGATTTCACGTCCGCACCGCTCTTGAGCAGCATCTCGATGATATCCGTTGTCCCATCGTTTGTGGCGGCCGTCAGGGCATTTCCATATCTTCCAATTGTCAACCAGTGCGGTTCTGATGCTTCCAAAGAGAGAAAAGGATCTGAACTTACTTTTCACCCCGTGCATTGGCATTTGCGCGAAATGTGTCTGGGTCTAGCAGCTTCTCGACGGTCGTTTGCTTTTCGTTGTCCGTTGCCTGGTATAGGCAGTCGTCTATCACGTCCTGGGGCAAGTCGCCGCCTGTGTTTTCCCAAATAGCCCTCAGAACCTCAGGAAGCTCATCAGTGTCCTCAGCAGCTGCTTCCAGGGCGCCTTCGCAGTTCAAACGCTTGCACTTCTCAAGCAGAAACAAGACTGCTTCTCAACTTTCCTCTTTCGCTGCTCTGTCTAAAGCGCTTTGGAAGAGTTCGCGGCTGGGTTGAGTCTCCAGTAACTTCTCAAGGGCGTCTTTGCGGCCAGCTGCCGCTGCGTCAGAAAATGCGTGGCGGTAGTCCCTTTCCGTGAACTGCCCTTCGCCTTTCCTCAAAACGTAGTCGAAAATAGAAATGTCAGAGCAGACTGCAGACAAAGCCAGCGGTGACGGTGTATCGTCGTATAAATTGACATCCAGTGGGGTTCCATCAGTCAAGGGAGCGTCCTTGTCCACCAGGAGAGTGACGGCTTCGATTTTACCAGAAAGGATGGCAGCGCCAGTGCATAAGGTCGGCCATTCTTTTGGTGAAGCACGCGGATCCGCTCCATTAGCAAGAAGCAATTTGATTACAGAAAGATTTCCTGGCAACGCCGCGAATGCCAAGGGGGGTGCATTGGCGCAATCGCCTACATCGATAGCGGGAGCCTTGTCGTAAGCCTTGTCGAAAGCCTTGTCGAGGAGGACTTCAACGACTTCCTCGTGCCCAAAGTAAGCCGCAAGGTGCAACTATTTATGAATCAGCTCAACTCCAGTTCTTGATTTGCTCGACATACCGGCGTCACCCCCGCGCCAATTTCGCGGTTCACCTCCTCCTTTGGGCTTCTATCGATGAGTGCAGCAACAAGTTCGGCGTATCCAACGCATGACGCCAGGTGCAGAGCGGTCAAGTCTTCGATCTTGAACTGTCCGACTACCATGAGCCTTTTGAAGTCGTCTTTCCCATCGCTTATAGCCTGCGTCCACCACAATCGGATATCTGACCCCGGTTTCCAGAACTCTTCTTTCTCGCTTAAGATCCTCGCGATATCCGCTGTTGCTTTGCTGGAATGTTGAAGCCAGTACTTGATTGGGTAGCTCAGAAGCTTCCCCTCATCTTCCAAGTCCTGGTTTTGGGAAAGGTTAGGGACCTCTGACGCCTCTGTGGAGGCCGGGTTGTCGTTTCCAGAAGGTGCTGAGTGCTGACGCCCGGCTTTCATTATGTAAGAAAAGCACCTCAATGCGACCATTCCCTGCTGCAATTTCCTCCCCTCTTCACAAAGACCGAGAAGATTCTCGGAGCATGTGTCGAGGTGTGTCTTGATGTCTTCGAGCACGAAGCTGACTACCTGCTTGCCGCCTTCCGATTCCCTGAAGCTCAACAGCGGACTGCACTGTTTGACCAGCTTCCTCAGCTTATCTTTGTCTTGCGACGTCGACGAAAGGCCGGTAAGAATGGAAAGTTCCTCTTCGGTGAGGTCTTCGTTGGTGAGGATAAGGGTGCGCAGCATTTCTTTGATGCTTGCAGCAGTATCCGGGTCGTTGCCCTTGAGTAGCTGTATTGCCGTTAATAATGCTCGTCTTCCACGCCTTTGGAGTTGCACTCACCGACTCCCACGCGCCATTGAGGAGAGTTTTCACATCCTGCGGGACACCCTCAAGAAGATGCCGGACCTGGAGATCGCTTGATCCCGGCGGGAGTGCCGCCAGATGGACACACGTTACGTCGACCCACTTCTTGGTCTCTGCTCGCTTCCCGACGAGAGAAATTGCGAAATAGAGAACGGCCATGTTGTACTGCTTCTCGGCGCCAAGGTCGGCAATCATGTTCTCAGCGTGCGACTGCACCTCGGATTTCACTTTGCCGTGATGCTCCTCGTCATCCAGATCGATCGACCGGACCCCCGTCCGAGGCAGCGCCTTCTTGAGATTGCTTCGCTCTCGACCGGTAAAGAGCCATCTCACCCGGACCTTTTGTGCATCGTCAATGTCACCGTCTTTCAGCTTTTGATGCAGCAACTGCAGAAGCTTCTGGGTGGACCCGTCGGCGCTTTCTGGGAGCTCATGAAGATTGCTGACAACAATGTAGATTGCCCCGACGAAACGGTCAGCGAACATGTCCCGGAGGCCTTGCCACAGGTTTTCCACACTCATGCTGGCTTGGGACGGCCCCCCCTGGCTCGTCGACCCCTTCCCTTCCTTCTTGCGAAACTGCTTGACGTATTTTGCCAGTCTCTCCTGTTGGTAGACCAGTTGACGCATTATCGACTTTAGCAGTTCCTCCGCACTGGATCCATCCGAGGATTTGTCACAGAAGAAAAAAGCACAGAGGACAGGACGCGAGTTGTTCTCCTCCGCCTCGGATGACAGGTCAGATATCCTGTCAATCGTCGCCAGGACTGCGCTGGTCTTTCCCTTGCCTTCTGCGCCACGTATCCAAAGACACCTCTCGTCACAGCCGTCTTGGCTCCTGGTCGTCTCGGATGGAGTCTGTCCATCCTCGGGAAGCTCGGTGCTGGGTTGTAAGCGGAACCAGTCCTTGTACTCCTGCTCTTCAATTATCCAAGATTGAGAGTTCACTTTGGCTCTCAAAGTGTCCCGCTTTCTCTGGATGTGGACACCTTCAAGTGAATCGAGGATGTCCCTCACCATGTCTCGATCAACATCTCGTGTGCAGCTGAACCGACTCTTCGCAACGAGCCTTGCCTTCTCGACTACTTTTCTCAGTGGAGTTCGCATCATCTGGTACTTTGGGTCTTTGAACCCTGTAAAATGGACAAGATTGCGATGTGCGCTCTGGAGACCACACTCGTCATACCCAACAAGGATTGATGCTTCCTTATCGACAAATTTTTTGCGACCCTGCAGAGTATAAGCCGATTGCACACTGCATTTCTAGGATCTGTGATACCTGAGGGATGAGAACGTCGAAAACCTTGCGAACAATCTTGTTGTCCCGCATACCAACCATTTCGGGAAAGTCTGTCTCAAACACCTCCCAGAGACAAGCAATCTGGATGTTCCCGGCCAATTTGCGGACGAGGCGGAGAAAATCCTTCTTCAGCCCTTGCAGATACTGGTTGCCGGGCTTCATCACGTCAAGCAGAGCCGAGGCTTGAGCGTGCCCATTAGGGGAAAGTAGTTCAGCCGTAGAAGCGTACATGGCGGCAACATTGGCAACCTCGGCACCGTCGAACGGCGTGCCAAAGAACACGCATCCGCAAATGGCCTCGAATACGTTGGGGTAATCGGAAGTGTGGAAGCCTGCGATACACACTGCCTTTGAGTTGCGTCAGTTACTGAGGGTGAAATCAAGGAGGCTGGTGCAATCACCTTGGCGATAACAAGACCGCCCATGCTGTGCCCAATGAAGACGATCGGGCGCCTTTCACATTTCTGTCACGTTGTCAGGACTTCGTTGAGCTGAGAGCTGGGCCAGCACTCACCTCCCGTTCAGAAATGAGTGCATTGAGCAGAGATTCAGCGATGCTGTCAAGACACTGCTTGACTTTGAGAGAGCCGACCCAAGCGGATCCGTACTGGAAGAGGAGAACACGTGCGGTCGGGAAATCTTTTGCCAGCCCATCAGAGTCCCGTAGCCAGTTGAACTTGGTATCAGGATGGGTCCAGCTGGTCACCGGGTGAGCACCGAGCCCCGGCACAGCAACGATACTGCCGTGTGGTTAGGTTTACATGTTCAAGTGCCGCAGGAAGGTTCATAGTTCCACACACTCAACGCTGGCATTGCCGTCAGGGTCACGAAGGATTTCCATTCCTTGCTTCATGACGCGGTATTGTTCGGGGCTGTCGCTCGTGTGTTGGTCACCCATCTTGACGGCGGTATGCTTGTAGTAACTCGAAGGTGGACTCGAAAATGACGAATGAATGAGTTTGAGTGTGACCGAGGACTTCTCTGTCGCTTTAAGCGCTACTCCCCACGTTTTCGCCCCCAAGAAAAAAGTAAATGCCAGGCAATAACACGATCACATGTGATGGATAACGATGAAGCAAATGCTTGTTGTTTGATGGACGTCATCATCAGCTGAAAACAGAGCTCATCAGCTGAAAACGGCACTCAACACCATGATATCATGACGTTCAACTCCCTCAATGCCCGTTGCCGATAACGCTCCGGCTGAGAGCAAGGGTCGATCTGTTCTCTACAGAAATACCAGCGGCTCAGCTACAGAGTGTAAATTCTGAGTTTCACCTTGCCTGAGGTCAGAAGGGGTTTGGTGGTGTTGCAGGATGGATGTGTTGGCACTTGCGACGTGGAGAGCGGTCGGTTCCAATCGCCCCGAACTTGGCATCGTTTGACTGTTGTGCACGATTGGACTTACGCGAGTGTTGAGGCCCGTTGGGTTCAGCCGCAGCTGAATGATGAAGCCCCAGAATGTTGAAAGTCGGAAGGTGTTCGGTAGATGGACTAAAACGGAAGCGTATGCTGTGAATCTGTGTAAATCGTCGCTCTCAATTGACCCCCAGAGGGACAGTAATGAGGCTTTCCACTCTTCCACCCTTGTCCTTTTCATCTACTCCTTATTGAAAGCAGGCTCGGCTGGGTATTGAGATGGAACCCCCACTGTCGCGTCCACCTTTTGAACACAGTTTAAACGCCTCCGAAATAGACCTTTTACCCGCAACTTTTCGAGACGAAGAAGACAACCTCATCGCCCCCAGTTCCTGCATCAAAGACTTCTTGCGAAAAGAACTTTCAGTCGAGAGGATCGATAAGGTCAAAAAATGGCTATGGATGAGTGGAAGGCTAGTCCCTCCACGACCGCTGCATCATCAGGTCCTGCTCCGTCGTAGTCTTACGATCACTGAGCAGCCAGACCTCCACCTTGTCTGGTCGAAAGATCGAATATTCCTCAAGCCCTTGCCTCAATTCCTTCTAGACTCGGTATTCTGGAAATCGAACATTTGCACGTCGCACGAGGAGGGTAAGCGGGCGCTCCAACAACAGGCACCCTCGCCATCCGCCTCGAACCCAACAGTATCCGCGCAGATGGACCTGGCCATGGCGGCTCGCGGCTTTCTATTCTCATACACGGCCCTTATCGCGTACCACAGCGACTTTTTGATTGCTCGGGCGAACGGACTTGTTCCACCCGAGCTGGAATGGCCGGCTTGGAAGAAGATCGCCCAGGCGACAGTCAACGACCACACGTACGGTTCCATCAGCCCTAGGTACCGATACGGCGAGCTCCGGCTCAGTCGGCTCAACAAGATTTACCGCTTCGCCGACGGCGCATATATCCGTGGTTTTTCGAGAGTGGATGCACAGAGCCAGTACCAAGGCTTCGTCGCGGACAACTTTGGCAAGATAATAGGCATTTCGGGCTACGTGGTCATCGTCTTGACGGCAATGCAGGTGGGGCTTGCCACGAACCAGCTGCAGTCGAATGCTACCTTCCATAGTGCCAGCTATGGCCTCACCGTCTTCTCCATTGTGGTGCCCATCTGCGCTGGGGTTGTTATTTTCGTCATGTTGGCTTGCCTTTTTGTCAGGAATTGCCGTTTTGCCAGCCAAGATTGGGATAGAAGGTGTAAGAAAATAAATAACTGGGATCACGTCACGTGTGGCGAGCCTGTCTGACGGCTGTTAGCTTCCAACAAATTTTGTAATGACCGAGGAAAGATTAAAGAGCCGTATAGTAGATACAAACAATTTTCTCTCGTCCTACCGAAAATATAACTCAGTAGTCTTTAGAGGCTAGAGTTTAGTAGTTCCCTAAGGAAGAGTGGGACGGGAAGACGTCGAACATGCCCCTCCCCCAACACCCTCTCAATCATGGCCGCCATCACCACGGCCGAATCCTCGCACATGCAACTCGCCAACGTCGCATCCTTCAGCACTCTCGGATCCTCGCCTCCCGCCGCCGCCACCTTCTCGTTCGGCAAGTCAAACAGCGTCATCTCGCACAGCTCCCACGGCTCGTCGTACACCTCCATGCTCGGGTCATGAAAGAGGTGGATCTCCATCTTCTGTTTCCTCCGCTCCTCCACCTCCACCGCCGCCGCCACCGCTTTCATCTCACAACCCCGACATCCTTTCTTCTTCTTCTTCTTCTTCGTCTCCGAGCCCTCCCCGCCTCCGCCCCCGTCCCCATTCTCATCGTCACCACCCCCACAACCATTCCCACCCCCCCATCCTCCTCCTCATCCTCCCCCGTCCTCAGCCCTCCTCACCACGACCGCAACGAGCGGTCGGTCCCACGTCTGCTCACCTCAGACGTAGTACATGCGTCTTTGAGGAAAGACGGGCGGCGGTCGGCGCGGAAGAAGGCGGTGGTGGCGCTGGACCTACCTAAGCGGGCCGAAGCGTCTGCTTCTGCTTCAGCAGCGGTGGTGGTGGTGGTGTCATGGCTTGGGTTGTTTATGGTGGTTTTTTTTTGGCGGGCGGACAGGTGGGTGTTCGAGCTGAGTGGAATGACGGGACGGTGAAGAATAGGGGAAAAATAATGTCACGAGAGGAAGGCAAAAGAGAGAAGTATGAGCCCGAGTTGCGGAAGTGATGGTAAACAAAGGTTGACAGCCATTGCGAGTGCGTGCGCGACTGGCTCGGGACAGAAGGCATACACATCCACACACTCACACATCACCACCTATCGACTCCCGTCTCTTGCTCACCCTACGACCAAGTTCCTCACCCGATACCAGAGCGACCGCTTCTTCACCTCCTCGACCTCCGTCCCGGCCGGTCCCAAATCCTCGCGACGGCCGGTGTAGATGTCCATCTCCTCCAGCTTGACAAACTCCGTCTTCTTCCAGAACTTGTACACGACGGCAAGCAGGATGAAGACGGGTATCAGGATGTAGTTGATAACAAAGTCCTGCGCACTGAACGGGTTCAGGAAAGCCGTGTAGCCTAACCGGGAAAGAAAAAAAAAAGGAGAAAAGGTCAGCCAAAACAAACCAGTGAACCATACCCAGCGCCGGTCGGGGAGGTCGGAGGGGATCCCAGCAGCCGACTGACGCACTCACCTTGGAAGAAGATCAAAAACACATTCGCCGCAAGACAGGCATACGTGCCATACGGATACCACAGCGCTTTAAACGGCAGCTCCTCGACGCTCTGCCCCTGCGCCACCATCGCCTGCCGGAACCGGATGTGCACCCACTCGATGACCGCCCACACGATGAACGTCGCCACGCCGGACAGCGTGATCAGCGCCTCATACAGCACGCCCGCATTCGACGACTGCGACAAGAACGCGATGCACGCGCACGCGTTCGACGCCAGCAGCGCGGCCCACGGCACGCCCGCCGCGTTGGTGCGGCCCATCCAGCGGGGCGCCATGCCGGACTGGGCCAGGTGGATGATGGTGCGCGACGCGACGTAGAGGGCCGAGTTGCCGGCGGAGATGACGGAGACGACGATGAGCCCGTTGATGAGGTGCGCGGCGGGCGCGATGTCGGCGTCGGCGAGCGAGATGGTGAGCGGCGACGACGCGGTTTTGGACCCCTTGCCGATGAGGCGCGCGTCCGTCCATGGGATCAGGATGCCGATGAAGAACATCATGCCGATGTAGAAGATGAGGATGCGCCAGAAGACTTGCGAGATGGCGCGCGGCACCGCCTTGCGCGGGTTGGACGACTCGCCGGCTGTGATGCCGACCCTGCGGAGGTCAGTACGCTGGTGCTGGATGGGTTTGGAGGGGGTGGAGAGGGGGGGGAGGAGACGAACATTTCCGTGCCGGCGTACAGGGTGCCGGCGATGACGAAGGTGCGGGCGACGCCGTTGATGCCGTCGGCGAAGGCGCCTGGGTCTTCCCAGTACTTGAAGCCGATCTTCTGCGGGCCGATGCCGCCCGAGGAGATGCAGATGGCGAGGATGAAGAAGATGGAGATGGAGATGACTTTGATCCTGCGAGGGGGGTTTAGTGAAGGATGCCTTGCTCGTGATGGATGGCAGAACTCACAAGGACAGCCAGTACTCGACTTCGCCGTACGCCAGCACTCCCAGCATGCTCAACGAGATGAAGAGAGCCCAGAAGATCAGTATCCATGCCCACTGCGGCACCACGTCGGTCCAGTACATGACCACAAGAGAGATGGCATTGTACTCGTTCGCCAGAACCTAGCCAACCTCCAGTCAGCAACAACGCACGACCAGAAACGAGGGCAACGAAGAATAAAAGCCATCACTCACCGTGACCCACAAGTACCAGTACGCCCAGCCCAGGGCAAAAGCAAGCGCAGGATCGATGAAGCGGCCAGCGTAATCGGTGAAAGAGCCGGTAACAGGAATCAGCGTAGCCAATTCTCCAAGGGATTGCCTGTGCGCGGGCCGTCCGTCAGTCTACTAGGTAGCACAGACGAAAACACTCCCCCGTGGGGAAGACGGAGTATCTCTTACATAACGAAAAAGACGATGATTCCGACGAGCGAGAAACTGATGAGAATGCCACCGGGGCCCGCGAGACGCAGAGCATTTCCAGAACCGACGAGCAGACCGGGCCCGATGATGCCTGGGAGAGACGTCAGTCAGTCAGTCAGCCAGCCAGCCAGCCAGCTCTGGCTGAGTGCCGCTGCCGGCTGCTGGGCGAGAGGGAGCAAGGACGGGGGGAGCTGCAGCTCCGGCATCTCACTAGATATACTCACCTCCGATGGCAATCATCTGCAGATGCCTCGACTTGAGCGCGCGCTTGAGCCCCGTAGCCGCCTCGACGTCGCCGCCGCCGCCGCCATTATTGACGGGCGACTCATCCGAGCGCGTCTCGGCGCCGTCGATGAAGATGTCATCGTTCTTCCTCTGCCTCATGTCGGAGTCGGCCATGCTGCCGGTGGAGAGGGGGGAGGGAGAGGGGAAGGGGAACGAGCTGGTGGAAGATCGATCGGAGGATTGGATATCACTCTACACGTCGAAGGCGCCGCCGCAAAGCACCTATTAAAAAAAAAAAAAAGGGAAGAAAAAGCCTGACCGTGTGCGTGCGCGCGCAGATACCTAGCCAGAGACAAACCCGTGTTGGCTCACAGCGGGCTTTTTTCTGGGCAACACTTGGCGAAATGGACATGGCCCTTGTCGCACACAGCTGCACGACGGCGCAAAGAGGAGAGGAGGCGGCGATAACGCACGCAAAATGGCGTGCTTTTGTTGGACGCGGCGATTGGCCTTGGCAGCCGAAGCCCCCATTCCAAGCCCGTCAAGCTTCTGCGCCAGGTAGGGCTGAACGTTGTTGCTTGCGTTTGCCGTCGAGCGAGCACGCCATTCCACGAGAACATGGTTGGGGGGGTCGTCGTCGGCCGGGGGGGGCGGTCGGTGGTTGTCGCTGGCTTGTGACTTTTCTACACCCACAAGCGCACTCTCTTCCCCCTCCCCCCCTCTTTTCCCTTGTATTTTTTTTTCCCCACCCCACGCACACATACACATGCTTACCCAACTCAACCCCGCCGCATGGCGCGACGCGGCGCGACTACAGCACCGCTACTTACACAGTAAACCACCCCCCGGTGTGATCCCGTCGTAGCTAGCCCGGACTACCGGTAGGTACTCATCGAGCGACTCCTGCTGGCAAATGCATAGCCGCGGAGGGAAGGAATAATGATCCATGTTCTGCCGCCGATGACGCCCTGGACCGGCTTGGCGTGCAGTTATCACGGCGGGAGGAACGTCTTTCTAGAATGCCGAGCCCTTGGCACCCATGCTTGCGACGTCGCCTACGGCGGGAAGGGGAGGGGAGGGGGTTGCTTGGGAGCCCGTGGGTTAAATGCTCCAAGACATCCCGCCCAACTGAATCAGGCAAAATTAAACGCAAGGTTGGAAGCGTGAATAGGTAATGGAAACTGCTTTTTTTTTTTTTTTACTGGAAGGGCCAAGCATTGCTGGGCAAGCGCGGGGTGGACACAAATATGGCTGGAAGCTCGTTTGTGCTCTTTTCTCGCCTGCTTCCCCGAGCACGACGCATCGCTCCACTACTGCAAATCAATCTCCAATTATTCGTCGAGGGACTTATAAGACACGGTGTTATATATAACGAACAATATATACACTTGCCATAGGGGCGTGAATGGAAAAAAACAAGACTAGATGCAAATATTCTTCGCATCTCACAGCAAAAAGCCACACAACGCCATGTGTTGACCAAGCCTGTCAGGTATTCCCGCCATATACACCAGAGCTGGACCCATAAGTACCGGCGCGACGAAAAGCTGAAGAACAGAATAACAAGCTGGAAGGCAGAAGGTACATATGAACGTGTAGCGTTACCATGCGATGTCCTCAAACGCGGTTCGGAGCACTTCGGTCCTGGTCTTTTGCATCTCGGGCGCTCCGCTACCCACGTGATCCAGGATTTCGATGACTTTGCGGATGTCGTGCTTCGCCGCCACCAGCAACGGCTCCTCGATCGGCGCCTTGGTCTGCTTTTGATACGGCGAATCTTCTTGTTGTTGAATCACAAGCAGGCGCGCCATCATGAGCTGAAGGAATCTGTCAGACAATCTTCACCAACTTTGAGCGGGGATTTGCATACCGCTTCTTCAAACGCACGGTGCTGAAACACCCACCACACTCCCGCGTCAACCCTCAGATACTCCCAGAGATCGACAAAGGCGTGGATGGCAAGTCTGGCCGACTCCAACGCTCCACGAACGTCACATTTGACCCCACACGATTCGTTCTCGTCAGCCAGCAAGAGCATGACGCAGTGATGGTAATTGCTACGGAAGAACAGCATCTGCTTCGCAAGCCGCTGGTTGGCCGCGACGAACTCTTTGGTGATGTCCTGTGCCATGCTGGCTGGAATGTTGGCATGTAGAGATCGGAACGATGTAAGTAGGTTGCTCTTTTCCCGCGGCGAGTTCGTCAGTGGCCGGCTCAGCGATCTCGGGATGCAGATGTTGCGCTGCACCAGGTTTGCAAGCTTCCACATGGTGCGGATGTAGTTGCGATCTGCTAGCTCGTGCGGGAGCAGGCTGGTCGGCGGAGGTGCAATGTTGCTTATCCTCATCGGATTCGGTAGGAGGTCCGGCGTGTTTCTGGCATTGCTTCCGTTGTCGTGCTCTCCTTCCGGCTCGTCCGTCAAAGAGTCTACGTGCACGTCCGAGATGGTGGCGGTTGGCGGCAGCTTCAGGAGGACAGTCAGGAAAGTGTCTTGGAATAACACGGCCTGCCAGACTTTCCGCCGCTGCTGCTTCTCGAGTGCTGACGCCCGTGGCACGATGAGCTCAGGGTCACGGTTGAGGCCCATCGCATACGCTTGACGCATCAGAACTCCGCCAAAAGACCACGCATCCGAGGCGTGGTTGTTGTTCATGAGGAAGTAGTTGATGAGCACCATTGCCTGGATCGTGCGGAGAGATATACGGCTGAGGTATCCCGATATGCGAAGAGCCTGGTGGGCTGCCGACACGTAGAATTCGGCTATCTGGGCGCGCTCCTGTGGGTCAGGCATCTGGATGAACTGGGTGCCCATGGCATACACGACGAAGTGCAGTCCGAGGAGAGCCGAGTCTGCCTGGCACTTTTCTTCGTGGGAAAGCGACCAGAAGCGCTCGTAGTCGGCGTCGAATTTGGGACGGTGGATCATGGGGTAGACGGGATCGACAGCCTCGAAGTACTTTGCAACCAATATGTCGGCCTGTTCCCGGCGAGGCAGCACGCCTATGACTTCTTGCAGACCTCCACGCATGGTCCTGCACACGGGGGGTGTCAGCAGCGAGGCCAAGGGGGCGGGGATGGAAATCGAAACCGTACCAGTAGTTGGAGAAGGGATGCTCGGAGCCCAGGCCGAAGACCAAGGACGGGGTGTGCTTGGTGTAGGGCACGTTGGACAGGAGCTGATGAACTGATGAGGAAGTGGACGAGGTTGACTGGCTGCGATACTGTTGCGGGCGGGGGCAACCCTGATGCTCATGCAGTTCGGTCAGCCCCAGCAGATCATTTGCCGGATGATGGGAGTAGATCCAGAATCCATAATCCTGATGCATGACAGCCTCGAAGGAGCGAAGCGTATAAGGAAATAGGAAATGGGAGAGCGGCCGGCTCGAGGCATGCTTGCAACACCCATGAGCACGTGATCATCTTCGCACTGGAGGCTTGGAGGCTTGGAGGCTTGGGCACACTGGGAGACGGCGCGCTGGGAGACGCTGAAGCGGGAGACGCCGAAGCGGTACAGAGCGCAAACTTACCTCTGACGACGAGGCCGAGGGCGTCACGACGCCCAGCTGGGCCTGTTCCATGGCCTTCTTGCGGGCCTTGCTGGTGGCGCGGCCGCCATTGCGCCTGGGGGCAGGCAGTAGTCAGCGGGCGAGTCACGAAGCGAGGCTTGTCGCGGACCTACTCGGCAGAGGCGATGAGATTGGCGACCTCGGAATAGCGGCACTCGGACTGGCGCTTGATGCAGGCCAGGCAATGGGGGCGGCCGCGGTCGCACTGGCGGGCTGTCAGCACGCGGGCCGTCGCACTGGGGCAGTCGCACTGGGGCGGCTGGGGGGCACGGGGGCACCTTGGTCTTGCGCTCGACGCAGCAATCGCAGCTCAGCGTCGGCTTGTTGCGCTTCTGCTTCTTGCGCGGCGGGTGGTCCGGGGGGTGGGGGTGGCCGTCGGCGGAGGGCGAGGCGGTCGGGGTCAGGTCGGGGGCGCTGGCTGCGGAGGGTGCAGAGGGCGGGTGGTGGTGGTCGTCTGGGTGGTGGTGGTGGTTGCTGTGCTGCTGCTGGTCCATCGCGTGGGGCGTGGGCATGGGCGCGAGGTCAGCAGCGGAAAGGGCGGCGGGTTGAGCCGCATCCGCCGACGTGGCCATGGCTCCTCCTGTCACCGTGAGGATCTCCGCGCGCGCTGCATGGGTGTGAGACTCTGGGGACAGCTGCGCCTGGAGAGGGTCCGCCCGGGAATAAAAGCAAAGGGAGCGAAGCAGCGGGCGCGGGTGTGGAGGATCGGGCGCCACACCAACTCAAGGCGCTCTGGGCCGCCAGAAGTCCATTGGCCGCCAAACCTCGCGCAGGATCAGCGCCGTCGGTGCTGCGGCCTGCGGCTAGCGCCGAGCCCAGATCGATCCCCATCACACCACGGCTTGGACGACGACGAGCTCCGCCAGCTGCTCGACGCAATGCGCATGAATAAGCCTGCAATCACCCGCCGGCTGCACACTGGCCACTGCCCAGCCTCACCGTCACCGCCGCGCTTCTTCTCGTCTGAGCCCTGCTGCGATTGGGTCTCCAGCGTCAGAATTTTTCACTCGACGCACAGCCACGCCTATACTGTTCGTCCCCTATAGCCACATGCGGCGCGAGCTCCACCCGTGGTTCTCGCACAGTACGCTAGCTGCCGAAATTATTGGGTCATTGCCTCGAGTCGAGACCAGCAACCCGGTTTTGCTGCGCATGAAGGCTGATGAATAATACTGTTCATCAGGCTGCTGGTAGCCGCCAGCTCTTCTCTCGGCGCAGCCTGCCACCGTAGGGCGAAGGAAGAAACCGCAATGGATGCATGAGCATAAGGAGCACTCGACGAAGCCAAGACACATCTGGGCTCCTGGCATGTGTCAAAGCCGTAATCGATAAGCTTTTACGCTAGTCCCCATCCGTCTCTTGCGCGTCATCACCGAGCTCCAGCTTTCCATCTCGTTCAACGCTCATGCCAGCAAGACAGCCGACCTTTCATTGAGCTCTGCTTCTGTGATTCGGCTTTTCAAACATTGCATCACCCCTCACACCACCCTCCTCGCCGCCGCTCCGGTATCGCAGCAGGACCTCAACAGCTGCCCGCCATGCGCCCAACTGCTCTCGCCGCACTTGTCGCCCTCTTCTCACCCTGCACCGCCCACCCAGCGACCACCTCCTCCGACCCGCTCCCGCTCGTGATATGGCACGGCCTGGGCGACAACTACCTGGCTGAGGGCCTGCAGGAGGTCGGCGAGCTGGCCGAGAAGATACACCCGGGCACCTTCGTCTACAACGTGCGCCTCGACAACGACGCCGGCAGCGACCGCACCGCCACCTTCTTCGGCAACGTGACCACGCAGCTCGCCCAAGTCTGCGCTGACCTGGCCGCCCACCCCATCCTGTCATCGGCCCCCGCCATCGACGCCCTCGGCTTCTCGCAGGGCGGCCAGTTCCTGCGCGCCTACGTCGAGCGGTGCAACGCCCCGCCCGTGCGCAGCCTCGTCACCTTCGGCAGCCAGCACAACGGCATCGCCAAGTTCCAGGCCTGCGGCCCCACCGACTGGCTGTGCAAGGGCGCCATGGGCTTGCTGAGATCGAATGCCTGGAGCGGCTTCGTCCAGAACCGCGTCGTCCCCGCCCAGTACTACCGCGAGCTTAATGAGACCACAGGCCTCGGGTCCGACGCCTACCTCGAGCACTCGAACTTCCTTGCCGACATCAACAATGAGCGCGCGCTCAAGAACGTGACGTACAAGAAGAACCTGGCGAGCTTGGAAAAGTTCGTCATGTTTGTCTTTACCGACGACACCACGGTCATACCCAAGGAGACGGGCTGGTTCGCCGAGGTCAATGCGACGTCGGAGGAGGTCACGAGGCTCCAGGATAGGACGATTTACAAGGAGGATTGGATCGGGCTGAAGAAACTCGATGAGAAGGGTGCGTTGGTCTTCAAAAACGTTACCGGCGAGCACATGCGCTTGAATGAGGAAGACTTGGAGCATGCTTTCCGCGAATACTTTGGACCCGTGAGCAAGAAGTCGGTCTTCCAGGAAGTGCTGGGAGCTTGGGAGTTGTAAAGAAGTCAACCATGGATACATAATCGATTCGTCTACGCCTTGTGCCTCTGGTTCGTCGCGGAACCCTTCTCATTGAAAGGAAGTGGGTGGTTGATTGACAAGGCGCGAAGCCCCGGGAATTCGGTTCAATTCGTGTCAGCCTCGTCCAGTGATCGACCGCAGTGGGGTCAGTAGTGGGCGCAGCACGGCACAGCTGAGGACAATTTCCCGTCGACACTGACGTGGCAAGGCTGAGCCCGAAATCACCGGTGATAAAGTCTGGCTAGGTGATCTCAAGATAGTTTCTTTTGGCACTCACTGTGTTGCCGCCACGAGACATAATTTTTTTCTCACTCTAGAGAGCAATAATGGACCCTTTCGCAGCGATCAGTTTCGCCGGCAACATCCTGCAGTTTATCGAATTCGCGACCAAGCTTGTACGGGAGGGCAAAGAGATCTATCGTTCAGCGAACGGCACAATCCAAGACAACGTCGACTTAGAGCTGATCACCCTCGACTTGAAAGAACTCACTAAACCGCTTACGATTCCTCGCAATCCATCGGCACATGTCTCCAACGACGACAAACGTCTCGCTGAACTGGCAGTCGCCTGTCAAAGGACGTCTGACGAACTTTTAGATTTGTTACAAGCACTGACACTGCCCAAGGGCACTCGCCATCTGAAGCTGAAATCGATTCGAGTGGCGCTGCGTACGTCCATGAGAGAAAAGCAAGTTGACACACTTCAAAGCCGCCTGGAATCTTTCAGGGCCAGTCTCAACGCCCACGTCTTGAACCAGCTCAGGTTAGACTCCCACAGGCGCATAATTACAATTTGGGCAATGCTGACCTCACCAAGCAACCAACAATCAGACATCGCGAGGACTATTGCCGACATCTGCCACGAGAACCGAATTCTCCAAATCCAGACAGCAAACGCGCTTGACACGGCAAAATCTGAGATCATCAAAGAAATTCGACAACTCCACACGGACGGGGAAAATCATGATCGCTTCGTGACTGCCGTTAGGATGGCCGAACTTGGCGAGGCGGGAATCCGGGCGCCGAAAGAGCAAGCGATTATTCGAAGCCTTCATTTCGCCACCATCAAAGTGCGATCTGAAGAGATAAAACCCGCTCACGCTAGAACTTTCGAGTGGGCATTCAACGATGAGCGGGTCCAGCTGAAAAAATGGCTCGAAGCCGAAGCCGGGATCTTCTGGGTGTCAGGCAAAGCTGGCTCTGGCAAATCCACCTTGATGAAATGCCTTTGCCGCTGGCAAGAAACAACGGCAGCCCTCACACGATGGGCAGGGCCGAAGAGAATCATACTCGCGTCACACTTTTTCTGGAATGCCGGTTTCCGGGAGCAAAAGTCCCAAGAAGGACTACTGCGCTCTTTACTTTTCCAGGTTTTTCAGCAGGCCCCCGAGCTGGTTCCGACCGTCTGCCCAGACCGCTGGAATGACATTAGTGAGAGGTCAAACGTCTGGACTCTGCGTGAGCTTTCTCGCACGTTTCAAGCACTTGCACAGCAGTCGTCACTTCCCTTCAGACTGTGCTTTTTCGTGGATGGTTTGGACGAATTCGAGCCGAGCGTTAAAAACGGGGACCACAAGGATCTGCTTCAAGTCCTCAAGGATGTTTCCGCCTCCCCGGATGTCAAGCTCTGTCTGTCGTCACGCCCATGGCCTTTCGTGTTGGATGAGCTTTCTCGAAGCCATCGAAAAGTCTTCATGCAAGATCTCACCATCAACGACATGAAAATATACGTACGAGGTACACTCGAAAACAACGCGGATTTCAGGAGTCTTCAGATGCGAGAACCAGATTGCGTACCCCTCGTTGCGCAGATCGCTGACAAGGCCCAAGGAGTGTTTCTATGGGTCTATCTTGTCGTCAGATCTCTGGTCAAAGGACTGGAGAGCCAGGACACTTATGCGGAACTTCAAAGACGTCTCGATGCCTTGCCGGAAGGACTCGAAGAGCTATTTGAGCGATCAATTCGATCGGTTGAGCCCGCATATGAAACCCAATCCGCAAGGATCCTACAGTGCGCTCTCACCGCTCATGAACCTCTTTCCATCCTGGATTACCACTTCTTAGATGTCGAGATTCAAAACTCCAACTACGCCATGGGAAAAGTCGAGCTACTCGAGCATCAGAGGAATCTCTATGAGAGAATGAGAAGACGACTTCACGCTCGCTCGAAAGATCTCCTAGAGGTCGGTCCCTTCCGCATGTCTAATTCGTGCTGTACGACCACAGTAAACTTTCTCCATCGTACTGTCAAGGAGTTCCTCGAAGGATCGCGCGATGTTTCTGTCATGCTCCACGAAAGAACGCCGGGATTTGAGCCTCGAATTTCGATTTGCAGAAGCTTTCTCGCCAAAATCAAGACACTTCCCAAAGTAGCCCAGCATTCGGAAATGTTTCGACTTGTGGACGACTTCCTGTACTACACACATGAGGTAGAAGTTCACAATCGCGTTGCGCAAGTCGACCTTCTTGACGAGCTCGACGATCATTTGAACAAGAGTCAAGGCCATAGATTTCGACCAAAAAGTCATTGGACGAATCAGCGCCCGGAAAGCGTACTTGGCGGGAAATACCGCACCAACACGGACAATTTTTTGGCGCTTGCCATCCAAACGGGGCAGAGATTATACGTAAAGCGGAAACTTTCCGAGCATCCATCTGTTCTTAGACGCAAGATTGGTCGGTCTTACCTGGATTACGCGCTGGGACCTACACCGAACAGCTATCCCGGCTTACTGGCCTCTCACAAGAGTGTGGACCCCGGCATGGTCCGTATACTCCTGGAGTTTGGGGCAGACCCGAACTTGCCTAATGCGACCGCACAAGGAGTTGTCACGCCCTGGATAACGTTTCTGGAATACTGCCACAGCATAAAGGAAGGTTTCGAAAGGAAACGCGATCTTGGATGGCTGAACGCTGAAACACTTGAGACGCTTATCGAGTTGATCAAGCATGGAGCAGATCCAAATGTGAGGTTCGGAACTCGCATCAATAACAGTCTCACAATGCACCGCCTACCTGCCGCAGATGTGTTCAAAGAATCACTGCCGAAGGACCAGTTTCACCAATTATTCGGCATGACAGAGGAGCTTGAGGCTCCTACTCCGCCTCAGGCTCCTATTCCACGTCCACCTTCACCTCCGCCTTCACCTTCACCTCCACCTCCACGTCCACCTTCACCTCCGCCTTCACCTTCACCTCCGCCTTCACCTTCACCTCCGCCTTCACTTTCAACTCCGCCTTCACCTTCACCTCCGCCTTCACTTTCAACTCCGTCTTCACTTTCATTTCCGTCTTCACTTTCATTTCCGCCTTCACCTTCACCTCCGCCTTCACCTTCACCTCCGCCTTCATCTCTCCGACGGAGGCTAGCTCTGAAAATTTCGAAGCTTCGAAATTCGTTATACTTGCGCATGAGGATCTGATGGTGTCGCAAAATACAAAGTTCTGTTCTTTCTCAGCTTGGAGTTTCGAATTTGTACCGTAGTCAGATTCCGTTTCTGCTTTGTTTCGCATTGCGTTGGTTCAACTTCACGAAATCTTTTTTTCCGAGGACTAATCAGTTAATAACCGTTTCCTGTGGTAGTACTTGAGTCGGGGACAGCGGTCAGGCAACAGCGGCCCTTAGAGAATCCTAGAGCAACTTTGCAGTACCATTCCTCAAGAAGACCTCGAACACTGCAGTATTGAAGAAGCAGATCCTCCGTGAACTATTGAGAGATTGAGATTATTGAAGCTGTGAAGTGGACTGCAATTTGTCAGCATAGAGCACCAAGCATTAGCCCGTTCCTGCATGATGCCAACAAGACATTTAACCCTTCACAGCTACCTCGGAAGCTCGGGAACTCAATAATGTCTTGGTATCAATTGGCGCCCTGCAGGCCCGGATGCAGCCACTAAAGCTATGACGCTTTACCTCGGCACCGACTCGGCAGCCCTGTGGGGTTCACGACCAACCCCACGTCGACTAAGCATCCAACTCCCCTCGATCCGGAGCTAGGTACCATTAATCACTGACGACTAATCACTCGGCTTGCCCTCGCAAATCCATATATCATCACGCACGACTGTCCCAAAACGAACCGGCAGCACCAAGAACATCTTTTTTCCCTGATCCCGCCGCGCCGCCACGACTCGCCCGGCTCCCAATACCGCCCACCACCGACTGTGCCCCGCATTCCAACCATCAAACCCCACGACCACCCACGAAGCAATCTCGAGAAAAAAAAGAAGAAAAAGAAAGAAAGAAAAAACGTCGTCAACCAAGCGAATCACCACCCGCCCGCCCTTTCGCAGCCACCCACCTGCAACATGCCCACCGCCATCGCCATCCGCCAAATCGACGGCAAGCCCGGCAGCGTCTACTACCCGCTCACGAAGCTGACGCTCCCCGCGCCGCCATCCGCCGGCACCCACTCCCCCACCACCACGCTCCTCACGATCCGCATGGCCGCCGCGGCGCTCAACCACCGCGACCTCTTCATCCGCCAGCACCTCTACCCGGGCACCGCCTTCGCCGTGCCCCTCCTCGCCGACGGCTGCGGCACCGTCACCGCCGTGCACGCGGCGGACCCCACCAACCCCGCCGCCACCCGCGCCGCCGACAGCTCACCCTGGCTCGGCAAGCGCGTCGTCATCAACCCCGGCACCGGGTGGGAAAGCGACCCGGCCGGTCCAGAGAGCCGAACCGGCTACGCGATCCTCGGCGGGACGAAGGCGAACGCGGTGGGGACGCTGTGCGAAGAGGTGGTGGTGGAGGCGGGGCAGGTGGAGGAGGCGCCGGCGCACCTGAGCGACGTGGAGGCGGCGGCGGTGCCGTTGACGGGGCTGACGGCGTGGAGGGCGGTGGTGACGAAGGCGGGGGTGCGGGAGGGGGAGGCGGCGAATGTGTTGGTGACGGGGGTGGGGGGCGGGGTGGCGGTCATGGCGGTGTTGTTTGCGGGGGCGTTGGGGGCGAGGGTGTTCGTGACGAGTGGGAGTGGGGAGAAGATTGAGAGGGCGAAGGGGTTGGGGGCGGTGGGCGGCGTGAATTATAAGGAGGGGGGGTGGGAGAAGAGGTTGCAGGGGTTGATTGGGGAGGGGGGGAAGTTGGATGCGATTATTGATGGGGCGGGGGGAGATGTGGTGGAGAAGGGGGTGAGGTTGTTGAAGGTGAGTGCCCGTGCTGGTTTCGGGAACGGATATTGTAGAGAGAAGAAGTGATTGCTGACGAGAGGTCGGGTACGCAGAACGGTGGCGTCATCGTGTCGTATGGCATGACGCTCGGGCCCAAGATGCCGTTCCTCATGAGCGCGGTGCTCAAGAATATCGAGATCAAGGGCTCGACCATGGGGTCGCGTCTCGAGTTCAAGCAGATGGTTGACTTTGTCAAGGAGAAGAAGCTCAAGCCCGTCATCTCGCGGGTTGTGTCGGGCATCGACAACATCGAGGCCATCGATGGGCTGTTTGAGGACATGAAGAATGGCACTCAGTTTGGAAAGCTGGTCATTGAGATCGCGGCGAAGGAGGGCGAGAGCAGTAAGTTGTGAATACGGCAGCAGGAGCACGGATATGGGCTTATGAGCAACGCTAGCATGAAACCAGTAGGCGGAAACCAATAGACAACAAAGGATGTGTTACAGCTTCATGCTTTCAGTTACTCCTTCGTGTAAGCCAGTCGCCATATTCCAGATTCGTCACTTCCATCCTGTCATAATAAGGACGAACATGTACATACATACATAGATTCCCAACGCAGCTAGCACGGCAAGCGTCAAGGGAATGCTGATGGCCCAATATCTCCAAAAGTCCTTTACCTTCGATTCAACCATCGGCATGGTCAGAATAGTCTACACCGACCTCTGAATTAGCTATGGTTTCAGTGCATTTGGGACGAGTACCAGAAGAGGGGAGGAACGAGACTAGACCAGATTGGGAAATGTAATAGTGCCAAGGCGCTAAGACGCGCTGCGCGCTCTGCTCTGTGCTTGACGCGTCGCGCGTCCGGTCGCTCGAGCCGGCCGCGCAAAACATGTCGCCCGCTTGGTGCGCTGCACCACCAACACCACTCGGCCTCGCCCTTTGATACCCCACACAACCCCCGATTGCATACGTCGCCCGGGCGCCGCAGCCATCGTTTTCTTCTGTCAAGCCCATCTGCGATCCATACATACGAACCTTATCGCACAATGGACGGCATTGCGCTGAGGGACGAGGCGGTGCGCGACCGCATCAGAGCCGCCGAAGAGTTCTTGGATCCCAGTAAGTCTGAGCTTGCTCCCCAATTCCGACCTGCAGCTAATTGTTTCTAGATGATCCTCGCGCAAGAACGTACGAACCACTGCTTCAGACCTACATACAATGCCCGCTGACACCGCCGCAGCTACCGCGCCGATGTCATTCTCATGTTGAACCGCGGCCTGAGAAGGCTAATCGTAAGAAGCTCCACACGGCGATGCGAAACATCCAGCGCTGACAGGAGCGCAGGTTAGCTTGGATGAGATAAGGGCACACAACAGAGAGATGGCCGATGGGTGAGTCGAGCAGCGCGGCGCACAAACAGACTGTTGCTGACTCTAGCAGTCTCCTCAACCAGCCGTTCGACTGGACCTTCGCATTTGACAACGCTTTGAAAAACATTGTCGCCGCCTTACCCAACCGCCCTTCTAAAGAAACCGCCGACGATGTGGTGAGTTGGCTTTGACATGACGAGCCGCCGCAATGCTGACCCGCGTAGATTTACTACTGCGCATTCGTCGGAAGCTTTGGCGAGTTTTCCTGCAACCCCCGTACCATCAGCTCTCAGCACCTCAACCACATGGTCTCCCTCGAGGGTATTGTCACAAAGTGCTCGCTTGTGCGCCCCAAAGTCGTCAAGTCGGTGCACTGGAACGAGGCCAAGTCGGTCTTCCAGTTCAGAGAATACAGGGACCAGACCATGACCATGGGTGCTGCGAGCTCTTCCGTCTACCCCACCGAAGATGATGACGGCAACCCCTTGGTCACCGAGTACGGCTACAGCACATACCGCGACCATCAGACCATCTCCATCCAAGAAATGCCTGAGCGCGCTCCTGCAGGCCAGCTGCCTCGTGGTGTTGACGTCATTCTGGACGACGACCTGGTCGATCGTGTCAAGCCCGGTGACAGGATCCAGCTCGTTGGTGTCTACAGATCTCTCGGAAACCGCAACGCTCAGAATGCCAGCTCTACCTTCCGCACTCTCATCCTCGCGAATAACATCATCCTCCTTTCCTCCAAGTCGGGCGGTGGCATTGCCCAAGCCACCATCACCGACACCGATATCCGCAACATCAACAAAATCTCCAAACACAGGAAGGTCTTCGACCTCCTCTCGCAGTCTCTGGCACCCAGCATTCACGGACACGACTACATCAAGAAGGCGATCCTGCTCATGCTCCTGGGAGGTATGGAGAAGAACCTGGACAACGGTACACATCTGAGAGGAGACATCAACATCCTCATGGTCGGTGATCCCTCGACCGCCAAGTCGCAGCTCCTGCGCTTCGTGCTGAACACGGCGCCCTTGGCAATCGCCACCACTGGTAGGGGTTCATCCGGTGTCGGTTTGACGGCTGCAGTCACCCAGGACAAAGAAACGGGCGAGCGTCGTCTAGAGGCCGGTGCCATGGTTCTTGGTGATCGCGGTGTCGTGTGTATCGACGAGTTTGACAAGATGAGCGATGTCGATCGCGTTGCAATCCACGAAGTCATGGAACAGCAGACCGTCACAATCGCCAAGGCCGGCATTCACACTTCTCTGAACGCTCGCTGCAGTGTCATTGCTGCAGCCAACCCGATTTACGGACAGTACGACACGCACAAGGACCCCCACAGGAACATTGCCCTTCCCGACTCTCTCCTTTCCCGTTTCGATTTGCTCTTTGTCGTTACCGACGACATTGAGGATGTCCGGGACCGTCAAGTCTCGGAGCACGTTTTGCGTATGCACCGCTACAGGCAGCCTGGTACCGAGGAGGGTGCACCTGTCCGCGAGCAGGGCAACCAGATGCTCGGCGTCGGCCTTGACGAGGATGCGGATGCTAACCGCCCGACTGAGGTGTACGAAAAGTTCAACATCATGCTCCACGCAGGCGTCAATGTGACCGTCGGCAGGGGCTCTGCTCGGCGCACTGAAGTCTTGAGCATACCCTTCGTCAAGAAATACATCCAGTACGCAAAGTCTCGTGTCAAGCCTGTCTTGACTGCAGGCGCCGCCAACCACATTGTCACCACCTACTCTGCACTCCGTAACGATGAGATGGAGAGCAACCAGCGCAAGACCTCCCCCATGACTGCCCGTACCCTCGAAACCCTCATCCGTCTCGCCACCGCCCACGCCAAGGCAAGGTTGTCAAACCGTGTCGAGCAGAAAGACGCCGAGGTAGCCGAGGCCATCTTACGCTTTGCTCTATTCAAAGAAGTCGTCGCAGACGAGAGGAGAAAGAGGAGGAAGGTCAGCCGGGCCGACGACGCCATGTCAACCGATTCGTCCGACTCAGACGACGACGACAACACGCAGCAAACGCGAGAAGTCCTCACGCCCCGCAACCAGCGGACAGCCGGCCCCTCCACCCGCAGCACCCGCGTCTCCACCGCCAACGGCACCAACGGCAGCACCACCACCACCACCGCCGCCGCCCCGCAGCACGACGCCGAAGACGAAGAAGACCTCTACACCGCCACCCCCCGCGGCACCCGCAGCACCCGCCGCCAAAACGCCGCCGCCGCCGCCTCCTCCTCGCAAATGTCCATGGCCTCCTCGCAGCCCGCCTCCCAACTCCTCGGCACCACCCAGTCGGAGAGCCAGCCGCAGGAAGAAAACTCCCAAGGCGCCGCGACGCCGACGCCGACGCCCCAGCGCATCCAAGCCTTCCAGACGGCCCTCGGCCAGCTCATCGACGGGCCCCTCTTCGCCAACGACGCCGCCGACGTCGAGCCGCTGGTCGCGGCCGTCAACGCGCGTCTCGAGCGCGGCCGCGAGCCCGCCTTTGGCCTCGCCGAGGCAGAGGCCGCGCTCGAGGCGCTGAGCGAGCGCAACAAGGTCATGTTTTCGGGGGGGATCGTGTATAAGATTTAGGGCTGGGGGGCTTGGAGGGCTTGGGGGAGTTTTTTTTTTTCCTTTTTTTTGCGTCTTCTTTTTCGTTTGTGGTGTCTTGCGGGGAAAATTATGGGACGGGGCGCGTGGGCGTGGGCGCGGTTTGGTTTTCATGCGTGCATGCATGCATCTTTTCTTTTGTATTTGTAGCGGTTAGGTTGTAGTGCCAGTGTCAGTGTCTGTGTCCGTGTTTGTGCTGGATGGATGGTCCCCCCCTTTTTTTTTGTTGGTGGTGTCGTCCGAGTGAGGGAAGATGATGATGAGATCAGATTAGATGTTTTATGTAGTGTGTGTAGGGCATGCATCATGATGGTTTCAGAGGCTCTCAGCAGACAGGCAATCAATTGTTGCAATGAAGGTTAGTTGCTTGCTCTCGACTTCGAATGTCCCCTTGCTCCGTCATGGGTTTGATTGTGAGCGGGGGTGTGGGAAGGGGAAATAAACCGAAAGCTACGGCTGAACTTGCTTCACTCGATGTTCCTTCTATTTTTTGCTGTCGGTCCCACCAAAAAAAAAAACCTCCTCCTTAGAATTTAATCTCTCCATGGAAGAGGTCTCGACGAACCAGGTCTGTCTTATTGGAATAGTCTCAATTCGTTCGAATGCAAAAGCAACTCTTTTTTCCCCGGACCCCCCCTTCCCCTGTTCGAATAAAAAGGGAGGGGAGAGAGAAAGAAAGCAAGAGAGGAAGAAAGAAAGAAAAGGGAAACCATTCAAAGAATAAATGACAAAGAAATCTAGAACCGAGCCCGCCGTACCGAAAGCACGCTTCCTCAGCGTCCATAATGTCTCCCCCAGAATGGGAAGAACTCCCCCATCCAACTCAAGGCATTTTCCTGCACCACCACCGCCGCCGCCGCCGCCAAATGCCACGTGTACTGCATGCATGCACACCCGCCAAGACGCAGACCAGAGAAAAAGGAAATTAAAGGAAAATTTCCCCCCAAAACGGTAGGACTGTAGGCATGCACTCTGTAGACTTGCTATTTCTTTAGTAAATATGGAGGGAGATAAAAAGGGAAAGACTAACGGAGAACGTGACGGACGGGGAGGGTCAGGCAGTTCGGTCCAATGAGCTTCAGCCGTAGTCTCAGCCTCGCTGGCCTTCGTCCGTCCGTCGTCGTTGTTTGACTCGCGTGTTGTCGCTTGATTGGTGCTGGTGGTGTATGTGTGTGGGATGAAGTGCCGTCTCGTGTGGATATGTGTGCTGCTGCTCGCGAGTAAGGTGGGGGGGGAGTGGAAAAGATCTCTTCCCGTAGGGAAGAAGGAGGAGAGAACCAGTGAAGGGGGGAGATAGAGGAAACGTGGTATGCAAAGGTTGCAGTGCGCCTTGCACAATGATCCTGCTGCTGAGATGGCTTCGTGCCATGCGGTAAAATTCCCTCGGCGTTGATTATGCCCACCTCTCATCCGCTGTCCTTCGCTTTGGTGTTTTGTCAGATGTGTGCTTGATGATTCCGTCAAACACAACCAACAACGGGCCGAATGCGAGCAAAGAAGGTATTGTGGAAGAAGACTTCTCTTACTCCTCCCCCTTACCCTCGCCTCCTCAGCGAAACAGACTCCTCAGATCCGCCAGCCTCTTCTTCGCCGCCTCCTCCTTATCCAGCTTTGCGTTCCTATTCATGCTTAGATCCGCCAGATCCTTCTTCTTCTTCTGCAGCTCCAGCATCCTCTCCTCAAAACTGTCATTCATGACAAACCGGGTTATCGTCACCTCGCGTGTCTGGCCGAGCCGGTGCACGCGATCGACCGCCTGCGCCTCGGCCGCGGGATTGTACTGCGGCTCCATGACGTACGCCTTGGACGCCGACGTGAGGTTGAGGCCGAGTCCGCCGGCCGTGATGGAGATGAGCATGACGTGCACGCTTCTGTCGTCGCGGAGCGCGTCGAGCGCCTCGGTGCGCTTCTTGCGCGACATGGTGCCGTCGAGACGCGCGTACCGCAGCCCCTTGTCCTCGAGCGCGATCGAGATGAGGTCGAGGTACGTCGTCCAGCCCGAGAAGACGACGCTCTTGAGCGGCGCCTCGTCCGGGTGCGCGTCGCTCCACGCTTTGCTCTCGAGCAGGTTCTCGATCAGGACCTTGACCTTGGTGTGCGGCCCGCCGTACCGGCCGAGCTGCTTGGCCAGTCGCGGATTGCTGCGCACGCGCTGCCGCGCGGCTTCGTCCCGGTCGGCTTCTTCCTGCGAGAGGGGGAATATGGACTGCCGGACGTAGGCGTCGCAGAGCGGGCAGTACATGTAGCGGTCGGGAGCGGCGCGCCTCTTCACCCTTCGTTTGAACTCGTCGAAGCAGGCGGGACAGACTATCTGGTAGCACGGTGTCATGAAACCTATGACGGTGTCTTTCTTGACGTCGCTCTCATCGTCAGAAGAGTCGTTTGCAGCAGGGGCGTAGCTAGAGCCGATGATTGCCTGATCGCAGATGCCACAGTGGTGCATGTCGCTTTCGCGTAGAAGATGCAGCATATCGTATGCCTGTTCTTTGGATATGGCCGGCTTGTCCCCGTCGTCATCATCCCCCAGCTCAATCGCATTGTCGAGCGAGAGGCCTTCTGTGAGCTTCATATCATCGTTACTCAGTAGCTCAGCACCGTGGGCGCAGATCATGCGAAGACGTCCGATGGCACGAAGGATGTGGCCCATTTGGTTTTTTGCCAGCTTATCCCTGCCGGCTGTGATCGAGGCCATGCGTGCAGCTGTGTCCTTGGCAAAGAAGTCGTACAGCCTTCGCTCGTCTGGGGAGAAGTTAAGGCGAACCAGTTGATCGTTCCGGGCCGGAAGGTTGATCCTGTCTTTGAGGCGACGTAGAGTAATCGAGTCCACGAGGATGCGCAGCTTGGGAAGAATTTCCGGATCGGCATTCTTGAATGGAGTGAGGATGTACTGCGCAAAGCCGCCCTTGTCATCGAACGGCTTGATTCTCAAGAACTTAATCAGCGCACCCAGGTCATCTAAGCGATTCTGAACAGGGGTGCCCGTGACAGCCCATCGACGTTGTGCTAATAAGGCACACGTGGCAACCGACTGTTTAGTGGCAGCACTACGAATCATATGGGCTTCATCCAGGACGATACGAAACCAGTTGATCAGGGCCAGAGGCTTTTTCGATGTAGCCTTATCATGTTCAGTTGCAACCACGCTGTATGTCGAAATAACGAGATCATATCTGGCAAGTTCCTTGGGGTCGTCAAGCCTGTTGGGGCCATGATAGATGTAGTATGACATGGCACCGCTCTTGACGTGCATATTCACCTGTTCTTGCCAGTTGGCTACGGTGCTCACTGGGCAGATGAGCAATGTTGCCTTCGAATTGCACTTGATAAGGGGCGCTCCAGGTATCTGCGGCGGCATCTTCGAGGAGAATTCCAAAGCGTCTTGCATAGTCGCAGCAATGAGGGAGAGAACGGTCAGGGTCTTGCCGAGGCCCATCATGTCGGCCAGTATCCCTCCGCGTGTCGGAGGTGGCTTGTTGCGAGTCTCTTGGCCACTGATAATGTTGTAATAGTAACGCTCACCATTACCTCGTAACTTGGACTTCCACAGCGAGCCCTTCTCTTCCGCGTCTTCTGCCTCGCGGGAGGTCATGAAATGCAGGGCTTGGGCCTGATGCGCGAGAAGCCTCGTCAATATGATATCGGGCTGCTGCATCGAAGGGATATCATCTGACTTGGTCAGGGAGTCAAACATGCTGATGACATCGGAGCGAATCTCCTCGACCGTCCTGGCCACGAATCCATATCCAGGCTGATTGCTGCTCGGACCAGGCTGTGCGCGTGGGACTGTGCTCTTGATGGCCTGTGGGTTGTAGTAGGGAATGCTTCCAATGTTGATGGTGGGGTCACGAAGCCAAATCTGCCTTGAGCTGTGGCTAAGGTAACGACCGATGTCCTTGGCATACTTGCGCGGCGCAAAGAGATGAATATTCAACGGCATCTGTGCGGAGGTGCCCGATCCTGCGTTCTCGCCAGGCTTCCTCTTCCGGGAATCTAAGCGGGCATCAATCCTTAGATTGAGAAGCTTGTTATCCATCAGATATGACAGGCCTCTGGCCACGGTGATACCAACACGAGCGAAGTCGCGGCCGCAGGGATCGGTGACGGTGATTAGCTGATCCGTGGCGGCAGGTCTCCGACGAAGTGACACCTTGAAAGCAGGCCATTGGTTGACAGAGCCTTGGAACGCGGTAGGATGTGGTGAAGGAATCATGAAGACCGAGATGGTAGCATCTTGGATTTTGCCCAGACAAACCTCGTAGCTGCCAGTATCTTTGACGATGACGACATCATCGTCGTCTGTTACATTGTCAGCTGCTTGAGAATCCCAAATATTTGAATAAGCGCAACATACCAGCAGTGAGGTCTACGACCGAGGACGGTGCGGGTAGTGGGGCGGCTTCCTTTTCTCCGAGCTGCTTTTGATCGTTGACGTACTCTCCAAGAACGGTACCTTTGCCGGAGCCTTCGAATGTGGTGCTGCGGCCGGCTTGCTCGTCTGCAGGATCGCGCCTCTGCTTCTTGACGGGCTGATCCTCGCGATGCTGCACACCATGCATGCGCTCAATCAAAGAGCCCATGCCAACGGCGCCTTCGGTCGGACCCTCGACCGACGCATCGTTGGAGTGGGTGGACTGAGCACGGGCGCGCTTGGCGGCAGCCTTGGGGTTCAGTAATGCTTGTGGATTATAAGCAGGTGGCGCAGGTAGTGAGGCGTTGGAAGCGCTGCTGCTGGCGCCTTGCGATGAGGCCCGCGACGAAGGTTGAGATTGAGCTGGTAGAGTCAGTTCAGGATCTTCTACTATTGAGCGAGGTGACGCAGGCTCGGTAATCAATGGCGACGCAGGGTGCTCTGGTGGAGGTTCAGCTTGAGCGAGGTCAGATGGTGAGTGGGTCCTGTCCGTCGCGTCCGTCGCGTCCATGGTAGGTAGGAAAAACGATGACAAGGTGGAGGGGAAGAAATGTAGGTGTTGAAGAGTGAGCGGCTTGGAAGGCGGGGGTTGAAGAAAAGCAAGTCGGCGTGTGCCAAGCCGACGATGGGTAGAAACAATGTCGAGGGGCCACGTGGGCTTGATTGCACGAGCTCAAAGTGAACAATGAATGTAGGCGAGAGGAGAGCAGTCAGGACAACATGTGATGGTTTGAGCTGGGAAGACGGTTCAGAAATGGCAAGAGCGGAAGCAAAAGAAACTTGACCAAGCACGTCCGGTGAAGCCGACAACAATGGAAGAAGCAGCAGCAGCAGAAAAAGACGCTTACCCTTCTTGAAAGCCTTGGGATTTAAAAGCTGCGCCGGGTTCATCTTGGATTTTCTTTTCTCCCAAGTCTAGGCACGGATGCAGGTACTAAACGGTGCGCAGCTCAATTCCGGCAGGAAAGTACAACTCTGGCTTGGGTCGGGAAGGAAAACAGTCTGGACGGAACAGGCTTCGGTCAGCGTGGTGGCGGGTCGGGAGACGGAGCGGCGATTCGGGAGTGGATTATCATGTTCGCGCCAGCTGGGAACATGTCGAGCGAGCATGCGCGACGAGGAAGAGGAGACCCACTAGTTCCCCCGGATCATGGCGTGAGAACCTGGGGATTGCTGGAGAAGGGCGGTTGATGTGGCTCGCGTCACCTGGAGCGTCGCTGTCGCCCGTCGCGTCCGAGTCAATCCGCGCTAGCCCAAGTTGGCGTAGTGCAGGCTCCGACGACACCACCACTTGCATCACGCCCTGCCAAGCGGAAAGGAAGGGCAATCATCTCGACATTGGCTTCGGCACGAGTCCAAAAATCTTCTTGTCCAACGCCGGCATAGAATCCCATTCTCCACGCCATTCTAGTGCTATGCAAGGTTGAAGAGAGACCCGGATGAGGATGCTGCCGGTGTTTCCGTCCTGTGCGCCTTTTTTCTTGATGCCCTACACTACACAGAAGTTGCCTTGGATCCACCATCGCCTATAACCCATACAAGTTTTTAGTTCGTTTTCCCAGCCGTAGGTATACAACTTTCTTCATGAAAAGAGCCCAGAAATACCGCTGATGCTCCTCTATGGGAACCAAATAGCGAAAAGAGTGAAGGCAAGAAAACTAAAACGCGCCCCACCGCTCCGGCGCTCCAATCAACACCACGTGAAGAGCGGGTTCTTGGATTTGACCATCTCCAGCCGTTCCACAATCACCCGCTTCGTGTTGCCGTCCATGTCATCTGCTGCCGCATATCCAAGGTCACCCTCGTCATCTTCCAACCCCAGCGGCCCGCTGTTCCGACGGACTGTGAACGAAAATCGCCTCTTCTTCGACTGCACTGGGCTGGTCGGTATGACACTGCGTGGTCCATCGTAGCTCATCCGAGACTTGAGACTGACTGGCGGTCGCGAGCTCTCGTGCATGTTCATCGTGCTGGACTGCCTTGACATGTTGAACGGGTTGCTGCGTGGAGGCGATTCCAGCCCAAGCAGGTCGGAATGAGGGTTAGGGGCCGACGAAGCTAGCGCGTTGCTGATGTCCATTTCTTCCGTCTCGTCATGCGCTGCGAGTTCCTCTGTCTGACGCCGCATCTCTGCCGACGGACGCTGCAAAGGCACCGCCACCGGAATGTCCACCAGATCGTCCCATACGCACACCCTCGCCCTCCGAGTGAGTTCCAGAGGACCGTGGTCAGCTGTCTTGAGCGTCTCGACTACATTCCACGCCTGGCCTTTCATGACCGCCATTTGCCGAGCAAACATGCGCTCCTTGAAGTCGGCGTCCTGGATGAAGCATCTCCTCAGCGCCAGCGTGGTCTCGCTCCACCATTGCGTCGACGTAAGCAAGGGTAGGAAGTGTCTGCGTGTTGCCTCGGAGAAGGGATGTCCGATCAAGGACACGGGCAAAAACAGCCAACCGAAAGGATAACTTCGCCACTGATCATTGTTAGTCTGCGTTTCAAACACCAACCCACATAACTTACGGCATCTGGGTGCTTCCATGGCCACGAGAGGCTGTTGTCGATAGCCCCGAGGAACACCTGAGGGTCATCCTTAGAAGGCGGCACGTTCGCAGGCGTTCCTGATCTGCTAGTTGCGACCATCTGCTCCTGCCGCTTGTACGGTTCTTCAGCAGAGCCGTTTGCACGGCGGTCTTTCGGCGGTTCTGCCACGATGGTGGCCTCCTCCGTCTTTGGGTCGATCCTGATCATCCAGTTGTCCAAGCCTCGATCCGTATTTCTCATGATGTAGTCCAAAATGACCAGCCTCTCCAGTTGCTCGCGGAACGACTGCTGCAAGCGTTCCGTCCAAAACCCTCGTCGTACCTGCGTCTCGTCGGCAGTCGGAGGCCGATCGTCTTCCTCATCATCCGATGCTGGCCCGCTCGGTCTGCAGTCCTCGGCCCATCTTCTCTTTTTCCGCCGGGCGGGAGCGTCCCGGAGCGCAGTGTTGTGCTGATCAGGCCAAGGGTGCTCTTTCAGGAAAAGAGTGGCATCCTTGTAGCCTTTCAAAAAGACTTGAAAGCTTCCAAGCTTCTCCGGCAGCGGCTTCTTCTTCCTGTAGTATGCCCGTCTCTCCCAGAAGTCGTAGTAGAAGGATTTGGAAGACAAGCCGACGACCTCGGTATAAGGCACGATGTTGGTTCGGAGTTGGGTATCGAGCACGTAGGCGGCGGCTTCGGACACGTAGCTGAGGTTAGGGATCAGGCAAGCTCTGCCAAATGCGAAGGGAAACAGATTGCGGTGGATCCATTTGGTCCACTTGGGATTTCTGGAGGCGTAGGGCTCCTCATCCTTGGGCTTGAAGACACCTACCACTTTGCCGTCTGGATTGCGAGCAAAGTAGCTTCCAGAACTGCCTTGCGTGATGAGTTTCGGGTGGGTGCCGAGCTCGATGGCGGTGCGGACACCCTCGACGATGTCATCGAACTCGATCTTTGTCAAGCGGTCAGGGTGGGACATGTCGTAGTCCCTGGCCAATGTTTCGGCGGTGGCAGGGCGGATCCAGTCCGGGGCTTGGAAGACCGAGTGATGTATCTCCAGCTCATCTTCGCGCTGCGCCTTGCCACGACCCTTCTTGATCTTGAACTTGGACGCAATCTCGTCGGCCCATCTCTCCAGTCGCGCGTTGATTGCCTTGATGTCGACGCCCGAATTGCTGCGCATGCGTCCGCCGGGCTTGCGTCGTGGGGGCGAGCCGGAGCCCGGGGTCATGCGGGCGTGGCGTTGAGGGTGGATGGGAGCATAGCGACCAGAAAGGGAGCTCTGGCCCCGGTGGAGGTCCTCGTCGTCGGAGTCGTCGAAGATGTCCTCCTCCTCCTCGGCCTGGGCGATGCGGGCGTATCCAGAGGTGGGCGGCCGGCCTTTAGCCATGGTGGAGGTCACTGCGAGGGAATACGGTGGGAAGGTGGCATGTGTGCAGCAGCATGACAGTGCGGGATGAGGCTCATCCGCCGCACGGGCAGCTCACCCGGCCACGGAGGTATGACGAGCGGCTTGTGACGGCGGCCGCAGACAAAACGTGGCCGCTGGCTCAGGGCTTCGGCCTGGCCAATCGCCGACCGCAGGCCTTGGCGCCAGAGCACCACAGAGCACCAGAGCTGCTCAGGGGCCCGTTGTGCGCTTGGACGCGCGCACCCGAGCATCCGACCTCGACGCGCTTTGTTATCAAACAATCTCCCCCGGACGATCCCCGTCGCAAGCTCGGCTCTCTACCTCCCCCAGCATGCATCACGCGTGAGCAAGCGCGCCGCCCGCACGTCCACCGCGCCGTTGCTTCAACAGAGAGCATCACGCCCGCCCCCGACGGCACGACGGGGCTGATGCATTCGACGCTGCGCACCAGTGTTTCGCGCCGCCGGCCAGGCGAGCAGACGGCTGGCGAGAGCGTTTGACTAGGCACTGGCGCGCGGAGCACTACTACCTACTCCCTCCATCTGGCTCGTCCGCAATGATCAGCCTCTCGTCCCGCGGCAGGAACGCCCCCCGTTGGAGTACGAGCATGTCTAATGAACACGCGCCAATGGCGACACGGACGATTGGGGCCCGGCGAGTCGGCAATCGTCGCTTGATGACGCTTCGGGTGAGTTCATTTCGGGTTGCGTGCCCTGCCGTTGGTCTTGTTCCCGTTCAGCAGCTGTGCCGCCCCAATGCGGGAGGCCAGCACTATCTCTCTTATCAGCCTCCCTGGGCGCGTCCGAGCGCAGATGCAGAAGCTCCAGCTTTTTTGCTTTTCAGGAGGCTGAGACAGCGCGGCCTCGGAGGCAGCGGTCACGACGGCTGGGTGCCACGGCGTACGGACGGCCGCTCCGTGTTGATGCCGGCTTAGCCACGCCCACAGCGGACTCAGCGGCCTCAGTGCTGCGTGGCCGGCGCAAAGGACCGAGGATCGCCGGGCGTGCTGGTGCTCGTGACACGAGAGAATATGGAGTAAGCTGCGAGTCCCGGGAGGCAATTTGAAACGGTGGAGCTACTGTACCCCTGAGCGTGAGAATCTATCGATTGGCGCCGGGCCCGCCATCAGGGCGGCTTTGCGGTCGTTTCTTGCCGGGCTGGAGAACAGAGCTCTGCTCCGGTCTCTCAGCCCTGCGCCGGCTCGCGGTGGGTTGGACGACTCGGCAAGCCTTCAGATCATGCTGAGGGGCAGATCACAGCCAATGCTCGCGGTAAACACCACGGCGCAGATCCGCCAGCGCGGCCATCTTTGTGCGACAACGCGCTCAACAGCATGCCGGATGCACGGTCAGCTTCAATCTAATATTAGCGCTGGCGACCATCCCTGCCTACCCCTGTGTCCATGCTCCCGTACCTGCGTCTCTTTGGCATTCATCAAGTGCAGTATCTACCTTCCTTTAGCACCAAGCGAACTGCCCTACACGCTCTCTACCTAATCCACCCGCCCGCCGCTCCTTTGTGCCCAACCCGCCCGTCTCGCGCCCGCAGACATCCTCGCCGACCACGCCTTTACGACCTGCTTTTTAGCCTGACCGGGAAGCGCTTGCACGCGTTTTCCCCCCACCGCAAACACGGCTTCCACGCTCGCCATCTCGTTGCTCAACCGGCCCGTGGCCATTGAGAACCTGCACTACCACAACCGCCCGCCGTCGCCGCGCGACCTCGCCCCCTTCAACACGGCTTCCTCACTGGACGAGCGCCCGTCGCTGCCGTCGATCGGGCTGACCATCTCGCGGCCCTCGTCGGCAGCGTCCCAGTCCGGCGCCCGTCTCCCCCCGCCGCAGCCGCTGCACCGCGGCACCAGCCCGGGCATCCAGCTGCCCGGCGTGTCGTCGCTGGCGTCGCTGGCAGCATCGTCGACGTCGTCGCCGAGGCCCGACAACAGGTCAGTAGGAGGCAGTCTGTTTTTATTTTTTATTTTTTGTGTGCTGGATTTGCCCGCGGGTGATTGGACGGAGGGCGGGCGCGTCGCACCGGCTGCAGTGGGCGCGCCAGAGCCGGGCACAGGTGCACGTCGCGCCGGCAATTGGGAGCGCGCGTGCTGGCTGCCTGGCTGGTGGGCTGGCAGTCGGACGTCGGCCCTGGGACGCGTGCCAATCGTGGATGGGTTGGGCAAGAGCCAGAGCTGCGATAAAACCCTGGCGCATCATCACTGATAACGGCCCCGAGCTCCACCCCGGCGTGCGACAACAAAGACCTGCGGACCGCAGCGCTGACTCCCTCTCCCTCACAGGCCCCCGAATGCCGTTTCGCACAGCATGACCTACGCCACGAGTGCCCCGGCCACGTCGGGCGGACAGAACCCGGTGAGTGTGTTTGTTATGGTGGGCGCGTCGGCCGGCACAGGTGCATGGGCCCGGCCCTGGGTGGTGTTCCAGCCAGTGTGAAAACTCTCTCGCCCTGCCCGTTCCTTATCCTGCTTATCGCTCAACACCCACCACCGCCCACCTCGACATGGCCACGCTCGCTGACAACAACCAACAGCCCATCTGCCAGAACTGCACCACCAGCACCACCCCGCTCTGGCGCCGCGATGAGGTCGGTTCCGTGCTGTGCAACGCCTGCGGCCTGTTCCTGAAGCTGCACGGCCGCCCGCGCCCGATAAGCCTCAAGACCGACGTGATCAAGAGCCGCAACCGCGTCAAGACGTCGGGCCAGGGCCCCAAGAAGAAGGTAAGTCGCGCCGCCTGCCCGAGCCCTGTCGCGCTGTGCTCACATGACGCGCGATCCAACAGCAGCACGACAATGGCCTCGACCAAGTCCGCGCGGCCGCCGGCACGCCGCCCGTCGACGCCCTCTCCAACCACCGCCGTGCGCAGAAGGTCTCGTCCGGCGCGTCCGAACGCTCCACTTCGCCGCTGTCGCGCACTGGCACTCCCAACCTGGGCCACCACCACCCCTCCAACATTGCTCCCCAGCACATGTTCGACGGTGTGACGCTCAACGGCCATGAGTTCCACTCGCCCTCGCTTCCCTCTTTCATGCCCCATCGCCAGCCCTCTCCGTCTGCTTCGTCGGTAAACGGCTCGCACCTGGAGCCGCCCATGTCCTACGACGGGCTGGCTACCACCAATACTGCGCTCAAGACACGCGTCAGCGAGCTGGAGGTCATCAACGACCTGTTCCGCGGTCGTGTTACCGAGCTCGAGCAGAGCGAGCAGCGCGCACGCCAGAATGAGGCTCACGCGCGCGACCACGAGAAGCTCTTGCAGCAGGATCTCGACGATTCGCATGCCCGCGAGGCCGATCTGAAGCGCCGCGTCGATGAGCTGGAGGCTGAGCTGGCTGAGTACAGGGGTGATGGCCCTCGCCAAAAGAGAATGCGCCTGTCCGACATTGTCGACGAGAGCGCGGCGTCGACGCCCTTATCGACCCCCTCACAATCGAACTGAGTCCGACATTCGGCCAACCTTTCATTCTCCCGCAACACTTTGCCGTTGTCTTCTTTTTTTTTTCCAGAGCGATACCTCGTCATGATATCTTTTACGTTTCCGCTTGCGCTGCCGTTGCCTATCCATCTGGAAACACCCACCGGTCTTCTCCAATGGATCTTTGCTGCGTTCTCCCACCCGCTCTACTTCCCTCACGCGTTGGTGTTGCGTCTGCGGAAAGCCAAGCTGCACGAAAACAATATAAATTACCCTAATGTCTGATATCCCGCCGTAGTACTTTGACTACGGCCTTATCATCTCACGCCAAAGTTCCGGACACCGAATCCAACTTACGGTTTCTCTCCCGATCAACCCCGCCTTGCCACTTTCTTTTGATCATTACTTCTTCTTTGCGCCACGAAGGGATGAATATCCCCCCCACAATGGACGTGGGGAACACAGGGATACTTCCCGTCCACCGGTCCCTTTTGAAAGCGCGAACACGTTCGGGACATCAAAAACACGGACCTCCTTCACCTTCTGCTCTTACGCGCGGCGGGAAAAACAAAATTCTCTTTTCATTTGACAGGACTGCGAGTACTTGCGAACCCACCTTACAGCACCCGCGTCATTGAGGTACGATGGTCTTGGGATAAGGGATCACTTCTAAAAGTCCGTGCGGGCGTCATAATTGCAGGTTTTCTTGTTTTCTTGCTTTTGTCTTTCTCACTCTCTTCCGCCTCTCAGGTTAGTCGATGCTCGTTTTCTTGATACCTCGAGATTCTTTTTTTGAGGCGAGAGGAGGGTTTAGCACGGGTCAGATGATGGCAGCTGTCACTGTTTGCAGTGCAGCTATACTTCTTGTTTCTTGGCGTTGCTCTGACCTGCGCAGATGCGGTGGCCGAAGGCGGGAATGGAGGAAAGAAAAAAAGTAATAATCAAAAGCGCATGAAGAAACAAGGTTTCTCCAGTCTGACGAACTTTTTTTTTTATCATTCTTCTTCGGTATTCTCGATTGTGACAGGTGAACGTGCTTGGGTGGGTGTGGTCTGTCGTCCAAACCAGCAGGTGGCACATGAATTGGATGTGAAAAGAGAAGAAGAAAGACCACCACCAATCAGACATACCTACGCATCTTGCGTATGGTGTGCAAACAGCTCCGTCCCACCACCCCGCCTTGCCCCCGCCCCTCCTCGTTGGCAAAACGTCGCACGCCATTTCTCCGTCCCATGCCGTCTTGCCAGCTCTAATCGCTATCGCACTCGCCAACGAGTAATGCCAACCTCAACAGCCTTTTCCCCAATAATAGTCGATCCCAGCCGTTATTTTCTCGATGCTTATCAGCTATTGCATGCAGTACCTATTGACTTTTTAGGGCTTATCAAAAAATCGCTATCAATGCTATCGATGGCTATCGCAATCTCTCAGCTCGCCTGATAAGATTATGCTGGATGGGCATTAGCCCTCTCATCATTTCCCACCGAATCAGCAGCATCATGTGTGTGTGCGTCCCCCTAGGTACGTACTAATTTCCCCCGGGTCCAGCCACTCGTCGATGCTTGCGGGGAGGAGGGAGGAAGGAAAGGGGGCCGGGCGCCTTTTTCTTTTTTTGCTTTGCCTGGGGGGGAGCGATAAACAGATTGAGGGGGGCGGGCGGGCGCGCGGGTGGCGGGGGTGTGCGGGTAGCGATAAGCAAGCGTGCTTTTATTTTTTTTTTCTTTTCTTTTCCTTCTTTCCTTCTGTTGAACGGGGCGGGAAGGATTGCATGTGGCGGCTGGTGGCGTAGCAGCACAGTTACAAACAACGACATCTACTACCTACTTGAGGGGGGGAGGGGCAAAGGCGAGCAACGGTGATCGCCCATAGGTAACTCCGTCTTTCGAACCGCTGCGCTCATCATCATCATGATGTACGACGGGATCATGTGTATCAGCGCGTCGCTCATTGGACGGCTGTCACAACCGTCACGTCCGCTTTTCTTTTTTTTTTCTTGCTTTCCCCCCGCGACAAACAAACAACACAACAACGGAATTCCTCGTGTTTCCCCCGTAGCCCGGCCCGGCCTGGCCTTCCCCTAGCATCCAATATCATCATACATACATACTGCGCGCGTGCGCGTGTGCGCGCGCTTCGACGACGATGATGTCGCCGAGGCTGGTGGGACAACCGTCCAACCAAACCAGTGCTTTTTTTTTTTTTTCACACCCCTCCCCGCACAAAGGGTTCGTTCGGAATTCCCAACGCGCGGAGTTTGCCCCTCCTGCCCTTCCCCTTCCCCACAAACTGGTTCCCATCACGTCCATTTATCCATTCCCGAGGTTGCGGACACGGGGTTGTCCCCGTGTGCGCCCACACACCAGAAGAAAGAAAGAAAGAGAGAGAGAGAAAAATGGAAAGAAAGGGTAACTCCGCTGTCCCCTCGCGCGGAATTCGTTTGCCTTCCGTACAGCAGGATATCGGTTTTACACGTGACAGAATAATGTCCGGAGAACGCGAGACTGAAGACAAGAAGAGGAAGCGGCCAAAAAATAAATAAAGAAGAGAAAAGGGATCGTTGTGAACACGCATATGCATGATGAGACACCACATTCCTGACTCCTGGGCGACAACAAAGACACATCCACCCTGACGACCATCATCACAACAACTTCACAGTGGATCAATCATAATGTTCCATTTGCCACTATCCTCAAGGACTTACGTCCATGAATATCAAAAGCACATGCATTGCACGTATGTCCGGGAGGTTCTCTTGCGCCTCGCTCATACTGCAGTTAAGCAGCGAGATGTTACTCCCTGAACGAGACGCCTTCTATTCCCGAAGTCCCCCGTCTTCCCCTCGCCTCAATGAAGAAGCAAGAGGAAGACAGGGGGTTTTGTTTGCTCTACCAACGCTCCGTTAGGGACCTGATGCTCTCGTGGAGAGAGCGAAGGAAGCCCCTGCAGGACCCGAAGTCCTGCATCGTTGGGTATGTTTTTATTCTCATGTCTGAGATGAGGAAAAGGAAAATCAAAACGACTGGAAAGGTAAAGAAGGGGGAAGAAGATGGCTGCAGCCGGCCGGATCAACCTGATCGGCCAAAGATTCGTGATTCGTGAGAGCGTGTACATGGACGACCCTCGTAGACCTTTTAGAGGATTGTCTCTCCTCAATCTGAAGAAGCAACCGAAAGGAAAAATATAACGCCAGAGCGCCAACGCTAATGTGTGAGCAGATCCTTCTCCACCAACCTGTAACTTGTGCCTTCTCATATCTCCATTTCCCAGCGGACTTGAGAATAAAAGAGTGAAGATACAAACCATACTGCTTCTCATTTAATCCTTGTTCGCCCACGCAAATCCGCCCATTTGCTGACCCTTTGTCGAACCGAATAGCTCCGAGATGATGCATGAAACCAACTTACCCCATCGCTTACCATCCGTGCAAGAAGAGCTGCGACATACTCTCGCCGTGGTGATTCCTGCGAATGGCTTCGGCAAGCAGACTCTCAACCGGGATGATGGTGAGTTTGCTGCAGCGAGCCTTCTTGTCTTCAGGAATAGGGAACGAGTTGGTGACCACGATACGCTCAATGCACTCGCACTCCTCCATCTCTTCGAGGCAATCACCGCCAAAGAGGCCATGTGTTGCCATGCAGTACACCTTGGTGGCACCACCACGCTTCACCACGGTCTCTGCAGCTGCGATCCACGATCCAGACTTGTCGATCATGTCGTCGACAATGCAAACCGGACGATCCCGCACGTTGCCAACAAGCGTGACCGTCGTCTCGAGCTCGGGATTCTTGAGGTCTTCTTCTTCAGCTTCAGACGTGTCACCGGCATCGTGGGTGCCACCCATAGGCTGTGCAAGCTCAGGCTCCTCGACAGAACAGGTTGACATCATCGAGTTGAGCATGTGCTCCGGAGGCTCGTCATCATCCGAGTTGCTGCTCCGCGGAGGCCTGTTCTTGAAAGAAACAGCCGACAGGGCAGGGGAAGGATGATCATCGTCCACAATATGGCCGTGGACTAGACGGCCATGGATGACGTCCCGAGCGCGCTGTGCGAATTAGCGTAGTTCGGAATGTTGTGCATTGAGCTGTCAACACTTACCTCGTCAGTGTACTCGTCGGCGGTAGGGTCGGCGGGAGAGTGAGAAGCGCTCGGGGCTGTGACTGTCCGCATGAGCCGTTTCCTAGGAGAGTCCTGGCCATCTTCAGAAATGAAGGACTCGGCCCTAGTCGACTTGACCAGCGGACTCGAGGGCACGGCATTGACCGCATTGCCATTGAGTCTGCGAGCGGCAGAGGTCGCCCTGCCGCGACCCCTCACCGGCCCATCTTTCTTCTCATCGGCTTCGTCTTCAGCGTCTTCAGCAGCGTCCTCGGCAGCGTCCTCATTGGACGTGACTTTGACAGTCTCGGCCGGGGCAATGCCAGCCTCTGCGTCGAACTCTTCCTCAATCAGGCCGTCCGTCTCGTAGGTCCCGTCCAAGCCAAGCCTTTCAAATATGGCGCTGCCCTGCAAGCTCAGGCCCTCTCCACGACCAGGCCGTCGCCTATCGGTGGTGACGATACCGAAGCTGAGCTTCAATGCATCGGCCAAGCTGGTGACACGCTTGGTGCCGCCAGGGTTCTTGGACACGACGACGGTATCCCTCCAATTGGGCACATTGTTGCGGATCCAGCGGGCGAGCAGCGGCTCGGCAACGAGGTTGTCGACAGGGCACTTGAAAAAGCCCTGCATCTGAGAGGCGTGAAGGTCAATGGTGATGACGTGGTTGACGCCTGCGACGTGCAGGAGGTTTGCGATCATGCGAGCGGTGATGGCACCACGGTGCGACTTCTTCTTACTCTGGCGCGAGTAGGGAAAGTAGGGCATGACGGCTGCAGGGCGGGTTAGCGCAGTCGCGCATTGCAGTCGCGCAGGGCGCTGGTTACCACATACCCGTGATGGACTTCGAAGAGCCACCTTTGCAAGCCGAGATCATGATGAGCAGCTCCATGACATTGTCGTTGATCCTGAGTCGGTGTTAGCCCGGCACCAATCTCGTGAGGCAGGGGGACAAGACATACTTGGAGCTGCCGCTCTGGACAATGAAGACATCTTGGTCACGGACAGACGACTCTTGTGACTGGTAAGCTCAAGCGCGGGGCAGACGGCAGCTTTCATACTGACGGATCTGCACGCTGGTCTCTCCGTTGCTGAACTTGCGCAGCTCGGCCTTGCCTGGACGCTGGCCCAACCGGTCGCAGATGCCCTCGACCAGAGCCGGGTGTGATAGGCCCGAGAAGATCTGTGTCTGGCGCATGGTCACGAAGCGTGCGCTCAGAGGTGTGGGTGGGTGGGGGAGTGAGTGAAGGAAGAGAAGGGAGTGAGGTTGGAGGCACAGGGCGGAAGAAAATGCGTGCACGCGCCTTGCGGGGAGATGAATTTTTGGAAGCCACCGCCGGCCAAGACTTTTGATGCACAACAACCCCACCGCACATGATTCCGTCTGCTTCCCGAACACCGCCCTGAGCCGGCGCACGCTGCTAGCTCGCGCCTGTGCCAATCACAAGCACTGCAGCGCCTGCCATGTGCCTTCCATCTACGGGCCCCGCGTTTCTAGCAGCCAATGACACCACCCCCGCATATCGCCGCGGCATGCCGTCGATCCTACGTAGTGCTGAGAGCTGAGCTCAGCTTCAATGTCAAATAAAGTTACGATGTAACTACTAGCCTCAAGCCTCTGACCTCTTCCTCTTTGCTACAGCCCGTACCTGTGGCCCTCTCTCTCTCTCTCTCTCTCTCTCTCTCTTTCTTTCTAGGCCGCGCAGCATCTCGTCACCAACCCACCCAACACCACTCCCTCCCTCCCCGTCGTCCCGCCAGCACAACACACGGAGGAAGCCATCCATCCCATCCCCCCCAAAGTCTCCAATGGAGCAGCAGCGTCCACACCCCCAACGCGCCCTCTCCTCGCACCCCGTCGTGTCGCCCGACTACACGCTGCGGCCAGCGCGCGAATCCGACATCCCAGCCCTCAACGCCATCCACGCCCACTACGTCGCCCACACGGTCGCCACCTTCGCCACGACGCCTCTCAGCGACGCCGGCTTCCTCGCCGCGTTCGGCGCCGTCCGCGCCGCGGGGCTGCCCTACCTCGTCGCGGCCGACGCCTTCAACACGCCCATCGGCTACGCCAGCGCCGCGCCCTTCCGCGGCGCCGAGGCCGCCTACCGCCAGACGGTCGAGTTCGCCGTCTTCTGCCACCCGGACAGCACGGGCAAAGGGATCGGCTCGGCGCTGCTGCAGCGGCTGCTGGACGTGCTGAGGAGTCCGGAGGAGTGGGGCGAGGACTGGATCGGGGAGGCGTGGCGCGGCGACGAGGGCAGGGTGAGGCAGGTGATTGGGTGCATGGCGCTGGATGAGACGGGGAGGAGGGGCGGGTGGGGGCTGAAGGAGTACTATGAGGGGTTTGGCTTCGAGCACGCGGGGACGCTCAAGGAGGTGGGGCGGAAGTTTGGGAGGTGGATCGATACGGTGTATGTCCAGCTCTCTTTGTGAATGTGGGAGTGGGGAAATACAGAGAGAGAGATTTCGCCGCTGTCGGGCCTGTCTGCCTTGATCATGCAAGCAAGCCGCCGGTACGCCAGCTTCTCCTCTTTTCTCCGCAAGAGATCGAAACTCCCGAAGGCAGCAAAACACAAGCACTCCACCGTCTTCATCGTCCCAAGCGAGGCCGTTCCTGTGCGCCGGTACGGAAAGGCAGTGCGGCTATAAAGGAAAACATGCGGTAGTAGCCCATCTGTTCCCGCCAGCCTGCTGGGGAAATAAACAGGCGGGCCTCCAGATACAGAATGGCGTGGGTGGTGGGATGCTTCTCATCCACGCGTGGTCTCCCTCGTCGCGGCCCGCCTGCCGAGTTGAAATGGGTCGATGGCTAAAGGCGCCAGGGTCTACGGTGTTCTGCGAATGGAGACGGTAGTGTCTTTATCAAAGACGAGACGGAACTCGAAGGTGAACGGATCTTTGGACGGCATGGTGACGTCGGGTTCGGATGGTGTATTTGGATACATGACATCTTTGATGATATTCAGACATGGAGCGTGGATGACTGGGTTAGTACGTGGGAGTATACGATTCAGTGTGATGCACTGCGAAGTCAACAAACGGTTTCGTCGAAATGCGAATAGTTTTTTGCCTGGGACTTCTAAGAACAACCTGACTACAGCTCGACAGCAGGAGGAGAATTGCAAACTGATTTGAAGACATGCTTTCTCAGCTGTCCTGCTTAGGTGCAACTTGACCCAATTAGAAAAATCGCATACCACCTTGCTAAATGTCGCGAAGTTGGTCTGCTTGTCGTTACGGTAGTCGGTTCGACGAATGCTGCCATCCGGGCGGTTTCAATGTCGTGTCATGCCGCACATGTTCATTTTGATAGCCATTTCATATGACCCACCTCGTGCAGTTTTATCGTGCCGCAGTGTTGAGCGGATCGACCGCGCAACGATTCAAGCACTCGTATCCATCCAATCAATGCAATCCGTGATCAACTTTGGTGATGCGTGCTGACCTTCAAACTCGTACTGCTCGAACATGTCCCAGTAGTAAAAGTCTTCCTCGAGGAAGAGCTCTTTGGCAGATAATTCCTCGACTACCGTCTCGATCCTGCCTGTAGCAATCAGCTTTGGGCGGCGGACAAACGCCCTGATCCTACCCTGGACGCCGTCTACGGGCAAGTAGCCAAACGCAACAACCCGAAGGGCTGGGTTAGCTGAAGCCGATCTGCGGAACATTTCATAAGCAACGTTGGGCAACCACGGGTTGCCTTCGTAGAAATCAACCAGAGTATCATAGGATGCTTCGGCGTTCTGTCTGTTTTTGTGTGGACGTATATTGCAGAGGAGGCGGAGGCGGGGCGCTATGGACACCGCGTTCTGATTGAACTGTCAATGTTGGTGTTGTACCTGACTGTGGGATGGCAGAAGACTTACTAGGAAAGCCTGCATTTCCAATTCGCCACCATTGGGCTCGCTATGATGTGTCTCCAATGTAGGTAGGCTGATCCAAAGCTCTTCCAGCCCAGGGTGGCTAGCAACGAGGTTGGTCAGGACCCTATACATGTCTTCGCCAAGTGCGGAAAAGCTTCTTCCCAAGGATAGAGTCACTCTTGAGCGACCTCTACCGCATACCTCCAGGCACAGCGTTCGAAGCGTCCCCGATCGTAGTGTAAGCTCCTGACACATTTTGATAAATCCCTTCCTTGTAGAATACGAAGCCCCGGCTTTTGGACCTGACGTGTGCAAGACGCCCACTCCTGCTAGCACAAGGCGTCGCAGGTTGCGGAACTTTTGAAAGTTGTAGATCTCTGTATCGTCAAAATATCCACCTTCGATGACAATGTCTCTGACCTTGGTATCTGGATAAAGGTTCGCGATCATAGAGAGGAAGATGCCGGGCCTCCGCATGCACTCGCGGAGGGTCAAGGATTGAAGGTCAGAGAAGTCAACAATCTCTTCGAGGAGGCGACAGAATACAACAGAGCTGTTTCTTTTCCAAGGGCAGCCTGTTAGAGTCAAAGTCTTCAGCCGAAACCTAATGCCGAGGAGGGCCAACATATTTGCAGTCAGTACGAACGAATCGGGTCTGCCTGGAGCTGTGTGATGCACGCAACAACCGCCGGACAAATGCTTGAGGTTGCAAGCGCCTGCAAGCATCGCGCCAGCTGCCTTCGCCATGGACACGTGAGAGTTGCACTGGACACATATCGCGATGGACGTGAGCATCGGCAGGTAGGGCAAAGTCCGGTCTGGTGATGGCATGGTGGACAAAGCGCGTGGTGGCCAGCGCAGGTCCAAAGTTACCAGGTTACGCTGAGTCTGGAACATGTAGTCGACGAAAGAAGTAGGGTGCTCGGGGGTAGCTTGGCAGATGAATCGAACACTCCGTAGCTGGTGGTTAGGGATGTGCCGGAAAAGGTGCGCCCAGTTATTGTAGAAGTGCTGGCCCCGTGGGAAAGGACGGATGATGGTTATGTCACGGATCTCTGTCGAAGCCGGGTTAGATGGGCTGGTGAGGTCGCAGAGATCTTGCGGGGACCACTTGGTTTCAGTGATGTAGATGTGCTCGTAGAGAAGCGGTAAGGTGAGGAGGCGGAGGTCCTTGCAGGTGAGAGCCAAGTTCGCTATATCTCGTTTGCGCGCGATCTAAACATGTGTGGTCAGTGTGCGGATGAGGTGGGCATGGCGGGGCGCGGTTGCTTGAGCCAGTGCGCGACTCACAAAGTTGATGATCCTCAAAGCGATTTCATTGGGGACGCCGCCAAAGGCATGCGCCGGCGGGCTGTTGAGCGACGGGCGGAAAGGCGCGAGAGCGGACATGTCGCCGACGGTGGACGGGGCATGGAGGATGTTGTCAGTTGAGATATAAATGAAGCATGGATGGGAGTGCGCGACGCGTCGCGCAGATGACCCAACAAGGCAGCCCTGGATACGGCAGGAGCGATGGGCTCGTGGGTGACGCGGTGCGCGTCAGACCCAATAATCACCCACCACCAAACACTGGGCAAACTCTTCGAACAATAAGTACACTGACTGAAGCGCATTGACCTGAAGCTGCTTTGAAGACAGAGAGCACTGCAGATGGGCTGTTCGGATCAGTGTTCGATCTCCTTTGGTCTGCTTGCTATATACTAGGCATAAGAATATCCAGGCAGCAACATGGTGTAGCTAGGCAGCACTACCAGGCACGCGAAGACTTAAGGAACCGAAGCACCCTACAACGGACTCGAGCGCACAGCTCTCGTCATTTATCGCGAGTGTTTGCTGACATGCGTCTTGGGTGAGGCGGAAGTAGAGCTGTCGCTCCCAAAGACGGCAGCCAATGGATCATGGGCAACGAGAAACGCGGTGAACAGCGACTGAGACGCGGGAGAGACAAGGAATCCGGGAGAGACGGCAGGAGAGGAGCAAAAGGGGAATGCCGGGAGCCACAGTTTACACATTGCCAAGGGAAGCGCGACAGAGATTTAATAAGAGAAACTGCAGTGCGGAACCGTGTTCGTGGTTGGGCAAGCAGGACAAAGCCAGGGCCGCGGCTGCCTGGTGCGGCTGCGACGAAGGCGACGCACCCCATGGGGCAGGCTGCACACGGGCGCGCCGGGGAGAGAGCACAGAGAGGGCGCTCGCGAGCGATGGCGTCTGTCTGGTTGTGGGCGTGAGGCTGGCACCTGGCGCCAGCGGACATGGGAGCGATTGACGTGTTGCTTGGCCCTTAGCTAAGTAGGTTTGCCCCACCAAACCCGAGCGAGTCGGGGCTTATCGAATCGAAATTTCTAGTCGGCCCTAGAACGCCGTCGCAGTTTTCAGCCTCGTGCAGCCACATCAACTTCTCTGCTTTCGCCCCGGCTCCCTGCCACGCGTATAAACTCCCTCCGCGACGCGGTCCCTCCTTTCGAAAAGTTTGTCGCGCCGCCGTAGCACCCGCACCTCCACGCTCACCCGTCCAAACTCCCGAGTGACGCAACACCATGTCTGTCGTCGGTATTGATCTGGGGACGGCCAACACGGTTATTGCCGTCGCGCGCAACCGTGGAGTCGACGTCGTACGTCTGCAACACCCCCAGCGCCCCGCTCTCTGTGCTAACTGCTGCCGTGCAGGTCACCAACGAAGTCTCCAACCGCTCGACGCCGTAAGTCGCCCGCCGCTGCCCCTCCCCCGCCAGTCGCGACCGAACACACACACTGACCGCGCGCAGGACCCTCGTCGGCTTCGGCCCCAAGAGCAGATACCTCGGCGAGGCCGCCAAGACGCAGGAGATCTCCAACCTCAAGAACACTGTTGGCTGCCTGCCGCGTCTCGCTGGCCGTAGCCTGAAGGATCCCGATGTCGTTATCGAGCAGGAGTTCATCTCCGCCCCGCTTGTCGACATCAATGGCCAGGTCGGCGCCGAGGTCACCTACCTGGGCAAGAAGGAGCAGTTCACTGCCACCCAGATGATTGCCATGTACCTCACCAAGATCAAGCAGACCGCTTCTGCCGAGCTCAAGCTGCCCGTTTCCGACGTTGTCATCAGCTGTCCTGCCTGGTTCACTGATGCCCAGCGCCGTAACATCATCGACGCCGCCGACATCGCCGGCCTCAAGACCCTCCGTCTCATGAACGACACCACTGCCACCGCTCTGGGCTACGGTATCACCAAGCTGGACCTGCCCGCCCCCGAGGAGAAGCCGAGGCGCGTCGTCTTTGTCGACATCGGCCACAGCAACTACACTTGCTCCGTCGTCGAGTTCAAGAAGGGCGAGCTGGCCGTCAAGTCGACCGCTTACGACCGCCACTTTGGTGGTCGCAACTTCGACAAGGCCGTTGTCGACCACTTCGTCACCGAGTTCAAGGAGAAGTTCAAGATCGACATCAACGAGAACCCCAAGGCCAGGGTCCGTCTGACCGCTGCCTGCGAGAAGCTCAAGAAGGTTCTGTCCGCCAACGCCGGTGCCCCCATCAGCGTCGAGTCCATCATGAACGACGTCGATGTCCGCGGTTTCCTCAAGCGTGAGGAGCTGGAGGAGCTCATGAAGCCGCTCCTTGAGCGCGCCACCAAGCCGCTCGAGCAGGCTCTCGCCGAGGCCAAGCTCAAGCCCGAAGACATTGACTCGATTGAGCTCGTCGGTGGCTGCACCCGTGTCCCTGCCCTCAAGGCCGCGATCCAAGACTTCTTCGGCAAGCAGCTCAACTTCACTCAGAACGCCGACGAGGCCATTGCTCGCGGTTGCGCCTTCAGCTGCGCCATCCTTTCTCCCGTCTTCCGTGTCCGCGACTTCTCCGTCCACGACATCGTCAACTACCCCATTGAGTTCACCTGGGAGAAGTCGCCCGACATCCCCGATGAGGACACCAACCTGACTGTCTTCAACAGGGGCAACACCATGCCCTCTACCAAGATCCTCACCTTCTACAGGAAGCAGCCCTTCGACCTGGAGGCCAGATACGCCAAGCCTGACGGCCTTCCCGGCAAGACCAACCCGTGGATTGGTCGCTTCTCTGTCAAGGGTGTCAAGGCGGATGCCAAGGATGACTTTATGATTTGCAAGCTGAAGGCTCGCCTGAACCTTCACGGTATCCTTAACCTGGAGCAGGGCTACTACGTCGAGGATAAGGAGGTGGAGGAGCCCATTCCTGAGGAGAAGAAGGAGGGTGATGTATGTGAACATTCCGATTTCGTTGGCGTTGGCTCTCCAAGTGAAGCGCCGGAGATGAGGGGCTCGGTCCGCTTGAACGAATCCCCCATCTCTCGCGACGCTAAGAGAACTAAACACTCGCCTTTCCCGCATCCTTCTTCCCCTCCATTCGCTCTTCCCGCCGATGACAAAGAAGCCTCTGAACTGACTAGTGCACAGGCCATGGACGTTGACGCCAACGGCAGCGCGGACAAGCCCAAGACTCGCAAGGTCAAGAAGCAGGTCCGCATGGGCGACCTTCCTCTCTCTTCCGGTACCGCATCGCTGGACCAGGCCTCCAAGGAGACGGCCGCTGAGCGCGAGGCCGCCATGATCATGGAGGACAAGCTCGTCGCCGACACGGAGCACATGAAGAACGAGCTCGAGGGCTTCATCTACGAGCTCCGTGGCAAGCTCGACGACGTGTACGCCGAGTTCGTCAGCGACGAGGAGAAGGAGAAGATCAAGGCCAAGCTCGAGGCTTCTGAGGTAAGTCTGATTGAGTGGTTTTTGGCATTTTCAGTAACTGACTTGGCCATAGGACTGGCTCTACGAGGATGGCGAGGACACCACCAAGGCTGTCTACGTCTCCAAGATTGAGGAGATTCGCGCCCTTGCCGGCCCTGTCATCCAGCGCTACAACGACAAGCTTATGGCCGAGCTTGAGGCCAAGCGGAAGGTCGAGGAAGAGGCGGCTGCGGCCAAGCGCGCTGAGATTGAGGCCCGTCAGAAGGCCGAGGCGGAAAAGAAGCAGGCTGCGGAGGCCCCCAAGGCTGAGTCCAAAGACGCTGAGATGACTGACGCGGACAAGCCGGCCGAGACGGAGGAGGCGAAATAGGAGGTGAAAAAGCAAAAGTCCGTCACAGGCGTCGGTTCGGTATGATGCACGAGAAAATGATGCATTACTGGGTCGTTGGGGGTTTGATGATTGATTCCTCTATTCCCTATGCTCTTTTTTTACTTTTCCAGTTTCTTGACACGACTGCGTAGGATCGATATTCGGATACGGCAAAGGGGCTTTATGATAGATCGATCTTATAGAGACAATGATGGGTAAAATTTCACGACTTTAAATATTGGTGCCATGTGATGTTGCATGTGCAATCTTTGAGTTGCATATTTGGATTATGAACTCTGCTGCGCATTCTGTTGGATTGCAGAAGGGTTTCAATACACATCTACTTCTCCATCAGCATGTACCATGGACTCGGAAACAAATCCTTATCTGACTGCTGCATTCAAGCAAGAACAAGCAGGACAGGAGAGGGGAGGGGAAAAAATATTTCTAAACGAACGAGAGATACCCACAGCACCGTCATCGTTTGACGTCACATTTCCCCACAGCCCCTCAGCAGATCCCCTGCCAACCAGCTCTCCATGCCCCTCCACGGTGGGTGACGAAAGAAATTGACCCCAACCCACCTACATGCGCAGCGGAATCCAGCTATCTGGATGCATCTGTAATATTTCAGTACTCGCATCTACATCCGGACATCTACTTCAGCTACTGATGAAGAAAAGGTCGTTTAATATTTAAACTTACATCTACGTTAGTATACTTGCTTCAACTGCCTACACGAAGGATCGCCGTACGTCAATTTTTCTTGTCACCCACTGTGCCTCCCCCTACTTCCCCCGAGCACCCTTCTGCCATCAGCCACTCTGTCCCCCTTTCCCAACATGCGTCAGAAGTCATCAGGTGTTTTCCCGCAGAATCCCCGACACACCCTCGACCCCCGATTCCGGCTTAGCGTGAGCCGCTCAACTTGCAAAAAAAAAAAAAAAAAGGAACTCCTCAACGCTCCCAGCATCCCCACCTTTCACGGGACAAAACGGCGAAGATATGCTGTGACCACGCGACATGATTTTGAACTGTATAAAAACGTACGGACATTGGATTCAGCTACCTATGAGATGAATGTAGGAAAGTTTGATTCTTTGGCGAGCCATTGCGGGGAGGGCATGCCGCTGAGCGTTATGGAAAGTGGTTTTGTGAGTTAAAGAAAACAAATTACGAGATCTAACGAAATCTCACATAACCATCAATGCATTCTCCGTTCGAACCCAAACCTGAAGACTAACTCGTGGCCCTCTGGATCTACATTGACATTCAGCTCATCGGTCAAAAGAAATGGTAGAGTAATGATGTACCTCGCAGAGCCCTCGCAGGTCTGACGGAACGCCAAGTGACATAGGCGATACTGATCGATACGATGCCCGCCACGAATGCGATTACCACTCCGACGATGTTGATTTCGTCGCCGACAGAGATGCCACGGCTGATGATTGCCATTTTCTGATGCTTGTAGATTTTCTGGAAGCCTGAGGACTGCGAGGTCAGATCGCGACTCTACAGATACGAGATGGCGAATAGGCCAATGAGCGGGGAAAGAACCTTGGCGAGCCTCAAGGAAAATCAAAACCTTTGGCCAAGTTTGTGCTGTAAATATAATGTTGCCTGCGAGTAGTTGCGTACATACTCAAGGACATCTGGTCGGGTTTTTATACTAACATTCGGCTGTGATTCTGCAGTCTGCCTTGTAAAGATGCGCCCAAATGGGCGACACAGCCCTGGAGATTGCGGACGTGTCGTGCGCCTGCTAGCATCTTGCCTCTCCCCATTCGCCCATCCTACAGGCCTCGTTTCCTGCAAGCATATTGCCTCTCCCCATTCGCCCATCCTACAGGCCTCGTTCCCTGCAAGCATCTTGCCTCTCCCCATTCGCCCATCCTACAGGCCTCGTTCCCTGCAAGCATCTTGCCTCTCCCCATTCGCCCATCGGCGTTACGCCCTCACACGGCCCACTGATCGCCGAGCCGCGCCATACTACAGACATCGTTCCCTGATCGCCTCCCTAGACGCTCCAATGGACAGACCAGCGATGGCTGCAGGCCTGCTCACCCAGACTGTCGGATGCAGCTGGATCGGCCCCCGATTCGCGGGTATGCGTGTGACGCCTCGCATTTGTTGATTGATCTCGTACACCTCGTCATAGGAGCAGCAGCCGGGCTGCACGAAGCGTAAGGCTGAACGCTGCAGCTGCATGCATGAGACGATCACTGCGGAGACCTGCCGCCTACGACCCGGGACTTCACCAGAGCGCCATCATAACCGGAAATTCGTGGCAATAGACGAAAATCGATTGTATTTGACGCATCTGACGAATGACACGAAGAGCGAAGGGGAGGCGACCCGGTAGGTGCTTTATACTCTGCTCCGATGATAAAACTATCTACGCGCATGAAGATGCTCATACTGCAACAAAATGCATCTGGTCACTATTACGGTTTCGGGCCTTCCAACGCAATAGAATCATGTATGTAGTTTCCAATCGTAAAGTTGCCTTGCTAACAACGCAAAGCCGAAGAACTTTTAAACCAGAAACTTGAATCAGATCCGAAAATTGGAGAACTGTTAAGAGCGAGTATCAAGACATACTGTTGCATACCAAGTCACTGGCGACTCTCGTGTAGTTTTGACAAGTGGTAACATGCTTGATATTAGAAGATGAAGACAATATGCCTTAAGTGATCCCAAAAACCTTCCAAAACACCACACTCCAAAAACCCAATGCCCATACTCCGAATCAAAGACTAACACCTTCCCGTTGATAATCCCAGATAACCCCGAAAAGTGCCAAAAACAAAAAACAAAAAGAAAAGTCAAACAAGAGAACATCTCCACATCACCCATATCAAATCCCCGAATCAATCTGATCCACCACAACCCCACTCTCAGACGTATACTCATCCCACCTCCTACACGTCTCCTCCATCACCATCGGCACCGAGCCCGGCAGCTCCTCCGCCCTCTCCAACAACTGGATGTTATACCCCATCCCCGCATGCCACGCGATGTGGCAGTGATACGTCCACGCGCCGGGGTTGTCCGCCTCGAACTGAATCACCAAGTGGCCCCCCCGCCGCGAGAGCATCGTGTCCCTGCGGGCGGGGTTAGCCGCGTTGCTCTCGTCGATGACTCCATCCCACACGCCGGGCCCTTCCGCCAGCACCTGGAAGGCGTGGCCGTGCAGGTGCATCGGGTGCGAGGACGGGTAGGCGTTGTTGATGACGATGCGGACGGTGCGGGCGCGGCCGGTGTCGTAGACGTTCCAGGCGTCCGGGAAGGAGGTGTTGCCCTGCGCGGCGGCGAGGAGGGAGGGTGCGTTGTAGTCGGCGCGTTGGGTGCGGTTGTTGAGGGTCCAGACGTGGTGGCCGGTGGCGTTGGTGGTGAGGTTGGCGGTGAAGGTGAGGGTGAGGTCGGGGGTGGGGATGAGGGGGTGCGGGAAGAAGGGGGTGGTGGTGTTGAGCGGGTCGTTGAGGCAGAGGAAGGGCTTTTGGTCGGCGGCGGCGGCGGCGGGGTTGATGGCGGTGGTGGGAGTTTCGATGGCGAGGGGACCGGCGGCGTTGTCGTCGTCGCTTTCGTAGGAGATGATGGCTAGGGCTTGGGTGTTTTCGGCCATGGAGCAGTTGAGGGCGATGGTGGAGCGCATCCAGTAGGTAGCGTTGGGGCTGGCGTCGGCCTTGACGAGGATGTCGGTGCGCTGGGCGGCGCCCAGGGTGATGTAGTCGGCGTCGTAGGGGACGACGGGGACCATGTCTTGGGCGATGACTTGCATCTGGTGGCCGTCGATGCTGAAGTGGACCAGCGCCGCCGCCCCCGTGTTCATCAGGCGCAGCCGGTGCGTCGCGCCCGGCGTGAAGCGGAACTGCGAGAGCCCGGCGTTGTTGACGCAGGTTGCGTTGACATCGGCCTGAGAGCAGTCGTAGTTGTTCTTGCCGTTGATCAGGTTGTTGCTTGCGCTGGGCGCGTACACGGAGAGGTTCTGGCTGGTCGAGGCCGCGTCGGCCACCATGTCCGTGTACTGGCGGTGGCTGTAATCATGGAGCATGACGGGCCCGACGTCGACGTCGTAGCCGACATGCTTCGGGCCGTAGATGATCATGGGGCCAAAGACGCCGGCCGTCCATTGAGCCGAGTAGTGCGAGTGCCACCATGAGGTGCCGTAGACGTCGGCGCGGAAACGGTAGGTAAAGGAAGCACCAGGCGCGATGGGACACTGAGTCACACCGGGAACACCGTCAAAGTACTGCGTGTCCTTTTGCGTGAGGCCGTGCCAGTGAATCGATGTTCCCTCTTCGGGACCGTCGATGTGGTTGTGCACCCGCACCTCAATCCAGTCTCCCCAGTTGGCCTCGATCGCAGGCCCCGGGAACTCGCCGTTGACAAAGATGCCGCTCTTGTTCACGCCATCCGGCGAGAGGGCTTGTCGTGAGAGAGTGAAGTGGTAGTGTCTCGTGACTCCTGTGTTTGGTGGTTGCGAATAAGGATCGTTGCTGAGACCTTCCCTTTCCCGGTCTCCCCATGGAACCCCGCATGGAAGCGGGTTGTTGGTGAGGAAGTCAGGGAATCTAGGCACATCCAAAGTACCCCATATGGACTGCCCGTTCGTGACAGTCTGAGGCAAAGCTTGAGTTAAGTTGCTGTACACAGCTGTCAATAATGACTTCAAAGTACCAGAACGGAGAATGAGCCCGAGATCGTACCTGGCTGAAGCGCCAACTGTAAGGACAGAGGCAATGAGACTCAAAAGAGAGCTACACTTGGACTTCATGATTGTTGGGAGAAAGAAAAGACAGTGTGTTGAAAGAATGGAGAGATGGTTGTGTGATGTCGAGTTCAATCTTGTCGGCAACACCTCATGGTATATATACAATCATGTCTCTGCAAACCATTCAGCATCCACCCAAGGTGACAACAACCACTTCTCACGACCGCAACACCATAATGCTACGTCCTCCAAGCCACATCCAGAAGTCTATCGAATCGTGAACCATACAGAATTGACAAATCTAGCCGTGTGGCTGAGCGGGACGAAAACGTCTAGGCAGTGAGCGGTATGGCGGCTCGACTAAAATAGCCATCCACGGACACCCCGGGAGGATCCATCCTCCGGTCCCTTCTCCATATTCAGCCCTGCCGGGCTATTCCACACCAATAATAATAATGGAGCGTAACATGGAGGGTGACAGCCGATCACACAGTCCCTGACCCATAGCAGTGCATACCTCCGCGGCGTTGCCGTATGTAACCAACGAGACGGTGAACCTATCCATGCAGTACCGCATTAATGGAGTAGCACCCCTCTGCTATACACGGCTGGCAACGGAATATTTCGTGGCATCTCGAGCGTTTTGGGTAAAGGAGACGGTGGATCTGAGCAATGTAGCCTTGACCGCTCCAGAAGCCGCCGAGGTTTGAGATGCGAAGGTGGGTGATTAGGAGGATGGGGAGTGCATCGACTTTGAGAAAAGGCATTTGCCGTTGTTCATCAAGTTGAGTTGTGGGCCCGGAATCGCCGGTCGATGCAAGGGGTGAAATGGGGTTGCACGTGAATAAAATAACGAGCTACTAACGCCGGAACAGGTAAGAAGTGGCCAGTGTTCTGGAGGAAGACTGTTCTAGAGCACTTTATTTCTTTCTAGTCTGGAAGGTGCAGTAGTATCGTGTCCCGATAGCTCGAAGACAGTCATTCGCAGGTATCGTTGGAGTAGCAACATTCCCAGCCAATAGACCCTCGATTGTTTTGGTAAAGACTGCTATATTTACCTTCAAATAGGTGGACATTAGTAGACGTTCAGAAGCTAAAGCGCATAGTACGCCCTATTTAATACCTATTGTGGCGGGCGCAGCTAACTTGCGAATGGATTGGACAGCGTGACATAGGCGGAGCCTGGGATTGCCCCGTCACACGATGCAAGCAGTAAGCCTATTGCCTATCCAGATACCGTGTCTATGTCTATGATGGATACTTTCTCCGACGAAATGGGGATCTTGGTGCGTTCCACCACACATGTCTGCAAGATATTAGATCCTTTAATAACACATAGAGAACGATACACTATTCCTACGTAGCTATGTACCTATAGTAAATATCCGGTCACACAATAGATCTAAGGATATATAGATATATGCAGAGATGGGATTTAAGTGGCATCGTACCTCCCCTCTCTCGTCACGTTTTCCGACTTCTCGTCACTCCGGCCAGGTTCCCATCTGCGTATATTTTCCGGTGTGGATGTGTAGGTACCACTTCTATCCACGCCCAATGCGGCTACAAAAGGGCTTGTAATTATTCTTCAATAAGCTTTATTCTATGGAACCCTTCTGTTTTTAAATCTCAAAGTCGCTGAGCAGCCCGCCTTTTTTTTTTCTCAGACCGTGCAAACGCCAAAGTCACCTCCGCTCCAGGGAAGAATAAAAAAAACACCAAGAAAGAATGAACCCGAACCAATTCCAAACGCCCACCGCTCTAACCAAAAGAAAACCATGCTCATCAAGCCTTCAACCCCTCCAACAGCGCCCCATCTCCCTTCTGCTCCACAGCCCTGAACACCCTCCCCTCCCCACCAACATCCACCCCCTCCTCCGCCCGATCATACGCCTCCTCCCTCCTATCCGTCAAGATCCTCAGCTCCTCCTCCCCCAACAACCCACCCCCACCACCAACATCCCACGCCACCCCATCCTCCCTCCTCAGCAACCTCTGCAGCTCCTCCAACTCCTCCCTGCCCTCCCTGTCCTCTCTCCCCCCACCACCCCCACCGCGCGTCAACCCCCCCTTCCTAATCACCAGCTTCTCCAGCCGCCTCTTCCCCTCGGCCGCGTCGAGCAGCTGCGTCTCGACCGTGTTGCGGGTGGCGAGGCGGTAGACGAGCACGTTGCGCGTCTGGCCGATGCGGTGGGCGCGGTCCTGGGCCTGCAGGTCCTGCTGGGGGTTCCAGTCGCTGTCGAAGAGGACGACGGTGTCGGCGGCGGCGAGGTTGATGCCCTGGCCGCCGGCGCGCGTCGAGAGGAGGAAGAGGTTGGCGGGCGGGGGGTCCTCTGCCTCGTCGTCGTCGTCGTCGTCGACGTCGGGCGGGCTGGGTTCACGGCGGGGTTTCTTGCTGGATGAGGTGGTGGTGCGGCGGGAGGGCTTGGGCTTGGGCTTGGGCTTGGAGCTCTTCGAGGTGGGGGTGTTGTTGTTGTTCTGTTTGCTGGAAGAGGCGGGGGCGGGGGCGGGGCTGGCCGCCGCGGTCGAGGGTTTGTTGAAGGCTTTGATCAGCTTCTGTCTTTCCTCCTGCTTGACGCTGCCGTCTATGCGGCACGTGCGCCAGCCGCGCAGCTCCTCGGCGTAGCTCTCGAGCAGGTCGAGCTGCGTCTTGAACTGGCTGAAGATGAGCACCTTGTGGCCCTCGTCGAATAGCCGGGGCAGCAGCGCGTCGAGCAGCAGCATCTTGCCCGACGTCGTGACGAGCGTCTCGTCCGGTTCGCCCTCCTCGCCCGTCGTCGGGTCGACAAAGGGGCTGAAGAAGTTGTACGGCGAGTCGCAGCACAGCCGGAGCTGCATGACCGGGTTCTGCAGCTTCTTTGCACCGATCTGCCGCTTGGCCATGGCCAACGTGGCGGCCCGCATGTCCTCCTCCTCAACTTCCGTGTCCGGGGTTGAGCGGGACTCGGGTGTGGCGTCCGAGTCCTCCGTGGCGGCCTCTAGTTCCCGGAAGTATTTCGTATCGCTGACCTCTTCGTATGTCTTGCGACCAGCGGCTGCGCGGCGACGGCTACGACCGCTACCTGCGGCGGAAGCGGGCGTGACTTCGCGGCTCGTCTTGGTGCTCTTGTTCGGTGTGGCCAAGTCGCTGTTGATGGCCTTGCGTTTGAGGCTAGTAGTGCTGCGGGAGCTTCGAGGTGTACCAGTGTTGCTACTCATCTGCTCGACTGCCTTGTCCTCCAAATACTGTCGGCTGGTCCCGTCAAGGATGGCCTGGTAGAGTTCACGTTGCAATGGAGTGAGTGGGGCGTAGAGAATATACTCGCGCTTCCGAGGCATCAACTTCTCGACATCAGCCTTGACCCTCCTGAGTAGGAATGGCTTCAAGATGGCGTGCAGGCTGGCCACAAGCTTCTGCTTGCGCTCCTCGGAGAAGATCTGTTCGTAGCCTTGGCGGTCTTTGAGCGCAGAGAAGTCAAACCAGGATTCGAATGATTCCAGCTTGTCGAAGATTGTGGGCATGAGGAAGTGAAGGAGAGACCAGAGTTCTTGGAGGTTGTTTTGCAACGGCGTACCGGTTATGAGCAGACGATTGGCCGATTGGTAAGACTGAAGCTCGCGGATAAGACGGCAGTTGAGGTTCTTGATGCGGTGTCCTTCGTCGATGATGATGAACTTCCATCCAAAGTTCGCAAGGAACTTACGGTCGTTCATGCAAATCTCGTAACTCGTAACAACGATCGGAAACTGAGGAGAGCCCGGGTTCTTCAACCTGGTCTGGCGGATCTGTTCGCGGTCCTGCTTACTGCCATGGTAGAGCACAACCGGAATCGTGGGCGCCCACTTCCGCACCTCCTCCACCCAGTTCATCGTCGTACTCAATGGTGCCGCGATCAAGAAAGGCCCATAGACGCCCTTCTCCCTGAGGAAAGCCAGAAATGCGATGGTCTGAATCGTCTTACCCAAACCCATCTCATCCGCCAAGATGCCGTTCAATCCGTTTTCATAAAGCGACGTTAGCCACTCCAGCCCCTCGAGCTGATACGACCTCATCGTACCACCCGTGACCAAACCCGGCTGCCGCGCCGAACGAAGGTTCTGGATGCCCACGTCCGCGGATTTGACATCCGCCTCGGCAGCCTCCTGCAACGCGTCCGACACGCTGGTCTTCCCAGCCTTGGCCTCGACATCCTCCTTCTTGAAGTAGCTAGAAATCTTATTCTCAGCACCCTTCTTATCCGCCGCCGCCGCCGCTGCCTTCTTCCCCCTCGCCTTCCCCCTCGTCGGCAGCTTCTTTTCCTGCACCTCGCCGACCCCGGCCCTCGTCCTCGTCGCCCTCCTCATGCCCTCCTCCGCAACCTTCTCGGCCTTCTCTTCCCTCTTCATCTCCCGCTTCGCCGCCTTCTCGTCTCTCGCGCTCTCCTGCTGTTCTTGCTGCTGCATCTGCGCCAGCATGATGGAGCTGTACAGCTTGCTCTGGCTGAGCAGGTATTCGAGCGCTTTGAACTTGGTGTCGACGGCATCCGGGCCGCCGTCGACGTCGCGCCGTCGTTCTCGTGCTAGTTTTTGTTCGCGCGCCGCGTCGCGTTTCTCGCGGGCGCGCTGCATCGCGTCTTCTTCGCGCTGCATCGTGGACGAGGGGACGGCGGGTTGCTCGGCGGCGGTGGCGACGTCGTCCATTGTGGCGGCGGATGGGATTGTTCGGCCGGTGGTAGGTGTGAGTGAGGCGATGGCGGCGATGGGAGGTGGTTTTGCTTTACGCGGGGTGGCAATGCCGGAGGTGAGGAAGAAAGCTCGCGTTCCCGGCCGTCTGCTTCGATGCGGGGCGAACCGCCGTGTGGGGAGTATGGCAAGTGTTTCAAGCGGGTGAGTTTTGGGTGAGCGGCGTTCTGGGGAAGTGAGGAGACAAAGTGCGCGAGGTGAGTGGCCAATGGCTTAATTACTATCTCTCTCCAGGCGCCAGACGCGTCGACGTCACGGATCGCGGGAAGACGCGACGCCAGAGATAAGCGAGCAGCGCCTTGGCGATCCAGCCCAGCATGGATCCACAAGCCGCATCGACTCCCTACCTAACGCTTCCTATTGGGAGGAAGCGGCTTCTAGCCCTTCTCCGATCCACCTCAGGTGGTGCTACGGTGCGGGTCGCTGCGTCTTGCGGCGCCATGCGCTACATATGCCGCCACCACCCAACCTGCGAAACGCTCAAAGCCTGGAGGGGGATCATGTAGAATTAACGCCGATTATGCCCTATACAGTCTTTACCTGCTTGAATGCCGAATAAGAAGAAGCCAGCCCCGCGCTCAACTCCGCCTCTCGTCTTCTATCTGCCTCTTCAGGTCCTCCAGCACCTCCTCCCGCGTCCGCAGATGCGACTCCAGGCCGTCGACCTGCTCGCGCACCGTCTGGATCTCGTCCTGCATGCCCTTCAGGCCGGCGCCCTCCTTGGCTGCGCCCTCGCCGAGCTCGAGGTCGCGCAGCTGGCGGCGCTTGTACTCGAGCAGCTGCTCGAGCTCGCGCTTGACCAGGGCGGGCTTGCTGTCCTCGCGCGTGTCGCGGCCCTTTGCCTTCATCGTCTGCTCGACGTTGGCCAGCTTGTCGTCGAGGTCGCGCAGCTGCTTCTTCAGCCGCACCTCCTCCCAGTCCTCGGTCGTCTTGGCGGAGCCGAAGTCGGTGCCCTTGGGCATGTAGCGGCCGCGGTCGCCGACGCCCAGCCGGCTGAGGTAGGCGTCGCCGAAGCGGGCCTTGCGGCCGGCCGTGGTGCTCTCGTCGCGGTCGACGGCCCAGCGGCTCTTGGCCGACGGGCTCTGCACGCGGTCGAGGTTGTACTCGATGTTGCCCTTCTCGAAGCTGGCGCGCAGGCTGGGCGGCACGAAGCGCGGGATGCGGAAGCCCTCGTGGCGCATGTTGAGGATGTGCAGGAAGGCGAGGCAGGCGTCCTTGCCGACGGCGTCGTGGCCGCGGGCGTTGACCAGGTTCCAGGCGCTGCGCACGTCGGTGTCGGGCACGTCGAGCGAGTCGTACAGCGGCTCCAGCGCGTCGAAGGTCACGTCGCCGCGGTGGTCCTTGTTGGCCGAGTAGATCTCCTCGTACTTCATCTTGTCGGCGGGCGACATGTACCAGTCGAAGCCGTCCTTCAGGCCGGGGGTGTCATCGTCGTCGTCGACGCGCTCGAACTCGGGCTGGCCGCCGGAGATTGCGCGCGTGGCCTGCACCAGGTGGGCTTTGGACTCGGGGACGAGCCAGTCGGGGAGGGTTTGTGGGACGTCGTTGTATTCCTGCGCGCGGCGATGGGTTAGCCCAGGCTCACAGCTCCCCCTCGCGTGGTTGGTGCCCGAAGCGGGCGGGACGGGGGAGACGTACGCCGTTGACGAGGTCGAAGATCAGGCGCATGGCGACGCAGAACTCCTCAAAGTCCAGGCGGCCATCGTTGTCGACGTCGGCCAGGTCCCAGATCTTCTCGAGCTGGTCGTCGCGCAGCTGGCTGTTCTTGAGCACGGAGGCGGCCTGCTGGCCGTCGAGGTGGGAGCCGCCCTGGGACAGGGAGGCGAAGATCTCCCAGTAGCGCTCGACCTCCCATTGTTCTATCCGCTTGGCTCCTGACATGGCTGGGGGTGGTGCGGTCCGCGGCGGGGGTGGGTGTGGGTGTGGACGTCGCGATTGCGGTGATGGCCGGTAGCTGGCAGCCCCCCGAGCTGCCCGATGAGATGCGCCAAGCGCTCCCCTCCGCCCCCGCCGCTCCGCCCGGAACTAGTTCCCGTCCACGCGCTCACCTCCGCCCCTGCTCCGCTCAACTCACTCTGCCACTGCATCTGCTGCTCTACGAACCGGCAGCATGCGTCCGACCATCCCCAGCAAGGCCAGAACAAGTCTCGTCGAGCCCCTGGACCAGCCCCGAGCGACCGACGCCCCACGTCACATGCGCCGAAAGCTACCAGGCACGAGGCTAGCTTGTGAAAGGCTCCGACGATAACCTGCGCCACTACCGTACAGCTGTCGCGGCGCCGATTGATTCAGAATGCCAGCAAACGCAGCTTCACCGGGGCTTCAGCTCTGCAAGCCTAAGCGAGCCTGCCTCATGCCGAGTGAAAAAGATGAACCGCGCCGCACTGCTGCAGACGGCGTTAACCCACACCTGGCCAAGCATCGACACGGCTACTTCTCCCCGGTCACTCGGCGACCTGCATCCACGCCGTGTTCCGACCCGCGCCTCACTGTCGGCGCAACGGTGGTAAGGATTGTCCGCAGAAGCCCCACCCCCTGCGGCACGGTGTGAGGATTGTCCAGCATACGGAAGCTGCTCACCCTTGCCATCCACCCCCGCGAGTCGTATGCCACTCTGTGGCCCCATATTTGCCTTCACGCGAACCAATCTTGATGGCTCAGTTTGCTGCCAGGACTCTCTCTCGCCTGGGTGGAGCCCTTCCCGCCGTGCCGCACAACATAAATAACAGCGTACTTTGTTTTAGCAATCATGCCTTTGCTCATCCATAATCTGTCGCCATGGCTTCGCCGCTCCCTGCCAGTATAGGCTCTGTTGCCGTTGGCTCAGTTCCTCGCCTGCTACTTGCATCCACAGTCGCTGTAAGAACTCGCAGATGAGTTTCATTCGGGACACGACAGCTCAGCTCAAGGTCGGCAGGCTCTTGTATTCTACCTTGGCTTGGCCGTTCAACGGCTGTGGTTTCATCCCCTTGCAAAGTACCCCGGGCCCCGTTTGGCAGCAATCACCAATGTCGGTCTCGTGCCCTTGGGAACGAGTCATTCAGTGACTAAGCAGATTATACAGCTCCCATATTCCATCGACTATCTGAGCGGCCGACAGCCCTACCGCCTCCTAAAGCTGCACCAAAAATACGGTCGGTGTTTACGAGACAAGATAACCACCCAAACGCTCACACTCACCCCCAGGTTCGATCGTCCGCATTGCGCCCAATGAGCTGTCCTTCAACACGGCGCAGTCCTGGAAAGACATCTATGGCCAACGCAAAGGACACAGCCCCTTCGTCAAAGCTCCTTTCTACGATGGAAACATGTTCTCCGACATGGCCCACTCCATCGCAAGCGAGTGCGACCCCGCAAAGCATGCCGTGATGCGGAAATACCTCGCCAGCGCATTTACCGAGCGGTCCTTGCGAGAGCAGGAAGCCATCATCGGCGGGCACGTGGACGCCTTCGTCTCCCGAGTTGGAGAGCTAGGATTGGCCAAGGAAGGCATTGACCTCACGCGCTGGTTCCACCTTCTCACCTTGGACATCATCGGAGACTTGGCCTTTGGCCAGTCTTTTGGGGGCATCGAGTCCGGTAGGTGTTTTGTGTCGAGGGGAGGGAATTGGGCTGATGGTTTGTAGGAAAGACGAACAGCTGGATTGAGGCTGTCATTGGAAGCATGGGACAGTTCATGTTGGCCGACACTTTCGGTCGGTTTCCCTGGATCGGGAAGACACTGATCACGCTGAACCGCGGCGCCGTGGAAAAGCTTCTTGCTTCGGCGAGAGAACACCAAGCGTTCACGGTGGAACTGATCAAGAAGTAAGTGAAGCAGTCGATGTATGTGCAGGCGCTTCAAGTCTGATATTGGTAATAGGAGGCTTGCGCAAGATACGGGCCGCAAAGACTTCATCACATGTCTGTTGGATGGCGGAGAAAACCAAGAGCAAATGTCTGAGATTGAGCTGGCGGCTCATTCTTCCGATTTTGTGTGAGTCAAGCCGAGACAAGACTGGCCCCACGGGTGTCTCTGACCAATGATACATAGCATCGCTGGAAGTGAGACCACCGCTACAACGTTGGCGGTGGTGGTTTTCTACCTTTGCAAGGACCCGGCTCTCATGGAAGAACTGCAGAGGGAGATTCGCAGCTCTTTTGATAGCTACGATGCTATCAACTCCACGAGTACCGCGCGGCTTCGTTACCTCCACGCTGTCTGCCAAGAGGCCTTGCGAATCTGTCCGCCCGTGCCTCTCGGTCTTCCGAGAATAGTTCCTCCGGGAGGTGACACGGTCGACGGCCAGTTCCTTCCTCACGGGGTACGTAGCCCTTTATTTGTCATCCATCTTGGCCAAGTTTACTCACAGTGTGAACAGACGGTGGTATCAACCCACCCCCTTGCAGCCACCTTTTCAGAATCAAACTTTGCCGATCCGTGGAAGTTCGACCCGCAGAGGTGGCTCTCGCAAGATAACCGAGATTGCTTGGACGCCAGCCAGCCGTTTTCGCTGGGCTCGCGTGTTTGCATCGGAAGAGCGTGTGTACCCTTGAATCCGAGATAAGGGACCTTGTCACTGACGCATAGCATATGCAGGCTCGGCCTTCTGGAGCTCCGCACCGTGTTATCCAAGACACTTTTCAGATACGACCTCAGCCTGGTGGATCCGACACTCGAGTGGCACAGGGACGTGGAGATGCATGTGCTCTGGAAGAAGCCGGCGATGAGGGTGAGAGTCCAGCCAGTTTGAACAAGGGTCAGTATACAGATAGTCAGCCTGAAGTCAATTTACTGGCCGTCGATCTGTACGTCCACGCCATGTGGCATCATCCTTTTACCCGGTCAACGGACTCGGGATCGGAAGCTTAGACATCGAACCATCCAAGAAGTCATGCATCCAATATGGGGCTAAGAGAGGAAGGGCATCAATGCCGCCAAAGTATCTGGGGAACGTCCTTACCTAACTATTACCAAATCACCGACAATGCAAGGGTCGTGCAACGCCGGACCCAAACGTCCTGTCATGGATGGGCCTCCTCCTTTTCCTTTTCAATCCAAACCGCCTTTCCGCCAGGAAAAGCAAGCTACAGGGCTATTTCTTCACACCACCGTCCGTGCACCGTTCAGAGTCATTCCCTATATAACTACGCCGTTAAGATGTGGGGTCGGGTGGCTCCACCTCAAACTTCCATCGCCCCTATGCAGTAATAGATGGATTCCGGCCAATCACCCCAAGCCCACCACTCAAGAGCCGGCCCCAGGAAACAACCAATCCCGCCCTTTCTTTCTCGCGCGGCACAGCACGCCAGCTCGGCTACCATCACACTAGCCACATTTCCCCAAGCCATTCAGACGAGGCAGCCGCGCGGATAATAATCCCAAACAGGGATGAACGAGGCTCTAGCACACACGTGGGGCGCGGCACAGCCCGGCGGCCTTGGGCCCGGGCAACCGCAGCCCGGCGAGCTGTGGAGTTTTTTTACTGACCGTGTTGCTCCCGTCCCGTTCCAGTCAGGCCATGTTCGCCGCCGATCGTGTTACGGAACCAGTCAGGGACGACGTTCAGGGCACACGCAGCCTTGCTGTTGTGAGCGAGTGAGTGAATCAGCAAGCTGGCGCTGTGCCGCACGAAGCTCTTCATGCCATTGCGGTGCGGCATGTGGGTGCGTGGGATTCGTTCTGGGGAAGGGGGCCGGGAAAGTATAAGTGAGAATGGGGTCGAGTGTAGGTGCTTGCATCCATTCATCCCTTCTTCATCCCTTCTGACCGTCCCCGGTGGTGCTGTTGTCAGTACGTCTCTTCTTTTCCCCAATCCGATTCCAATCTAGACACGGAAACTGGAAGTGGAAAAACGAGGAATCATGCCTGGCCGTCTCCTGTCTACCAGACTAGACTTGCTCTCCTCGGTCCGCGGCCAAACTCTTGTGCTTCCGGACCTGTGGCAGTATTGCAGTCACTGGCCTCAGGCCGTGAATCCGGGGCTCGACCGTCTGAGGCGGGACGTGAGCGATTGGCTTGACAGGTGAGCATGACGCGAGAGAGAGAGAGAGAGAGAGAGAGAGAGAGAGAGAGAAAGAAGAGAACATGTGTGTGTGGGGCGTGGTGTTGCCCCGTGTGTCCATCTTGGCGCGGGACGGAGTTGGGGCCAGCTGCTAAATAAGATGCTCTTCAGTGCCATCCCCTCGGAGAAGCTGCGTCAGGCGTTCAAGATTGCTGACATCGGGCTGCTGGGAGCCTGCGTCTACCCTTTCGCAAGCTATGATCGCTTGAAGATTGCGGCGCTGCTGAACATCTGGGTATGTTTTCGTCCCGATCAATGACCGCTGCTACGGGATAACCGTGTCGTTGACGCAATCTTATTACCGGGATCTCAAGATCTTCATCGTGGATGACGGTGAGTATAACATACCTACGTCCCGGGAACCGTTCCTTGGGGACGACACTCAGCCCGATCTTTCGTCATTCGTGCTGACCATTCCTCCTCAAGAGCTCGACATGGAAAGCGGAACAATGGTCGACGACCTCGAGACCTCCAACCGATACCGCGCCGAACTCGTCGACTACGTCCGCAGATGCCTCGGCCTCGCCGACGATGGCGAGCCGCAGCCCGGACGCCGGCCCGCGCCCGTCGACGACGACGACTCGACGACCTGCGCCGTCAACGGCACGGGGTACAGCCACATCATCCAGAGCTTCTCCATGCTCGGCCAAGAGATACAAGCTGTATACAACATGGGTTGGTGACTTCGAAACCTTAATCGTCTGTGGAAATAAAAACGTGGGACCCGACTGACGTGGTGGTGGCGTGGGTAGAGCAGCGGCAAAGGCTTCTCGATAACGTCATCTTCTACCTCGGGATGACGAGGGAGGAGCAGTGCTCCCGGCTCGCTGGCGGCATTCCGACGCCCGAGGAGTATTGGAAGTTCCGGGACGGGGCGAGCGCGGTCGAGGTGTGTCTTGCGATGGTCGAGTAAGTTGAGATGCCCGTTGCAGCACGTGCCCGTTTGGAGGAAACGCTTCCTTGTGCTGACGAAAGGGCCTGCGTGTGGCCCCGTGTTGGCAGGTACCTCGCAAAAGCGAGCGGACTCCCGAAGCAAGTGTTCGAGGACCCGGATATGAAGAGGCTGTGGACTCTAACGAATACCAACGTTTCACTGTCAGTCAGGCACGTCGAAACGGCAAAAAATGGATGGACCGAAACTGACTCAGCCAAAGCGTAAATGACTGTTTCTCAGCGAAGAAGGAACTCGTAGGTGGCCATCCTCAACAAGCGTTCAGCACATGGCGTTGTTAAGCAAGGCGTGGGCAAGAGTTGCTGACACAGAATACAGGCGGGAGAATCCATCGCAAACGCCATCCCCATCTGGTACGCCAAAGCGCAAGACGGATCCGATCGGATGCAAGTCGCAACCAACCAGGCTGTTTCCATGTTCATCTGGACTGTCGGCGAGATGGACGACGTTGCACAAAAATTGATGCGGCGATTCGGCAATGGGGTTCTAGACGAACACTTGACAAGGGAACTGCAGTGGTTTATTGACGGTTGCAGGACTTGGTGCACTGGGAATTATTACTGGAGGTAAGGTGTCGGTGCATGCATTCCATTGTGAATGTGTTGCTGATTGTGTGTGATCAGTCTGAGGACGCCTCGCTATGGACGACTGGGTAAGACGGCCGGGAAGAACGGATGTCTTTATATCCCCTTGTAAGGTTATGATTTCTTTCCTTTTGAGAGCGAATGCAAATACCCTTTTGCGTATTCAAAAAACCGATCGGCTGCCCTTTGGGTAGCCCACCCGGGCGTGAGAGCGAAAGAGAAGCAAAAGGAGGGACTCGACGTGGGGAGCACGGTGCTGCTCCATGCGTTCGTGTTTCCTTCCTCCAAGGATTGCCGTTTAAGAGATACGCTTTTGCGACTAAGGTGTTTCGGCCGTTTTGCAGGGTTTATTTTGGGACCGGGTTCGGCGGTTCTGCGCCTGTGCTCGGATGCCGGATAGCCGTGGGCCGGATTCTTTTATCTGCACCGAAGTCGTTGGCATAATCGGAGAAGATTTCCTCTGAATGCTTGTTCACATGTACTGATGATCCACTCTCAAGTCGCATTCTCGTACGGTGCTCAGGCAGGGTACCTCGTACTCAAGCGCGTGTGCTCGAAATGCCCGACCGCCACTTATTTTTGGAACAGTGCAGCGGCGAATCTTGAAAGAAGGCTAGCTCATGTTCGAGAAAAGAGATGTAGAGCCGTGCGCGCAGCCGATGTCACCCTTGATGCTCCATGGACCAATCACAAGAGTGGTAAATACGAGCATCATATAGGTCCGCTTCTAATGCTTCCAATTCGAAGCCTCCTTCCTGAAATCTTAAGGCCGGGGTATGGGGTTCAAAAAGGCCCACGGCCTGCCTTGAACCATCTCGGTATTGCCAGTCGCTCGCTTTGCACCTTCTTTCCCACCATTCCACTCGTTATCATGAAGACGGCTGCTCTTGCGGGGCTCGGTCTGCTCCAGATCCTGCCATCGACGGCCGAATATGTCTGGCCTTCGCAATACGACTACCTGGAGGATTTGCGGTACCTCCAGAGCGGCTATATTCGCGAGGGCTTCGTCGACGGTAGGCACATGACCACACGACGTAGACGTTCAACAAACTGACGACCCACAGGTGTGAATCCCTGCGACTTCTCTTCGGCGGGAGCGGGCCGGCAGACAGCAGCAGAATGGGTGCGCACTGCGTACCACGACATGTCGACGCACGACGCGGCAGCCGGCACGGGCGGGCTGGATGCGTCCATCATGTTCGAGACGGAGCGGGACGAGAACGTCGGGGATGCCTTCAACGGCACCTTTGGATTCACAAACAACTACCACACCATCCGAGCCTCGACTGCCGACCTCATCGCTCTGTCCACCGTCGTCGCCGTCGGCCGGTGTGGCGGGCCCAAGATTCCCTTCCGCGTGGGCCGGATCGATGCCACTGAGGCCGGGCCGCTGGGTGTGCCAAAGCCGGACCAAGACATCGACACGCACACTCAAATCTTCGCCAAAGCCGGCTTCAACACCTGTAAGCCCGTCCCCCCCTGATGCCCGCAACCTGCAGCACTGACAAGCCCCCAGCCGACATGATCGCCATGGTGGCGTGCGGACACACGCTCGGCGGCGTCCACGGCAAAAACTTCCCCGAAATCACCCTCAACTCGTCCGACACCAACTTCGAGCACTTCGAAGCCGACGACTCCTTCTCCTTGTTCGACAACGCCGTCGTGACGGAATACCTCGACGACAGCACCGACAACCTGCTCGTCCACGGGCCCAACGCCACGCTCAACAGCGACGCCCGCGTCTTCGCCGCCGACAACAACGCCACGATGCGCGCCCTCTCCGACGCCGCCACCTTCCAATCCTCATGCGCCTCGATCCTCGGCCGCATGATCGACGCCGTCCCCGCCGGCGTCGCCCTCTCCGACACCTTCGCCACCGACCCCATCCCCATCAAACCCTACATCACCTCGCTCGCCCTCCTCAACGCCACCCACATCTCCTTCACCGGCCGCATCCGCGTCTACCTCACCCCCGCCGGCACCCAGCCCGACGCCCACACCGTCTCCCTCACCTACCTCCCCGCCCGCGACGTCGACACCAACACCAACGGCACCGCGCTCAACACCACCATCTCCACCGTCCGCGCCACCTACCGCCTCGGCACGTCCGTCGGCCTCTTCGGCGAGACCTTCACCTGGCACGAGTTCTCCACCACCATCCCCGCCGCCTCGGGCATCGCCGGCTTCAACGTCACCGTCGTCGACCGCGCGTCCGGCGCCGCCACCGTCTACGACAACGCCGGCTCCGCGACGGGCTACCCGCTCGACGACAGCTTCATGTACCTGGCGAAGCGGTCGTGCTCGGCGGTGCCGGCGGGCGACGACGCGAATACCAGCGTCAGGCGGGACGTGACGGTGCGGGCGGCGGTGCGGAAGGATGTGTTGGCGGAAGATGGCAGTGTCGCGGTGGATGTGGTGAAGAAGGTGGCGAGGGTGGGGGTGGCGGTGCCGAAGCTGGAGGTGGAGCGGTGGGAGGAGTCGGAGGCGGGCAAGGCGAGCAGGGAGGAGGTCGGCGATTGGGTCGTGTTTGAGGTGACGGGGCGGGTCGAGGGCGACGGGCTGAGCACGACGTTTGACATTTTGAGCGGGGAGAAGAAGATTGAGTATCAGCGGACGGGCGCGCTGCTGGATCAGCCGTGCAGTGCGCTGGCGGCCGCGTGAAGGTCCAGCTGAGAGGTGTGACGTCGATGACGCTTGCTCTGGTTCTTTTTTTTTTTTTTTTTTTACTTGCTCACATCGCGGAGGCTGGATAGGGCTCTGGGTCTCTTCGGACTACTGTGGTTGTAGACGTGCATCATAGTGCGACGTATACGTACGTGAAAGCACGCGCACGCTGGAAGGAAACAGATCATGTATGACGGGCCGTAAGAGAGAGGGTCTGCGCCACCTAGACTAATCCGCAACGACTATTAGAATTATACTTCTCCGTGGAAAAGCATGTTTTTCGTAGTGAGTAGCGTCTTCTTCGCGAACAAGCTTTTTTCTTACAAACAGGCGCCTTTTTGGTTAAATGCTTATTCGCGAGAGGCCAACGTTCGCCGTAAGAAAAAGACGTTTCGTGAAAAAAAAGTCTTTCGCGAAGGAAAGACATGGTCGCAGAGGGTATAAGAAGACGTTTGTTCGTTCGCGAAGACGCTTCCTCGTATCCAAGACGGTCGTTCGCATAGAAGAAACACTGACTTGGTAGGTGACGCGGACGGTCTTATAGAGGGCGGTATTATCATGGCACTGGCGGTAGCACCGGCCCAATTCCTGTCGGACTTGATCGGCGATAGCTAAGGACCGAAGCGATTCCTGGCAAGACCGGCCTTCACGCGCGGCCGCGTCGTCGTCTCGTTTCATCTATTACGACGCAGGTCACGCAGCTTCCTATGCAGGCCTGCGCTCATCGCCTAATTGTCTCTGTACACTGCAACCCTGGGACGTGCAGCATCCAGCCAAAGTCCAGAGCCCCGCCGCCGCAGGGACGTTCAGAGATCACGGTCCATGGTCTCTTCCCGCAGACCATTTCAACCAGTCGGAGTCGAGCCAGTACGAAAACAGGCGCAGGCCATCTGCTTACATGGTCCGATGTTGACAACGGCACTGCCCCACAAGACGCGTTCGTAGGAAAGAAGCATGCGCGGCCAGGGGCAGATCCCTGCGCAATGGAGCCACCCACGCAACACAGCCTGGCTATAAATCCGGAAGTGATTCCCTCGTTGTTTCATTCGAATCATTCCCCATCCAGTCGTTTCCAAACAGCCCAGGAATGAAGTCGTCGCCTTCGTTCCGAGCCGGTGCGGTCCGGGCCGTGCTGGCCTACACGTCGGCCGCCAGCGCCTATCTCTACAACACCACCATCAACACCCAGTATGGCGCCGTGCAGGGCATTCCCGCCCTCAACGCCACCTGCTGCTCCTACCTCGACGGCTGGGAGAGCGTGACCGTCTGGAAGGGCATTCCCTTCGCCGCCAACACGGGCGGCGCCAACCGCTGGAAGGCCCCCCAGCCGCGCGATGCCTGGAACGGAACCCTCGTCGCCGACAGCTTTGGGTCCGCATGCCCCGCTGGCACCGCCCCCTACGGCGGAGCTGACACGGTCTACGACGAGGACTGCCTGAACCTCAACATCTGGTCTTCGGCCAACTCGACGGCCGAGAAGCGCCCCGTCATGATCTGGAGCTACCCGGCTGGTGCCAATGGAGCCTGGTCCATGTTCGACGGCGGTGGCATGGCCCTGCAGGACATCGTCGTTGTGACGTACAACTACCGCACCGGCCCCTACGGCTGGCTGGCCCTGCCCGAGCTGTACGAGGAGTCGGGCAACGTCACCACGGGCAACTACGGCATCCTCGACCAGGTTGCAGCCCTGAAGTGGGTGCACGAGAACATTGCCGACTTTGGCGGCGACCCCGACCGCATTACCACCGTCGGCCAGTCAGCCGGCAGCGCTGCCGTCTACCACACCGTCAACAGCCCGCTCGCCAAGGGTCTCATCGTCGGTGCCATCGCCGAGAGCGGCATCCGCGACCCCCGTGACCCCGCCTCGACCTCGCTCGCCGAGGGCTACAACAACATGTCCACTTCCATCGCGCTGAGCAAGGAGCTGATGGGCTACCTCAACGTCTCCACCCTCGCCGAGCTGCGCCAGGTGTCGGCCTACGACATCAACGCCAACAGCGGCTTCACCTCCTTCTCCAACTGGCGCGGCACCCTCGACGGCTACGCCCTGCCCATGACGTACATGGAGCAGCTCCAGCGCGGCCCCGCCAACGACGTGCCCCTCATCACCGGCAACACCAAGGACGAGTCGGGCGCCGGCTACGGCACCAACACCACCGTCGCCCAGTGGACCGAGACCCTGACCGAGACGTACGGCGACCTCGCCAGCGACTTCGCCGCCGCCTACCCGGCCACCAACGGCACCGAGGCCTCGATGAACACCAACCTCCTCGCCCGCGACATCTCGCTCGTCGGCTCGTGGAACTTTGCCAACTACTGGGCCCAGTCGGCCGCCTCGCCCATGTACACGTACTACTGGGACCATGCGCCGCCCGGCCAGACCCGCGGCGCCTACCACATGTCGGAGATCACGTACATCTTCAACAACCTGTACGGCACCGACCTGCCGTGGGAGGCCGTCGACTACGACATCGCCGCCACCCTCAACGCCTACTGGGCCAACTTCATCAAGACCCAGAACCCCAACACGGGCGGCAGCAGCACCAACGGCTCGCTCGCCTACTGGGCCCCCAGCAGCAGCGAGAGCAGGACCACTTTCCACCTCGCCCCCGCCCGCCCCGCCAACGCCAACGGCTTGCCCTATGGCTACGAGCAGGTGCCCGTTGCCACCGACGAGCGCGTCGAGTTGCTGCTCGAGTATTTCAACTCGAGGAACGCTTCGACTTTGTAAGTGGCGTCGCGTCGCGGTGCTGACGGGAAGCGTCGAGGCTTGATTGATTGGAATGACGGCAGTTGTGACTTTGCACTTTATGTATTTACGTATCACTTCAGTATATATAAATGGCTTGAACACGAACACCTTCTCTTCTGATCAGGAAATCTTGTGCTGCCTACTGTTTGATGGAAGTCGGATTAAACAACCGCGAGAGGCTAAATATATGGGGCTACCAGGGCTATTATGCTGTGCCCCACACTCAGCCTTGCAATCCAAACAACAAGGATGTCAGTAACCTCACGTGTTCGCCTCAGCCTTGCACGCTTTGCTCCTGCTCTAGACGATTATTGGTCTATCTGCTGCGGATAAAAGGAGAGTGGTGTGACAAGGCAACGGATACTGCAATTGTTGCTTGGTGCTGCGAACAGCAAAGAAACCACGGTAATGACTGGACAAAGGCCGACGTTTGTGCTTGTGAATGATAACAACAACAGACTCTTGAAAAGACCAGGGAGGTGGGGGGTCGGGCATCAGATCTCTCCAAAAACCGCGCTCCAATCCTCCCATTTGCTCGAAAGCAGCAGCAGCAGCAGCAGCAGCAGCAAAAAGTCGCTTTATCGCTCCGCTTCAAACATCGTTCTTGCCGCCAGTATCGCACGTCGCGCCCGTATCAAAAACCGTCGCGTCGCACACGGATCGATCCAGCGTCTGCCCATCCGGCGCGAGGGCCAGCCAGCCGGTAAAGGTGCCGTCGTGCGTCAGTCGGATGCAGTGGACGTCGCAGATCTCGCCGCCGGCGCCGCGGATGTACTTCTCGATGGCGCCCTGGAAGGTGCCCAGCTCGGCGGTGGTGTCGCACCGGCTGCCCGACGTCGTCGCGTACACGTACCACACGACCGAGTCGAGCGAGCCCGAGTGGCCCGAGCAGTCGTTGTTGTCCGAGTCGCCCTTGAACTGCGACGCGATGTTGAACGCGAGCTGCTGGGTGAAGTCGGCGACGGCGATGCACGCGGCTGGTGGTGGTTCGATTGGGTTTTTTGTTAGCTTGGGGGACTGCGGTATCAGAACCCGTGGGGATGTTGGGTGCGATGGATGGGTCTCTGGGCCTTTCTAGTCGCGACACGGTACTTACCAAACTCAGATGGTCCAGTGAAACAGTACTTGATTGATTTTCTTTTCTCGATTTCGGTGCTGTTTGGTCCGAATTGGACGAGATCGAGCTCGGCGTAGTGTGTAGCGCGCTTCTGAGGCAGGCTACGTTTGGCGGGCAAGGTGGATGCCGATGAACCCAGAGCCAAAAGAGCCAACGCGAAAGCTGGGAGGGTGATGTGCATTGTTGAAGAAATCGAAGAAGTGATTGTGTTTGGTTTGATAGAATTCAAGGAGGTAGATGTGAGAAGTAAGGAGAATCTGTCGCGCTGTAGTGCTGGATTGGAAACGTAGAGCGCGTATGGGGCATTTTATAGAAGTTGGAAGAAAACGGAGCCTCCGAAGCTGAACCACAAGTTCACGGACTGTGAGGCTCAGCTGCTTGGGACGAAGTGCAATGCGGATCCTGCGGGGACGCCACATCCGTTCCTCTGGACGCAAGGAAAACCGACACGAGACCGAGAATAGAGCGTGTGACACAGGGCCGTCGCGCTGGCATGTATGCTTTTGGCAAAGTTTAGGCACCTACAAGTGAGGCAGGTCCAAGGTCACACAAGTTTAAGGCCTGCCGTTGGAATGTCCACTATTCCTTTGTACGGACAGCTGTGGGCTCAGCTTCTGACAGCAGCGCTACCGGCTGGACAAACACGATACGAAGAACCTCAGCACAACGCGAGTACGGGCAGCACAGTTGAAATGGAACCCGACACAGTGAATCCTCCCGAGTCAACTTTGGCTTCTTCGTTGGAGTCTGCCCAGCCAACATTCGGCATGTCGCACCCATCAACGCTCAGCATGACACCAGATGACTACATGCCATAGTCAATCACATACCAGAGTCGAGAGCCGCATGAGCGAGCTACGATCCTCAGCGTCTAGACAATCAATTGACCCAGCGGCCACACCAACCACCCGCACGATCACCAAATTCAAAGAACACACTCAAGAGAAACCATCACCTCGTATAAACTACTCAACCTACCTCTACACGCCTCAATACGACAACTTCACCCACTTCCCCTCCGACGGGATCCCATCCACAACCACAAACAACAAATACACACCCGGCGCCATCGTACTCGGCCCCGGCGGCGCCTTGACGTTCCTCGCGCCCGCCCCCACGCCCTTGGCCACCTCCAACTTGACCATCCGCTGGCCCATCGCCACCGCATGCGTATGGAACCCAGGACTCATCATCACGACCTCGACCTTCTTCCCCTCGACGCTGCTCCTTACCCCAAACATCTTCCCATAAACCACCGCCTCGGGCGCCGCCTCCAGCACCGGCCGCACCTCCGCGTCCATGTACGGCGGGCTGAACACCTCGACGCGGTACTCGGTCGGGTACTTGTTGCCGTCGCGCTGCTGCTGGTTCAAGAAGCCGGTGTGGCCGTTATTCCTGAACGCCGGCCACCCCGGCGGCACGCCGCCGTCGTCCGTGTAAAACACCATGGGGTTGCTGCCGGCGACCACCACCTCGCCGCTCGGCAGCACGCTCGCGACGCTGTGGTACAGCCGCGGGATGGTTGTTTCGGGCATGGTGGTGAAGCGCTTGCCCGGCGCGGCCTTGGGGTCGTAGATGACGGGGGCGAGGACGGGGTCGTCGGCCATGAAGCCGCCGGCGGAGCCGCGGTGCGCGCCGTTGATGAAGAGGACGGTGCCGTCGGGGAGGAGGAGGCCGTCGGTCATGGTTTGCGGCCCGTTGGGGAGGTTGTCGGTCGGGGTCCACGCGGGGCGCGCGGCGTAGGGGGCGAGCGTGTAGCAGTCGTCGAGGGCTTGGGGGTCGGGGATGTCGCCGCTGGAGCCGCCGCAGAGGAGGACGGTCGGGTCGTAGGTGGGGGCTTCGAGCGGGAGGAGCACGCTGGTGGCTGAGGAGGGGAAGGTGCGCGGCTCGAGCGGGGCGGGGGGCAGGGCTTTGACGAGCTTGTCGGTTTGGTAGTTCCAGATTACGGCTTGGTTGCCGGCGAGGGTGAAGACTTCGGCGGCGGCGCGGGGGTTGGGGAGTTGGTGGACTGTGGGGGAGTGGGTGGTTAGTTGGCGGGATGGCGATGGTGGCGGCGACGACGATGATGACTTACGGATGGGGTAGAGGTTGTAGGACTTGTTGGGCTGGTTGTTTTCCTCCTCGGTGAACTCGAGGATGGGGAGCGGCACCGGTGCGGGGGCCTTGGAGCCGTCCGCTTTGATCAGCTCGTACGTAGGCACGTTGATGCTCGCCTCGTTGAGCACCAGCAGGCCGACGTCCGAGCCGCCCACGACGAGTACGTCGCCGTTGGGCAGCGTCTCGGCGGTGGGGTACCAACGGCGCGTCTGCAATTTGCCGGCGCCCGTGTCGAAGTCCATGGTGCAGCCGCCGTCGGGGCAGGGGCCGGGGGCGTAGGTGCGGATGGCGTCGAAGCCGTCACCCACGCCGGCTCCGGCGTCGGGCTCTGCGCCGGCGAAATTGACCATGGTGCCGTCCGGGAAGAAGGCGCCGGCCGAGCAGAAGGTGTTGCTCTTGGGATGCAGCTTGCGGAGCGTGTTGGTCTTCAGGTCATATTCGGTGGCGAAGACAGCCGTGTTGGTGCCTTCGTAGTTGTAAGCATTTTTGGAGTGAGCACCAGTGGCGAGGTTGGCTCCTGGTCCGCCGTAGTTGGGGTGGTAACTGCGCATCCTGTCAGACGGGTTGCACGAGGATATCGGGGATGGGTGTTGAGCCTCACTTATCAAGGAAGACGGCTGTCTCGGTATAAGGAGGGATGAAGAGCATCTGAGCAGTGCACCCAGATGTTCCTACTGTCCTGAATCCAGCGGCTGCGGCATGGCGGACAATGGCGGACAGGGCGGCCTGTGTCAAGATGAGCAAGAGCTACAGAAGCTGGGATGGAAGCCTGGCTTACCGCCTGCAAAAGACGAGACTGCATTTTGAAGATGGCAGATATTAAGGAGCTATGGTATTAAACAATTATCGGTCATGAAAAGAGTGAACGAATGGTTGCTGCGTAGTACAGCTGCAGTGCCCATCTCAGAGGGCGGCTCCCCCAGCCTTTTAATATCGATGACTTGATCGAAGGCCATCGTGGACTAACACGCCGTTTACGAGTCAGCTCCTCTGGTTCGCAACTCACGATCCACACAAGGTTTCTCAGCCTTGGCTCGGCAATGGTCCTTTGGGTTCTAAAATCATTCCACGGGCCTCGGGTGCTCAGCCGAATGGCATCTGGGCCATTCGACGCGCCACCAAGTGTCGGCGCTCCATGGTTCTGAGCCCATCATGCCATCTTCGGCTTGGCTCTTGGCCTTGTATAGTGGCGGTGGAGAGCCTTGCGTCTTGTCAAAATGAGTGTCTTGCCAACGTCCTTTATTATGGTTTCATGCTTGTCCATGAATCGTCTTCTGGGAACGGCTCGATCAAGAACGCATCGTCTCCCACCATGTGGAGATACTTTGGCACCTCCACAATTCGAGACGGATTTTGAACGTAGCCTTGTGATGATGGAGAGGGCCCGTCACGAGGCTCTGCGAAGACTAATGGCCGTAGTGAAACCTCGGATGCTCAATCAATCGACACGATCGACCTCGGGGCGCGTTCCGGCACCACCGTAGGGCTCTGCTTCGATAGCCGAATAGGAAAATAGGAAAAGGGGGGTGACGGGGGAGAGGCATAGGGATACGAGGAGCGGTCGGTACTAGCTACTCGCTATCGCGCGCTAGGCAGCCTCGTTGACGTCGCCGTGAGATCTGGAGGAACCGCAGACGTGGGCTCGGGAAGCGATAACGTACCACCCTCGAAATCTTAACGTACCACCCCGCCCCACTTAGTGGTAATTAGCGCAGATCGCTCGGTAATAACGAATGCATAATACATACCTTTATTATTTCGTTATAGACGAGTTCTTGGCAGCATTTATACGTATTATTAGTATTATTACACTTATTCATTGTCAACGAAGGGAGAGAATTTATTATATAATTTACTATCTACTCGCTAACCTAATCTCTTCGTTTACACCGAAGCCTAAACAGTAATTAATAAGGGTAAGTAGTAGGCGTACGGTGCGTAACTAAGACCGTTAGAGTAGGCCTAGTATTTAGAATAGCGTAAACGATATCCTTTATAAGATTACGCTACTTTTAACCTATCGCCTAGCGCTTCGTTAGTAACGAACGGATTTAGAGTTAATATTACGTATCTTAAACTTATTTAAAGCCGTCTACCGCTTAGTCTAACTATTAATCGAGATTAGTTAAGCCTCTAAAAACGTATCTTCGTATACGTAGCTATAGGGTAAGATATCTTCGTCTAGGACGATCTAAGTATCGTAGATAATATTATTTCTAGTAGATATAGGGGTATTTAACGCCTAGTAGATATAGTACTTTAGCGAACCACCCGTAGAACGCTAGAAGATTACACTATAATTTACTCGTTAGCAACGAATTATAATAAGAAGGACTCGTTCTTACTAAATAAACTCCTTTATTCTATCTTAAATATTCTAAGACTTCGTATACGGGCCCTAGCGAGCCGTATACGCTTAAACCCGACTTTCTTTATAGTTAGTTCGTTTATAACGAAGAGGGGGTTAAACTTACGCCTTTCTTAGATTACTTAAGCTCTACTATAAACCGTCTATACGCCTAGCCTAATTAGCCGTATAGAATCTTAGAACTTAGCTAGCTTAGCTAAAGCCGCTATAGAAGCTAATACTAGCTAGATAGCCGGGGAGAGTAAAGAAAGACTAGAAAGGTATAGCTATCGTTAATAACGAAGTAAACTAGTATAGTATAAAGAAGGAAAATAAGATTATAAGAGACGTTCGTTATATAGTAAACCTTCGGTAATAGCGAGTATAAGTAGCTATCCGGCTATACGGTCTAAGAGCGCTAGCTACTTAGCTATACTACTTACGTTCGCTATTAACGAGCGCTAGCTATCCGGCTATATAGCCTAGAAGCGCTATTAACGAATACTAGCTACTTAGCTAGCTACTTACGTTTATTATTAACGAGCGCCAGCTATCCGGCCGTATAGTTTACGAGCGCTAGCTACTAGGCCGTATAGCTTATACTCGCTAGTTGCGAGGGCTAGCTATTCGGCTATTTAGCTATAAAATTAGCTATTTAACTATACTACTAGCACTCGTTAATAGCGAGTATAAGCTATACGGCCTAGTAGCTAGCGCCCGTAAATCGTACGGCCGGATAGCTAGCGCTCGTTAATAGCGAGCGTAAGTAGCTAGTATTCGTTAATAGCGTTTCTAGGCCGTACGGCTAGATAGCTAACGCTCGTTAATAGCGAGCGTAAGTAGTACGGCCGAGTAGCTAGTACTCTTAGGCCGTATAGCCGAATAGCTACTTATACTCGCTATTACCGAAGGCCAGCTAATAATAAATACTTATATAGTATTCGTACTAAACGAAGAGCGGAATAACCAGCTATACGCCCTTACTAGTATACGGCTATAGAAGAACTACTATTCGCCCGGAACGAACGTCTATTAATACTATTATAGTAGTACGATTAGATATATTAGTAGAGTAGGTTCGCTACGGGCGAATACTACTAGTAGAGCGAAATAATACTATAGTTCGCTATAAACGAATACTACTAGTAGAGCGAAATAATACTATAGTTCGCTATAAGCGAATGCTATTAGCGGAGCGAAATAATATTATAGTTCGCCGTAAGCGAATACTATCGGCGGGGCGAAATAATATTATAGTTCGCCGTTAGCGAAGTAGTAGTATTATATAGGCATCGTTAGTAGCGAAGAGGAGGGTACTCGAAAGAGTAGTAGAGCTCGTTACTAGGCTAGTTATATTAGAGTTTATACTCGTTCTAGACGAAGATACTAGACCTCCCGCTATATTATTATAGTAGCCGGTAGCTGCGGAGGCTATAAAGGCTATAGAGGCTATAAAGGCTACGAAGGGGGGATAATATAGACTTATTTAGACCGAGTAGGGGTAGAAGATAAAATTAGTAGTAATACTACGTTATTTCGATCTACTCGTTCCGAACGAAGAGGGTCTCTTCTTATACTATTTACTCCGGATTTTATTAGACGTATTATTACTCTTAGTTCTATTCTTCGTCGACGCCGAATAATGGCGGGTTTATAGTAGACGGGCGTCTTTAATTCTATCGTTAATACTAAGTCTCTATTAATCTACTAGTATCGGTCGAATAACCGAGGATTAAGAAAGTATCTTCGTTTATATAGAATCGTAAAGAGTGTCTAGTAGTATAATCGGCTATATATCGCCTTAAACGAACTAGTATATTATCTTCGTTAGAAACGAGGGTCGGACTAGCTCTTAATCTAGTTTTACTTAGCCTTAGTAAGCTTAAGGGAGGTCTATATTAACGCGTAGCGGTAAATCTAACCCTAATAGTAGTTCTAGAACTCGCTATAAACGGCGGTTAGACGCTAGATATTATTCTTCGCTTCGTCGTAAACGATTATTATAGTAGTAAGCGCCTACTACGTCTCTAGCCTACGGATAAGCGTAAAGACGTTACTACGAGAGTTAATAATCTACTTCTTAATCTAGGTATAAGCGCCTTTAATACGAGACGTAGTAATATTACCGAAATATAGATAGGCCTTCGTCTATACCGAAATAAATATCTTCTTCTATAGCTACTACTCCGCCTCTAGATAGTTAGAAATACGAGTATTAAGTCTCTCTATACTCGCTACGGTCGAAGTAAACTCCTCTTCGGTCTAGGCGTTATAGTATATAAAGAAACGATTTATAATCTCTTTCGCCCTCGCCGAATCTACCCACTCCGTATCTTACCGGAATTAAGGATGCCTCTCTCGTATATAGATAAGGATATCCTTATTAATATACTAGTAGTAAAGGATAATTAAAATACCCGTAAAGCTACGCTTTACTATATTAATATAACTAATATTACGGTCTATTAGAATAACCCTTAAAAGTAGTACTTCGTTTTTAACGAGAATCTTATAGAGGCTTAAGAGCGCCTAGTAATATACCTCCTTCGTTTAAGACGAAAGAAGGCTAATACTAAGCGGGATTATTCGGTTATTTACTATTATACTAACTATATTTAGTAATAGCCGGTTATATCTATTCGTCTTAAACGTAAGATTAATAAGTAGAATATCTAGATTAGTACGTTAGAGCTTAATCGTCTCGGAAGAAAGCGTAAGTAGGGAATCTAGTTAATACTCGTTATTAACGATAAAGTAGAAGGTAAAGTTCTTTCGTTAAAGACGAGAGAGTAGTATATTTACTATATTCTCGTATATAAGCTTCTAAAGGCGATTAGCCTATTAGAGGTTATAGATATTCTATTACGTTACGAGCGTAGTAGAATATCTATTTATAATAGACGTAAGAGACTAGTTCGCTCGAATACTACTAAGCTACTACTCTTAAATAAGCTTAATAAGCTATAGTATCTCGGCTCGTTACCGACGACGCTAAGAGGCGAAGACACGGCTATTAATACTAGGCGGGTAATTATAATAGAAGCTTAGATTTTCTTATTAATAACGAATCTCCTATTCGCTATTAACGTTATTACGGTTGGTAGTAACGAAGAGAAAGCCTATCTTATAATCTATACGGATAGAACCTCTTCTAGAACGGCGACTATTTAGCTAATTTAGTCTAGACGAATAGTATTCGTCTAGATAATTATTATCGTCCGGGTTAGAGTTATTACGGGTGCTATTCTTTCGCCCCTTACGATTATAAATAATACGTATTTAATAGATGGCTCTATTTATCTTCTTCTACTTACGCTTGCGGAAGTCTATACTATACGTAAGACCCTAGTTATAATAAGCCCTTTCGCTATTAGCGAAGGACTCGAACGTCTCTATTAGTAGAGGCTTAATAATAAAGATCTATTCGCCCTCGTCCGTTATAAACGAAGGATAAAGAAGCTAGAGTAGAACTCTATTATTCTTAATAGCGGTATTAGGGTCCTCTTCGGTTTTACTAAGGGCTATAATATTCTCCTTAGACTTAGATCTAGACTCCAGCTCGTTTCTAGCGAAGATATTATTACCGATAATACTAGCTTCGTTATTAACGAGCCGGTATCCATCGTCGGACTCGCTAGTAGATTCGAGATCGATAATCTCTATAGTAGTATAGATAGAAGGCGCGTCTTCGCGTTCGTTAGAATCGAGCGGATCGGGCGGTAGTAGTAATTAGCGGGCGACGTATATATCTAAGGTATATATACGTTCCTATCTAGGCGGTTCTCGTCTAATACGTATAATATAGTATATCGCTTCGTTTAGAACGTAGTTAGATATACTAGTTAGTATAAACGAAGTATTATTACTAGAGGCTTAAGGCTTAAGGCTTACGGGTTACGTTATTCGATAACTATAAGCTATAAGGACTATAGCTTCGGTCGCACCGAAGTAGAGTAGAAGAATTTATAGCGTGGTATATACGTTTAAAACACTATAATTATAGTAGTAAGTATTATTATTATATTCGTTATTACCGAACGTGCTACACTAATCGCTAAAAAGTGGGGAGGGTGGTACGTTAAGATTTCGAGGGTGGTACGTTATCGCTTCCCGTGGGCTCGGACGCCACAACGTCGATCATCGCTCTTGGCTGCCCTCGCACGTCCTGTGCAACGGCTGGTGCGCGCTGCATCGCGGTATTACTCGTCGGAATGGTCTCGACTTTATTTTCCATCAAAACGGCGCCGTGTCCGTCCAACGTTGCCGCTCAACTCTTTCCCGCAGCCATTTCCCCCCTCTTCCCCGGCGTACTCCGCATTGTCTCGGTGTCGTTGTCTGGACAGCCTCTGGCTACCTACTGTCACTGTCAGTCCTGCGACGCCTCATGGAAACACGTACGAAGAAAGAGTCAGAAGTCCGGATTTACCCGCGCGCCCTCCATCAGTCGCGCCACAAACTATATGGAGCACAACCAAGCCGTGCCGTGGCGCTCGGAATGCCTTTGCTTCTCATGTGCACACAGGACCTTCTTCTTCAGAAATGCCCCACTGTCAGCCATATTGATACGAAGCTGAAGTGAGACACGAGTCGTTGCAATGTGGACCCGTTTCATTGTTACGCGCGTTGCCAGAGCTTCCTCTTTGGATTGACAAACGATACAGCCTTCGAGAGCCACAGCAGCTGGAAAAGAGTCGCTCTTAATACTCGTGTCTGACACCGCATTGCCAAGATTCTCGAAACTTGTCTGAGATTGAGTAGAGTGTTATGTCGGTCCTGTCAGCATACAAAGAACCTCCTACTGCCAGCCATTGAACCCCCGGTTTTCGCTGCTGTCTAACTCGAAGCCACTGATGAGGATTTGCCCCCAATTGGGAAGATTTGATAATGCAACGTCCCATCGAAAGCGTTCCCAACAGTTGGGACCTGAAAATGCGTTGGTTAGCATCATCCCGAATGCTCATACGTGATTTGGAGAGCCTTACATTCCATACTGTGGCAGCCGCCGTCCTTGATGACAAAGATTTTGCAACCTGGGCAACGCCTGGCGCCGGATTTCTTGAGAAGACGGATGAGTCGATGCGAGTACTCTTCCGAGGAGCTGAACTCGGTGCACGAGTGCTCTGGGTGCCACGGTATGCTGCAAACTTGACAGCGCTCTCTCGCACATTTGCGACATGCTACCCGCGGAAATCCTGGGCGAGTCGTGTCGAGCATCTCGCGCCCGGTGCAGTCCGGGTACGGGCAGATCGAGAAAACTGACGACGCCTTCACATATCGTCCAGCACGGATTGCATCGTATGCCCTTGCAAACCTACGGCCGAGCAGACGTATTGCCGCAATAGAGGTCCACTTTCGGCCGCAGTGCATGCATGAAAGCGGCGCTCTAGAGTCATTGTCGACGGTGGTGAGAAAGTAGCGGCTGATGCAATCTCTGCAGGTAGCATGCGTGGGAAGGCCCATTGGAGAATCGTGATCGTAGAAGTAGCAAGGACATGGAAAATCGTGAGCCTTAGAGAGAGTAAAGAAATTCCGCAGAGGCATATAGCAGCAGCAGATGGTGCAATGGTCAAACTTCCAAAATCGTGCCTTACGACTGAGCCGTGCCAGAAGCCGTTGTAACCACGCCATGCCTGAAGTTGGAATGTATAAAGACCGGCGGATCGTGTGTGCAAGAAACAAGAAGTAGAAGAAAAGGTTGGGGATCAAGTCGAGGTAAACCGTGGTAGAGACTCTGTAACTCTGGTAAAAGAGGGGGACGCCTTTCAAGCCTCCATATTACCCAACGACCCAATGTTCTTCATTCTCAGTAATTCTTCCGACAGTCCACGGAAACCCCTCGGCGTCAATTTTCGGCCGATGACTTCTATTTTCATTCTCGGTCGAGTCTTCGGACGTCGAGCTCGATGAGAGATCGACTGCTTCAAGCTGTACGTTGCAAATGTACCGACTGTTCCTTGTCTCCGGGTCAAGAATCTCCACGAGAATTGCGCGCTCCAAGTCAAAGATGGCGCGGCTGGACTTGTCGGATGGTCCGTGATGGCTCAAGAACTGTTCGCGCTGGTGCAGGACGAGAGCCACTTGGCCAGTCGGCGTGCGTGCCTTTCCTTCCTTGGCAGCAGCGGAGGAGCCCAACCCTTCCTGGTTGACCACCTCTACCAAGTCTGCGGGCTGAAGGCTGCAGCGATACCATCTGCCGCTGTTCTCTTCTCGAATATGAAATGATCCGGGTTGTCTGCGGAGGAAGTCCGCGTCGATGGAACCTACTGACAGGTCGAGATGAATGCCGAAAAGATCGACACCGAGGCCCTTCCAAGCTGATCGAGACACCCTTCTAGACCGCGATGAGAATAGCTTCGATGATGTCTCGGTGATTGACAGAGTAATCCATCGCCAGCCGTCTTGATCTGGTCGTGGGCCCGAATGAAAGATGATATCCTGCGGTATCTGGTAAGGGTTTCCGAGCCTGGAGAAAGCTAGCTTCCACCTCTCAGTCAGCGGAAGCTCCAGCATCTCCTTCACCTCTTCTACGAGATAGAGCAGGCCGGCAAAAACAAACGATTCATCCTCAGCCTTGCTGGTTCTTCGGCCCACTATGGCGTTCCACGTGGATCGCAGTTTCTGCCCGGCGTCCTCTCTGTGCCACGTCAATTTGCTCACACCATGGTAGGGTACGTTTCTGTTCCGACGAAGAAAATCCGACTGGACGAATATCTCTCGCCGCCTCGCCGGATTGCTTTTCCAGAAGGCTTCAAAGGTGCGCCAGTGGCCAAGGACAACGTCAAAGGTCCGCGGATTGGGGGGGAGTTGGCCAGACCACATGAAGTTGTCAAGGATTTTGGATAACTTGGCCGCAAATTCGAAGAGAGGGATGGTTCCATCGCAGAACTGGATGAGGCATTCCCTTTCGGGGAGTATGGCTTCCTGCAGAGTCCACAGCCGACGCATCCATCCGGAATAACGTATTCTGAGCATGGTTGTCTCGTCTGACCCGAGGCAAGACGCGCTCAGTAGCTCGGCGTCGAGAGTAACAACGATTGACGCCTCTTTGTACGTCCTCGCCATCCGAGATATTGCAAGTTTGCGATATGGTTTGTCCTCCTCCCCGACTGGCACACACAGCGTGTCGATCCAGATGTCGACAGGCCGTGTTTCATCACCTGGGCGCGGATTCCTCGATAGCCCAAGAGCAATCCGCCTCAATTTGCGGAGCTGGCACAGTGGCAACTTGTTTTCGACTGCATTCCCTAGACCATCTGACCAGACATGGGATATGGCAATCCAGCCGGTGGAGTCTTTTGAGGGAATCGCCTGAAGCACAATATCTGAACGAGCGCCATCCAAGCTGTGAGGCAACACGACCACAGGAATCTTGCCGGAGTCCAGTATGGAGAGTATGTCTGACCTGGCCGGGCCAACAAAAGCGCACTTGCAGGCTGCATCCACGTGACTCGTTTCATATGTCGCTTCATTGATCTGGTCCGCATTGCAAGCTGTCTGGGAACATTGAGCATGATCTTTTGTGCGGGATTTGGTGTTCAAAGTCAAGGTGAAGAACGAATTCAGCAGGTCGGGGGAGCGAGCAACGTCGCTCGGACACCAGCCGGCTTGACGCAGTTGCGAGTTCAGAATGCTGCTGGGCGGAAGAGCCACAAGGTCGTAGCCACGTTCGAAGGCTTCTATTTCTCTCGGAGAGCGGACGTAAGTCATGATTGTCTGTACGAGGACCTTGACGGACAGCCATATTGCGGGGGTTGGAGACGCGGCGTCTTCCAGCTCTGCGTCGTGGCGAAGGACGATGCGGATGGCTTCTGCAAGCCACTTTTGGTTCTTTCTGAAAACGACTTCCTGTGTCTTGCCGTCTGCTTCCAAGAAGTCCTGTCTCCATTTGACGATGCGCTGTACCAGATTCTCCGTCGTGATCTGAGGACCAGACTCTGTGTGGCGGACAAAGTCGGCGGCGTCGACGGGGCCGAGAAACTCATCGAGGATGCCAAAGAAGAGCCAGTTCTGGAGCAGTTGGTCTCTCTCCTTTGGCTCGTAGAGCTGGAATGAAGTCTGCTGTCGGGCTTCGTGGAACGACTCGGACCAGAAGTTGCGGCATTCGTACGGTTCGCTAGACAAAAAGGGTATCTCAACAGGCGTGTACAGCGCATCGTGAAAAGGCAGAAGATGATCCATGGTTCAGATTGCTATTGCTGGGCCGATGATGACGCTGTATCTACGGGTTCATGGTGTGGGAGACTACTGAAGCGCCCAGGTGTGAGCTCTTCAACTCTCGCCGAATCGCATAGCCGCAACTTCGACAGGGTGCTGCGAGATGGACGCGACATGAGCAGGCGAGGCGCGAGGCTGGCGATGACGGCGGTGATGGCAAAGGCTGGCCGGGAGTGGCTGTTTGGCCGCTGCAGGAACGGCGGCCGATCGGAAGATTGCGGCTTTCGGCCGCTGACAAAACGGTGGCGCGGGAAAAGTCCAAGCAGCGCGTTGCTCGACGTCAATTGCCCAGCAGCAGCCTGTCCATCGCCCGTGACGCCCGCCATCCGTTTCCCTTGTCTTCCTCAATTCCCTTTTTGTGCGCAGCCATGTTCCGCCCAGCGACGCGCGCCGCCATGCGCGCCGCCTCCAGCTCGTCCATCTCGTCCATCAGAGCTCCCGCTCAACGCAGGCTTGTCAGCACCGCTCCGCCCACCCACAGGTCGCGCAGCTGGAAGAACTCCGCCGCCCGCTGGGGTCTCGTCGCCGCTGGCATTTACTACTACAACACGAGCAACGCCTTCGCCGACGAGCCTGACACCTGTACGTACACCGCCCAAGCCATTGCCTCTCCACGCGCGACAACAGCCCATTGACCAGCTCCACCGCACACAGTCGTGACCCCGCATGCCGCCGCCGCCGCAGTCTCCGCCGCCGTCGACAACGAGGACCTGCCCACGCTCGAATCGGTCGCCGCGGAGCGCAGGAAGCGCCTCGAGGCCGAGGCTGCGCGCAAAGCTCAAGCCAAAGCCGCCGCCGCATCACAAGCCGACGCCTCTTCGCCCGAGCAGCTAGAGGCCGAGGCCGACCAACAGGGCGCCTTCAACCCGGAGACTGGCGAGATCAACTGGGACTGCCCGTGTCTGGGCGGCATGGCCCACGGCCCCTGCGGCGAGCAGTTCAAGGCGGCCTTCAGCTGCTTCGTCTACTCCAAGGAGGAGCCCAAGGGCATGGACTGCATCGACAAGTTCAAGTACGTGGCGCGAAACAATGGCAGATTTTGGGACGATTTTGGCTGACGCTGGGCTACAGGGGCATGCAGGACTGCTTCAGGCAATACCCGGACATCTATGGCGAGGAGCTGGAGGGCGACGACGAGGACGGCCCGGCGGCCGAGGGCGTGGATGCCGCCGTGGCTCAGGATCTTGCCGAGACGGCGGTCCCGGCCGTTGAGGCGCCGAAGCCCGCCACCGAGAGCTGAGCTGTGTAGTTCTACGGGGCCAACGGAGAGATGCAGGTGACATTGCATCGGCGGGAGCAGAGGCGCAAAACACTATACTCATCACAGGAGCGGGACACTGAGAGCTCCCGGCTCGTGGCGTGCGGGATCATGTATAATAGAGGATGCAAAGGGAGCATCTGGCGCATGTAGAGCGGGCAAAAGCGGGTGTACAATTGAACTGGGTTCCCATTCTCTGCTCGATGGAAGTCTGGGGAAATTCTGCGCGCACAGACACGGTGGAGCGGGGCATGCGACGGGCCTGGATCGGAGCTGTGACGTCTCTGGTGGGATGTGGGTGGATGCTCTCAAAGGCGCCTTCCCGGGCGGCAGCGGGTTTCCAGTTTGCGCCAAGCGATGACGTAGGCATTGCAGGCTAGCCATTTGAAGCTGCAAGCCATGCGAACCTGCACACTTCCTCTTAAACCCTCGTCCATCGTGTGACTCTCTCCATCCATCACGCGTCAAGCTCACAAGTCTCTTCGCCATCTCCAGCCCGCTCTCCCAGTGCTCTTGCGCATCTGCGACTCTGCACCCGCATCTCAGCACCACCTCACCCGCTCCACGCCCTCCAACCATGTCGTACGCTTCTGTTGCTGCCAGCGGCCCTTCGCAGAGCGCCGAAGACGTGAGTCCGAGCCCATTGATGCCCCCCGCGAGCGTGCGCAAGCTAACCCGGTCGCAGGCGTAAGTTTTTCCCGTTCCCGCCTTTTGTTGCACCCGCACAGGCGCGCGCAGCCGGCGCAGAGATAAGCACGCCATGCGACGACGGGGCAGTGTTCGGGCGGCAGAGAGGCATTGTGCGATGGTCGCGCGAGCTTCGGGTGGGCATGGCACGGTAGCGATGCGTAGGGCTGAAGGCGAGCCCAAAGAGCACAGCCGTGCGGATCGTCCAACCCTTCAGTTTCAAACCCAAGCCGCGGCATGCCTCTCCTGCTGCAGAGCACTCCCTTTCGTTTGCCCCATGGCCGCTACCCTGTCGCCCCAGGTCGCGTGGGACCTGTTCCCGTCGTCGTTGCGGCGCATTTCCATCACCGACGAGCTTCTTGCAGAACTGGTCCAACCGCCCACTCTAACTCCTGAACCCAGACGCGCCCCGCCCGTTCCCGAGGTTGCCCACACCGACGAATCCACCCACTCGCTGATCGATGTCGACTCGCCGCACATCTCGTCGGTCCCCTCCGACTTCGAGTCGCAGACGATAAAGACCGAGACCCAGGCCGACCGCGTCGAGCGCGAGATCGACGCCCTGGAGCGCCAGGCCCAGGAGAAGCTCAAGAAGGATTTCCGCGGCAAGCACAGGGGCCGCAAGGCCGGCCAGAGCATCCGCGAGAACGCCGGCAACCCCGTCGTCCTCGGCAACTTTGTCACCATCGGCGCCCTCGGCGCCGTCCTGGGCCTCGGCGCCTACAAGAAGTACAACGCCGGCCAGCTCAACTGGAAGGTCGCCGGCGCTTGGGCCGGTGTTGTGGGTCTCTTCGGCGTTGCCGATTACTACGTTTCCAAGTAAGTGTATCGCGTGTTCGGCTGACCGCCTTCGTCTTGGCCCTGGCCCCTGTGATGTGCTGACACATCATCACCAGATACCTGTTCGAGAAGTACCCCACCAAGAAATAGACGACTTCTTATGATACCAACGCGGCGGCGTTCTGCGGACTTTTCTCTACTCGTCTGTTGTCTCATTCTCTACTTGCCGGGTTTTGCTGGTTCAGGCTCGATGACACTGTAAACCGTGTCGTTTGATTTTGTAATACCACTTTACTACTACAAATCCATCTCTGTTAAAGACGATTCTTTCTTGTCATGAACGCGTGATGCCATGTTTTCTGCTTCTTTGTTACTCCATGGTATCAAGAAGCCCTTTTCATGACTTGACCTCATCCTCCCAATTCCTTCACCTCCCCATCCTACTCCTCAACATAGCTGTCCTCTTCTGCTTCTGCTCGCGTGCGTGTTTTCTTTGTTGTCGGAGTCCGGGCTGCAATCTCGGTCGTTGGTTGGCCATGAGGAGATTGCTTCGGAAGGAGATGAAGTGACGTCTTGTTTAGCTTTCACCGGGTAGTAAGTTTGTTCCCCGTGATTGTTTTGTCTGTCGAATGCCCTTGGCTGGTGGTGTTTCCTTTCGAGCATGCTTGATCAAGATGTATAAAGGTATGTTCAAACGACGTCAGTGCAGCAAGTCGTGATAGCAGCCACATCCCTGCATCTCCCACTTCCCGGAACGTCAATCATTTCCGTTTCGCAAGAACCCCGCAAGATAGGCGCACGTATCCATTATCACGGTCCCGAGCCCGAGCGTTACATCGCTTGTACCTTTCCAGCATGCGTCCGCACCGTTTGTGGCTACGGAAGCCGGGTAGCCTTCTTTTAATTTACGCTGGCCGCATAGCACCGGACTTGCTCCCCGGAAACAAAGTCGTCGTACGCCAACGTCACCTCGGCGCTATCGGAGCCCGTTCCCCTGTAGCATTCCAGGGTAACGACTGAGAGCCCAGAGTGCAACGTTCTCTAACGCATTGATTGCGGGGAGCTAAAAGGCCAACACGCCGTCGTCCAGCTGCCTCTTTTACGGACCTACACGTGTGCGGTTACTCTGCTTCGCAATGTGGATAACATTCCTTGTCCTGTTGGCCGCGAGTTGTAAGTAATGCTGCAAAGCTTGTGCTGTACTTAACACGGCATGATCTCCACAATGCTGATCTCAATCTTGAGGCTCTGCGCGGCTCTTGACGATTCCGACGATCCCGTTTAAGCCCACAAATGGTTCTTTATCGATCAGCAGTCTCCGGTCCATCGTCGTCGATGAGAAATACGTCGACGCGGTGAATGAAGATGGCGAAACGCTCATCCCACCCACATTGCTAGAGTTTGCTCAAACCTTCGCCACGGACTTCAGCAAAACCCTCGGGGTGAACCTGACGCTGGCGACTGGCACCGCTGCTGAAGCAGGCTCAATCTTTCTGACGCTGGACCACGCCACCGACTTCCTCGATGCTGCCGGGCGCCACACATCTGAGGGCTACAGCTTCTCGGTAACAGGCAATGATGTGACGATTGCCGGAGCCAGCCCTTTGGGAACATGGTGGGGAACTCGAACCCTCCTCCAGGCCGCAGTGCTCAACAATGGCACCATACCGGCGGGTTCCGCGATTGATGCTCCCGGGTGGGCTACGCGCGGTGTCATGCTGGATGTCGGGCGCCATTACTACCCACCCGAGTTTCTGGTCGAGATGTGCTCGTACCTCAGCTTCTTCAAGCAAAACACTTTCCACCTGCACCTGAGTGACAACATGGGCAGCGTCTACCTGGACAACTACGACTTCATGATGGGTCTGTATGCCGCCTTCCGCCTCGACTCGGACGCCGACTCTCTGGCCGGGCTCAACAGGCGTAAGAACGAGTCCTACACCAAAGACGTCTTCGAGAAGATGCAGCATGACTGCGCCTCCCGCGGCGTCACCATCGTCCCAGAGATCGAAGCGCCGGGCCACGCCCTCGTCATCACGCAGTGGAAGCCCGAGCTCGCCCTCAGCACCGACTACAGCATGCTCAACCTGTCGCACCCGGACACGCTGCCCACAGTGCAGGCCATCTGGCGCGAGTTCCTGCCCTGGTTCCACAGCAAGACGGTCCACATCGGCGCCGACGAGTACGACTCGTCGCTCGCAGCCGACTACAACGACTTTGTCAACGCCCTCAGCACCTTCATCCGCACCGAGTCCCCCTCCCACTCCATCCGCATCTGGGGCACCTTCCCGCCCTCGCCCGCCTACGCCAACAACATCCCCCCCTCGGCGGCATCCATCCAGCACTGGGAGTTCTTCGAAGACAACCCGCTCACCGACTACCTCGCCCGCAACTACTCGGTCCTCAACTCCGACGACGCCTTCTACGTCGTCAACAAGTGGTCCGGCTCGTACCCGCAGTCCCTCTCCAACCGCACCCGCATCTTCCACGGCGACCCCTCCGCCCCCGGCGGCGCGCCCTTCGCCCCCCACGTCTTCGACACCTCCAACGCCACCAACAACCCTCCCCGCACCCACCCGCGCCTCCTCGGCCACGTCGCCGCCCTGTGGAACGACTGCGGGCCCAACGCCACCACCTACTCCGAGGCCTACTACGCCTGGCGCGACCTCCTCCCCGCCCTCGCCGACAAGCAGTGGGGCGGCGCCGGCGGCGGTGACGCCCTGACCGAGCCCGCCTACGCCGCCGCCTTCCCCGCCCTGCACGCCGCCGTCCCCGCACAGAACCTCGACCGCCGCATCCCCTCCCCCGCCGGCGGCCCCACCATCCTGCGCTACGACTTCGCCGACGTCGTCGTCCAGCCCGCCGCCACGGTGGTGCCCGACTCGAGCGGGAACGCGTACCACGGCGCCATCGTGGGCGGCGGCGGCGGCGGCAACGGCAGCGACGCGTGCGGCGTCGACGTGGATGTTGCGGGTGCGGCGGGTGGTGCGGCGCTGCGCCTGGATGGCTCCTGTTTCGTGCAGACGCCGCTGTCCAGCAAGGGCCGCGACTACACGCTTTCGTTCGCCGTCCGTCCGGATCCCGACCCTGCTGTCTCCACGCCCGGCGGCGCGCTGTTCACCGGCGGTGACTCGGCGCTGCTGGCTGGCAACGGGTCGAGCGAGAATGTGATGCTCGTCGCGGCGGGGTATGGCTTCGCGCTGAATTACAGTTTGCCGCGGGGCGCGTGGACGGAGCTGAGTCTGGTGGGGAAGGGGAACAGGACGTTTTTGGATGTGGGGGGCGAGGGCGGGCGGATGGAGTTTACGACGGTCATGGGGATTTTGGGGAATAGTTTCGTTTGGGGGAGCATGGCGGTGGAGGCACCGGTGGGGAGGATCGGGGAGGGGTTCGTGGGGTGGGTGAGGGATGTCGTGTTGAGGGATGGAGCTGAGTGAGAATGAGAGGGAATGGAGGTTTCGTGTCCGAGTGTTGTCTCAGGTACACTGACCAGCACTCCCTTTTCCTTGACCATGTGTAGGTGACCGCCTGTTTCTTTTGATAGCAAACCCCTTCGACCTTCTCAATCTTCCCGAGGCAGAGGACGGCTGCCACGCTAGATCTCGGGCCGCCTGCCAATCCGCTGAGCGCGACGTGCTCGTCCCAAACGGGAAAGTGATCGGGCGCGATATACTGGATCCACAAATTAGATCGCTGCACTAATAACCTTCACCCTGGGCAGGGACCAAGCAGCACACCTTCTACCAACGTCTGCTAATCCATCGCCACCGGCTCACTGGGCCTCCGTTTTCCGTTTTCCCAACTATAGTGTTTCGATCGTGATATAGTTCCAGCGAGAACACTTCAAGCTGAAGTCTCGGTTTGCTTACACCAAGCGGTCCCGCCATGTCCACCGCCAAGCCGGGGCGCGATATCCCGACGGTGGCTTTACGCCACAAACAGAAGTTTGCCGACGCCATGAAGGACCGACCCGCGAGCTGGCATCAGGGGCTCAGGAGATCGGCAGTGCAGAAAGTAGTATAAAAGCCACACGAGTCGCGACGTAGGTAAGAAGCTACAGCCGCAGCCGCAGCCGCAACACTTTGAATTCCAGAGGCTGCAGAAGGGAGGCTCGCCCAAGATGATGTTCACTCCGCTCATTCTTCTTAGCGCCGGCCTACTCGGCGCTCTCGCGGCGCCCTCGCAGCTGCTGCCGAAGCCCCGCGCCAACACCAGAGAATATGATATCGTCATGGTTCCTGACGCAGACATAGCTTCCGTGCTTGGCATCCTCAACCTGAACTTGCACGTGGAGGACGTTCTTGCCACGTACAACAACACGCTGTTCAAGGGCTTCTCCGGCACCATGACGGCCGAGGAGGCTACCATCTTGGGCGCCATGCCGCACGTCTTGGCCATAGACGAGGTCATCGAGGCCAACATTGCCGAGTCCCGCGACAATGCTCCCTGGGGTCTGCAGCGCATCTCGCAGAAGGAGACCATCCACACTTCCACGTATCCGCTTGCTCGAGAGTCAGTTCTTCTCCATTCCATGCAGAGGGACGCAAACCGCTGAAACCAACCCCTGGCAGGTTCGAGTACCGGTACGACTCCTCCTCCTCCCTCGGCCGCGGCGTCGACGTCTACGTCCTCGACACGGGCATCTTCACCTCGCACTCCGAGTTCGGCGGCCGCGCATCCATGGGCTACACGTACTGGAAAGGCAACAACACTGACGGCCACGGCCACGGTACGTCGCCTCCATACTTTCCTTCTCCTCCCCCCCATTCCTCACTCTGACTAACACGTCGCCCTCCCTTCCCACAGGCACCCACTGCGCGGGCACCATCGCCGGCGCCACCGTCGGCGTCGCCAGCAACGCGAACCTCATCGGCATCAAAGTGCTCTCCGACGCCGGCCCGGGCCCGTCGACCGCCCTCCTCGCCGGCCTCAACTACATCGCCACCCAGCACGACTCGCGCTCCGCCGACGCCGACTTCGTCGCCTCCGTCATGTCCATGTCCTTTGGCTTCGAGGAGCGCTCCTCCGCCATCGAGACCGCCATCCAGAAACTCGTCCAAGCCGGCGTCCATGCCGCCGTACGTCCTTCCCACCCCCCAAACCCCACCCGCTGACCCCCAAACCAACGAAAAACAGATCGCCGCCGGCAACTCCGCCACAAACGCCTGCACCGTCACGCCCGCCGCGCTCGGCGGCTCCGGCTCATCCACGCCCGTCCTCACCGTCGCCGCCGCCACCTTCGACGACCGCGTCGCCGACTTCTCCAACACCGGCCCCTGCGTCGACGTCTTCGCCCCCGGCGTCTGGGTCGCGTCCGCCGGCATCGGCGCAACGGACGAGTACACGGTCAAGTCGGGCACCAGCATGGCGACGCCGCATGTGGCGGGGCTGGTGGCGGCGAGGGCGGCGGATGTGGATGTGGGGAGTAGTAGTGGTGCGCCGGGGGAGGTGAAGAGGTGGGTTGTTGAGGGGGCGGTGAGGGGCGTGTTGGTGGGGAGGGGTGGGGAGGTGGCGAGCGAGGAAGAGGAGAGCGGGGAGGGGATGGTGTTGGCGTATAATGGGGTGGGGAGTGTGGGGGAGCCGGAGGGGGAGAGGAAGTCGTTGTTCGGGTAGTTGGTGGGTGGTGGCGTTTTTTCGGGGGTGGGTATGGTGGTAAGTGGTTGTGGGTCGCTCGGCCACGGGCGGTGTTTTAGAGAGAACGATGGAGGGGGGTTTCAAAAAACAAAAGTGATGTGTTGAGGTAATTTTAATTTAGTTTTGGAGACAGGTAGTCGTGGAAAATTAGGTATTTCCTGTTGGTGAGGGAAAGTAGATGTAGATAGCCCTTACGTTGGTGGCACCCCAGGCCTATTGTCGAAATGGCAGATGTTATCCTCAAGTATCGTGGTAGTGATGTGTCGCCTTGTGGCAAATATTGCTCATTTTGTGTTAAACACTGCGCGCTAGCTGTTGGTCGATGATTTGCTGTTCAACATTCATCAAGTGACATCAACAAGTCTCTCTTCTATCCACGATCGGAGCATAAATGGGAGTGTTTTCAGAAACAAAGGTTGTAAGGCTGCCACGAGCATATGAAAGTGTTAACGTGTGCGGATGGCTATGCATATTCAAGGCTAAGTGCAGGGCACACAAGGTGGCCAACAAACAAACATGTTTGTTTGTCTTTGCTTGTTTCAACCCAACAATCAAGCAAAGATCGAGGGTTATGTAAAACAAATAAGCAAAGACGGAGGGCTGCCATCTTTTGTAATGCTTACTTTTTCCTACACTTCACCCCACCTGACCGTTTTTGTAAGAAGAATGATGAAGACTATCATGGAAAGCTGGATTGTGTCGCTCAAGCACCAAAGAAAAAGGCATTTCAAAGCGAGACAGTCAAGGCCATTGTAGCATACGCTGCCCGGAATATGCGCTAGAATTCCAAGCATCAGAATGTTGAAATTCCTGGAAATGTGTGATGGTAGCGAGTAGTCGGAAATACATCAAATTCCTCTTTAAACGTTATGCCCGCCACCTCCCCGGTCCCCGGCTCCATCACTTTCCACCACCACCACCACCATCACCACTATCACCACCAACCTCTCCACCAACTCCCCCACCCCCACCACGACCACCTTCCCTGCCCCTCCCCTCCACCATCTCCGCCCTCCCCCTCCCCATCACCGTCCAGACCCCCCAACCCCACCACCTTTTCAATCCACGCATGCACCACCCCCACAATCTCCCAATTATTCCTCTCCAAATGCATAAAATGCGCATTCCCCCTCACGCCCGCATCCTCTGCCAACCTGATCCACTCGGCCGGCACGCCCGCCTGCCGCAGATACTCCACCACGCAATGATCATACGTCGCGTGCGGACTGGCCTCGCTGGTCAGCGCCACATACGGCACCCGCGCGACGCGGGGGAGGCGCCTGGGCAGGTGGGCCTGCAAGTAGCAGGCGCGGCGCTCGGGGCGATCGGGGCCGACGAGGCGGACGGCGAGGTCGGCGGCGGTGGGGTCGGCGACGGCGGGGTCGTAGGTCAGATGGGTGTTGGCGAGGCCCCAGGGGCGGGCGCGGGAGGCGCCGGTGCCGGGGTGGGTGGCGTTGCCGAGGTAGGAGACGAAGGGGACGTTGGCGGGCTCGAGGTTGACGCTGCCGGCGACGAGGGCGGGGCAGTCGTTGGAGAGGAGGAGCGGGTGCAGCGCGCCGATGGAGTGGGAGACGAAGAAGGAGGGGGTGGCGATGAGGGCGAGGAGGGCGCAGCCGGATGCGCGCATGGAGAGCTCTTGGGCCGTGAGGTTGGAGGTGAGTGGGATGAAGGTCGATTCGAAGGCGTCGAAGGTGGGGTCGGACTTGAGGCCCGTCTGTGGGGAAGTGTTAATCGGGGGGAGTGGGAAACGGTGAGGTGGATTGGACGTACGCCTGGCCATTGGGTGTGGAGTTGGGATTGCGGGTAGAGGTTGGCGCGTTCTACGGCAGTGAAACCGTCCTCGCTGATCTCTGCTGTCGAACCGATGCGCATGGGGAAGTTGGTTAGGTCTTCTTCAGAGCCGTGGCCAACTGAGGTTTGATCGACTATGTAGACTTGGTAGCCGAGATCTAGAAAGTACGAGGCGAAGCCTTTTCGGTTGTCGGGCGTATTGAGCCATGTCTGTACGACGTGTCTTTCGTTAGTGGATGATCAGGAAGGTGGAATGAGACTGGCGTACCACACCCGATGTTCCTTTCGATATGTTAGCGAAAGAGCGAAATCGAGCATTGTTTGGATGGAAACGAACCTCCTCCGTGGAAGAAGATGACTGGGTTTGGCTGGAAGACACCATTCGCGGGCGTCAACTTCTCAACATAGAGTTGATCGTATGTGAGATTGCCAGCTGTGGTCTCGACATAGCGTCCACCAACGTAGAAGATGTCGCGGTGATGTAAAGACTCGCCGGTTGAGCATGCAGGTGAGATGGCATTGACCCCAGAACACTCGTCTTCCGGTGTTGAAGACCCAGGAGAGTATTGACCAGGGTGGTTGTGAGCCGAAGCTGCGGCGAGCTCCAAGGCTAAAGCGAGAAACACTGGGCGAGACAACATGTTCAGAGAACACAATTGACGATGTCGATTGACAGGAACGGGGCCACTGAGGTCGATAAGGCATAAAGACATGCAGAGAAGACAAGGCGAAAGTTGGATCATGTGGAGTGAAGTATATGAATTTGCTGATTGCGGAGCTAGAGATGGGGCGCGGTAGACAGACTCGAAACATGCTAAAGAAGATTCCGTGTAGTAGCGCTAGAAGGTAGCGGAGGTATGAAACTCCGAGGGAATAGGGCGACGTGGTCAGGCAAGCAGTGAACTACCGAGTAGTCCTGGCACATTGTGCTGGCATTCCCGGAGAAGCCGAACTCGGCCAGCATCCAATACTCGAGATCCCAGCAGCAAGCAGCAGAGGGAGGGCCAGTTGCTGAAACAAACGGGTGTTTAATCCGTCGAGTAATATCGAGCACGAAAAAGCAAACAGGCATGGCGTTGTTCCGACGGCCGGCTCTGGCCTAAAATAAGGATAATTCCGCGCGCGTGGTTTACCCGAGACATGGTTCCTTGTTAGCTCTGACGGTCATAGCTCAAGCAGACTGCACCGTTCTGCCGCCGTCACAGGGCGAGTTCGGTCCTCCATCTGTTGGCTCAAGGTGATTGAGAGCGGACAATGTGGAGAGTTGCAATCGGGGCGAACAGGCTCTGTGAGATGGATGATCCAGCACAGATGGCGCGGCAGCCTTTGACTGTTGCCCAACTTTGCTTTGACCTGGTCCTCATTGTTCTCGCCACGGAACCGGCGCATCTCAAGCGTCTCCCACAATTCTCTTGACGCGTTCGAGCAGCACGGGGGCTTCTCTTCCCAACCTCCTCTTCCCGTCCTTGCCGGGAGTGCGGGCCTTGGCCATTTGCTTCCTCATGCGCTCGCGCTGAGCCAGCTTCTCCTGACGCTGGCGGTCAGCTTCCTCACGGGCTGCCCTGCGAGCCTCGGCCTCTTCCTTGCGTTTCTGGCCCAGGGCAGCCTCTTTGTTGAACGTCTGGGGCTTCTGCTGCTTCCTGCGCGGGCGGCGTTCTTTTTGCTCGGGCTCGGGCTCGGGAGACGGCGCGTTTAGCATAGCCTGGCGCTCGGCATGAAGCTCGAGGGTGGGCTCGGGAGCGGGCGCGTTTTCGCCTTCTCTATTCCCGTCCTCGTCGTGCTCGGTATACTGGGGCTTCTGGTGGTGCAGCTCGGTCTCGCGGATCTTTGCATACTGCTTCTTGATCTTGGCCTTGTGAATCAGGTCCTGCTTGATTTTCTGGACTGGAGGGGGGTCAGCAGGTGCAGGTGCAGGCGCATAGGCGCGGCGGGCGGCTGTCACGCACCCTTGCGTCTGTGGGTGCCGTCGGGCAGATTTGCGGGCCCGACGGAGAAGCCGCCCCTCCTAGGAGCATTGCTGCTGCGTGGCTTCTTCGCATGGGCGGGCGGATCGTGGTCGTCGTGCTGGCGTTTGGCGGGCATTTTGGGGGTGCGGTGATAGGGCTGGCAGATGATGAAATTTCTCAGTCTAGCGCGGGCGGCGAGTGGGCCAGGGCGGCGCGCAGGCGATCCCGCGGCGCCCCAACTGGCCCCCAGGCCACAAGTCAGCGGCCATCACGGTGCACATCCGATAAGGGCGGTGGTGCCAGCTGCAGCAGCGCAGCCCATGGCAGCGCGCCAGATGGGCGGCTGCGTGGCTGGGCGGGGCCTCCAGCGCGATTGGCGCATCGTGTGACTTGCAGAGAACTGAGCCTTTGTCTTCCGTCATACCTCGTCCCTCTCAGTCCTCAATGCCACCCCCGGGGCCCTGCACGCGCACGCCTCACCCGCGCCGCTCGATTCCGGCACAGTCCCCGCTCGCGGCAGCCGTGGTTGGCGCTGGCCGCTGTGACTCGCCCGCTCTTACTCATCGCCCATCGCTCCATATCCCGGGTCCTGCTCTCCGACCTCGCTCCATCCGCCCGTCACCACCACCCAACTTCTCGCACCCCAGCCAGCGCTTGCAAGCCCGAACAACGCCCTGAAACCGCCACTGACCGCCCTTTTCCACGCACCACCCCTCATATAAGCTGGTTTGGCGCCCTCAAGTGCTGCTCGTAACCACGAGCCGACCGACCGACTATGCCCATGCCCATCTTCCACGACGACCAAGAGCCCACCACCCCCCAGCCCTCGCGCGCCTATGACCACCGCTTCCGCCATGCCCAGCACTCGCCGCGGGACAGGCGGGACCACGTCTGGTCCGTGGATTATTTGCGCGCTCTCGAGAACGCCCAATTCCTGGGCTGGGACGACGACCGGTCCGGTGGCGACTATGGCCAGAGCACGCTGGATCGTGCAGCCTTGATCGAGCGACTCAAGCGCAGCCAGAGCCCGCCGGTGCAACATCACCATACCGTCAGCATACGCACCGCGCCTGCCCAGAAGCAGCGGGAGGACGCCGCCCCGGTTGACTCACAGTCGACTGCAATCCGAGAAGAGCGCTCCCGCCAGCCGTCTGCACATGGGGAAGGGAACAGCCAGGACGAGGCGCAGGAGAACGCGCAGGACGCGCAGGACGCCTCAGCCACCGGCTTGTCCATCGAGCGGCCCAGGTCCGCGCTGCACTCGGGAGACTTTAGACAGGAGCGCGATGCCGTGACCTACCATCATCAAGTCAGCCAGAACCCGGCCCTCTCCACCTCTCCTGTTGCGCCCTGGCACCATGCTTTTCCCAATGCTGCTTTGCCGCGCATCCGAGGCGGCGCTACCTCCCCCCAGCCCGAATATCCAACATCCTGTCTCTCCCGCCAGCCCTCGCAGTCCTCGCTCCCCTCCAGCTTCGTCCTGCTTCCGCCGTCAAGCCCGCTGGTGCAGCAGACGAACAACACCGATCTCGACTTCTCGCATCGCCCCAGTTCGCGCCAGGGGGAAAGGGACAATCGCCGCCACACTTTCTCTCCGCATTCGCTGCAGACTTACCACACCTCTCACGCATATTCTCAATTTCCGGGACGCTCTCACCCCTCTCTGCGGCAAGAGAAGTCCTTTCCCTATCAAGCACACCAGCCGCGCCGCTCGCTGTCTTCATTCTTCGGCCCGCACTCGAATTCCACTCCTCAATCTCCGCAACTCCGCCCGCGCGGCCCGTCCATGACAAACGAGACTTCTCCGTTGCAGCACGCTCCGATGGTTGGCTCCTACGAGGAATCCATCTTGCGCGGGAGGATGTCAACCACGCCCTCGCGGCCGCTCAACTTCATAGCCCAAATCGGCGTTTTGGGCAAGGGCGATTGCAAGGCGAACCTACGCTGTCCCGCACACGTGACTCTGCCGTTTCCAGCAGTCTTCTACAGCTACAACAGCGGGAATGGCAGGATTGCCGATAACCAGCCCAGCCCGTACGTCGGCTTGGTCGACTTGGAAAACAACTTGAAGCCTGCCGAGGAGCAAGAGGAGAAGCGCCGGCGGAGAAGACATGTGCGCTCGGACAATCAGGGCGAGAACGAAGACCAGGACCATTTGAACGGTTTCCATGAGGGCGTCGGCGATGCGCAGCAGAGGACAGCGCATCGGAAGAGGGAGAAGATGAAGCGCAGGTCAACGTCGCCAAAGTCCCCGCCGGGCGGCAGCTACCGCATTCCTCAGAAGGGCCAGCTTCAAATCGTCATCAAGAATCCCAACAAAACAGCAGTGAAGCTGTTCCTCGTGCCCTACGACTTGAGCGACATGGAGCCCGGCCAAAAGACGTTCATTCGCCAACGCAGCTACTCTGCCGGCCCAATCATCGACATGCCTCTCAGCAAGCGTACCAACTTCGGTACCGATCGTCCCGAGGCTTCTCTTTCGACATCTGAAGACCCCAATGATCGACCAACCCTTCGTTATTTAATTCACTTGCACATATGTTGCCCATCCAAGGGACGATACTTTTTGTATAAAAGCATCCGCGTTGTATTTGCCAACCGCGTGCCTGACGGCAAGGAGAAGCTTCGGAATGAAATCCAGCTACCCGAGCCTCGGTATAGTGCTTACAAACCTGCCCGCGAGAGCCAAGGCGCTCCGCAATCGTCCAGGGCTCCGGCTGCGTCGGCGTCCGAGAAGGCATTGAGGCGACGGAGCGCAGGGCTGTCCCTCAGCCATGGCCAGGCGCGCTACGATCGTTTCGATGAACTTGACTTTGGCAGCCCAAGCGACAGCTATGTGGGCTGTCAGACGTATGCCTACCCAATGGAACCAATCGTGCCCATTCCTTTCAAACTATCTCGCCGGCTCGAACCCGTCGAGTCTCGTCCAGGCAGCAGGGACCAAATGGATGTGGACGGCTCTTCGCGGAGGACGTCCCATGTCGGCTCGCTGTCGAGCCAAGGAAACCAGTCTTCGTTTGATACCGACCAGACGTGGGAAAAGCGTGCTGCCGGTTCCTTCTCGCCCCCTCCTTCGCATGCTGGTGCCGGTCTGCTTGCGCAGCGGCTGAAAGGCCTGCAAACGTCAACCCATGAGACGCATACGAAAGACGACTCTAATGGTTCCGCGTAGGTAGGTCAGTCGATGCACAAGGTAGGTCTTGTACTTGATGAAAGCTTCTTATTTTCGCCGGATCGACCGCTTTTCTTTCTGAAAAAAGTTGTTCCACATACGTTATTATTCTTCTGTCATTCATTTGTCCAGTCGAGTTGTTACAGTGCATTGTCGGCATACGGAAGGAGTTGTTGTCTCTCTCACGGAACGGTGTTCGGGTGTGATCCATAGACGTGATAGACCATTCGGCGCGTGGGGTGTCCGGGTTCCGCTTAAGCTTTCCTTACTTAGCTGGGCCCTTTTGGATGGTCTCTGGCCCTCTTTATTTTCTTGGATAAGGAAGCGGTCGGCGCAGGGGACTCTTTCACTCTCCATTCTGCACAGTAATTGATTGGGCACAAGTGCCCATATTAAACCTGCCGGGTTGGCCACGTCCACTGTGAAGGTGGATTACATTTATTGAACTGTTGCCAATAGAACGGACGGGTCCGTCATAGTGACTCCCAGCGGCAATCCCAGAGAAAAATGACTCTCGCCGGTCACCGGTATCTCGGAAACAATTACGCAAATCCTTTCCCTGGCTCCTCCACTTCGGGATATCCGAACGATGGTCATGCCTCTTGGCCTCGGAAACTGCCTGCCTTGGATCGTTGGCAACAATGCTCTCTCAGGAAACAAGACCGTCGGGTATCGCCGAGGGCGGACCGCTAATGCTTGGATAGTACTTTTCATGCGAGTGGCGGCCCATCCAGACGCGGGATTGGTTCGTTTTTCGAACAGGAGGTACGTATGTACATACATACAAGGTTGTGGCCGGCGGGTTTCCCCACACTACCTTTTCCCCGCAGTTTGCGTTTTTCGGCAAATGATGTCGAGAAAATCCTGGGGTACAGCCCGATGTCCCCTCGGATGCATGGATGCGCACTGTTGTTTCTTTTTGCTTCTGACAGAATCAGGGAACGAGGCGCCCTCATGTCAGCTACCTAATGCTTGAGCAGGCTAAGATGCCCGCCTTCACCCCGAGCTCCGGCTCGGGAGACGATGCACCGAGCATGGGCGGTCCATCAGGGACATACACACCTCTCGCGGCCCTTTTCCCTTTCCCTACTCTGCTCGGAATTGTGGTATAAGAGCCGGCGAAGTCGGGTGCTGACAGGTGTGAGAGCTGTTGCCGGCGTATCTCCCCGACGAGCCTTCATGCCTGCAACAGTGCTTCAGAGCGCTTGACTTTTTGCTCGACCACCCTATGCATAGCTTCCATCTCGTGTCACCAGCCCTCGGGCTGCTGACGCTTCTCACAGCGTCCGCCACTGCGAGCTTTGCAGAACCAGAAGTCCAGTACAGACCCAAGTTCCGCTACTGGTACGTCAGCTCCCCCCAACCACCCACTCACCCACCCACCCCTCAAGCATCCCCACCTCACTCACTCACTCACTCACCACCCCCTCCCCACCCCCACCAGGCTCCCCGACGCCTCCATCCCCCCCTCCACCCTCCAATCCGACATCGCCGCCCTCTCCACCCTCGGCGCCGGCGGCCTCGAACTCCTCGGCTACTACCAATACGGCCTCGTCGCCGCGCAAACCGGCGGCGTCGCCGCGCCCCCGACCGACTGGACCATCTACGGCTTCGGCACCCCGTCCTTCGCCGCCCTCTTCCGCGCCGCGCTCGAGCAGGTGCGCGCGGAAGGCTTGCTCTTGGATTTCGCGCAGGGCGCGAACCAGGGGCAGGGCGTGCCGAGCGTGCCCGGGGAGCGCGGGTTGGCGGTCGAGTTGGCGTATGCGAATGTGAGCGTGGATGTTGTGCGGGCTGGTGGTGGTGGTGGTGGTAGGTGGGAGGGCGTGCTGCCGGAGAGCGTGCAGCCGGTGAATGCGTTTGGGGCCTTTATGCATGGGGCGGAGGAGTTTGGTGCGCAGGTGCTGAGGGCGGTGTTGGCGGTCGAGGTTGTGGCGGGTGAGTGCGTTTTTGGGGGGTTTCTTTTTCTTCTTCTTCTTTTCTCCTTTCCTCCTTCCCTACCTCTCACCGACTCCCTCTGTCGCACTCTTCCCTTTTTTTTTGGGTTGGTTAATTGAGTTTGTTGGCGGTTGGTGTGCGGTACGGTGACGCTGACGTATGCAGCGCAAAACGTTTCCACGGACAGTGGCGACTTGACGTTCTCGGAGAATACGGTTGGCCGGGTTGTCGACTTGACGGGAGAGGTGGATCCGGTGCTGAGGGAGTTGAATTGGACGGCGCCGGAGGGAGAGAGTGAGTGGAGGCTGATGGCGTGGTATGAGCGGTATACGAACCAGAGGAGTTGCGCGGGTGGCGTCAATGCGACGGACTATATTGGGAACGGGTCGTGGACTGTGGATCACTTTAGTGCTGCGGGTGAGTGAGTCGGGGCGTTTCGGGCCATGGACTTTCTTTATCGTTGCTGACTGGTTCTCACGATAGGTTCCAAGAAGTTGACGGATTTCTTCGATGCTCATGTCATCCCCGACGCCGAGACGAGGGAGCTTCTTGCTTCCGTTGGCAAGTATGGTCAGTTTATGGCGTCAAAAGCAATGGCGGCGAACTGGCGATGAGCTGACTGGGTTCGTAGGGTGGGAGGATAGCATGGAGATGTTCTCGGCGCTGTTGTGGACGCCGGAGCTACCTTCCATGTTCAATCAGTCGAGGGGCTACGACATAACGCTCTGCTTGCCCTACCTCATCACGCCCGCCAACTACTGGAACAGCGAAGCCTTACCGTACGGAGAAGGCTTCGTAGATGAAAATACTACTTTTGGCGACAAGTGCAACGAGGATTACAGAACGACACTCAACGAAGGCTATCAGGAGTACCTCGCTGTATACGTTAATTGGAGTCACGGCTTGGGTGTAGAATACTCGGCACAGCCGGCGTACAACCTCCCTCTGAATATGGTAGGGTCTTTAGCTGGAAACCTTCCCATTCCATGTGGCTAACGGGGAAAAGCTTGACGATATTCCCATTCTTGACGCTCCCGAGGGCGAGTCTCTGGGCTTCAACAACATAATCGACACCTACCGCCAGTTCTCCGGCCCGGCCCATCTCTCCGGTATCTCGGTCATTTCGTCAGAGTGTGGTGCGCTTAGCGGTGCGCCTTACCAGCAGACGTTCAATGACCTCCTTTGGTCGGTAAGGCGCGGGCTAGCTACCGGTATCTCAATGCACGTCTTGCACGGGTTTGCGTACTCTGGTCCGTATACGAACACGACGTGGCCGTCCTACACCACTTTTGCCTATCAATTCAGCGAAATGTGGAACCAGCATCAACCCAGCTGGATTCACATGAACGACACCATCCGCTACATTGCCAGGAATCAGTACGTGTCTCAAGCCGGTACGCCAAGCGTGGATCTCGCTTTCTATCTTTACGAGGCACCGTGGGCAGTCAGCGCACAGTACATGGACACGAACCTGGAGGAACTCGGATATACGTACGAGTATCTCTCGGCAAACAATCTACTCTCGCCTGAGGCTTTTGTGGAAGACAATATCCTCGCTCCTACCAAGCAATCCTTTAAAGCGCTTATCTTCTCCAACGCATCCGCCATCACACCCGGCGGTGCAGCAAAGGTTCAAGAGTTTTCTGAAGCTGGGCTCCCGGTCTTCTTTGTCGGTGCCACCAATTTCACCAGCATCGGCCAGGAGCCCGGTGCAGCAGCTGAGGTGGCTTCCACAATCAGCTCGGTCGTCAATAGCGGACTTGAAAACGTCCACACCGTTACCTCGTCGGCCGATCTCCCCGACGCTTTGTCGCAGGCCGGCATACTCCCCAAGGTGTCCTTCTCCACTCCCACATCCTGGTACCCTTTCTGGCGCCGTGCGGACGGCATCGACTACGCCTACATCTACAACGACGGCCTCGCCTCCCAAACCGTCGACGTAACCTTCGCCACAACCGGCACGCCTTACTTCTTCGACGCCTGGACCGGCGCCATCACCCCCGTCCTCCAATACACCACCTCCCCCTCCTCCCCCTCCATCACCATCCCCATCACCCTCGCCTCCAACCAAACCACCATCCTCGGCTTCGCCCACGCAAACTCCTCCACCACCGCCGACCCCCTCCCCGCCGCGCCCGACACCCACATCACCTCCGCCACCGGCGCCCTCGCCGGCCTGGTCCCCTCGTCCCCCTCCCCCAACTCGACAACAAGCACCACCATCACCGCCTACCTCACCGGCCCCGCCTCCCTCACCCTCTCCACCGGCCAGACCCTCAACCTCACCACCGCCCCGCCGCCCCCGGCCACCACGCTCTCCAGCGGCTGGTCCATCACAATCGAAGACTGGCATCGCACCTCGGACCCCTACAGCATGGACACGGCCATCACCACGCACACCCTCGCCAACGCCACCCTCGCGCCGTGGTCCGCCCTCGGCCTCCCCGCCGCCAGCGGCATCGGCCGGTACACGACCTCGTTCGCGACGCTCCCCGGCGCAAACGCCGCCCTGCTGTCCCTCGGCCCCGTGGCCCACAGCATGCGCGCGTGGCTCAACGGCGTCGCGCTGCCGCCGCTGGACGTGGCGGACGCGCGCGCCGACCTGACGGGGCTGCTGCTGCTGCCGCCGCTGCCGCTGCCGGCGAAGAAGCAGGAGGGTGCGGGCGAGGCGAACGAGTTGGTCGTCGAGGTGACGACGACGCTGTTCAACAGGGTCAAGGCGGATGGGAACGCCACGTGGAGCGTGGGCGCCACGGCGAACGAGCTGAACGGCGCGTTTTACGAGACGCATGCGGTCAAGGAGTATGGGTTGCTGGGGCCGGTGGTGGTGGAGTGGGTGGCGGTGGCGGAGGTGGGGGCGGGGGTGGTGGGCTGATCCAGGGGTCTCAGCACTCTGCACTCGCTGTGAAGATGACTATTGGTGACTGATACTGTCAGATATAAGGCCCTTAGCCAGCACTGAAAACAAGTAGGGCTTCGTACCTCTTTTCAAGTGCGATAGATACTTTAATCTTTTAAAGTACTATGTAAGAGTGGCGCTTTATCAAAATGCGTTAACCGCTACGCTTTTAAAACCGCCAACAACGCGAGTTTTAGCTACTAGGCTTCAGTATTTAGTACGGCGGTAGCTTCCTAGCCTACGGCCTCTTTCGCCACCAAAATACGCCTTGTGTAAATCCGGCTCGTGACTGGCGACTTTCTACCAATAAGATAGCTTGCGTAGTCCACGCAGGTAGCCAATGGCTCTTTGCTGACATGCAGTTTGGAAGTGTCAGCCTGGGCTAAGCCCCCACTCATACATATTTGGGCTGAATGCCCCGCAGCAGAGCTCGCACCCATCTTTCAGCTCGCCAGCCTTGCCCCCCCAGACACGACATTCTCCATTCTCTCTACTCTCTCTCTTGGGAAACGTGATCATGGAGATCGCTGGCCTCGCCATCGGCGCTGCTGGGCTCGTCACCCTCGTCGATTCGTGTAAGCGCCTGATGAGAAAGATCGATTCTTACCGACATGTCACATCGGAAGCTCACCCGATTCTGGTCGAGTTCTTTGCCTGGAATCATCTGTTCGACCGTTGGCTTCAGCACGTAACTGTTCACGAAGGTTTTCTTCAAACCGCTTCCGGAGATCGGGTGGACGAAACAACAGCTGATGTGGCTCGAAACCTGATATCCTGCATCGAGGATTCGCTGAAATCCATCGAAGTTGTCGTTTCAGACTTCAACAAGCCGGCCGGCCTTTCCACCAAGGCAAAGGTTCAGTGGGCATACTCGAAGAGAGAGAAGGCAGTCAAAGGAGTGCAAGAGCTCTTCCGCTTCGTCCAGGAGCTTCATCTCGTGCTTCCTGTAAGCGGGACGAGCGGGGATGCGTCATCTTCAGCACACGGCCTGTCTGATGAGGTCGTGGCACGCCTGGACAAGCTTCGCGAAAGATATCGAGGTGTGTATCGATCGCCTGATGAACAAGGCCGGAAGCCATGTACTGACAACCTGCAGCTGATGATCGCAGAAACATCCACCAATGGCTTGGCGCGAAAAGCACAGAGTCCTACTACGAAGAGAGGCTACGCGACCGAAAAGACGGGACCTGTTCTTGGATCTTCCGTCACCCGGACTTGGTGTCATGGATTTCCCCCGAGTTTCCCGACGATCTTGCCAAAGTCCTTTGGATACATGCACCTGCAGGATTTGGCAAAACTGTCTTGTGCGCCACCATTGTCGAGTCACTCAAGATGACTGCCCCTCATACAACGGCTTTGTACTTCTTTTCCGACCGTGAAGACGACACTTACGCCATCCTACGGTCGTGGATCTCTCAAATCGTCTACCAGCATGACGACGCCATGCAGATAGTGGCCGACAACCCGCGCCTTACATCGACACCAACGGCTACACATTCCGATCTGGAAGAAGTATTCCGCTCCATCGCACAGTCGAACTTGAGCTTCACATTTGTGGTGGATGGCTTAGACGAGTGCGAGGACCCCAATCAACCCGACATTATCGATACAAACCGCAGCCGATTCGTGGGGGCGTTGCGAGCTCTCATTTCCGGCACCAAAACACGGGCCATGATCGTCAGCCGCCCTTTCCTGGACATTCGCTCGTCAATTCATCCAGAAAGGACCAGTGACCGGCTAGCCATCTTTGAAATCCCCGTTTCAGCAGATGACGTTGATGATGACCTGAAGGCATTTTCCAGAGCAATAGTTGACAGGAGGCTCTCTAATCAACCAAAGGCTTCGCGAGAGGGCTTGGCAGTCCAAATGGCAGAGCGAGCGAGCGGTATGTTTCTGTGGGTCAAGTTGCTCGAGAGCAGGCTACGTCGCAGCAGAAATCAGAAAAAGCTTCAAGACACCATACGCGACATGCCTGAGGGCTTGGACAGTACCTATAAGAGAAACATGGAGCGGATCAAAAGTCAGCATCCTGTGGACAGAGATCGCGCACTCCTGATACTCATGTGGATCGTGGTTGGGAGGAGCCCGCCCACCGTCGCCCAAATTGCCATTGGCTTCGCCGTTCAAAGAAGTGAGTCGAGCGCCGATCTCCAGTGCGACGAGCTTCCGGATCTCATCGATCAACATTACGTTGACGAGGATATCATCGAAACATGCGCTGGCCTCGTCGAAGTGAACGTGGACAGCCGGATCCCATCTCTTCAGCACCGGAGCATACGTTTTGTTCATTCGTCAGTACGCGACTATCTTCGTCATTTGGCTCCTGGTGAATCACTCGGTGTACCTTTCTCTGACCACGGTCTTCAACGTGGCCGTCTCTGCGCCATACTGCTACGATTCCTCACTTACGAAAGCGCCTGGAAAACGCCTCCTTTTCGCCCAGAAGATGTCAAATTGTCACTTTTTCGGGATTTCGCTACACTTTCGTGGCCGCAGTATGTCCCTACCTCCGTATCAACAGAGTTGCGCATGCTCGTTGATGCCTTCTTCTCGGTCAGAAATTACAGGTGGGAGTGCTGGCGAACGGCGTTCGAGAAGATGACCATTTCACTAAACGTGTTGTGGATGCGAGATTCTGTTTGGGAAGACCGCAAGAAAAACTACTTTACACATGATTTCTTGCTTGAGGCATCCGAATTTCCGCAATATCCAGAGCCGACCGATGTTCAGGAGATAGGTGAAATAGTGCGCGCGCGGGCAGGTGAAGCATTCAACCCCCCGACGGATTTATCAGACTTGTTCGAGAAACTGGAACCCCTCGTTGAAATTGCTTTCCCTCATGATCGAATCTCAGAAAGCAACATGCATGTTCCCGGTACGCGGCTGTACTACGCGGTTCTCACAAGGGACATTGGGATAGTGCGGACAACCATCGACAGTGACCCCGATTCCGTCAACACACCTGGGGGACTGCAAGGCAGCGCATTGCAACTGGCATGCTGGATGGACAGCCTGGATATGGTCGAAGAGCTACTCAACAAAGGAGTAGACGTCAATCTAGAGTCTGGCTGTATGGGCTGTGCCCTCAATGTTGCTGCCTGGAGTGGAAACCAGCATGTTGTTCAGATTTTACACAGATTCGGCGCCAGCTTGCAAGCGCGCGACTCACGTGGCTGGGATGCACTCTTCCGCGCGGTTACAGGAAGTAACAGCAAGGTTGTTGAGCAGCTACTACAATACGGGGCGAAGCCAAATTCTCGGTACGAGTATCTATACTCTACCGACATGACGCCTTTGATGGCTGCGGCAACTTTCAACGAAGTTGAGATTTTTGGGCTTCTTCTCGCAAATGGAGCTGACATCTCAGCATGCTCAGGCGAGAAGGAAACTTGTTTGCACTTCGCCGCCGTGAAAGGATTCGTTGAAATCGTAGATGCGATAATGAGCGTAGACGAAAGTAAGAATATACTTGATTGTAAGTGCTCAAGCTACACCTAGAACTTGCAGCCCTCTAAGCAGATCCAGCTTTCAATGCCGATGGAGATTGTCCACTGTCTCTCGCCATCTTCCTACACAAGGACACCACCGTTGCTCTTCGGCTGCTTTCCCATGGCGCAAAATACGACATTCCAAATTCTGATGGATGGACGCCTTTGCATGACGCAATTGACGAAAACCTGCCCGACGTCGTCCAAGCTATGCTGACAGTTGGGGTTGGAGACGGCATAAACGCTCAGGATCTCGATGGATGGACACCCTTGCATATCGCGGCGGACAGGGGGAATGAGAGGCTTTGCGGACAACTTCTAAGTCACGGAGCAGACTCGAAACTGGCCACAAGAGACGGAAGGACGCCGCTGCACATGGCAGCATTGGATGGACATGTTGAAATTGCCCGCCAACTACTAGATCACGGCTCCATTGTCGACGCGAAAGACGAGTCTGGAAAGACTCCACTACACCTGGCGGCGTCGGAAGCCAACACAGAGATGATTGATTTGCTCGTCCATTTCCACGCTGATATGTCTGCTGTGGATGCGCATGACCACACACCAATAGTCATGGCAGCTCATCGCGGGCAGCTCGAAGTATACAAGAACCTGCTGTCTCACGGTGCGAATGAAAGGATGAATGAATCCTTACGACATACTCCACTTCATTCAGCGGCGGAGGCTGGGAAATTTGGGATGGTACAATACCTGCTTGACCGGGGCTGGGATGCCAATCTTCCCGACATTAAGAAGCAAACAGCTTTGCACATGGCCGTTCGCTTTGGCCATAAGGATATTTTAGGAATCTTACTAGATCGAGGGAGCTGCACAACCACAATCGATCAGGACGGCGACACACCCCTACATTCAGCGGCCTACGAAGGCCATGCCGACATCCTCGAACGGGGACCCCCGGAGTACTTCGAAGCTCACGATGGAGATGGCATAAAACCCCTCCATATCGCCGCACAGTTCGGAAAAGTAAATGTGCTCAAGTTGCTTTCGAGCAGGTTTCCGGGCTCTGTCGATGACCGGACATTGGACGGGTGGACGCCACTGGCTCTAGCTACCTTGTTTGGCCATGCATCTACAATGGAAGTTCTTCTCGAACACGGCGCAGATCCGTTTGCTCTAACCCCGGATGATGAGACTTTGATACAAGTCGCCATAGATGACGGCCATGCGGAGGCTGTAAAAGTTTTGCTGAGGGAAATGCACAAGCAGGTGACAGTATCGACAAAACTCCCGCCGCTCTCCGATATCGACGACTGCGCCGCCGACGACCCCCTCTCCCACCTGAACGAGGCAAACTGTCGCAAGCTTGGAAGAAGTCGAAGTTTGTCGCAGATCGAGATACAAGATTCTATCACCGACAACACGATTCCACTGAGTCGAGCTTGTTCATTCTCGCACAGTGTATAATAGTCGTTCCCTTGTTGTGTTTTGGGCTATGGTGTTAGAGGTTGATGATGAATTGTCATTTTCAGGCCATATTGATGGTCAAGTCCGACTCTTGGCAAGACCGTGTCAAAGGAGTTACTTTTCCCTTCTGCGAGCAATAGATTTCTTATGATATCCCCATGTCACTGCCTCCAATGCAGCCGCCTTCACATGAAGAGAAACGGTGACTAGATGAGTGTGCACATACGCGTAATCAACACGTGAGGTCGCAGGTTTGAGACAGGCCCAGGAGTATTCTTTGGCACATCCCCACAGTCTCCGGTTCTGCTCATTGCTCTTTCAAACAGTCCGCAGACCGGCGCTTACGTTCCACAGCAGGAGACTGCGCCAGACCCCGCATATATCAAGCATGATTTAGCGACATTGACACAGCACAGTGCAGACAGGAATAATGCAAGTGCCTCCCCTACCGCAGCAGCCAATGGCGCCAGTCCGACCACCGAGACGCCAGGGGAAGACAGTACAGCACAGCCCTACTCGACCTCGACCCACCTCCCCTCCAGCTCCCTCACCACCTCCACATCCCCCATCCCCTCCAACATCAACCCCACCCCCTGCGCCCCCGCCGCCGCCGCCTGCCCCGCAAACACCCCTCCCCCGCCGTACCCGTACCCGCCATACCCGCCATACCCGCCGTACCCGCCGTACCCGCCCGTCGCCAGCGCCATGCCGTGGTACGCGCTGCTCATGGCATTCGCCACGCGGCCGCGCTCCCGCCGCGCCCGGGCCGCGGCGAGCATCTCCTTGCACCGCGGCACCGTCTGCTCGTACACGCGGTGGCGGTGCTGGGCGAACGCCACAAAGGCCTGCAGCGCCGCGGCGGCGGCCGCGTCGTCGTCGTCGTCGCCGGGCTGCTGGTGGTGGTGGCAGAGGGCGCGCCAGCGCGCCCGCATGTTGGCCGAGTACATGTCGCAGACGCGGGGGACGGGGTCGGTGCTGGTGTTCGCGTCGTCGTCGCTGCTGCCGGGCGGCGGCGGCCACGGGGCCAGGAGGTGGGCGAGGGCGGTGCCGTCGATGGCGGCGGCGTGGCAGTCGAGGCAGGCGACGAGGTCCGGGGCGAGGGCGGGGCCGAGCAGGAACCAGCGCGCGTTGCGGACGGGGTCGCGGCGGGCGCAGGGGGCGGCGCCGGCGAAGCGGGCGACGTAGGCGGCGAGGGCGGCGCGCTGGGCGCCCGGCTGGTTGACGGCGGCGAGCCAGCGGGCGATGTACTGGGCGAAGCGCGGCGAGGTGGCGGAGAAGTCGCACGCGCGGCGGGTGGGCTGCGGCGTCGTGCGCGGGGTGAGGAGGTGGGAGAGGAAGCCGTGCGGGAAGGCGGCGAAGAGGCCGTAGTGGCAGGTCGGGCAGACGTCGAAGTCGACGCTGGGGTTGGCGGCGAGGCGGTACCATGTGCGGCTGGCGAGGGGGCCGGCGGCGCAGTGGCCGTGGGTGTTGAGGAGTTGGAGGGAGGTGTGGAGGGGCGTGGGCGAGGAGGTTATGAGGGAGACGGACATGGCGTTTTTGACGCCCAGGGCGGAGTAGTCGCACGACCAGGGGTTGGACGAGTGCGAAGGGTCGACGGGGCGGGGGGAGAACTCCTTCTCGAGCGGGGTGAGGGCGAGGCTGTCGTCGTAGCAGGCTTCGCAGATGACGACGCCCTCGATGGGCCGAGTTGGGCTGTACCATTTCCGAGAGCCGGCCTCGACGTCCGTCGCCTGGGCACAGGCTGGGATGCTGAGGCGGTGTGCTGCACGTGTGACGAAGAAGCTCCAGTCGTGCGATTCCAGAGCGCGGGCAAAGGCCCGTCGGAGGTAGGCAAGCGCCATGTCGCACGACCATGTTTGCTCCTGGCCTTGCGGCTCCAGGTAGGGAACGAACATGTCGTTGAAGGCGGTGCCGACCACGCAGTCTTTCAAGCAGGCTTCGCATATCAGAAAGGAGGGGACTTCGTTGCCCCTCATCTTGAACCAGCTAACGTAGGTCGCGTGTTTGCCCAGCACTCCGCGCGGGCCGTCGCACCTGGTCACTTGGGTTCGTTCCGTCATGTACCTTACTGCCCGGTCGAGATTGCGCGTGCGGACTGCTTGAGGCCACAGCTGTTGCAGCATCCGCGGCGCGCCGAAGTGGCACATGGGCTTCAGATTCTGCGATTCAATCTTCCCTGTGAAGCAATGGGCGAACTCGGTTTGTCGGATGTGCTTCTCGAAGCAGCAGCCGCAGATGCGGAAGTCCGGAACGTCTTCGTGGTGGAACCAGAAAATGTCGGCGTAGTCAATGGCGTTTGGGTATTCGCAGTCGACCAGGACCGAGTAGTCGGCCGCCTGATCGGCCGGGATGTTCGTCGGAGGGTCAGCTATCTTCAGGAAGAAGCCACATGGTTCCGCCCCTTCCAGCGGCTTCTTTTGCTTGGATACGGGCCGGGAGGCTTGGGCAGGAGAGTTGGCGCGTGGAAATGTCGTGCTTGGTGGTTCTTCTGCGGCTATTGGCTCAGACGGGCGCGGATATGCCGTACTTGGTGGCTCCTGTGCAGCTGCCGTGGGAGCGGACGGAGCAGCAGACTGAGGAGTGCCCACCCGCTCATCAGACGCCGCACATTCCCCAGCAAAATGCTCATCGTCCACCTCCTCCACGGTGGCAGCCCGTGGCGGCGGGGTATAGAAATACGGACCCGCCTGCCTCAGCGTATCCGTGAACGACCGCTGCAGCTTCTCCGCCGGCGGCTTGTCCTCCTCGTCCTTCTTCTTCTTCTTTACCGCAGCCTCCTCCGCCGGCACCTCGTCCACCTTCTCCTCCGGCTTCTTCTGCGCGGGTGCCACACCAGTAGCACCAGCAGTAGCACCAGCACCAGCACCAGCACCACCAGGCACACTCCCCTCCATCTCAAACACAAACGCAGGCGGACTCGCAACCGGCTTCCGCTGCACGGGGTCCGGCGGAGGCGGGTAGTACGGCTGCTGCAAAGGCTGTTGGTACGGCTGCTGCTGCTGCGAGAATTGCGACGACGCGGCCGACGACGACGACGGGGTCGGCGGTCCGGCAGACGGCAGCGGCGATACGGGAGTTGCGACAGCGGGATGCGCGTGGCACTGGCCGGGCTGGAAGGAACAAGTGCAGGGGGGGCGGTAGTACTCCTGCGGTTGCGGTTGCGGTTGCGGTTGCGGTTGCGGTTGCTGCAGCTCGGCGGGCGGTGGGGGAGGGGGCCGGTTGTAGGTTCCGAACTGCTGGTGCTGGTGCTGGTGCCATGGCGAGGGGGTTGATGGGGAGGGCTGCTGCTGCTGCTGCCAGGGCTGGGGCGAAGGGAAGGATGGCGGAGCGGGAGCGGGAGCGGGGGACTGGGGAGTTTGCCATGGGGCGGCAGCTTGCCATGGCGACGACTGCGATTGCGGGCGTGGAGGCAGCGGAGGCAGCGGAGGCAGCGGAGGCGGCGGAGGCGGCGGAAGGTATTGGCTGGAGGCGCCATGGTCCGTCGGCCAGTTAAAGGCCGGAGAGGCAGCCTGGCGGTAGTCGGCGTGCGGCACGTAGGTCTGCTGGACGGGCGGGCGGTCGTAGGTGCTCAGGCGTCCGAAGGCTGCGGTGACGCCTTGCACATTCGGGGAGCCCGGAGTTGGCGACGGCCGCGGCGGGAGGGCTGGTGGTGGCTGCCCCGCATCGTAGCATGGCCCCGACGAGGTGCGCCGAGGAGGCGGCGGCGGCGGGTAGTGGGCGGGTTGGTAGTTGGGCTGGTAGTTCTGGTAAGGGTAGTTGTAGCTCATCTTGCTCAGTCTCCTCACATGTTGTTGCCTTCTTAGCAAAAGGCTGTGGAGAGGCCGCGGCTGAGGTCGGACAGCAATCTTATTAATAGTTTACGAGCTTGTCGTGATGCGCCCAAAGTGGGTCTGGTGCTGCCTGTGGCGCAGAGGCAACCATCTTGGCAGCTGAACAGGCTCGGCGGTGGGGGCCAGATTGAGCAGTCATGGCATCGCATCGCTAAACGAAAGCCCCGAGATAGTTAAGAATCTAAGAGGAATACCTACCTTCAAGCTCATTAGACTCCGACCGGGCGTATTTTACTATGCGAGGTTTATGGTATGTATAAGCCTCGCCGCACACTATAAATGCCCCAGGCAAGCCTCATCCATAGGGATGCCTGCAAGGCAAACGAGGCAGACATGGCTGATTCGTAGGTATCGACGAATCGAGAACGAGCTGCGATATGTTTGGCACCCCAACGAAAAACCTTGCAAGATCCGAAAGAATCCTAGTCAAGACCAAGGCCAGGGCGTATCTCTCTGAGCCGCATCATACGGGCCAAGCACTCTGCTACTTTGGAAACTCAAAGTACACCCCCGCAGCCCCATTGCTCAACAGCTCCTTTATCCTCCCCTCTGCATTCTCGCACTCCTCCTCGACCGCCTCCCTCAACTCCTCCTTGGCCGACAAGAACCGGTCTTCCATCCGGCACTCGGCCTCGTCGACGACCTCGTCCCTCGACCGCGCGAGCAGATGCTCCATGTCCTCCACGATAGACCATCGCACCTTTTCCATGTCCTCCTTGGCTTGCTCGCGCAGCTGCTCAGCAAGCTCCTCCCACCGCGTATTTGCAGCAGCGACATCCGCCCGCACCGCCGCCATCTCGGCCTCGAGCCGTGCCAGACGGGTGCAGACGTCGCCTGTGTCCGCTGGGGCGGCGGCGACTTTTGACGCATCATCTCCCGCCGCCGCCGCCGCTCCAACCACACGACCACCACCACCGACAACCTTCCTCAGCGCCTCCAGCTGCTCACTCAACATGGCCACGCGCTCATCCACGCCCCTGTTCCACCCATCCCCAGCGACCTCGAGCAGCGCCGCAACCTTCTCACCGTCAACGACAGGCGCAGCGAGCGCCTTCCTCCCGCCGCCGCCCTCGCCCGCCGCCGCCGCCGCCCTCTTCTTCCGCGGCGGAGTGCAACGATCCGCCGATTCCGGCGAAGTACCCGCCCTCTTCCTGCGCGCCCTCTCCGCCCTCTCCGCCCGCGCCCCCGACACCGACGTCCCCACCGGCTCCACCTCCGGCAACACGCCCAACTCGTCGTACGACGGCGGCGACTCGTCCCCGCGCTCCCCCCACCCGTCCTCGGACGAGGCCGCGGCCCAGTCGACCGCGCTCCCGCCCCGGCCGCCGTACAGACTGGCCCGCTCGCGCGGGACGCCCGAGAGCGCGCCGGGCTTGGCGTGCGCCGACAGGGCGGCGACGTAGGCGGCGGGGACGCGGTCGCGGGGGGCGTGCAGCGTGAGGGCGGTGCGGCGGCACGCGGCGCGGAGGGAGGCGAGGACGGCGGCGGAGGGGCCGGTCAGCGGGGTTGGCGGGGTGGGGGTGGGGGCGATGAGGGAAGGGGGGTGGGTGAGGGTGAAGGTGAGGGAGAGGGGGGTGGAGGAGGCGTGTTTGCGGGTGAGGGTGTCGAGGACGGGTGGGCGGAGGGGGGCGGTGGGAGTGGAGGCGGAGGCGGAGGCGGAGGCGGAGACGATGCTGGGGGGGTCGATGAAGAGGTAGAGCGGGACGCGCTTGGCGGCGCCCTTGAGGCTGAGGAGGATGCGCAGTTTGAGCGAGGCCGTGGCGTTGGCGAGGTCGAGTTTGGCGTCGAGCGTCACGGGGAGCGTGTGGCCCAGATGGCGGTAAGCATCGTCGTCGTCTCCATGTTGTGGTTCTTCTTGCCATTCGAGCACGACGGGCACGTTGGAGATCTGGAATTTATCTTGGTTTTTCGATGATGAAGCCATATGCTACCTGGTACCACGCCGCGCCGCGGAGAAGCGTCAGCCACATGCACAAGACGGGAACAGCAACGGCGGCGGCGGAAACAAAAGCAAGAAATCATGATGTGAAACAGAAGCAAAAGCGCGATCCCGCACTCGGGTCCCAGCCGCAGCCACCAATGATGACGGCGGCCAAGACGCGGGCGCGATGCCCACCCACCCAGGCTTTCTCTCCGCCCGAACAGCAGAGACGAGCAGCCTTGACTCGAACCACAACAACAGCAAACGCCTCGTCCGCGCTGCCTCGGCCAAGAAGGCGCGAGCTCCGCAAAGCGGGAGCAACACTTCTGGCGGCGACAGGAAGCCTTCGTCCCCCAGCCAGCCATAACAGACGCCAGCTCTTCCCCAAGGGGAGCGCGCGCGCACCGCGTTGGGGGTAGAGCTGGAACGGTGGTCTGCTTGTGCGCGTCCAACGAACAATTCGGCGCTGACACGTCTCCAGCGAGCGCACGTGTGAGGGAGTGATTGCCGAGGAGTGGGTGACGACGACCTGCTGCGCGGGGGTCAGCAGGCGTCGGGAAGGAGGGGAGCGGAGGTGCAGCAGATGAGCAGGCGAACGGTTACCTACCTGGGTCCGTAGCGAGCGTGGATGGAGAACAGCGACGGTGATGGCGACGGAGGTGATGGAGTGAAGCGATGGAAGGTCGCAGGTCGGCGGAAACGGCTGGGGCTGGGCTTGGCGCGCCGGCACGCGACATGGCCCGTGCGTGGCGGTTGCCTTCTCCGACAACACCTGCATCACCACCTCTCTTCAATCCACGCTAGCACGACGTTTTCTGATATGACCGTATACCTCTAACCGCTGGCCTTTACCAGATCAACCCACTCAATGACCATCGCCGCTAAACCCCCTCGTAAGTCGGCAAGCTACAGTATATCTTGCGAAACACGCCCATGTGGCGGAATTCTTTCAGCCACGGATGCTGCAACAGCTCCGCCGCCGTGTCCCGCTGCTGGGGCTGCCAGGTCAGCGTGCGGCGCAAGAAATCTACGAAGTCGTCTCTGTCCTTTTCGTCCTGTTCAAGCACGCACGGCAATTTTTCCAGCGAGCGTACCGGCAGCGGATGCGGTGGATACGCTTCCATTTTCACTTCCGCCAATCCGGCAACCTTTCTCTGGGCCCAGGAGCTTGTCCAATATCTTTCGCCGGGATATAAGGCCGACTCGACGGCATCCATGTCCAGTTCGGTGGGCGGGATCAGCTGACCTGTAGCCAGATAAGCCTTTGACCGCGTATAAGGCCTGATTCGCCATCTACATACGGCCGTTGTTGAACAGAAGAGACGACAAAGGGCTTTTTGCAACAAGCTCTCGCGGCGGCGGCCCGAGGAGGGATATCATTTGTGCCAGATGAAGGTAAACCGAATGATCGCCCTCCTCGCTGTCGTATGGGGAAAAAAGTCCTCCCCACGTTGGAAGCCGTGAGCAGACCTGGTTTGATACGTTAGCCTTACGAACAACTCGGTCTGCCCATGCATTGAACCCATACGTAGCACCCAAGGCCCCAAATGTCGGTTGCATGCGAACAATCGCGCGTTTGCAGAAGAGACTCTGGAGCTCGCCAGCATACTGGATGCGCTGCCTCAGTTGCGTCAAAGGGCCCAATGATTGAGGTACTAAATCTGGACAGGGTTGGGAACTTGTACGACGCCGATTCAACCACGACACTGTCGCAAATGTAAACGGGATGGCCCTTGATCTCCGAGGGGGGGTTAGCTTTATGATAGTCTATGGCATCCAAGACCCGCTCGTCCTGAACTCCCTGCTCTACATAACCACCTGCCCTGTGGTTAGCCGCACTGCCTTGAAATCTAACAAAGCCTCTGCATCAACCTACCGCAGTGCGTCATATTGGCACTGTGTAAGAAGTCGAGCGCCTGGAGAGCCGAGTACACTTCGCTTTTGATATCCGTGTAGCCCTGGACCCAAGACACGGTTGATGGATGAACGAGGCATCTGTGAAATTTGCCATCGGACCGCGGAATATCAAATGTATCGAGAAGTGGGAGAATGAAGCTCCTTCCCGGATGCGTACTGTTGATCGATTGGAGATAGCGGTAGTTCCGCAGCTCCCGGTTGACAGAGTGGTTATTGAATTCCGTTGATGTAGCCGTCGAAACTTTGAGAGTGATGTAGCCGTTCGTTCTAGGAACCCATTAGCTACCGCATACGAATAAGTCTCTCAAACAGCCACGTACTTTTGATCTCGACAGAACCAAACAGTCCCACATTCGTCCCAGTAAGTTTTTCGTACTACCTGGTATCTGTCTTGAATGACCTGGCCGAGCATGATCGGATAATACCTCTTTTGAAATCCAGGCACGTCGTCCTCCTCCAATAGCGAACCCTCGTCATCTTCGTCATCTTCGTCATCATTGTCGTACTCATGATTCTCGCCATCATCACCTGTTCCCTTTCCCACCAGCCCGTGATATTCGTAGCGTGTCATGTGGCGAAGGCGTGTTAATGGCGAGAGCCGCGGCAACGACGTGACGCGCAACCTCGCACCAAGGGGCCGAAGACTCAAAACGGAAAACGACATTGTGGTCATGGACGGTGGAGATACGGGGATACTGAAGAGTTTTATTTCAAGTCCCCCATCTACGTCATTGTACCGTTTGTAAAGCCCTGATTCCCAACAACACAATCCAATAATAGCTAATCACAAAGCCACCCAATCCAGCTAGTTTACTATATCATCCTCACTCACCGAGTCACCATACGACGTTCCAAACCCAAGATGCCTTCTCCCTCTCCTAAGCACCGTCAAAAACCAAACGACTTCTTATATCAATCCCGTCATTAAACCCCCGCCGGCGATGAAGCGGAAACTCAGCCACAACCACCACGCCCACATTCTCTGCAGCAACGCCTGACATCCTCAACAGCTCCAGCCCCGCATGCACACACCGTCCACCCCGTCGACAGCACATAATACACAAGCACGACCCTCGCCTGCGCGGACTCAGGCAGCGCATCACTTTCCATCTCGACCCTTGCCTCCTCCCCCAACCCTTCCCCCGCCGCCGCCGCCCAACTACATCATGCGAAACTGAAGATAAGGTGTTGATGGGCCCTGCCTCTAGACATATATATGTCTATCGTTTTTCAAAGGATTGGATCCCGAATATTCCTGTATATTGGTCTTGGATCTAAGTCTATACTTTTACTATTTACATTAGCGAGTTTTCACGGCATGCTTTTCCCTCCGCTTACTTGTTCGGCAAAGACGAGCCACGCCACGCTTGAACAACTTAACCGCGCTCGTGATAGTCGTCTCTTCTATCTTAAGTTGGTAGGAGCACCTTGAATCATGTCGTAAAGTGATGAAATATTATATAAAGGTTCATAGGTTCTATATACCTAACGTGAAAAGGAGCGATATATGTGCTTTTATAGTGGAAACAACCGCACTTGATTGAGAAATTTAGAGAACAGCCAAGAAAGATAAAAATAAAGAGTAATGTCAATGTTCCGGCCGTCTATATGCTCATACTCCAAAGAGAGTCATCGACATCCATACTTAACCTAAAGAGATCGGCGCCCTTGGCCATGTCCACACCTACTGCGACCTGGCCATCTGGGAAGTCCGAGCCCATAGTGAGGCCCTCGGGATTAAAAATGTCATCAAAACCGTGACCCTGATCTGCTGTCTGGGCCTTGCCCATCATGTCATCGGCCCCGAAGAAGGCGCTGTCTGACGCGGCGTTGAGCGCGAGCTCGTTGAAACCGTCCAAGTCGCCGACGGATCCATTCCGCGAAGGGAGGGTAGAACTCTCCACAGATCCTTTTCGCGACGCATGGGACGGACTGCAGGCGGATGACCTGAACATCTCGAGCAAGTCGACGCACCAGGCCATGCGGGCGTAGAGGGATGCGCAGAAGACGCGGGGGAAGTTTGGGTTCACGAGATCCCCGACCGCCTGCACGGCTGCGGAGAGGAGGCTTACGAGCGACAGCCGCTCCGGCGTCGGGTCGTAGAGGATGTGGTGGTAGACTTCGAGGAATGGCAAGGCGGGGTATTGTTGGAAAATTCTGCAGTATGTGTGAGTCCATTGGCATCGTGCACTGTAGCGAGAATGTGACTTACCTCGCCAGAAAAGCAATGCTACCGGATCTGGGTTGCGCTTTGTGGATATTCGCGATGACTCTCAGAGCGGTCTGTGCCGATTCCAGACACTTCTGCCGGCTTGCGACGGAATCGATGCATCGGTGGATCAGGAGCGAGCTCATGGCGAAGCAGAAGCTGAGCTCCGCCCGCAAGAAGATGTAAGACCCGTCGGACTCTGGCTTCTCCAACAAGTCGCCGTGCCGCCGGCACCAACCCTTGAGCGCCGACCGCAGTTCGCATACCTGCTGATCGGCGTCCCGCCGCCTTCGTTTCTTGACCCGAGGAGAATACAGGAGCAGGTAGATCTTTTCCCAGACTACCATGAGGCTGTTCATGGCAAACAGGTAGCGGGATTGCGGGGTGTCTGTTTCGGAGTCTGCCATGGGTATGTCGGTATCGAAGCTGTAGAGGTCACAGGGCTGCCCCTTGAGGAAGCAGCGTTGCTTATCCAGCCGGTAAAGCGTCCAGTACAGCATCCTTCGCTCCTCGCAAGACGCTCCGACGATGGTTTTGTGGGCCTGGGCTCTGTGCAGCCCCGTGGACCGGAGGATTTGAAACGCCCTGGGCAGCATCAGGGAGAAAAAGCAACCTTCAAAGCATTCCCGGCCGACCAGAGCCTGGGCATGCGAGTCAGTTTCTGTGTCTGCGAGCCATAACGGGGATGGGACTCACGAATGTGGCGAGGGCCTGGATATTGACGAATCGGGGGCTGGAGAGACGCTCGAGGCTGTGGAAGGCCCTGCAGGTGTTTCTGAGGAATGACTGGAACAAGTCATGCTCGATGCCCTGGAAATCGCCGAAGGCGTTGTGAGTGAGTCGCGCACTGTGGCACATTGCCAAAAGGATTATATTGTTGAAAGAAAGGCTCCAGGCTTCGCGATCGGGATCTGGGTCCAGGGGGGTCATCGAGTATCTCAGTTCGACGGCCTCTCGTAGGCTGGACTCTTCGAAAATCGGGTTGTAAGTGTTGATCTCTGCCAGGAAGATGTCGAGGGCTGAGAGAAGGAAGTTTTTGGGGGGAAGGGCGATCGGCCTGCCGTTCGTTCCGTTCATGGCAATCATGGTGGAGAAGGGCCGGTGGCATTCTTCCACGGCGGGAAAGACTTCGTACGCGCATTGGAGATCGGGCGGCAAGGAAGGGCGCTCGCTGACAAATCGCAGCAGAGATGTCCCGCCATCTTGGTTGTCGGCCCGCAGCAGCTGTTCCACGCGATCCCTGGCGGATTTGAACTGGGAATGGGCTGAAGTTTCCCCAAAAAACTGCTCGCACCCGCAGCAGGTGTTTCCCTGATGGACGAACTCTGCAGGATCATCGCCGATGCAGTCGGCTTCCTCCATCTGGCACTCCTCGAGGAAGTTCCGCAGCGTCTCTCTGCCCGAGGCCGACGAGGAGCGGGAGCCGCTTCTCGACGAGCGCGAGCTCGAGTCGGGCTGGCTGATGGTCACCAGCTGGTGCGAGAGATTTCCGATGGCATTTTCGATGGATTCCAGGCGTGACGTGACAGAGGAGAAATCGTTGAGGCTGGCGATGGACCATTAGCAGGAGCCCCACGGACGTGCACATTACCCACTAGGTACGCACAGCTGCTTGATGTGGTTGACCCGTTTCAACTGGTTTGTAAAGCCGCAGCACACGCCAGATTTGCTGCAGTTGGAGCACTCGGGTCGTCGTCGATCGCACCGCACTTTCCTGGCCCTGCATTGGTCACAGGCAGCGTTGGGGGAGGGCTCAGCAGGCCGTTCGGCACGCTCTTCGGCGTCGGACATGGCGAAGAAAAGGATTGGGGTCTGGCGAAAAGGCTCCGCTGCGCCGCCGCTTTTGCTGTTTAAGAGCGGAGGCCCGCCAACCTGCCCTCCGTCGAGGTTGGGTGCGTAGCTCCATGGCAACCACGAGTCCAGTGAAGACGGTCGAACCTGAGGAGCCAATCCTATTGGCCAGAGACCTCTTTCGGCACCGCGCTTGCCACTGTGCTCGGCGACAATAATTCCAGGGCGAAGACCTCGGCGGCTCAAAGGGAGAGCAGCAAGCACCTTGAGTCAGGCTCTGCTTCAGTCTTGAGTGCCCGCCCACTTCGCAATGAGTCGACCTGCCTCTCCTCTCCCAAACGGTCAGTCGTGTGCGTGTGTCCAGGCCTCCACGGCCACGAATCCGGGGCACGCTCCGCTGGTCCCACCGGCACGCTGTGGAGTTTACAGTGGCGAAGTGGGCCTGAAGATACGCGTCGTATCGCGGGGCCGGGAGGTGGAGACCACGGACCAGCCATCAGATAAAGGATGGCGAGCATCGATGGGCCAAAACGAGGCAACAGAGTCACCACGAGGAGGAGGTTTCCTTCGAACGCGCTGGCGAGCGATGGCAGATTGGGATCAGCTGTGATGCTGCACGCCTAGGTATCAGTTCAACCGTGGCGATGTGTTATCGTGATCTCCGCGTGTGTGGAGTGGGGTTCCACGGGAGGATCGGCGGGAATAAAGATGCATCATCAACAGTAGTGGCGGACAATAATCAGCCGGCCCACTGTCATTGGAGAGGGAGCAGCTGTGGGGATGCGGAAGAACGTCATTAGGCGAGACGGCGCGGCCGCTTCCGACGCCGTGGCAGCCGACTAGCTTTGGCGTTATTCTCACTTCACGGCACTTGGCCGTGGCAGTCGATTACCTAGGTCACTTCACTGGAGATGAAACCAGAAATGCTGCAGGATGCCATGCCAATCTCGCCGAATGCCATCTCATTGAAACAACATGAAGCAGCCCCCCATGAGGCAAAACCACGGTGGGATGGTGCACCTATGGCGTGCCTCGTACTGAGCCCATGATAAGCTTTACGCGTCGTTGCCCATCTTGTCGAGAACCCGGTCACTGGCTGGGTTTCAAAATACCGCAGCAAACCAAGCAATCATGGCCCGACCCGGGCGCGTAGATGAGGGGTCTCTGGTCTCTGCCATGACAAATCAGTGCCCAGGACTTGCCGATCGCGGTTTCTGCAGCGGTACGGACCGACGAACGGTTGCTACTTCGATAAGCGGCCAGCGGCAGCGCGGTCCTGTGGATCATGCGGCGCTCGGCTGCCGATGCCCGACTCACGACCATCACGAAAATTCCCGCCGATCGACGCGCCAACGGCGAGAAAACGTCTGATTTTCACGCCTCCGCCGATCTGCTCGGCTGGGTCGTGATGACTAGATGCTCAGATCCTTATCGCCCTACATGTGTGAAGAAAACGAGGGATTCCATAGACCAATAGAGAAATAAAAAGAAACCGAACACCATCATCCTCCCAATAACCGTACGTGTTTCAGGACCCGACCCACCTCGTTCGTCGCAAAGCGGTGTAAGAACTGATACTGCCGCCTGCACCGACTGCTCGTCCTCCCCACAGCACCACCACCACCAGCCTGCCCCACCTGCTGCCGCTCCTGCTCCTGTTCCTCCTCCACCTCCCCCTCCCCCTCGCCCTCCCCCTCCCGCTGCCTCATCCACCTCGCCTGCAGCCGATCCAGCAGCGCCGCGATCTTCCTCACATCGATCAGTATGATCTGGCACTTCAGCGCGGCCTGGTCCGCCGCGTCGACGGCGTAGGACCCGAACTGCACCGACGTCGCGGCGCAGCACGGCATGTACAGCGCCTCCTGGTAGGTCGAGATGAGCTTGACGAGGCAGAAGTAGACGGTGAAGTCGACCGCCGGGTGGTGCGCCGCCGCGCACTCGTCGATGACGGTGCGCATCACGTCCAGCAGCGCCCGGTTCAGCCGCAGCACGTGGTCCAGCGTCTTGCCCTCGACCGGGCTCTGCTGCAGGTCGCGCAAAGTGCGGTTGAGCACGTCGAGGCAGCTGGATGAGGATTGGAAGGCTGAGCAGCGGTTGGTGGTGTGCTGTTTGGTGGTGGTGTTGCTGTTGCTGTTGCTGTGGCCTGTCGAGACTGCGCGTGCTGCTCGTGGTGTTGGCGGCTCTCGTGTTGGAGTTGGCGCCAGTGCGTTGGGTGGTGGTGGTGGTGGTTCTTGTGCTGGAGAGGCGCCGGGATGATGGTGGTGCAGCTGCTGCACGGCCATCGGTGGCGGCCCAAAGAAGCCAATATCGACCGGGGAGAATGGCGAGTCGAAGTCGTCGAAGGGCGAGAAGCCGAATGACAGAGGGACTTCAGATGGCATGTGCTGGTCGGGGCTGCTCGGGAGAGCGCCCATGTCCACCCCGGATATACCCGGCATGTGAGCATCGTGGGTTGTGCACGATGCGGGTGTTTGAAACTGTTCGGGCGGAGTTGGGTACGGCTGATCCATCTGCGGCGGCGGCGGCGGTGGTGGCTTTGGAGTCCGTTTCTTCGGCATTGGCAGACTTCGCTGGCAAGAAAAGTTCCGCCCTATGCACCGGACGCAATCCTGGTGGTCTGCCTCGTAGATGCACCTTGTTTTGGCGTGGTGACACCGATCACAGGATGCTCTCGGTCGCCGGGTAAGTTTAGCTTTCTCCCCCTTGACCATGCTGCGTGAAGGTTCCATCAGCTTCGTGACTATGGTGGCCATGGCGGGGTCGGATAGTACCCTTTATCCGGCCTGAGGAATCGTGATGCGGGGGGGGGGCCTCGAGTGGGCGCAACAACAGCAGCGTGCAAGGGGTCTAAAAAGCTGCTAGAATAAAGCCACAGCGCGAACCAGCAGTGAGCCTTTGTCAGGCACCACGGCGTCGGATCACGCTCCCCGAGGCAATCTGTAAGGCAAAAAGCTCGGCCGCCGAGAGCCGAAGCGGCATTGGGCGGATCGAATTTCACCAGACCGAGGAAGATTGTGAACGATGACTCCTCTTTCCTTTCTGTCTTTTCTCATAAACAAAGTATCAGTTCGGTCTTCTCAAACTTCTATTCCAGAGAAAAACTCTTGTCTTTTACAATGACGTCTAAGTAGAGACTCCACTGAAAATTGCGTGTCTGGTCCGGGCCGGTCCGGTCGGTCCGGTCGAATACTTCAAGTACACCGTGGCCAGCATCTTGATCCGCCTCGGCGACGCTGCAGGTGATCTACCAGTGGCGCGAGCGGCGCAGCTGACCCAAATGGAGTCCGCCCAGGCGCTGTCAAATAAGGCAATAAAAGTGGCACTCACGTACGCACGGTGCAAGAGGTTTGATTTGCTCCACGATAGTCAGGTTGAGGTATACAGAGGTTGGATTTGGCAATGAGCCAGAGTGAACTTTGTGACAAGAAGAATATTTGATAGATCTAAAGTAGCGGAAGTTGACTTGGATGGAAGTGTTACTCTTCGCAGCTCCACCAGTGTTGTAACACGTAGTATTCACCCCGAATACAGAGTTAGCTCAGGCTTTGTCCCTTCTCTCTGTGTATACATAGTTCTGTCATTTTTGAAGCCCATTAGAGGGTCAATCCATTCAAGTGCCACGTCATCACACAAAGGCTACAGGAGAAACCGTGATAAATGGACATGGATGCGGAGGTAGACGACCTCGATAGTACAATTTTTCTTTTACACAGCTGACTGATGTCTACACTCGATTTGGTTCTATATTTCATCTCCCCTCGGGCCTCCTGTCAAGAGAACACACGCGTAAACCATTGCCCTTGCACCCTTAGCCTGCACCCACACTACACCCGATTACCTCACTCCTGCATCGGGATCAACCCAGCCGTACACGCCCAAACGATCCCCACGCCCGTCACGCCGACGCAAGCACCTGTCCCAGCACCGGACTCTGCGTGGTGTCACACGCATCCCGGATGTATTCATCCGCAAGAGAAAAGGGCTTGGCGGTGACGTTCGGAATGTAGCGACCGCGCAGCTTCTCGAGGCGGGCGTCGTCGACGGGCCCGATGGTCCGGTGCAGGAACCTGCGGTAGGGGTGCACGCCGGTGCGCAGCAGCGACGAGTGGAAGGGGATGTCGATTCCCTGGAGCGGAATGGTCGCCTTGCCGCGCCGAAGCGGTGATGGCGGCGACTCGGCGAGGTACTGCTTGATCAGGCAGCGCAGGCTGGAGGCATGGCCGGATCGGAGCTCGCCGAGGACGGATTGAGAGTCTGCTGATTGCGCGAGATGGTCCAGGAGGCGGCCGAGGCAGTGCAGGGTTGACAGCTGTTTGCGGTTGGAATCAGTTGCGGAACTGGCGGCTCGACAGATGAATGCAGCAACTTACCGTGCCCGCGCAGACGTACTGCTCTCCTCTGACGTTCAAGTTCACCACCTCAAGCAAGACGCTGGCCTCTGACGCAATGAGGTCAACGACGGCTCTCAGCGCCGTTTCGTCGAAGCCTGCTCGTGCCCCTTGTCAGTATGTAAAACAACATGGCTGTTGGTAGCTTACCTGGCGCAACTCTGGCCGGGCTCACGGCCACCATGCCGTAATCACTTGTCCCGTCCTCGTTCCTCTCCAGTGCCAGCTGCATGGTCAAGCCGCGGTAGAACATGGTCTCGACTGCCTGCTCGACGGACAGCAGCCCGGCCACCGCCACCAGCGCGCCGTACTCACCCAGCGAGTGGCCGGCGAAGATGGCGCCCTCGTCCTGCACGAGGCCCTTGGCGCGCATGTCCTCGAAGGCGGCGCACTCGAGCAGCACAATGGCGGGCTGGGCGAATTGCGTCGAGAACAGCAGGCCGCGGGGGTCGGAGAAGGTGTACGACTGGGACTGGTCCGTGAGGCCGGGGAGGATGGGCGTTTCGGCCGTCGAGCCATCCGACAGCGTCTTCTCCACCGTCAGCGCGCGGTAGTTGTCGCGGATGCGCCGGCCGCGCGGCCCGCGGAAGTGCACGGTGAGGGTTTTTGGGTTCGTCTTGACGATATCCAGCATCGACCAACCTGCAAGGGCAACCAAGATGACGTCAGCACTCTCACTCCCGTCGACTCCAACATCCCATCCTCGCAGCCAGCATCAAAAACCGAAACTAACAAATCTCACTCACCATACTTGTCCCCAAGCCACTTCTCCGCGCGATCCCACACCCCCCTCGCCACCGCGCTGGACGCATACAACTCCATGCCCATGCCCACGCGCTGGCTCCCCTGCCCCGTAAAAACATACGCCGTCCGCGCCTGCTCCACCTCCGCCTCCGCCTCCATCACCAGCTCTCCCTCTCCCCCTTCTTCCCCCTCCCGCCTCACCCACACCCTCAACACCATGCGCCCTCCTCCCCCTCTTCCTCCCCCTCCGCGCCCTTGGTCCCCCGCCCCCGCAGTCATGCCCACATGCTCAAACCCCACCACCAACCCCTCCCCGGGCCTCACCACCCCCACGAACCGCGCCTCCCACGCCCGGAACCGCGCCCGACCACCGCCATCCGCAGTACCGCCACCGCCAAGCGCCGCGCGCTCCACCACCGCCCGCGCCATCGCACTCGTCAACATCCCATGCACCACCACGCCTGCACCACCACCGCCTGCACCGCCTGAACCGCCGCCAGGGGCAGGAGGCAGCCCGGCCAGCGCGGCGACGGCGGGCGCGACGTGGATGGGGTTGGCGTCGCGCGAGAGGGCGGCGTAGGCGGCGTCGGTGGCGGGGCCGGCGGGGATGCGGATGGTGTGTTTGTTGTTGTTGTTGTTGGTGTGCCAGCCGGGCTTGGCGAGGGGGATGATGGGGCGAGGGGTGGCGGAGGGGGTGGTGGCGCGGCGGGTGAGGAAGTCGAGGATGGGGTTGGTGTGGCATGTGGGGGTGGTGAAGGAGATGGTTGCGATGGGGGTGGGGGAGGAAGAGGAAGGGGAGGAGGCGAGGACGGTGCCGGTGGTGTGGAGGTTGGTGATGGTGGGGGTGGTGATGCCGTTGTGGTTGTTGTTGCGGGAGAGCGAGGAGGCCAGGTTGGTGAAGAGGAGGGTGCGGCCGACGAGCGGGGTGCTGGTGGCGGCGTCGTCGAGGGCGAACCAGGGGCGGTTGAGGAGCAGGGCCTCTTCCAGCTCGGAGGCGACGTGCAGCGTGAAGTCGGGGTGCTGGATGTGCTCGAAGGTGGCGGCTGGGTTGGACGAGGAGCCGCGGAAGAGGAACTCGGACGTCACGGCCACGACGGGCTCGTCGCCGGCGACGCGGTGGATGACGGCGCGCACGGCGACCGTCTTGCCGGCCTCCTCGATGGTGACGGCTTGGATGCGCGACACGGCTCGGACCTTGTCGCCCACCCTCAGCGGCTTGGCGCCGGGCAGGTACTCGAACCTGTTGGAGCGGTGCACCAGCCGGAGGATGTCGGCCTCCATTTCCGGGAGCAGCAGCGGCTCGACGAGGGGCTCCCAGGCGAGTGCGATGCAGAGGTCGAGAGGGACGTGGTCGGATGCAGCGTCGCCGAGTCCCAGATCCGGAAGGACCATGTTGAGGGTGCAGGCCAGGTCCCGAACCAGCTGTTCGGTGATGGTGGTTTCCGGGCCTTGGAATTCCGACTTCAGTCTGCCAGCCTCGGGGAGAGCGGCTTGGGGGGTCCACAGACTGCGGTACATCTCACGCACGTGCTGGAGACGAGACGAATGCTGCTCGGAGAGCCTGCAGTCCTTGCGGTTTGGGTCGTACGAAAGTTCAAGGCGCAGCATTGCCGCCGGTGAGCCCGGCACGGAGAACGAGGCCGTAATCGTCTCCCCAGATGCCGAGATGGTGCAGACGTCCTCCGAAGACGGTCCGATCGTGGTGATGCGGATCGCGGACTGGCTCCGGTCGCACTCGACGCGCTCTCCGGGCCGCAGCTGCAAGACTTGACGGAAAGTATTGGGGACGCGGGTTTTGCCTTGCAGGATGAATCTATCCGCGACCAAGGCCTGGACCCAGCCACCAGTGTGCTGCTCCATGAAGGCACTCCAGTCATCGGGGCTCGGCGGGGCCTGGCCAGGAGCCAACTTGAACGCAATCGAATGACCAAGGTCCGTGATGTCGACGCCCGCCAGCTTCGCCGCGGTGGGCATGATCACTTCAGCCGTGTTGCTCTCGACCGCGGACGGCATCTTGGCCACATCGCCGCCATACAGATCCCGCTCCAGCCTCTCGACCAAGCCGGCGGTGATCTCGTCCAGCACCTCCTTGACCGACTGGTCGGCGGTGCGCGAGTGGCGCACGCTGACGGGGCTCTGCAGGATGCAGACGCGGCCGGCGTCGCGGCCGACGACGGCGTCGACGTCCTCGCTCTGCCACAGCGAGTCCCTCTTGAAGAAGAACTCAAAGTCCTCGTCCAGCGCTGGGATGAAGTTGACCGGCTTCATGTCGCGCGCCTTGCACCGCCGCACGAACCACCGCGCGTCCTCGGGGCTCACCAGCGCCTCGCCCGCCTGCGGACAGAGGCGCACAAACTCATCCACGAAGCCCGTCGGCTCCAGCTCGAGCTGCGGGACCATGGCCTGCCCCGGGGCAAGGCGCTCCAGCGTGCGGCAGGCGACGTCGCGCACGAGGGCCGCGTAGGAGCGGTCGATCCAGCGCCCCTGGTCCGCCACGAACGTCAGCGCCATCAGCCTGGCCAGGACACCGGCGTATGTCATATCCGCGACATCCACAGCCCGACCTTGGCCGTCCACGCCGAACCACGGCTTCTGGAAGTCGGCGTTGAGCCGCTCGATCAGCCGCGTCCGCATGCCAGCCAGCGCCGCGGGCCGTTCGCCGCGCGGCAGGCTGAAGACGGTGCGGTCCAGCTCCGCCCAGAGCAGCACGCCGCGCGTCGCCAGCTTGTGGATGGGCTGGCCCATTTCCGACTTGACGGTGACGACGCCGCCGGCGGGCCCCTCGTAGCTGCGGTCCCAGTCGGCCTCGTGCTCGACGCCCGGCGCCGCGATGATGAGCGCCTTGCTCTGCGCCGCCGTGTGCGCCTCCCGCGCCACCATCAGCCGGCTGCCCAGCAGGATGCCGTCGAACGGCATGGGCGGCATGCCGAATCGCCGCGCCCACTCGCCGGTGAGGTACGGGTAGGCGCCGGCCGCGTCGCCGAAGCCGCTGCCGGCGACCAGCACGACGTTGGCGTGCTTGCGGATCTGTGCGTACGTGGCGAGGATGGGCTCGTGAAAGTCCTCGAACGAGTGATGGCCGCCGCCGCGTCCGCCGGTCCACTGGAGGATGATGGGGAAACGCGGGTGGGCGGCGGCGATGTCGAGCGTCTGCTTGATGGCGTCGACCGAGCCTGGCTTCAGCGCGAGGTGGCGCAGGCCGAGCGTGGTGATGTACTCGGACGCGATCTCAGGCGACGGCACGCCCGCGCCAATGGCCAGCCCGTCGATGGCGACTCTCCTACGCTGCAGACGACCCAGCAGGCTGATTTGCCAACGCATGGCCTCGGGGCTGGCGTAGATCAGGTTCACTGTGATGCCGCGCCCGGGCTGGGCCTGCGCCGCCTTCTCGATGGCGGCCTCCATGCTGGTGGGCTCGAAATAGCCGCCGCCGGCCAGCTCGCCGTGGTAGCCGGCCTTCATGATGGCGGCCACGACGTCCCAGTGCACCGTCGTGGGCGTCATGCCGGCGGCGACGACGGGCGGCACCCCCAGCACGCGTGACAGCTTCGTGTCCAGCACCGCCGCCCCGGACGCCGTCCGCACCAGCCGCGGGCCGTACCGCTGCTGCCAGGACCCGTGGCCAGCCAGCTTGGCGTCCGGCAGACGCGGCGCGAAGAGGTCGCTGCGGGCGGAGCGCTGCTGGGCCTGCGGGGCGCCCGGGTCCGCGGCGTTGATGACGACGATGCCGGTGCCCTGCAGGGCGCTGGCCACGAGGCCGCCGAAGCCGCGTGAGAGCACGACGGCGTGGGTAATGGCGCCATTGTGCGTAGTGGCGGCAGCCAGAGTAGCGGGCCAGTCGACCCTGTCGTTGGCTACGGCGTCGGCCAGGGCGTCCGTCACGGAGCCCATCTCCCGCATGTCGCGGCCTGCCAGCGTGTGGTACGTCGGGATGGCCATGGCGCCCTCGCGGTTGAGCTGCGTGCCGGCCGTGTGCTCCTTCAGCCTCGCGCCCACGGCGGCCAGGTACGGCGTGTGGAAGGGCGCGCTGATGGGCAGGAACGCACTCTTGATGGCCTTTTTCCGCTGCCGGTGCGGGATGCGCGACTGGTCCTCGTCGTCGGCGGCCTTGATGCCGCGCAGGTGCAGGCAGAGCCCTCGCAGCGACCGTGGCGGTCCTCCGATAACGCAGTTGTCCGCCGTGTTCTGCAGCGCCACGTGCAGCTGTGATTCGGACGGCAGATGGGCGTTGCACGCGGCGAGGAGCTCGCTGACTTGGGGCTCGCGCAGGCCGCGCAGGCTGAGCATGTGTGACGGCCTGCCCTCGCCGTTCTCGATGCAGTCGGCGATTTCCTCGCTGGACAGCCGGGACTGAGGGGCGGCTGTGTGGGCCTCGAAGCCGGACCAGAAGAGCGTGATGATGACGGCGGAGGCGACGGCGTAGAAGGACTCCCAGCTGTCGCATTCGGCGAGGCCGGCCGCGACGATCAGCCCCTGCGAGTGGCCAGTGATGCCGTGCAGGTGTTGCCGGAACTGGCCAGGCGTCATGTTGAGGGCTGCACAGGCGATGGCGTAGTGCGCGAGGCTCACGAGCCCGATGACGGGAAGGCTGACGCAGGCGCTGGCGACAAAAGACTCGTCGGGAACGTCGGCGGGGTGGCGCAGCCAGCGCAGCAGGTCGATCTGCCGCCCGGCGTAGAGCTTCCTCGTCCATGGGTGCCGGCAAAGCCCTGAGAGGAGCGGTGCAGCTACGCCCATGAGCCGGGAGAGCAGAGGCGCGTACGTGGAATGCAATGCCTGCAGCTCCTGGACGCATCCCGCGTTGCCCATTCCCTGCCCGCCGAATACTAGCAGCAGCCGGGCACGCCCTTCGGCTGCCGCGGTCAATAGCGCACTGGGCACTGTTGCTGGCTCCATGCCGCAGTGCGCCAGAGCTGCGTAGTACGTCTTGATGAGCGGCTCTCCGGCTCGTGGCCCACCAGGCTGGCCGTCTGCCAGGCTGTGGATGTCTGTAGTCCCGAGGAAGTCTTTCTCAAAAGCGGCGACCAGCGCGGCCGTGGTCTGAGCACTTGCGCCCTCGTTCAGGAGGTGTTGGATGAATCGTAGGGCGAGCTCTGCGGGTGTCTGGGGGGCTTGATCGCTCGCAGCCACGGCACTGAGGAAGCCATCTTTGGAAGGTGCGAGTTCTGAGAAAAGCTCGACAGGTATGCTGAAGGTGTGCTGGACACCGTGGTGGGCAACACATAGTGTTGTTGAGTTGGCGGATGTGGATGCCGCCATTCTGGATCTTCAGCGGTACCGACTCGCTCCGTTTGCCTCGATACGCCGCAAGCGTTGTATATGTTGTGTGTTCACTGCTGTTCACTGCTGTAGTACCTACACCTGTGGCCCGCGCTCGGCGGCCGAACCCCGACGCTCTCCACGTCGGCGCCGCACGACACGGCGCTCGGCATCACGGGCCGCCACACCACTTCCGAGTCCACATTACATATACTCTTGTCGAAGCGGATTGCAGTGAGGAGCATGAACCCCATCCAGCCGCCTGCACCATCCGTCCATCATGGCCCCCACCGGAGACGACAACAACGTGCTCAAGTACGACCAAGTCATCACTGACATCGTCGACTACGTCTACGACTTCGAGCCCACCAACCCTGCCGCCTGGGAGCGTGCCAAGGCCACTTTCATCGATGCCTTTGGCTGCATCGCCGAGAATCTTGCCACCAGCGCCGAAGTCCGCCGCCTGATCGGCCCCACGGCTGGCAGCCCAGACAAGTTGCCCGGAGGCGTCAAGCTGCCCGGAACCCCCTACCAGCTGGACTTGTTGAGCGGAGCTTTCAACATTGCCACGTCCATCCGCTATCTTGACCACAACGACTACTTCGTCGGTGCCGAATGGGGTCATCCTTCCGGTAAGGCCAACAGTGGAGCATGATCGACTTGGACCACACTAACCCACCCTCCAGACAACCTCGGCGCCATCCTCGCCACGGCTTCCGTCTTCTCGCGCCTCGAAAACCGGCCCATCACGCTGCGCACCATCCTGGTCGCCCTCACCAAAGCCTACGAGATCCAGGGCGTGTTCCAGCTGCGCAACTCGTTCAACAAAGTCGGCCTCGACCACGTCATCCTCGTCAAGCTCGGCTCCACGGCCGTGTCGGCCTGGCTGATGGGCCTGTCCAAGGACCAGGCCGCCGCCGCCGTCTCGCACGCCTTCGTCGACGGCCACTCGCTGCGCACCTACCGCCACGCCCCCAACACGGGGCCCCGCAAGGGCTGGGCCGCCGGCGAGGCCGCCCAGCGCGCGGTGCAGCTGGCCCTGCTCGCCCGCGCCGGCCAGCCGGGCATCAAGTCGGCCCTGACCGCCCCGCGCTGGGGCTTCTACGACGTGCTCTTCGAGGGCAAGCAGTTCCAGTTCCCGCGCGCCTTCGGCTCCTGGGTCGTCGAGAACGTGCTGTTCAAGATCTACACGGCCGAGGGCCACGCCATCACCGCCGTCGAGGCCGCCGTCGCCGCAGCCCAGCAACTCGCCGCGCGTGGCCTCAACCCCGCCGCCGACATCGGCAGCGTGCGCGTCCGCACCCAGGACGCCGGCATGGTCATCATCAACAAGCAAGGGCCGCTGCACAACGCCGCCGACCGCGACCACGACATGAAGTACATGGTGGCCGTGTGCCTGCTCAAGGGGTCCGCGGTCGAGACGCCCGACTACCAGGACGACTCGCCGTGGGCGACGGACCCGCGCGTCGAGCGCCTGCGCGAGAAGATGACGCTCGTCGAGGACGAGCGCTTCACCAGGGACTACCACGACCTCGACATCAAGAGCGTCGCCAACGCCGTGCAGGTCACCACCACGACGGGCGAGGTCTTGGATGACTTCGTCGTCGAGTTGCCGCTCGGCCACCCGCGCCGCCCCGAGACCATCCCCGCCGCCTACGCAAAGGCAAGGAAGAACTTGCTGCTCAAGTACGAGCCCGCCAAGGTCGATCGCATCTTGGACTTGGTCGACCGCACGGATGACTTTTACAAGACTACTGTGAATGAGTGGCTGGATCTGTTTGCTGAGTCGTGATGCCGTGCTTTTTTTGTTCTGGTTGAGTGAGTCGAAGGAAGTTTTATAGATGTAGTCTACGACTAAAATGCAATAACCTCTACGTGATTACTTTCTTGAATTTTTACGTCTTTCTGGATGAAGTAGCTGGTACAACGGCGGCCTTGACCATCAGAGGCGACGGCTGTAGTCAGAGGTCCTCGCTATACAAAGACCCGACGTGAATCATTCGTAGGGTTTGCGGCCTGTATAATTATTTCATACGAGGGCCCTACGTAGATCATTCGTAGGGATTACGGCCTGACTGTTGATCCCATACGAGGACCCTACGTGGCTCATTCGTGGGGCCCGCGGCCAGCATGCTTGTCCCATACGAGGACCCTACGTGGATCGTTCGTAGGGCTTGCGGTCCCCATAAGTATCTCATACGAGTGTCCTACGTGGATCATTCGTGGGGCTTACGGCTCGGCATATAATCTATTTTCTCTCTGGCCTCGCTAGCAGCGACGAATTCCTTAGGAATTTTACCTTGATACATTTAACTATACCTCTAAATGATAATTGCACTATTTTTATCAAGAAGAAGATTAGCAAACATTTAAAAGTATTTGATTCATGAAGAGAAATTATGACGGTACACGTAAAAGAAGTCAAGTGTAGTATTGTAGTAATTTATATAGAGTCAGCGCCCATATCCACCGCATCACCTTCCGGCGTCACTCAGGCCTAGGCGGAAGCGGCCAGTGACTGCTTCCTCGACACGCTAGCCGGGTCGAAATAGGGCTTCTCGCCGACGGAGGTGGCGCGCCAGCCGATTCGCGGGCCAAGCCCGGCGTGGTCCTGCGTGGCGGCGTGCAGAACCGCGCGGTTGTCCCAGATGACTGCATCGCACGTGCAATATCAGCCAGCGAAGTTCCAATTTCATCGGGGAGAAGACGAAAGTGGTGGTGGTGCTTACCGATATCGCCCGGACCCTGCCATTGGATGCGGGCCTGGAGGTCGTGGTTCTCGGTGATCAGGCGCTGGATCTTGTCCTGCAGCTGCTTGCTCTCCAGCTCGGTCACGCCCTCGATGCGCTTCGCGAACAGCACGCCAGCGTACAGACCCTTCCAGCCGGTGACGGGGTTGGTGCGGACGAGGGGCTGTGGAACTCCATGTCAGCCTCACCGTACGTCTTTCTTCATCGGGCGTCATCGTTGCATCACTCACGTGAACGACGTTGAAGTCGAAGGCGGTATTCTCGGGGGCACCGCGCGGGTGCGGATACGGCTTGTCGGAGGCGGCGACGGCCTTGGCCAGGGTGTTGCAGTCGTAGCGGAGGGAGAGGGTTTCGAACATCTTCTGGAAGGGCGGCGACAGGCGGTCGTACAGTTCGTAGGACGAGGCGAAGAGGGTGTCGCCGCCGGTGGGCGGGATGGTCGTCATGCGCAGCGACGTGTAGTCGGGCGGGCGCACCTCGAAGCAGCCGTCCGTGTGCCACTCGTCGGCGGCCGACTGGCGCGGCATGCCCTCCTCGAACGTCCAGTGCGTCGACTGCTGCACCTTGGAGTCCAGCTTGGCGATGTCCGGGTCGTCGCCCCGCGCCAGGCACATGGGGTGCTTCCAGAGCCCGCTGGTCGCCGCGTCGGGCTTGCCCGAGAGCTTGCCCAGCCGCTCGGCCAGCTGCTTCTGGAGCACCTCGTCGATGTCCGTCTGGCCCCGGAAGGCGACGACGCCGCGCTGGCTGACTGTCGGGAGCTGTTAGTCGGTGTGAATGGTGCTGGATGTGGGACGGATCACTTGTGATGGCGAGATCGCGCAGCTTGGCATCTGAGTCTGGGCCGGTGATCCACTCCTTCAGGTTGACGTCGACGAACTCGGTGCCAAGGCAGGGGGTAATGTGCTTGACCTTGACATCTCTGAGCGCCCCAGAGAGCTTCTGTGGCTGAGCGACGAGTGTGGAGTGCATTTTTTGAAAAGTGATGGCACTTTGACTGGACTGATGATCAAGCCTCTGTCTGGTTGCTTCAGGACATTGATGCTTCGGTTGCAAGATCTTATCTATGATCAATGTCGGGGCCATGTCTGCCGCACGCCGTTCGGCACCCGACTCTGATGCCAAACAGAGAATTCACCCTCATGTCCGTCAGGTGAGCGGCGGGACGAAGGGTCGGCTCTCGGCCGCCGACCACCGCCACGGCTTTTTGCTGCATCCCGACACCGGGCGAAGGTGGTGAGGGGAAGCTGTTGCGGAGGGGCTGGGTTGATGTAGAGTTTGAGCGTGCTAGAGGGTATGGGGCTGCGTGAATCCACGCGCAACACGAGCAGAGAGGAGTTACGAACTGACGGCGCATTGATAGCAGAGAGCCATTCGACGCTTGCGTACGGCTTCAATTTCACCATACTGTAAAAAAGTAACACCACCGATCAGATTCAAGCCACTAGCTACTGTCACATAGTAAACTTGGAAAAGTTCTGTGCAAGTGATGGTGGATTGATACAAAGTATGCGCGCCATACATACCCGGCGATTTGCATCATCGAGGGTAGCACATCGCTTCATGCCTCTATACCTATTGACCAACGAAAAAAGCCCGCCTCAAACAACAAGGCCGCCAGTCTCATCCACCCAGCAGTCCTACCACAGCAACCGCATCTCGAATCCCGCCCACCCAACCGCCGCAACAACAACAACCCAAAGCACCTCCCTCCCCCGCACCCACCCACACACGCCCTCTCGCCACGCCCACCCCTCCCTCTCACAGTCACAGCCACAGCCCCAGTCACAGCCACAGCCTACAACCCCCCCTCCCCAGCCGCAAACCTGCTCCTCGCCCTCAACCCCTCCCCCCAAACCAACAGCACCGTCGGCGCCACCACCCCAAACGCCGCCGCCACGCCCGCCACCAGCGTCCCCGCCCAGCCATACCCCCACGCCGCGTACAAGCGGCCCCCCACAGCGGGCATGGCGAACCCCGCGAGCGAGCGCAGCAGCGTCAGCGCGCCCATGGCCGACGCCGCGTACACCGGGTAGCAGTCGATGACGTACGCCTGCACGCACTGGTAGCCGACGATGATGCCGGCGCTGAAGACGAGCGCGCCCGCGTCGGGGAGAAGGAAGTGCAGGTGGAGTTGCGCGGACCAGGAGTACAGGAGTTGGCCGGTGGGCAGGAGGAGTGCGACCGCGTACATTAGGTAGGCGCGGTGTTCGGGGCGGCCGGCGTCGGTGCTGGCGCTGCTGCCGCTGTGGCGGCGCGAGGAGCGGCGCGTGCAGAGGGCGTAGATCTGGGGGCGTTAGTCATGGGGGATGGAGAGGTGGGAGAGAGGACGAGGCGCACCTTGTCGTTGACGCGGCCGCCGACCTGCGAGCCCAGGATCAGGCCGGCGGCGATGGCGAGGTAGTTGAGCGAGGCCGTGCGGGGCGGCATGCCGTAGCGCTGCTCCCACACGGCCTCGAAGGTGGCGATGGTCAGCTGGTTGAGGCCGAAGAGGAAGCCCATGAGCAGCGCCACCGTCTGCACGATGGGCTGCGTGCCGAGCATGATGAACGGCCGCTTCAGGTCGCCCCGGATCGACGCCAGCGTCTTGCCTTTGTCGTCGTCGTCGTCGTCGTCGTATTTGCATCCCGGCTCTCGCTGCTGCTGCCGCCGCTTCCAGCGCAGGAGGACGGGCCCGAACGTCTCGCGCAGGAAGAAGTGGCCGAGGACCAGCATGGCGGCCGCGAAGGCGGATGCGCTGAAGAAGATGTACCGCCAGGAGAGGGCTTCGACGATGTAGCCGGCGGCGATGGGGCCGATGGCGGGCCCGGCGAGTGGGCCGAGGGCGTAGATGGAGAGGGAGAGGCCGCGCTGTTCTTTGTGCCAGAGGTCGCTGAGGACGCCGGCGCCGATCTGGAAGTCGGCAGGTCAGTTGGAAGCGGGAGGGGGGGGGAAGTGCTGAAGCGATTGATGCACGTACAGACATGGGTCCGCTGCCGAACAGGCCGGACAGGAAGCGCAGGAGCAGGAAGTGGGACTTGGTCGACGCCAGCCCGCACAGCGTGTTGGTCAGCAAGAAGAGGGCGTGCCCGCAGTTGAGCAGCAGCCGGCGGCCGTACACCTCGGACAGCGGCGCCACCAGGATGGGCCCGATGCCCCAGCCCAGCACGAAGATGGACATGACCAGGTGCACGTCGTCGTCGCGGATGCTGAGGTCGCGCGCGATCTGCGGGAAGGCCGGCACCACCATGGCCGCCGTGCTGGGGATGATGAGCCCGTACGACGACACGATGATGGCGACGGTCCACTTGGCGCCTGTGGACCAGGCTTTCGGGTCCTCGTCGCGTGAGAGGGTGATCTAAGCGGTGGTGAGTGAGATGAGACGGTTTCTCGCGCCTGGAGCTTGCTCACGGCATTGTTGTGGCCCTGGAGGAGCCTTGTCCGTTCGTTTACCGTCATGATGATGACAGTGGTATTTTTCGTTGATTGGAAGGGAAAGACGGTTCGAAGAGGATTGGACACTCCACTGATCTGAGGTATGGTACAAGTGAGGACTTTTGGACTGCGATTCGGCGGCTCTCGGCCCCCGGGAACCGAAGAGCGGGAGGGAGTTGGCCATGGCGAGAAGGTCGTGGAAGCTCACTGGCGGCCCAGGCGGAGCTCGTTCCGGCCATTGCTGCTTCTTTGAAGCCGGAGGATGAAGCCAGCGTTTCACGTGAGGGCTTTAACGGCTAATGACGTGGTTCAAACTATGGACCATGATTAGTATGGGGTATTTTTCCGCCCTGAAGTCATTTTGCTTGACTAGTGCCTCATAATAAAGCGAAGATGACTTTACATGCAACGGGCCACATAGCGATATCCGGGCTTATGACTGTCGGACTAGAACAAAGTGATGGCTAATGGCCTTGTATTGCTTGACGGTTTGATGTTGTGTGCTTATACATGATAAAAGCTTGAAGCGTATTGAAGGAATCAATCTACTTATGATAACAGCCTGTTCCATAGACAGCTACCAGAGCACCGGGCCCCTCAGGCCCAGCCTGATCCTCGCCGCGCCCCCCTTCCCCACTGCCCACAGCTCATCGGCGTCGCGGCCCACCCAGGCCATGTTGATGACGGTAAAGTTGGTCTGCACCATGACGACAGGAGCGCCGTCGGCATCCAAGACCATGACGCCCTTGGCGGCGTTGGTAAGCACGTAGCCGTCCCGCGACGCCTTGATGCCGTCGGGGAACAGCTCGACAGCCTGGTGGAAGGGGCGGCGACCGGACAGGCGGGCGCCGTCAACGTCAAAGGCGTAGATTGCGCGCCTCCCGGTCGTGTTGTAGCCCACGGGCGGGGCCGGGTCGACTCGGGGGTCGATGACGACGCGGGCGGCGCCCGTGTCGGTGAGGTAGAGGGTGCGGCCGTCGGGTGAGAACTGGGCGCCATTGGGCTCGGTGAGGGTGTCGTCGACGAGGGTGACGAGGTTGGTGGCGGGCGAGAAGCGGTAGGTGGCGGCGGCCATCTGTGGGGCGCGCGTGTTGAGGCCCGTGGGGCGGCCGTAGTCTGCATGCTGCTTGTTAATACCAGGGCGAGAGAGGGAGGGGAGGGGGCAGCTCACCGTCGTCGGTGAACCAGATGTTGCCGTGGCGGTCGAAGTCGAAGTCGTCGGCGCCGTTGAAGTAGTAGCCGTAGTAGTTGTTCAGCAGGGTGCGCGACTCGCCCGTGGTGGCGTTCAGGGTGTAGATGCCCGGGCGATAGCTGCGGCCGTCGATGTCCTCGGCGCCGCCAACGGTGGAGAAATAGAGCAGGCCGTCGCGGTAGCGGCCGCCAGTGGCGCCGTAGATGGGCGGGCTTGCCGTCTTCTCGACCAGCCGCGGCGGATCCACGTCGAGATCGACGACCAGCTGCGGCAGGAAGCGGTGCTCGAGGCGCGAGAAGTACAGCTCGTTCGTCTCGGGCGAGTAGACAGGCGCCTCGTGCGACAGCAGCCCCTTCAGCCCGAAGACGAACTCAACTGATGGCGACGGGCCCAGCACGTGGGCGGCGCTGCTCTCATCCCAAACCACGAAGTCGGCGTCCCGGACGTGACGGAAACTAGGCTCGTGCGGTATGTGGGTCGAGCGGTACGTGTCGGCGTGGGCGAAGTTGTTGACAACGGCACGCTCGAAGTCGCCGTGGATGACAGCACCGCGGTTGCGGATGCAGACGACGGCCGGAAAGGCGTAGCCGGCGCACGAGGCTGCCAAAGCGAGGCTTGGGTCAGCGAGCGGACTCTGGTCCTGCCAGCGAGGCGCGAGGGCGGCGGCGAGGACGGCGGGCCAGCGCATGGCGAGCAGGCTGAGGGCGGCAGGCCAGGGCTGCATGGCGACGAGACGGGGCGGGAAGACTGCTGCTCATGCTGGCGACGGGCGGCGGCATCTTTGAGGCGAGGCGGGTGTCGCGGGCGTCGCGACTCGGCGGCCGAGACGCGGGTGGGTGGTGGTTAAGTGCGGCGCAGCTGGCGGTTCGGGAATGGCAGGCCACATCATTTTCGGCGCCCCTCACCCACCCGACGCATCACGATGAAGCACCAGCTGGAGTCGGCGGTTGAGGGCGATGGCACGACGGAGCAGCTGGCGACGTGGATCGCAGGGCTGCGGGCGCAGGACATTCCGCCGCGGGTGCTGGAGCGGGCCAAGCACGTCATCCTCGACGGCATCGGCTGCGGGCTGGTCGGCGCCCGCGTGCCCTGGTCGGAGCAGTTCCTGCACGCCGTCAGCGCCTACGAGCCGGCCGGCGGCTGCAGCGTCATCGGCAGCGACACGGTACGTCCATCCTAATCCCTACCCCCATCTTAATTCTAACCCCAATTCAACCTTAATCTAACCCTAATATGTACTACCTCTGCAGCGCTTCGGCCCGCTCGCCGCCGCGGTGCTCAACGCTGCCTTCATCCAGGCCACCGAGCTGGACGACTACCACAGCGACGCGCCGCTGCACTCGGCCAGCATCGTGCTGCCCGCCCTCCTCGCCGGCGCCCAGACGCAGCCGCCCGGGGCCGTGACCGGACTCGACCTGCTGGTGGCCGCCGTCGCCGGCTTCGAGACGGGGCCGCGCGCCGGGCTCGCCCTCTACGGCTCCGACCTGCTGACCCGCGGCTGGCACTCTGGTCCCGTCTTCGGCTGCCCGGCGGCGGCGGCTGCGGGCGCGCGCCTGTTCGGGCTCGGCGTGCGCGAGACGGAGAGCGCGCTGGGCATCGGCTGCACGCAGGCGGGCGGGCTGATGAGCGTGCAGTACGAGGGCATGATCAAGCGGGTGCAGCACGGCTTCGCCGCCCGCAACGGCCTGTTCGGCGCGCTGCTGGCCCGCGGCGGCTACGAGGGCATGCGCAAGGTCTTCGAGCGCCCCTACGGCGGCTTCCTGGCCATGTTCAGCGCCGGCAACGGCCGCGATCCCGCCTGGCGCGTGCACGAGGTGGTCAAGGGCCTGGGCGAGACGTGGCACACGGAGCTCATCCGCATCAAGCTGCACGCCTGCGTCGGCGGCAGCCACGGCCAGATCGAGGTGCTCGAGCGCATGCAGCACGCCCACCCGGACCGCTTCGCCCGCGACCAGCTCGGCCGCATCCAGAAGATCGACGTGCTGCTCAGCGAGGCCATCTACGCCCACGACGGCTGGGTGCCCGAGACCCGCCCGCTCACCGAGACGGGCGCCCAGATGAACGCCGCCTACATTGGCGCCCTGCAGCTGGTCGACCGCCAGGTGCTGCTCGAGCAGTTCACCCCCGCCAAGCTCGACGACGACCTGGTCTGGGAGCTCGCCCTCAAGACCGAGTGCTTCCACAGCGACGAGTTCGACCAGCCCAGCCGCCTCGCCGGCTGCCGCATCCGCATCCGCTTCGACGACGGCTTCGTCGCCGAGGACTGGACCCCCTGGCCCAAGGGCTACGACCCCCCCATCTCCAACCAGGACATCCGCGCCAAGTGGCGCAAGCTGGCCTCCACCGTCATCGACGCCCAGCGCATGCAGGACATCGAGGACCTCGTGCTCAACCTCGACAAGCTCGACGATATTTCCAAGCTCGGCGAGCTGCTGACCAAGCCCGTCGGCAAGGCCATGGGGTGACGCCAGGCAGGACGCAGGGCGAGGCGCCTGTTCCAATCTCTGGGCAAGTTGGCCGGCCTGCTGGGGCCCACCGAAGACACGTTGAACCCGCTCGTGGTGTGGTCGTGATTCCGTTTGGTGGTCATGTAGACAATGATACTCATATAGAACATTGGATTTGCCTTTGTGCGTGAGCAAGTCGAAGTGACGCCATCTGTGATTCAGTTTTACGTCACAACATCACTTCATAACTGCATGTCTATGCAACACCAAAGCGATTTACTCATATACATGATTGAATGACGTGAAATATGCATGGAGCCTGCCCTTGATGTTGACGAAAAAGCAGCCAAATGCGGGGAAATATGCTCGGCAATCGCAATACACAGTGAGCTCAACGAGAAGCACTCGACTTTGGCAAAATCTTCTTCTCACGCTTCTAGTAATGTTGATGCTAGTCATTTTTATACATGTCAAACACTCTTTACGCTTTTCCCATCCCATCGTCGTCCAAAATCATGCCCTGCAAACCCGCCTCATGTATGTACATACCAGAACGGGTTTACTCCTCATACAGTCTCAAGAGACGTACCACATCAGTTCTTGTTCTCCGCCGTCTTCGACGCCCTGCGGATCCTACGGCCAAACTTGTAGAACAGCACGGGGATGGGGATCATGGCGATGCCAACAAACGCCAGCAGGGTGCTCGCCCAGTCGACGCCGAGGCGGTGGTACATGGCGGGGCCGAACAGCGGAAAGCCGGCGCCGAAGAAGCTGCGCACGAACGTGTTGGCGCCGATGGCGCTGTTGGCGGTGCTCATGTACGTGTCGAGGATGTAGTTGAAGCACTGCACAAACACCATGTACATGCCCATGGCGAGCGGCGCGCTGCCCACCACCTGGCCCGCCCAGTGGATCGACGGGTCCGACGTCCACGCGAAGATGAACAGCCCCACCGGCAGCAGGCACCCGCCCGCGAACATGATGGGCAGCCGGTTCTCCGGCACCACCACCCCGTGCGCCCGCTGCACCTGCCGGAAGAAGACGGTGCGCGTGTACGTCACCACCACCGCCGCCCCGATGAGCACCCCCACCGACATGCCCAGGTACGCGAGCCCGCTGACCCCGAGCCCCCAGTGCCGCACCTCGCGGAACGCGATCGGGTACGACACGAAGACGAGGTAGAGAATGCCGTAGACGAAGGCCTGGTAGAGCGTGATGAGGACGAGGATGGGCTCCGTCAACAGCATTCCTAGTGGAGAGATTTTGTCAGAATCCATCCAGACGAGAGAGAGGGAGAGAGAGATCGAAAAAAGAAAAACTCACTGAACGACCGCACCAGGTAGATCTGCACCACCGCCTTGGGTCCCATGGCCTGCCCATCGTACACCGAACGGGCCAGCACATTGCCCGTCTCCTTCCTCACGCGAGCCGCCTTGCGCCGCAGCAGCGTCGGCGCGTGCGTCTCGGGCAGCGCCGTGACGCACAGCACGGCCACGGCGCCGCCCAGCATCATGCTGATCCAGTGCGTCCAGCGCCAACCAAGATAGCTGGCGGCGACGAAGTTGCCCATGACGGGCGCGAGGATGGGGCTGCCGAAGATGGTGCCGATGCAGCCGGCCATGGCCACGCCCCGCTGCACCGGGTCCCAGATGTCGACCAGCCCGCCGCCGAAGATGGTCAGCGGCGCCGCCCCGAACGCCCCCGCCAGGAACCGGCCCACCAGCGCCGTCGCCATGTTTTGCGCCAGCGCCACCGGCAGGCAGAAGAGCGTGAAGAACAGCATCCCCACGCACGTCGGCCACTTGCGGCCCACCCGCTCCGACACGGGGCCCCAGAACGGAGGCCCGAACGTGTAGCCCTGCGGATTGGTTGTCAGCCTTCTCGGTGCGGCTGGGGGGGACCGCGGCGAAGTCGTCACTCACCAGCAGGAAGAGGCTGATGCCGAGGTTCGTCACCGTGGCGCCGCTGTGGAACTCCTCTCTGAGCAGGGCGGAGCCGCTGCTCCAAATGCTGCTGGCGATGCATGTCGCGAGGTTGCCCGCCACCCAGATGAACGTGATGAAGAACTTGCGCCGCAGAGAGAAGTTTTGGGGGTTGTGAGGGTCGTTCGGTCCATCCCACGTCACGAGATTGGGGTCTGGGGTGGCCTCGCCGGCCTCCGGTATGGATCTCGAGTCGAGAGAGGCCTCGACGTCCTTGGCGGCATCGGCGTCGGCAAACGTGGGGGTTGTTGGTTCGGTCATGGCGAGGACGTGTCGATGAAACTGAAGCCAGGAGTGCACGAGAACTTCAGGCGGACGAAGTCTTCCACCGCGGTTGTTTTGAGATTGCCATGTAGTCCCGTGGAAGACGGCGGGTCCGTACGCTCTGCTGAGAAATCAAGCCTCAGGCCGAACACGCACCGGCGAGCGGTAAAGGAAGCTTGACGTGCGGCGCGGAAGCCGAGCGTCGAAACATATCCAATAGGACTGCATACAGCTCAGCGATTTCGCTTATCAATCGTTCGTTGGCGCTTCGAGTTCCCACAATGCATATCTCTCCCCGGGGTTCGGCGCCCGATTCCCGACCAGGGTGGGTGTCGACCTTGTATGAGCCGAACAGGATTGAGGAACCATAAGGTATGTACAACGCTTCATGGCATCTTGACCGAATCTTGCTGAAGCAGGAGTTGAGGGCGAATCCTGCTTCACACGCTATGATGCCCTGCATCACGCTCATCAGGCATCTGTCCCGACACAGAACGTGATCCAGCGCCATGTCTTCCACCAGACCTTGTTAGAGAACGTCGAAGCACGCGCAACACGGCTGGATGATAGGGCTCACTCTTTACGGTCTGTTACGTTGTGTCAAAGTTGGCTGGCAATAAAGCGTTCTCAGCGTATACGCTCCCAGACACTGTCCTCTAATCTATATCATCGGCGTAAATTCCACAAGTTGAACTCCGCGTAGGATATCTGTATTATGCCTGGCTGACATTTTGTTGGAGTGCATGTCTGCGTTGAAGGTGCTTTTACACGCGAAGGAGAGTGTAATTCCATAGTATAGGCTTCGTAGTTGCTTGTGGTGTACGGCATAGATACATTCGTTGCGTCGTTGTCCGCATCCGAGAAAATATCCCTCGTCCAGGTGAATGCAATTTACTTTTACTTGGTGGCAACGGTCACTACATGCTTCGAGTCAAGTATTTCCGGCGCGTGACCAATTCCAAGTTATTATCACAGAGCCTCGTTGATTCAATGCGGTATCCAATCGACAAGTTCCGAGACTTGGACAATGTATTCCGTTTTGCGCGCAGTCTAATCGAAGGAGGATTGATTACCTAGGTAGGTCTACTAAAGCTTCTGCGGCTCTCCAAGGCAAACGTGAGGCGCGGCAATGGAGTAGCCTAATCATCAGCTGCGCCGGGCGAGAGCCCCGAGATTACGTTCACATCTCACCTGCTCGGCGGCCGAATGCCGACGTGTATCTTGGGAACAACCAACAACATGCCCCTGACTAATTGCTGTTCGAGACGAGTAAGAAGTCACGTTGGAATCATATTCTCCTCTTTTTGAGCACTGAGAAAATGGTGACTCAATGCAAGTCCGGCCAGAGTTCCACCGTCCAAAGACCTGTGGATTCTCCAACTACCCTTGCGCATGCGTGGATTCTTCAACTACACTTGGGCATAAACACAACATAGGTCATCATTTCACATTTCCAGGTACTCGCACGCGCTTTCTATCCAGAGTTCTTGCTGCTGCTTAAACGTAGAATTTAATGATTCTCTTCCATACGACAAAGACTGGGTATCCGAAAACCGTATGGGTCTTCGTCCAGGCGAGCTTGCCCTGGTCATGCAATTTGTCGAACGTGTCGTCGACGACCGCACGATCTCTGGCCGAGAGTGGATAGACTTTAGTCGCGAGCTTGGTTTCCTTTTCCCATCCTGGCTTCAACGGGATGTTCATCTCTTGCTCTGGGGGAACCTTGGCAAAAGAAGGGCTGGCCTTCCACATCTCGGGATAGCGGAGCACGACCTCTGCAAGGCGTTTCCTGACTTCTGGCGGACCGTAAATGGTAACGCCATTGGAAATGCGTTCCTCCAGCAACGGATCGATCTTGTCGGAGTCCACCCCAGCCATCCCGTGCAGGTTCGGGTCAAGCTGGTCATAACGTACCAAAGAGAGAAAGAGAGAGAGAGAGGGGGGGGTGGGGGGGAGACGGGGGGAGAGGGAGAGGGAAAATCTGAATCTGCACAGATAGCTTATGGATCAGTCCGCGTATTGGTCATGTTCTACAGCGGTGCAACAGGTCGGAATATATCTCAAACAGACTCAATTGATACATACACATCAACACAAAAGAAAAAAAACTATATACAAGAAAAAAGCCCACTCCTGCCCAAGCCAAACTCATCCTCCGGCTCCCTCGACGCCATGGCAACGGCCATGGCAACCGAGTCGGCATGCGAAATGCTCAGCTGGACGGCCCTGATGCGCTGGCGATCCGCAACGACCCTGGCCTCGCCATGCAGCTGCGCCCGTCGACCGAAAAATTAGCGTTTCCGAAAATAAAAGGGGGGACGGGTGAACAAAGTCAGACATACCTTGACGGCGGGCACCCCGCCACCGCCGCTCACAATCTCAATGTCGCGCATGGGGGCGGCGGCGCCCCTGGACGGCACGTTCAAGCTCTTGAAGACGGCCTCCTTGGCGGCCCAGCGGCCGGCCAGCGAGGCGTGCGGGTCGGGCGCGGCCTTGCAGTACTCGAGCTCGGCGTCGGTGAAGTTGCGGGCGAGGAAGCCAGCGTTTTCGGCATTGACGTTGGCCACGTTCTCGACGTCGACGCCGACAGTGGTGTGGGTGTGGGGGCCGGCGGGCAGCATGTCGAGCTGGCCCAGCATGCGGCGCGAGGCGGCGTCGACTTCGTGGCCGCTGTCGTAGCCGCTGTCGAGCTGGACCGGGCTCGCGGTCGACGCCGTGTCCGAGTCGGTGTCGCTGCCAGTAGCGGCGACGACGGCAGGGTGGAGGTTGGCGGGGTCGAAGACGAGGGTGCCGTCGGGGCCGCTGGGGTGCACGCGGGCGTTGGGGTCGAGCAGGACGGCGAGCTCGTCCTCGGGCGTCCACGGCGCCGCCGCCTTGGCCCGGAACAGGTCGTTCTCGATCAGGCCGTCGACGAGGCGGGCGTTGGCGACGGCGCAGCGGCGCAGGGCGCGGGCGCGGTAGGAGGCGTAGGTTTTGGCGCTGCACGCGGCGAAGACGTACTGCGGCGCCACACCCAGCACGATGCCGCCCTTCTGGCCGAAGCCGAAGCTCGTCAGCATGAAGGCCTTGATGCCGTCGGCGACGCGGATGCTGCGCGAGGGGTAGGCGAGGTGGGCGAACTGGCGCAGCACGGCGTCGACGTTGTCGGCGTTGCGGTTGCCGGGCACGACGCCCGTGGCCACGGCCTGCAGGCAGCCGTTGAGCATCACCGCCCCGGCCGCGCCCTGCGGGTGGCCCGTCACGCTCTTCTGGCACACGACGAGCAGCGGGTTGCCCGGGCGCCGGCCCAGGTGCGCCATCTGCGCGTCGATGACGCTGCTCTCGTTCTTGTCGTTGGCCGCCGTCGACGTGCCGTGGAATGAGGCCACGGCGATGTCGTCGATCGTGAGCCCCCACGCCGCCAGTGCTGCCCGCAGCGGCGACAGCCCAGGCTCCATGGCCCGCAGCCCCGCCGCATCCATCCACAGCCGCTGCGCCGCCCGCGTCTTGGCCGCCGCCGCCGCCTCGACCGCCCGCGTCTTGGACTTGGACCTGGCTCCCGCGAGCTGTGCCTTCCGCCAGCGCCTGACCTGCGCCACGTCCGCCCGCAGCTGCCGCCGCCGGCTCTCGAGGTCGAGCAGCGGGCTGCTGTCGACCACGGAAGAATCCTCGCGCGCCGCCGTCAGCACGCCCTTGCCGGGGGCGGGCACGCTCCGCCCGATCTTGTCGGCCGCCATCTGCGTGTGGGCGACGATGGCGTGGATGGGCAGCCCCATGCGCAGCGCCATGTCGGCCGTGGTGAGCACCTGGATACCGCAGCCCGCCGAGTAGACGAAGCCCGCCCTGCTCGACGCCGTGGGACGAGACGTCTCGCGCGGCAGCCTGCCCCTGGCCTCTTCGGCTACCGCGTCTGCAGTCGCGCGCATGCTGCCAAACTCGAAGGAAAACTCCTCGCCAAAGTCGTCCGAGGCGCCGACGATGGCCATCTTGGCGGTGCCGGCGCGCAGGGCCTCGCACGCGATGTCCAGGCTCTCGACGGATGTGGCGCAGGCGCCGGCGGGGGTGCGGATGGGGCCGGCCGACGACAGCAGCAGCATGTTGGCCCAGGCGTCCAGTGCGTTGTGGAAGGCGTCGGGCAGCATGTCGTTCTTCTCGGCGCGGTCGAGGTAGCGCTCGCGGAAGACGCCACGCAGGGCGGCCAGGTTGCCGCAGCCCGAGCCCACGCAGTTGGCCAGCTCTGACACGTGCATGTGCTGCCACAGCTCGTAGGGGTCGACGATGCCGGCCGATAGCAGCGCCTCGTTGACGCAGCACAGCGCGTACAGCGCCACCGGGTCCGTCCGTGCCGCGATGTCGTCCGGGATGCCGTAGCGGCGTGCGTCCCAGCCCGACGGCAGCTGTCCGGCCGTCTGCGCGCCAGACGAGATGGCCTTGGGGACGAGGAAGCGCGCGCCCGGCCGCACGTGCACGATCCATTCGTCGGCGTCGGGCGAGACGCGGTGGACGTCGACCTTGTCGCCGTGCTTGAGCAGGAAGGCCTCGGCGTTCTCCTTGGACGTCTCGAACGGCGGCAGCGGCTCCTCGACGACCACCTCCTGCAGCAGTTCCTTGCGGGTGGGGTCGTAGCCGTCGAGCTCGGCGGGCTCGACGGTGCGGATGCCGGCGTGGGCGTTAATGTGGCCGCCGTACCGCGCCTCGAAGTCGGCGTCGTGGACGGGCTCGTTCGTTTTGGCGTCGACCCAGCCGACGTACGGCTTCCCCTTCAGTTCGCCGTCGAAGAAGCGGACCAGCCCCATGATCCAGGCCATCTCGACGTAGCCTGCCCACGACAGCTTCCCTTGCTCTTCCACTTCCCACCGCGTGCGGGCGCTGCCCCAGGGGCCGAGCTCCGAGAAGCCCACGACGACGACGGTGTGGCTGAGGTCGACGGCATCGGCGAGGTTGGGCAGGCCGGCCACCAGGTCGGCGTGGGAGGGATGGAGGGGTGGGTGGTTGAAGCGGATGGTTGCGCGGGGCGTCGGCGGAGCGGGCAGCGGTTTCTCCGGGTTCCTGCCGAGCGCCTTGTCGTGCAGCTCGCGCTCCACACCAAGAGCGTTGGCGATGGCGCTCTCTTGCGCCTGCTTCGCCCTGGCAGCCGCGAGGACGCCCTTCAACCCCGGCACGGCGCCCAGGCCGCCACCGAGATCGGCCCACACCGGCTCCTGCTCGCACAGCTCGACCACGGACGGGGCCATCAGGGCGAGGATGTTGAAGGCCATCTCCTGCTGCGAGAAGGTGACGCAGCCCTGGCGCTCGACGGCCTCGGCGACGACATTGTTGGCGCTCATCAAGCCGGTGCCGCGGGTCCAGCCGATGACGGCACCGCACACGGAGAGGTAGGCCGCCCAGTTCTCGCTCTCGACGCGGTGCAGCAGCGTCTCGAGCCCAGCCTTGGATGCCGAGTACAGGCCGTCGCCGCCAAAGGCGCCGTGGTTGGGCGACAGCGGCAGCACGACCTGGGTAGGCTGCGTGTCGAACCCGCGCTGCTCCTTCTCGCGTTTGATGTAGCCAAGCAGACGCACCACGTTGACCAGCATGATGCGCAGCGCGAGCTCGGAGCGTGCGTCGATGGCGTCCACCTCACGCCCGGGCTCAGGCACCGCAGCGAAGGGCAGCACGAAGTCGACGTCGCCGTACGTGGCGTAGACGTGGCGCACCAGGGCCTCGCAGTCCTGCACGCTGCCCTGGTTGAACGGCAGCACCACCAGCTCGGCACCCGCAGCGCCGTGCTCGCGATACAGGCCGTTGTAGAAAGCAGCGACAGCAGCCAGCGTGCGGCTGGTCGTCACGATAACGCGCGCCCCGCCCGCCAGCAGCCCGCGCACCACCTCGGCCGCGATGGACCCCGCCCCCGCCCCCGTCACCAGCGCCGTCTTGCCGGCGAAGCAAAGGCCCGCCCCGCTGCCCGCCTCCAGGGCGCCAAGCAACCGCGCGGTGGCCTCGTCGTTGTCCGTCCACGCCCCAGACGACGCGTCTTTCGTGCGCAGCCGCAACCGCTCTCCCTTCGGCAACAGCTGCAGGAACTCGACATAGCTGCCTACCGCCCGGCCGTCAGGCAGCAGCCGTGGCACTTCCTCGTACCTGCCTGCCGCCGCCGTCCTTGGGCCAGTGGGTGCGCCATGCAGGTACCGGAACACAGGCCGCAGCGTGCGGGTACCGGGGGCACGGCGCAACAGCGTCTCCGCCAGCGCCACCGACGGCTCATCCGGAGCCACATCATCGACCTGCGATGCGAAACGCGCCGCCACGGCCGCACACGACGCGTCCCAGCGGTTCAGCAGGTGCTGCAGCGCCGCCTCGTCGGGCAGCGGCCGCTTGCCCAGCAGCAGCGCCAGCAGGTCCTCGCGCGCCCAGTTCCACGCGCTGTCGTAGAGACGCGCCTTGGCCGCGTCAAACGTCGGCTGCGTGCCCGCGAGGAAGCTGTCGTCGCCGTCGTGCCCGAACTCGTCGCTCCACCGCTGCAGCTGCCCCGCCAGCTCGTCCTGCGCTGCCTGCAGCTCGCGCAGCTGTCGTGAGGGCACCCCGCCGCCGCCTTCCAGGTCCAGTTGTTTGGCGAGCAGCTCGTGCTGCTTGCGCAGGAACCGCTCCTGCTTCTCCGTCAGCGCCTTCAGCGCCGCCGGGTCGATGCTGGCGGCCGCCTGCTGCTGCTGCTCGCCGCCCGCACCACCGCCAGGTGCCAGCGTGATGCCTGCTGCCGCTGCGTACCGCTTGGCCACGCCGTCGAGGAACTCTGCGCCCGCGTCGGCCGACGCCAGGCGCTGCGGCGGCTCGAGCGTGACGGCGAAGCAGATGACGCTGCGCTGCCGGCCCGCGGGCAGCCCCCACGCCTGCTCGAGCCGCTGCTTCATGGCCGGGATGTTGAGCCCCGCCGGCATCTTGGCTGCCACGAGCCGCTGGATCAGCGAGAGCATCACCTTGCCCGGGTTGCCCGTGAAGGCGCCTTCGAGCGCGGCCGCGAGGGCGGGCAGAGGCAGGTCTTCGGGAGCGTCGGGGAGCGAGCCGAACTCGGCGCTGAAGTCGCCGACGAGCTCGTTCTGGAGCGTCGATTTGCCTGCAGGGCGGAGGTTTTAGCTGGGGGAGTGCTTGACGGGTGAGAGAGGGGCGCGACTGGGCTGGGCTGGGCACGTACCTGCGCAGAGGTCTCGTATGGACTTGTCGGTGGGGATCTGGTCGAACGGCTTCTTGAGCTTCTGGGCGATGATGGAGGTGATGATGTCCAGAGGGCTCAGAGACTCGTCTTCTACTGCCGCTGGCGCTGCCACTGGCGCTGCCGCTGGCGCTGCCACTGATGCGCTCTGTGGCTGGGACGGTGCTTGAGGCTGCTGGACTGCTGCGGGCGCCTGCTGTGGCTCCTGCGGCGCCACTTCCCCTTCGTACTCGTAGTATATCTTGTCTGCGTCATCGCTTATCGACAGGAAGGTCCTTTGTGTCGAGCTCAGCATGTCTTTCTGCGACAGCTCCTTCTTCCAAGTCCGCTCGGTCATGGTCGCCAGAACCTTTCCAGGCCCGATCTCGACCACCCGCTCGGCATCTCCGAGCTTTAGGATTTCGTCCTGGGTCTCGATCCTGCAAGTCGTCAACTCCCCATTCTTTCCGGGGTCAAGAGCTCACATACCATCTCACTGGATGCGCGAATTGATGGCTGCGTCATCACTGTCAGCAAGCACTCGTTTGGATAGGTTCGTCGGGTCACCTACGCCAGGAGCTCCACCAAGAGGGTCTTTGCTCTTTCTGCCTCGGGCATTGGCGTTGTTGATGAGGCCGTCATGTTGGGTATGCCACTGCAAGTAAAGTAGCAGCTGAAATCCGAGCCAAGGGTTCCACGCGGTTTAAGTACGACGAAGGCCAGGCTCGAGAAGGTTTATCGGTAGTGCACGTCACGAATCGATGGTCGTTCGCCTGAGCTGCCGCGTTGGGCCAGCTCTGTCACCTGCACGGGGCTCGGCATCCGCTCCCCGGGCCACGTTTCGCAGGACGGCACTGCGCCACCGAAGGGTGGGCGCGGATAAGAGGATCGCCTGGATCCGTATCTTGGAGTACCCGAGGTATAAACGGCTTTTTATTCACAGCTCAGCCGGGTGCAGTTGGCCATATCGGCGATTGACCTTTGTCTGACAGTCACTTCACGCAACCATGATTCAACAACATCCCACCACCTCTTTGAACGGACTTGCGAGCGGGCTCGTCCCCTTGAAAGCCGCCGACGGCAGCAACTCGCTCACCGTTGTCGACAACAGAACCGGTCAGACCTACACAGTCCCCATCTGGCACAACTCGGTCAATGCGGCCGAGTTCAAGCAGATCAAGACGCCCGAGGATCCCGACAACCTCGCCGACCAGAACAACCAGGGGTTACGCATCTTCGACCCTGGATATGGCAACACCACCGTGGCCGAGAGCACCATCACTTTCATGTACGTTTGCGGTTAGCGCCGGAGCTGAGTTACGACGCTGACCTGGCATCAGTGACGGCCTGAAGGGTATGATTCAGTACCGCGGCTACGACATCAAGGACATTGTCAAAAGCGATAAGCGAGTTATCGACGTGTGCCACCTCCTGTGGCGGGGTGCCTGGCCCACCAAGGAACAGGCGCAAAAGTTCCAGCAGGAGCTGAACAACGTGCCCGTCATCAACGACACCGTGCTCGGTGCCATCCGGGCAATTCCGTACGGTCCTACCAAAAGCTCCAACAGTGTGAATCAAACTGACTGTCCGCCCCCCTCACAGCAAAGATGGCTCGCCCGTCGGCATGATCATCAGCGGCCTGATGGCGCTGCAGTCGCAAGACATGGACCTCGTGCCCGCCCATGCCGCCGCCACCATCTACCACAACGACCCGGCCCTCGTCGACACGCAGCTCGTGCGCATCTTCTCCAGCCTCGTCCAGATCACCGCGGCGGCGTACTGCCACGCCACGAGCCGCGCCTTCACACCGCCCCGCGCCGACTTCTCGACCATCGAGAACTTCTTCCTCATGACGGGCCACATCGAGGCGCACACGGGCCTGCCCAACCCGCGCTACGTGCGCTACTTCGAGACGCTCTGGACCCTGCTGGCAGACCACGAGATGACGTGCTCGACGGCGGCCATGCTGCAAACCGCCTCGGCCATGCCCGACGCCATCTCGGCCCTGGTGTCGGCCATCTCGGCCTTCTACGGCCCGCTGCACGGCGGCGCCATCGAGGTCGCCTACCGCCACATCCGCGAGCTGGGCGGCGTCGAGAACATCCCGGCCAAGATGGCCCGCGTGCACGCGCGCGAGGAGCGCCTGTACGGCTACGGCCACCGCGTCTACCGCGTGCCCGACCCGCGCTACAAGCCCATCCAGGACATCCTGTTCGAGCTCAAGTCCGAGGTCGACGCCGACCCGCTGCTCAAGGTCGCCCTCGAGCTCGACCGCGTCGCCCGCCACGACGACTACTTCATCAAGCGCAAGCTCAACCCCAACGCCGACCTCTACGCCACTCTGGCGTACAATGCCATGTGAGTGCTTCTCTTCTTTTCTGTTTCGTCTCTCTTGCTGACCCGTTTTCTGCCAGGGGCTTCGCTCCGGACTGGATTCTGCCCATCACCATCATCGCCAGAAGTCAGGGCCTTCTTGCCCACTTCAAAGAGGCTATGCGTAAGCGTCCTGCCTCCGTGGTTGGCTTCCGTACTGACTCTCTGCGCAGTGCAACCCCAGCGTATCTGGCGTCCTGGCCAGGTGTACACTGGCCCGTTGAACAAGAAGCTTGATGAGTAAAGAGCTGCAAGCAAATGGTATTCAGTAGACATGGACGTCCTATAGATTTCAATAGAACTGTTTCGATTCATTCTATTTCTAGGTAGTATACCCCTTAGTCAACCACATCGAACGTGACTGGACCGTTCACCTGTTTGATTCGGGCAATCCCATTGCCCCTCGGCCCCGGGGCCCACCTCTTAGCCTTCTCTTGCTCCGTCCCTTTTAGCAGCTCCTCCTTCTTCCCCCACCGCCATCCAAAACCCACGGCCTGGTCCGAAAGCTTGACTGAGTATTGGTGCCCGACCACCAGGTCGTCCAGCCCGCCAGGCGGTCCCGGAGTGCTGGAGTCGCGCAGCGTGTACTCGAAGCGCCACGGCTGCCCGCCGGGCCAGAGCTCCACGAACATGTCGTCAGCGGGGAAGCCAGGCGGAGAGGCGTCGAGCCCGCAGTGAAAGCGTGCATCGAAGTCGGGCTTTTCACCCGTGTCGGCGTCGACGCAGTGCACGAGCTGGTCGATGCAGTTCAGCTGGCTGACGTCAAACCAGGTTCCCGCAATTTTGATGGTGAGTGGCGTATCGCTCCTGCTGCTGGTCCCGTCGCTGTCATCGGGGAGAGAGATGTCGACGACAAACTTGAAGGGTGGTGAGCCGGAGCGGTGGCACACGGCAGGCTCGACGCCGAAAACGGCGGACAGGGTGGGAGGGGCTGGGTCGTTGTAGACGGTGAAGCGCAAGACGTCGGGTTCTCGCCGGACTGGAAGGCGATTCTCCTCATCGTCATGGCTACACCATGCTTCGCCGCCGGATGGGGAGAAGCGCACGGCGTACGTCTTGGACGGCTCCAGAAGATCTTTCCAGATCTGGGCTGTGGTGTCAATGCCGAGGCCGACGCGGAGCTGGTAATCACCGGGCTTCTCTTTCGGCAGGATGGCTATGCTGCCGACAGGCGCCGTCTCTGGTGGAAAGGCAACGAGCTGCTGTGTGTCCTCGTCGACGAGTTGAAAGAGGCCGGCGCAGAGAGCGGCGACGAGGTCAACTCTTCGTGTTTTCGCATCGAGGGCAGTGCAGGCGAGGGTGAGGGTGCGCTCTGTGTCGAAAGTTGTCACCTTGAAGAGGTTCAGGCCTTGCATGGTAGGCCGATTCAACTGCATCATGTCATGGCCCCAGGTGTTGCCTTGGAGCAGAGTGAGTGAGAGGAGGGGATGAGACGCCATGGTAGTGGGAGGCGGAGGATCGACAGAGGCTCAGCAACTGAGCTTTCGGCCATGAAAGTGTTTTAAGTACGGTAGCTTGGCAAGGCGGCTGCTGCCTGGTGGTGAGGCTGGAGAGCGGGGTCCGGGTTGGTTAACGTCACTGTGATGAGTCTGCACAAAGAGAAGTGGCAAGTGTCAGGTGTGTGTATGGATTCTCCAACTGCGCTCCGAAGAGAGATGGGAAGGCGCCAACGCACGGACCAACAACGTCACTGCACAGCCATGTCAGACCCATCACCGACCGACTACAACCAACAAGGCATCCCGTCTGCTTTAGCTGTGAAGGCTCCTACTCCTACCTGTACAGGCAATCTGGCCGCCCCCAGGTTTTGCATCTCGGTAACTCGGCTCCGTCCCCGCATCACATCAGCTTCAGCTGTCTCCACAAATCCGCTCAGCTGTTCCTCGGACTGCCGTTTTACTGAGACCCCGAAAAATCGTTGTATGGAAAGACTGTTGCATCAATCGGGCCCATCTCCGTGTACCTCCCACAACGATGCATCTACACGGTGGGAGCAGGCCGTGTTGCGTGCCAGTGCTGCTTGGATGGTAAGAGCATGCATCTCCTCGAATACAATATTTATACCCTTCCATGCGGCCCTTCATCATCATAGCCAAACCAAACAGTTCAATTTCTCACTCGGGCACTTCTCCACTCAGACACTCAACAAGCCAACTGCCATATCGATTCCTACTCACCATGTCGTTTCTCAAATCGTTCGTCTTTGGCGGACTCTTCCTCTTCCAGCTTACTGAAGCCATTCCCTTCCATTGTCCAAATGGCACCAACACCACCCATCTCCAGGCCCGCAAGCTGTTCCAATTGGCCGACGGCCATGTGTCGGACGGTATCGAAAAGCGCGCCATGTTCAACGTCGACCAGATCACGGATGAGGGAAAGCAGAAAGCCCTTACCCAGGGATTGAAGGACGCTGTCGAAATCGCCAAGGTGACGCTCGATAAAATGGACAAGGACAGGCACGCGGACAAGATCAAGGCATGGTTTGGCGAAGGTGACGGCTATTACGAACTCGTCCAGCAGGTGTTCAGGAACTTTGTCGGCGACAACGATGACCACGAGGGTGCTGATGTACTCGGCAACGTCATTGTCCACCAGGACGATTACAACAACGACCTCGGCAGCCCCTTTTGTTCCATCGTGAAGCCCGATGGCAAGAGAGGAACCGCATACTACAAGAAGAAAGACGGCAAGCCTGGCATGCACTTCTGCGATAGGTACTACGAGCGCCAGGACGCCGAAGCCTATCTCGCCGACAAGTGTTCTGGTATTCCCACCAAGCTGGATACCGATCACATCGGCCGTGCTTTCCAAGGCGCAAATGTCCTCCATGAATTCATGCACTACCCCAAGGTACGTACTTGCACCATCTCCTCCAGTCCGGGTTAAAGCTCATTTCTTCATCCGCAGGTCGGCTTGGAAGCCACAGGCAAACAGATCACGGACATTGCCTATGGCGCATGGAACTGCTACAACGCTAAGAACGACGACGCTGTCAAGGCCAGGATGGAAGAGAAAAACCTCCAGCTCATCCATAACGCCGATACCTATGTCTACTACGCCATGCACATCTACCTTGAACATGTTTGCGACCGTACCTTCGACTACCCGGATTCCACGGATAAATAGGTTCGGAATTGGGGTGAAGTGCTGGAGAGTGGTAAATCATGGCAGAATACTTTCATTGTGTAGCTCTTAGATTTTATCTTTTATATAGAGCGGCGGCTGGGCGAGACTTTTGCTTTTTTTTTCGCGGCTGTTATGGCGCATTGGCGGGAGATACATTCTTTAACAGAACCGCCTAGATATAAAGATGTAGATTCCATCTCGTTTTCGTTGTCGGACTAGTGATTGTCGACTTTATGGTTGTAGTCTAAGAGGAGGCGGCTGATAGCGTGGTTCGAACTATAAACCCTTTGCTTTGTTAGGCTGTTTGCCCTGTGTCCCTTATTCGACTGTCCTTGTTGGAGTAGTGGTGCCTCTTGATGAAGCGAAGATGACTTTAAAGAGATCCGGGCTCATAACTATCGCACTTGAAAAAAGGTACGACGCCGCACTGGTTTTCAGTGCTGGCTAAAGGCCTTATATTGTCTGACACACCCTACTCGAGTTGAGAAAAGGTTACCGCAAGGATATTACCGTCCAACCTACCACCTCACTCGAGATGGGACTTTACTATTTGAGAAATCGGAGATTACCTCTCTCGTAGCACAATTGCACAGAAAATCCAAGTCCTTTTCCGTGATTTTATGGTTAACTGTCCATGACATAAGAGGAGTGCAAAGTTAATGGCGGTGGCTTTCGTTGTCACAAGTGAGAGGCTACCAAAGCATTTTTCAATGACGTTCCCATCAGAAATTGCGAGAAGGCGCCTTCGACACGGGACAATAAAAATAGTAGTGAAGACTCACTGGCCGCCGCGTTCTTTATCCCCACGCGAGGCATCAACGGCATCGACACGTCATTCATAGCTGAGAGGCACTGGACCAATGATCATTGCCCCGTGGAGTAGTGGATTGAGATTCCAGTAAACTAGCAGGCTATCATATTACATACAAAAATCATAATCAAAGCAAACCTTACTTAGCTTTCAGACAGGGCTGGTACTGACAGAAAGTACTTCGCGTACGGTTTCATGCGCCTCGTTCGTCTGCCTATAATCATGAGAGTTCAAAAACAATTGTGGGAGGCCTTGGGTGTTGGGACGACATCCAGCAAGCTGGTGCCGGAGCTGGTTGAAGAGGGTGGTGTTACTGAAGTCCTGAAAAAGGTATTGGTAAAGGCTCGAATCTGATAGCACGTTGGACCTGTCGGCGGAGCCAATCGAGATGTCGCCGTCTACACAGGACGATAAAACACTCTCCGAGTGTCTTTCTCGGAACGGCTGGGGATGAATAGTGCCGAAGTGTGGGGTCAGGTCGATCGCCCCCACTCTTATCGCTGCTGCCTGGAGGAGCTCGTAACACAAACTTTTCCATCCATGCATGGTTCCAAGGGATAATATGCCGCACCTCTGGTATTACTTTGGATGACGTTGTACGGCAAGGCTCCAGCCGCATTCCTGCCTTGCTGCCTGCCGCATCTCTTTCGTTGAGCTGTCTCACTGTCCCGGCTTCGATTCGTGATCCTAATTTTAATCGTTCCATCCGGCGGAAGATGACAGCATGAGGCGCCTGTTGCCAAGTAACGACATGTTTCCAGCCTTGCAGAAGGTTTGGGGGCCGGCCAGTAACGAGTCGCCGTTAGCGATGATGGGGCCACACTGTGCTACGCTCCAGCCTTTTCGGGCAAACGGAGTGTTCCAATGCGTTGCCATCTGAGCCAGGGGCTCCACTTCTGGATAGATATAAGATGGTGGAGGAGCCAGCATCGAAATCGCATTCGTGAAGCCCATCCTCCCCGTCGCTCGCCCGCACAATGTCTCTCGGCCTTGTCTCCTTCGCTGGCGAGGTCAACGTGAGCGCGGTCCTTGCGGCAGTCATCGCCATCTCTCTCGTGTATCTGGTGTATTTTCTGGACGAGAAACCATACAAAGGTTTTCCCGTCATCGGCCTCGACAAGAATGGCTTTTTCAAAATGGCCAAGGCAAGAGCCGCCTGGATAGTCAACGGCTGCGAGATATTGGAGCAGGGAGCGAAACAGGTATTCTCCGCACCATTCCCCACGATAAGACCGATGACACAACTGACCAATAATAATACAGTTCTCCGGTGCTTTCCAAGTAATCACCGCTAGCGGGCCAAAGATCGTCCTCCCCAACCGTTACGCCAACGAAATCAGGAACAACCCTCACATGAGTTTCGGGAAGATCATCACCCGCGTGCGCACATGTCCGCGATCCCTGAACTGATCCGAGTCTCTGACCTCGAAAAAAGGAATTCTTCTCCTGCTACCCCGGCTTCGAGCCCTTCGACACCCTGAATCAAGACGCCATCATCCAAGACGCCATCAAGAACAAACTCACCCAATCTCTAAGTGCGCCATCACATTTCCACACCTGCCGCCGTCCACAGAATAACTGATTCCCCCCCCCTTCAGCATTGTTCACGTCCGACATCTCCACCGAGGTCACCGCCGTCCTCTCCTCCATCCTCGACGGCAACGCCGCCAAAGAAGACGACGCCGGCTGGGCCGAGACCCCCCTCCGCGCCCTCGTCGCCCGCGTCATCGCCCAAGTCACCTCCCGCGTCTTCCTCGGCCCGCACCTCTCGCAGGACCCCGAATGGCTCTCCCTCTGCACAAACTACGCCGTCACCGCCTTCGCCGCCCAGCAGGCCCTGCTCTCCTGGTCGCCCATCCTGCGGCCCCTCGTGCACCGCTTCCTGGCCCCGTGTCGCCAGCTCCGGGCGCTGACGGCGGTGGGGAGGAGGGTCATCGGGCCGCACCTCGCCGGCGCGTCGAAGGGAGAGGGCGCCGAGACGGCGGCGGCGGCGGCGGCGGCGGCTGCGAAGGGGGATATGATTGCGTGGATGGAGGAGCTGGCGCGGGAGAGGAGGAGAGAGTTCAATTTCGCCGACGCGCAGATCATGTTGGCGATTGCGGCGATTCATACCACGTCCGAGGCGTACGTGTGGGTGGTGGCGGATCTGATCGAGCATCCAGAGTACGCGGGCGCGTTGCGGGAGGAGGTTGCGAGCGTGCTGGGGGATGGCGGGTGGCGGAAGGACTCGTTGGCGAGGATGAAGCTGCTGGATAGCTTCATCAAGGAGTCGCATCGGAGGCATATGGTTGATGCTCGTGAGTGTTTCTTTTATCCTCAAGTGTGGGTTTGGACTGATCCTGTGAATGAAGTGGTCATGGACCGATACGTCGAAAAGACGGTCACGTTGTCGGACGGTCTCACGATTCCTGCTGGCTCGGCGCTAATGGTGCATGCGACCAATAACCTGGATGAAAAGTTCTGGCCGAATGCGAAAGGGTTTGATGGATACCGCTTCTTGAGGTTGCGCGAGCGGGCTGGCGAGGAGAACAGGCATCAGCTTGTCACCACCAGCGCCGAGCACCTGGGGTTTGGCTTGGGCCTGCATGCTTGCCCGGGACGCTTCTTTGCGGCCAACACGATGAAGCTCTTGCTGGCGCAGTTCGTCATGAAGTACGATTGGAAATTTGTGGATGAAAAACCGCAGCTCCGGGCTGCGTTCGGATCCAGCGTGTACGTCAATCCAATGCTGAAGGTGGCTGCGAGGAGGAGGAAGGAAGAAGTGAGAATCTAAGAGCGCGGATATGGCAAGGTGGTCAATATTCGAAGCGTGTGTGACGTCAGAAGGCCTCTCAACGGCCAGGTCTAGGCCAAGGGCCGCCTCAATCAGCAGCTAAGGGATCTCGAACATGCACCTTTTGTTATTTACGATCAGGGATACCACCGCACCGTAGGCTGACGGTCGCGCATCATTTCACGGTGCAATCATTAGGGAAGGAGAGAAGGTCGCACCCTCTTTCGGAAGGCCGAGCTGATCTCACAGCAGTGCCATCTGCAACACACAGCCTCCACGTGTGCATCAATGGTGAGATTTGCTTTTGTCGTCAGGCCGAAATGCCCTAGTCTGAGTCCTTTTCTCAGCATATATACCTTCGTCCACAACTACACCAACAGGCCACTTCTCTGCACCCATTTTCCTCTCATCCTCATCTCTTCTCACCGTGTCGACAAGTGATCTCTCTGTCTCGAAAACAAGAACCGAAGAATATCTGAAGATGCAGGCCAGTTATGCGCTCAGTTCGCTGCACGCCGCCATGCTGATGCACGAAACAGGCAGTCCCAACAACGCGCTGCAGCAACCTTTCCGTCCGCTGCCAGATGGCCCCAGTGCCCCCCTCGACCTTCGCATTAGTGGGACTTCTATGGACAACAGTACCCACTACCAGACAGTCCACCTCAACCGCAACCGAACGAGTTGAACTTACATCGAATACAAGTTTTCGCCGTCTTCGGGTCCAACAGTGGCTGTAAAATGGTGTTACAAGTCCACGTCCCGTCCCGCAACCCCGCAACCCTGCGACCCCGCCAACACATTGGATGAGGCTCGACCCTCATAGACCAGCTTCTAGCCTTGGCAGTGTTTGAATAACAAATCTGGATTTCATAACAGCCACGGCAGCGGCAGGATGCGGATGCATTGCACACACGGGGGACAGCGGAAAGGCTTCACATTCGTGTGCGTGGTAGCCAGAGCAGCGACGTGCACCAAAACCAATGGGCGGTTAGATTTCCAATCTATCAGATTCCATGGATAAAGGTTCTGTGGGGCGGCGTGGGAAGTCAGCTCATGCAGCATTAGTCTCACGCTTCTTTCGTCTTCCGTTAGCCATGGCTTTTTTTTTTCTTTTCGTTCGCTTTCCTTTTGCTCACCCGCCAATACCAAGGTCTAGAAATCCGAGCTGCACCCTCTTTCCTGCGCGCACAGAGCCACATTCTGCACCCAGCCGGGAAACAATGAGACTCCCGTACTCATGAACTGATACTTGCCGTGTGCTCAGCGTCGTGATACCAACAATGCATTACATAAGCCCCAGTCTTCCGGACCCCGTTTCGAGTCCCACTCTCAGCCTCATCCACTTAGTTGAATATCAATAGACGCACCGACGCCCGGGCAAAGAACGCACCAGATCATCTCTCAGGGCTCATACTGAACTTATCTTCTTCTCGCATTCGCTGTTCTCGGATCAGCCCCGGCCCACACCCCGCTGCGGAACATCACCACCTCAGACTATGGAAACCCACGCGTTCTATACAACAACATTGATTTCAAAGATCACAACGAAAGCAAAGCTGGGCAAACTTCAAATGACGCCATACCTTACTTGGCTGCTTTGAACGAGGACCACGGCTATCAACTGTTCAGATTATTGTGACGTGGATCCTGTGGTTCGTATATCGGCATTATCTCTATCGCGAGATCATGGCAGTTGCTATAAGATATACTAAATAGTTTGCTCTGTGTTGGGTCATGGGCAGCACATGTCATTGAGCGTAATGGATCTCTGTTCTGGGTTGCTGTCATTTAGTGACATGGGCTGCGGTAGATGACGGTCAGAAACGACGCGATACATGATGTAGCCTAAACTACATATCATTTGCGCCTCGGGCTGATTCAGCCGCTGAAGAATGCCGAAGCAAATAGAAATTGCCGGGACTTTTGAATCGCCAAAGACGGTGGTTGGCCAGTTCGGTCCAGGCCGGTTGCCTAGGTTCCATGTTGGGCGGCGCAGGGGCCGAGCTTCCGGGTATCTTCCCGGCGACTTAGATAGGTACCGTCCCGCCATCTTTTTTTCCCTGCGTCTGCGCCAAATGATCCGCAGCGGCGAAACGGGCTCTGCACGGCTGAGGGGAAAGGCCCAACGAAGGATGCTGAGCAGACATGATTGACATGTCTCAGATTGGCCACGTCAGCCCAGCTTCTCCTGAAGACGAACAAGAGGCAACGAATTGCAGAGAAACAGGCCGGGGATCGCGCGGAGTAATTGTGGGGCTCCCCTATAGGCTGCGCGCCTGCCCGGCTGTCCGCATCCATGCACGTGGCTGTCTTCAGGGAAATTTTCGCACACCGACGCCCGATTTTTAGTAACACGAGCCGTTTCAGGAGTGGGTTGTGCCGGACTTTGGTCCTACTTAAACCATCTGATTAGCCATACTTTGCTGCGAAGGCATCATTTTTGCGTGATCGCACTGGTGAATCGCGCGAGCCCGCTTTATACTTAAATCCCCAAAGAGGAACCTCCCTTCCTTTGTCAACCCCCCCACACCTGCAAGCCACCGCTACTCAAACACACTTCCCAAAAGAGATCCAAACCACGAAGAAGGGACTCTCATCATCAGACGAGGAAAAGGAGAACCCCACCCTCCAACATCCCTTGAGTACCAGCACCACTCATCCGCGTCCACGCTCCCGAGGAGCCTCCGACTCCCCAACGAACACCACCGACCATGAGCGCCGCCGCCGTCGCCGAACGGCGCCCGTCCACCCTCCCCGCCGACGTCGAGCACCTGCAACAGCACGCACAACAACAGCCGCCGACGACGCCGCCGCTCGACCGCCTCGCCCTCACCCACGCGCTCAACAACCCCACCGACACCCCCATCACCCCGGGCCACATCCTCTCCTCGCCCTACCCGGCCGCCACCCACACCCTCGACCTCTCCCGCGTGCCCACGCCCTCGGCGCTCTTCGCCCGCGCCCTCACCACCCTCGCCCCCACCGACGCCTCGTACGCCACCGCGCCCTACGAGACGGCCTTCGACTTCGCCGCCCTCTTCGCCGAGCTGCGCGCCCTGGTCGCCGCGACGCCGGGCTTCGCCTGGCCGCGCACCAGCTTCTACGTCGTCGCCTTCCGCAGCGTGCTGAAGGAGGGCATCGACAAGGAGAGGCTGGGCCTGCTGGACGAGAAGAGCCACGAGGAGGCCGTCGAGAGCGGCGGCCTGCTCAAGTACTGGTTCGGCGTGCCCGATGGCGAGAGCAGGAATCTGGCAACTTGTGAGTCCTGAGCCCCTGCCTACCTACCTACCTACCTACCTGTCCTGCCGGAGTCGCCTCCCTTCTCCGGGGTAAAATGCTTTTTTCTCGTGAGCTAATAGTGTTTCTTTTTCGCAGGCTTTTGGCATAGCAGGGAAGATGCGGCGGCCGGTGGCAAGGGCCCGTGGCATAAGAAGGCGAGGGGCGCGGCGGTTACCATGTATGAGAGTATTCGGTTTGAGACGAGGCGGTTGACGGTCGAGGAGGGGGTGAGCGGGTGGAAGTGGGAGGATTGGAAGCATGAGCACTGAGGTTAAATGGGTTATGACAAGACAATTTGGATATTGCGGACTCTGGAGCAGGGAAACATGGCGCATGGTTTTTAGAGAGGGTAGACGGAACTCCGGGTACCTTCGGCGTACGGAGGTTTTGATTGGCTGGCGTTGGTCTGCCCATGGTAATGAGGCTGAAAGAAAGCGAAACTAGAGAACATCTAGAGAATATTGAGAAATGTTTGCCAGAACTCTTTGAGCGACTTATTTTCGAATTAAGGCGATGTCTTTGGGTTCCGGAGTGGTCCATCATCACTCATAAATGTAGCAGAATGGCCCTATGACCGTGCTTAGCGCATGCCCAACCGCACTGGCGGCGCATTGACTTCCAAATCGATCAAATGATCCATCGTCCCGTTCCTGAACGGTGGCATGTTATCAATGGTGATTGTACTGGCGACCGTGTGGGTGCGACGTTCTGGGTCAGGGATCTGCCAAATCCACACGCGGTCAATCTGGCCGTGATGCAGGTAGAAAGCTGGGTTGCCCGGGCTCGCAAACAAGTCACCTCCGGGATTTCCATCAGTCGTCATGTGGCCTCTCTTGCGGTGGTTAGCTCTGTTATATTTGTATCCGAAGTTTAACCACTTCCGGCGTGTATACCAGAACATTTCGAGCTGAGGATACCCTGAATCCAGGTTTGGGCCATGCCATTACGCTCATGGATAAGCCAGGGAGTGTCCTTGTCCATCGTCCAAGATAATGGTACGTACTGATTGATGTAGCGATACAGGCACTGAGGGTTGTGTACGGCTCGTTTGCGCCGTCTCCGCCTAGACTTTCCATGTCTATTTCCTTGTCTCTTGTGAAATCTTCGAAGACATGGCCAACGGTACCGATGTTGCTAGCGTGCTCGTTACGTGGGTGTCTGCTCTCTTCGAAGTCCTCGCACTGATCGGTGTGGCAACCCCTCTGTTGGAGTGGAGAGGAAGTCGTAATCGGCGCCACCAGGCCATCAATGCTCTCTATGAAGATGGAGGCGAAACAGGGGATTCTATAAGCAAGTAAATTCCTGCAACCTCGAGCACTGGCTTGTTCCGACGTGTTCAAGCTCCCCTCCTCACTGAAGACTGTTATACTAGCCGGGGGATTTCCCCACTCACCACAAACATTCGGTTACCACCTGCCTCCGCCTCCACCCAGCTGGGTACATTTTGCTATCCTGCCTCAAGCTTACAAGCTCAAATTTTCTCGGGGAGACAGCCTGCTGAGCCGAAACTCCACAGCCCCTCTCCCAGTTCGCAGAAACTGGATATTGGTTTTGGGTTTGATGGGCCGATTTGCGAAAAGACTCGATTGGGCTACTCATGCTCGTGCAACATCGGACGCGAGAAAAGAATACCGGGTGCTTTTTGGCTTGACCGCGGCAATGTGGCTACGGTGATCCAGCTACTTGTACAGTGAAGGCCAGGAAAGAGTGTGCTTCTCACGCCATCGAGATTTTGAGATCAGCGATATCTTCAAGGAAAACGAGGCTTTGACTGCGGCCAACCCTCTTTTGCTTTTGTGGCCTGCAGTGGGTTTTCTACCTTCGTCCGGAGACTAGATTTACGCACTTGAAGACGTAGAGTACATCCTAAATGCGCCACCAGAGCCGGAAGAAGAAATGGTCAACTTTGCGGCCACACCACCACCAATGCTCCACTTCGACGAAGCCCCGTCGGATGACGACGATTCGTGTTATTCCAGAGCACGGCATGTATCGCATGCAAGCCCAAACGTATTTGCGGTAACTCCACTGATGCATCTGGAAAAGCGATCTGGCACAAGTGACCGGAGACATAAGCCGTATGGACCTAGAGGATTCCGCTTTGAAGTTACCGACGAGCGAGTTGAAGCTCTGGGATCATTGACTGTGCACGATCAAGGCCAACCGGTTCCTGGATCGGGCGCAAGAACCACGCCGCCCATCCACCACCCCTGCCCGTTCAGCACGCCGCCGCGGCGGTTGCAGCACCACCGACCGACTTATCATCCTCCTGCTTTCCCAACCCCGTCTTCGTCTCGGTATGCTCCTCACTCAACACACTCCTCCTGACAAACACCGAGGCCAAGACGCCCGCCCCAGCCACACACGCATACAAGATCCACACATCCCTCAACCCGTCGGCAAACGCGTTCCGCACCGCCCACCGCTGCCCCCCATCCGCAATACGCCTGATCCCCTCCACATTGGCGGCGGCCTCGGGCCCTGCCAGCACGGCGGCCAGCTCGCGCGACACGCCCGCGGCCAGCAGCTCGCCCTCGCGGCGGCGGACGCCGTTCTGGAACACGACACCGCCGACGACGACGGACAGGGCGTTGGCCAGGTTCCGCAGCAGGCCCAGGGTCGCCGTCGCGGCCGCCGCGTCGGCCTGCGGCACCGCGGCCTGGATGCCGATGACGGGCGTCTCGAAGCCCAGGCCGAGCCCGGCGCCGGCGAGGACCTGCACGCCCACGAGGGTGCGCAGCGGCGTCGACGCATCCAGCACGCCGGGCGCCGCCCACGCGGCGACGCCCGCGGTCGCGAGCACCATGCCGCCGACGAAGAGCGCCTTGTACTCGCCGGTGCGGTGGATGGCGAGCCCGGCGACGGTGGCGGTGGCGGCTTCGCTCAGGATCAGCGGCAGGATCAGCACGCCCGACGCCGTGGGCGACGCCAGCCGCGCTGACTGCAGGTACAGCGGCAGGTAGTACTCGGCGCCGATGGCGACGAAGGCTTGGGCAGCGCCCGCGGCCAGCGCGGCGGGGAGGCCGGGTATGGCGAACAGCCGCAGCGGGACGATGGGGTGGGCGCCGGCCAGCTTGTGCTCCGAGACGAGGAAGGCGCCGGCGAGGAGGGTGCCGAAGACGAGGAGGCAGATGACCTTGGCTGAGGACCAGGCGGAGGCGGCGTCGCCGCCGAGGGTCAGCCCGACGAGGAGCAGGGTGGTGAGGCCGAGCATGGCGGTGCCGCCCCACCAGTCGACGGCGTGTAGGCCGCGTAGGATGGGGGTACGCGGGTCGTGCACGTCCAGGTAGAGGAGGGCGAGGCCAAAGGCGGCGCCAGAGACGGGGAGGTTGAGCCAGAATATCCACCGCCACGATGCGTGCTGGGCCAGGGCGCCGCCCAGCACGGGACCGACGCCGGCGGCGACGGCCCAGATCAGCTCCGTCAGGCCGATGAAGAGGTTGCGTCGGCGCAGGGAGAACATGTCGGCGATGGTGATGTAGACCATCTGCATCAGGCCGCCGCCGCCCACGCCTTGGAGGGCACGGCCGGCGATCAGGGCGGCCATGGTCTGGGCGGTTGCGCACACGATGCTGCTGAGGAAGAAGAGCACGAGGTTGGCGAGGAGGATGGGCTTGCGGCCCCAGATGTCGGACAGCTTGGACCAGATTGGCATGACGGCGACTTTGGCGAGCAGGTAGGCGCCGCCGATCCACGTGTAGCCCGCGGCCGAGCCCAGCTGCGACGTCATGGTTGGGATCGCCGTCGAGACGATCATCTGGTCCAGTGCGCCGACGAAGAGGGCGAGCTGCGGGAGCGGTCAGCCTGGTCTGTTCGTTGGGCCTGAGACACTTACGTATAAGGCGACCATGATGGCAAAGATGCGGAAGTTGCTGCGGGAACGCGTCGTGGCATCGGGCTCGTCGGGGCCCCTCATGGCCATGGGCTCGATGATGCTTGGCTCGATGGCGGGAACGACGGAAGCGTGCCCCACGGCTGGGGAAGCATTCGTTTCGGCCATCTGAAAAGGATCGGGGTGCAAACAATGGCGATGCGGTCGAACTGGATGACTGGTGTTTGAGTATCGTCCGTAGCTTTTAAGGTTCCGGACGCGGGTGGCACCTTCCACTTCCGGTTAGTAGGCTGCCGGATCTAGAACGGTGACTCTTGTCGATGGCGCCCTTGGAGGATCATCCTAGCCCTGATGGCCGGATGGAGAATAGGTTCGATCATTATTGCTTACTCCACGTGAGATAAGTTCTCTGCAAAAAAAAAAAAAAGAACTCAAATTGGATATGTACGCGGCAAATGAACGGCTTCTATACACCCGTCGACTCCCCCCTAATGGATTCCTCTTTTCCCTTTCCGTTCTTGGTATCTCTCATTAGTTATTATTCGAAGAAAAAGGCGGTTTAGATGACGTTGCCCTTGACCTGCTTGCGGTCGACGTTGTAGTTCTTCCAGATGCCAATGGCCGGGATGGCCAGCACGAGAATCGCCGTGGCGGCAATGCACTCGTACTTTTGCGCGTAGCCGTAGGCGTAGTTGATGGCGTCGCGGGTCTGCGAGCCGACGGGGTACGTCATCTGCGTCGTGGCGCCGCCGAGGTAGATGGTCGACCAGTTGGCCTGCTGGTCCTCGGGCAGCCGCGACACCAGCGCCTTGGGGAACGTGTGCGAGTAGATGGACGCGCCCACGGCCTGGCCGATGGCCCCGCCGATGCTGGACATCATGCTCAGCATCGACAGCATCATGGGAACTCCCACGTGGTCCGCCGCCGACATGACGGCCATCTGGTTGCCGATGACCAGGATGCCGCCCGAGAAGGCGATGAAGATCTGGCACATGATGACGTACCCGATGTCGCCGTCGGACCCGCGGAAGTGCACCATCAGCCCCGCCCCCAGGATCATCAGCGGCAGCCCGAAGCACAGGCACGCGTACTTGAAGTGCTTGGTCACGCGCACGTAGATGCCGAACAGGGGCGAGATGAAGCACGACCCGACGTTGTAGATCTGCGACATGTAGCCCGCGTTCTTGATGTCCAGGTTGTAGACGACCTGCACGAAGTAGTAGTAGTACAGGTCCCACGAGTAGAAGCTGAAGTAGAGCACCGCCGACGTGACGCACGCGCCCAGCACCGTGCGCTCCTTCAGCAGCTCCCACGGCACGAAGTGCTTCTTGGCAAAGTACCGCTCCCACACGTAGAAGACGGGGAAGAGGCAGAAGCCGATGACCACCATGGCGATGAACTTGGCGCTGGAGTAGGCCGCCATGCTGTACGACGTCAGGCTGAACGGCAGCAGGAACAGGACGAAGGCGGCGATGATGATCAGGCAGCCGAACACTGGGGCACGGTCAGCTTCTGTTTTCTGTCGCCATGCAGGCAGCCACATGGCACTTACTGTCAAACTCCTGCACGTAGTGCCAGGTGGACTGGGCAAAGTTGCGGCCGCTGGACGCCTTCTTGTAGATGCCCAGCCTCTCGGCCTTCTTCTGGTACAGCTTGAAGACGATGACCAGCGGGAAGAAGACGAAGCACTGGATGATGCAGAAGGCGCCGTACGCCCAGCGGAAGGTGGTCATGGACAGGAACGACTGGGCGGCGAGCGGGCCGGTGAAGGCGGTGCAGATGAAGGGCGTGGTGACGAAGCCGAAGGCGAAGGCCCGGTTCTTCAGCCCGGACGTGTCGGCGATGAAGATGTCCAGGATGATGTAGATGCAGTCGTAGCCGATCCAGTACAGCGTGTAGCCGGCGGCGTAGCCGTCGGGCCCGTTGCTCGCGGCGATGATGATCATGCCAAGGAGGTAGATGCAGGTGAAGACGAACAGACCCTCGGCACGGCCCCACACGTTCAGGATGCGGGCCGCGGGCAGCCTGAGGATGCCGCCGACAATGGACGCCAGGATGTTGGCCGTGGAGATCTCGGGCGCGGCCGAGAAGGACGAGTAGGCGTAGTAGTTGACGTTGTTGCCGATGGACTGCTGGAAGGCCAGCATGAAGAAGCAGACCCAGATCCTGCGTCGAGTCAGTGCTGAGTCGTCGATGGACGGGCGAGGCCATGGATCAAACCACTCACCAGGCGTAGATGCACCACACCGTCTTCTTGGACCAGACGAGGGCGGCGGCCTCGACCTTCTGCACACCCAGGTCGACATTCTTGGTGACCTCGTCGGGGTGCTTCTCGATCTCGCGCTCGTTGCGGGCCTCGAGGCTCAGGGCGTCCGAGTTGGAGTCGGAGGGGTGGTCGACGGCGTAGTCGGCCTTGGGCTCGGTGCTGGACTCGGTGGCGGGCTGCAGGGCAGCCTCAGCGACCACGGCATCCTTGCGGCCCCTGACGTTGTCGAGAATGCCCATCTTGGCGGTTGGGGAGGAAGTCTTGGGACGCAGCGTGCAGCACTAGCTACTGAGGACAGGGCGGCCGTCCACCGCCTAATAAGTGATCTACCCGGCGCGGCCACCCTTGCAGCATGCTTGCCAGCAGAGTTTTTGCCGACCGCGAGGCATGCAACGGCGTTTTCATCTAATAAGATAAGATAATCGGGGTCCACACGCGCAGCGAATCAGGGGCACTCGCTCTCCCCGACGGCGCGAGCTAAAGCACGGAACAGCTGCATATTGAACAAGGCGCCACCGCCACCCAGAGCCGGATCTAATCTGATCCGTGCAGCCTGCCGGTCCCGGACTGCGCCGCGGATGCGACGCTGCTCGTGGGGCGACTCTCTAGGTACACAGTACCTACGTAGGTTCACAGCTAGCACTACCACCTCGCGCTCCTCTGGCGCTGCTCCAGTCTCCTTCATCCCGGACGACAGGCCCGGCTCGATCAACCCACGCCGCACAGCCGCAGGGCGCGTGGACGAAAGGATCTGCTTTCTCCGGGCTCAGCTGCAGCAGTGTTGTTGTTCGAGAAGCCTATGCCACCCTGCCTCCCCTCGGAGCCGCCGAAGCCGCGTCAGCCCCGGGCCAATGCTAGTCGTAAAAGTCAGGCACGACGCCAAGCACTAGCACTCCATCATGCGACCAACAGCATCTCTGCAGGCACATGTGGTTTTCCATTTCCGGGCTGCCGTGCGTGCGGCAATATCCGGCCGTGGTCCGACCATCAGACCCCAACACCACGCGGTTTTGCTGTCTTCTGCGTCAAGTCCGAGTCCGACGGTGGGTGGGGCCACGCCCAGTGCGGAGTCGGCTGCAGGTGGCAGCATGGGCGCAGCATGGGCTGAAAACACCGCTCCCCAATGAGCTGCGAGCCGTGCCGTCCCGTCTAATTGCCTGCCCGTCATTGGCCCCGCCCTGGGAGCACACGTCTGCTCCAGCACGAGCGGCCGCCGAGTGGGGATCTCTCCAGAGTCCAAGGGTGCGATTGCTTAAACGTTAAAAAATACTCTATTCACTCCTTCGCCCTCTGCTGTCTCACCACTGCCGCCTCTCCGTCCCGAGCCGCTCGCCTGACCCGGCTCTGCCTCCCGTCCACGGCCCGCACACGTAGCGGGCTACCACACACGAATCCCTCCGCAAGCCACCCTGACCGAGCCGCTGGTCATTGGTTCCTTCCGCCGCTCTGGATCCGGCAGTGGGGAACATGTGCCGCATCCGCCGCCCGCTCGCCTGTTTATACCGAACCGGCCCACTCCTCCATACAACCCTGCAGCTGAGGAAGCCCGAATCGATGCGCTCCTGCCGCAAGCGGAACAGCCGAAACAGGCCAGCAGCGTGCGTTTCATTCGAGGCCTTCGGGACGATTCCCAGTTCAAACGACATCTGCCGGTCACGCGATCGCTTACAAGTCCGCCAGCGATATGTATAGCCCGGGCAATCCCACGTCAGAACTCTAAATTTAACGTTGGTCTGAATCGTCCAGACGACTCTGATCGTGCCTGTCAGCAAACCTCTGCATGGGCGACCGGTTGGAAACCCAGTCCGACATCGGCATCTGTTGTATGTACGATCCTCCTCGATCCCCGACGATCACGGCCGGGGTCGGGTTTCACATGGACGGGGCAAGTCATCTCTCTCATGTACTTCATATGCCAATGAAGAGTCCGTTTCATGCATTCTCGTCAGCTGCGGAATGAGGAACGGAGGGCGGAACCCGCTGAGAACATGTGGACACTCGAAACACCTCGTCTCCATGCCTCGGGAACCAACCAAACGTCGACTATTTGAAATCCATCTCTCCTCCCACGCCATTCCCTTCAGCTCATCCGTCGGTCCGATGCGAGAGACCGATACTCGGCGACAGTAGCAACAATACGAATGCGACAAGCCGCGATTCCGAGACGATCAAGCATGTATTGGCACGCCTGAGGCAACCTCATCCATGCCTCAGCACTCCACAGTCTCCTGCGGCCGTTGCTACGGCCGAACTATCAAAGTGACATTTGCCGCTAACGCATACATTGACCGCATCGTACTTGCTGCTCGCGCGGATCCTCGGGCCCCATTTGAACAGAACCCAAGGTATCGGCAGCATGCCCACGGAAACGAACTCGAGCAGGCTCGTCGCCCAGCGAATCCCCTCGTGTGTGCGTGATCCCCCACGCAAATGGCACAAGGCTACGTAGAGGCTAACGAAGGCGACGATGGGATCGGTGAGTAGCATGTGCACCGGCTTGAGCAGCGCGACCGTGAGCAGGAATTTGACCGCCGCCCCTGCCCCTTGGGGTCCTGCGTTTTGTGGATGATGACGGCGTTTCTTGGCCCAACGCTTGAGGTTGACTTTTGTTGGTCAACACCATCGCTTACACGTTGTAAATGATCTTCGTCATCACCCAACAAGGGTCATGTTCAGAAACGTGTCATCATGAACAACACCCTTGTTGAACCCCCTTTCTTCATTCGCCTATGTAAACACCATGTAGTAGCAGCATTTATTGGATCATCCAGCTATCAGCTTTCTTGTACGTCTCCAGAAGCGTGAGGAGTAAGGTGTAGATGATGTGGAGCGAAAGAGGATGGCCCATTGCGTCTGCCGCCAGTCTTTGTATTGCGCGACGAAGCCACGGATGAAGGGGCTTGAGGGATATTAGGCTCTTGTCAGCTACACTGCTCCGCCAGGCTTCGGAAAAGCTGTTTCCACGGTTTACAGCGCAGTGGGCAAAAGCTTACAGAGAAGTCCCACCCAACGAAACCACTGTTGGAAAAAGCTCGGAGGCATTGAGTAGGCTGTGCATTCAGCTGGTTCCTTCGAGGCTGATAGAAGTCTCGACACTCTTACGACTCTCCGCAAGCATTGAGGTCGAAGCCGGGCCCGAAAGGCTTTGGCAACGATCCAAGGAAAAAGGAGGTAGAGCAGCCGGTAACACGATTGCAAAAACTTTCAGTGGAGAATGAAGGATCTCGGTTGAATGAGCACGTCCATGAACGGAAAAATTTTAGACAACACCAGTCTACGCCTTGTATAGAGCAGACGCTTTTGCTGATACCTGCCTTCTGCGCCACGGTTTCGCTCCTGTTGGACCGGGATATGGAGGTGCTACCGAAGGACCTGGGCAGCATTACGGCCATTTTGGAATGAGTTCGATATACATTGAAGTAGCGAATAGAGAAAGCCAGGCAATCGTGCTACGGTCGGGGTTCGTCTGATGAAGTTACGTTTGAGGAAGTCTGCCGAGAAATCCTGACTAAACGTCATCACCTCGTATTACTCGCGAGATCCCGCCGACTGCCGATGTCGCTCAGTGGTGGAGATTAGATCCGAAGGTCGCCGGTCTGAATGAAGTCTTCTGATCCGGACTCCGTCTCCATGGCCCACCAGGTTCGCTCCACACCCCGTTATATAAATAGATTTGTTTTCTTTCTTTTTCCAGGCAGCCATCGGTCTATGCACTATAGGCACATCGCGCCTTCGACGTTCCGGCAGGAGCCGCCAAGCGAGATGGAATAGCCCGGGGCTGCGTTTTTGACTGGTTCTATAATTCTATGTGGGTTGACCAAAGAAAAGTCTAATTAATCCCGAATGGATGATGGGGGAAAGGTCAGTCTACCTCTACTTCGCATCTGCCGTTCTTCGTGAACCGAAAATCTCATGTGCAAATACTTTTCTCCCAGATACGATTGCACCAAACCTTCACAACCCGACTCAAGAAAGCGTGCGCTCCCTGACAAAAAGGCCCAGAACAGTACCCACAACCGACAAGCCGAGAGACATGGCTACCTCACTGTCAGCCACACAGCCACACATGGCGTTGATCATAGACGACGACTTACCATAAGCCCCTCGAAACCCAAGCACATATACATCAACAATCTTCTCCTTGATCTCACCAGTCAGGTGCTGCAAGAAGCCGATATCCTCCAAGCACCTGCGGATGAACTCGTCACGGTTCGGGAAATCGGCGCCCACGACTCCCTGCAGCCCGCGGTGCACGATGGTCTGCAGGACGGCGGCGCTGGACGCCAGGCCGACCAGGCTGCCGATGCTCCCGGAGAGGTACATGGTCGAGCTGGCGATGGCGACGTACGGAGTGGCGACGGAGGCGGTCATTGCGATGAAGACGGCAGATGAGGCCATGCCGGTGCCGAAGCCGCTGAAGGAGAGACGTTAGATGTCGGCCACTGTCGTCGACGTGATATATATATGGGGGAGAACTGCTTACCCCGGGATGACGTATAGGCTCTCCCACAAGTTCGTGTGGTTCCCGCTCCAGCGCAGCAGCATGAGCATGTAGCACACGGACGTGCACGTGGTGCCGAGCGTGATCAGCACCTTGTACCTGCCGGTGCGGCCGATGAAGGCGCCGCTGGCCAGCTGGCTGACCGTGTTGCCGAGGACGGCGGGGAAGAGGTGGGCGCCGGCCTTGGTGGCGCTGACGCCGTCGGTGATCTGGAAGTAGAGCGGGACGGTGAACATCATGCTCCCCTGCGCGGCGACCTGCAGCGCCATGATGACGAAGGTGATGCTGAAGTCGCGCTCGCGGAAGATGTCGAGCGGCAGCACGGGCTCGGCCGCATGCTTCTCGGCGAGGATGAAGAGGATGCTGGCTATCACGGCGGCGCCGAGGAGACTGAAGATGAGCGGGTGCGACCATGGGATCTTTTGGCCACCGAGCTCGAGGGGGAACATGAGGAGGAGGATTGCGGCGGTCAGAGTTATCGAGCCGAGTATGTCAAGCCGCGAGAGCGGGTTTGACGGCTTGCAGTCCTTGGGGGCGTCGGCGGGGTCGGGGGCGGGGGCGGCTTGTGTGTGTTGAGGAACAAGGAGCCACGCAAGAGCGAAGGCTACAACCATGGGGGGAACTTGAACCAAGAAGGTCCTGAAGTCGCGAGTGAGCATTGGCACCCATGCAGCCGGCATGTTGAGTTGAACTCACCATCTCCAGCCAATGGTGTCGGCAAACCAGCCACCGACGGGGCCGCCCAAACTTCTCCCAGTGGTGGTGATGATGTTGACATAGCTGCGCCAAGATGCAACATCGCGGAGAGGCACCAAGTCTGGCAAACAGGTCAGCTCGGTCGTGCAAGCGGCGTGGAGGGAGGCGAGTGACCTGTAATGATGATGGAAACCAAGGCACTCATGCCCGCGCTCCCAATGCCCGACAGTACGCGGCCCAGGATTACGACAGCCAATGACGGCGCGACGCCACTGCAGCACCGTGTTACTCGACGACGCACGCTGCCGGACGCAAGGGCTACTTACATGATGCAACTGTCGCGAGGAAGTGATCAGCACAGGCGACGATGATTCAAACTGGTCCATTGCTTACCAGCCAATAGCAAACAAGGCATAAGTAATCAGAAGCACCGACTTGCGGCCGTACAGGTCCGACAGCTTGCCAACCTGTAGCAGTACTGTCAGTAGGTGAAGACTGCGTTTTCAGAAAGCCTGCTCGGTACCAGAGGTTGGGCAGCCGTCGAGGCAAGGCCGAAGCTGACAAAGATCCAGCTCGAGTTGGAAAGGTCATCGAATTCCGAGGCAATCAGCGCATGGGTGGCAAGAACAATCGACACGTCGGCATTGGACAGCAAAACGCCTGGGACGGTTGTCTCGTTAGTCGAGCGTGGTGAGGCATGGTGGATACGCACCGATGAGCAGCACGGCCAGGATGCTGATAATCTTCTTCTTGGACGTTGTTTTCTCCGGTTCGGGTTGGAAGGGCGGCCCGACGGTCGATGAAACTGCCTCGTCGACCTCTGCTCCCGGCGGAGTGACGTGATTCGGCAGCAGCGGCGATCGCTCGTCAATCGCATCAGCGTTCGTCTGCATCCTCGGTTTGGGGCCCAGACGACTCGGTCAAGGTGGAAGCTAAGTTGACTCGCAAATTGTGCAAACGGACGAGGAGGAGGCAGAAGTATGGGCGAATTTTCGTATGACTGGTAGGCTGGCGCCATGGCAATTTCCGGCTTATGCTTACCGCTGTGCAGCCGCGGATGTGCGGTCGCCGATACGGGATAGTTGCGGCGTCGATGGCGTGCTGACCCGCCCATCTCGCGCAAGTTGAACCGAGCTGTGTAGCCGTCGGCAAGTCCGCTGCCAACTTACCCGGCTGATCTGCAGAGATGGCTGTTACTTTTATAACAAGTGATGAGAGACGGCTGTTAATCGGCCTAAGTAGGAAAGGTGGTAGCCAGAACCGAATATCGGTCAATCCCTCTTGCATCATTCACATGGCGCCCTATGTTTCACCGGCTGAAAGGCGCTGGCTTTATTTTGACCTCATCATACCGTTTTCCATCCCGGTCCCCCTCCGCCCACCCTCCTTCCAGCGACCCCGATAGCTACGGAATGCGCCCGGCTTTCATGACGGCGAAGACATCGGGTGCACCGGTAGATGTATATAAGGAAGACGGAGCCGAAGTTGGCGTGAAGCGTTAAACTTCCGACGTGAACAGGTCTCGGGGCTTGGAAAGAAAGTCGGTGAATCTGCAGCAGTGTGTCACGGACATGGAAGGAAACTGTAGGTGAGTGACGTGAGTCATGTCGTAGGACGTAGAGAGTCATGATGACCGGGATAAACCTACTCAGTATCAGAACATCGGACAAAGGAGCGAGGATATGTGGGACTTGTCAACTGGCGCATGTCACTTGCGTTGCATCTACTGCTATTGCACCTTAGGGATAGTTTACTCTTTAGGGTCTCCATTCGAGCGGCACGCATCACACTCCGCTTCTCCCAACACTCCTGCGCCTGTGCATTAAAAGCCGCAATGTTGGAGTCACTAGAGCTCAGGCAGGCATTGTTCTTGCCTGCGTAGCTTGCAACTGCCGTCTCTGTGGTGGCGGAAGCGCTGCTGTCACTCTGGCCTGAACTTGACTTTGCCAGAGACGTTGTGGCCGGCTGTCATAGAAGTCATGGGGCAAGCTGGCGTGGCACCGAAGCTGGTAGGGGCTGTAGCTCGCCGACGCAGAGGGCACGACCTGAGTACTGGATGACTGGGTGGAATTGGTGCTTGAGGGAACTCGTAATAAAACACGGGAGAATCCCTCGCTCGAGCTTGTTAGCTGTCCTTTCTGTTACCTGTCCCTGCTTAGTGCCAAACAATTGATAGGCTCCCTGGTATCTCAGTTGACTGCTTAAGGTGGGACGTGACTACTGGTAAATCAAGCGACCGCTCTCTGGGTGGGCAGGGATTTTTAGCTGCCAAGTCACAAAGGATGTAAACGTAATATGGTCTGAACATATTTTGGATTTCGCCAATAAGATGCGTAAAATTTATCAAGCTGGGGAAGTAGTAGATCGCTTCCCTACTACTGGCGTGGTCGCGGTAAACATGTTCGCAGGTGGCTAGGGCTAGCTCGTTATGCTAGCTTAACGTCGTAGTGCTTGGTGTAGCTTTTATTATTATTACGAGGAGTTTGGGGGCCTAGTGTTGTGGGCTTTGTACCTAGTCGTTTCCCCAGAAATACGGGTGATCCACCGGGAACCATCACGACCCAGCCGGCACAAACCACCATGGCTATTGCTAGCTTCCGTATAAGCTTCTCACCATTTGCCAAGCACTGAGTAACCAGTCAAACAGAGTAATATGATGTGCGGCTTTGCAAGGTGGAGGCGGGAACACATCGGCCCTGTTTTTGGCTCTACCATTATTGCTACGAACGTAGTAAAACGGCCGTGTTTTGCGCCACATGACTCGCATGCTACGTTTCCATACTGTTTGAATATACTGTACACAAGTACTTTGTGAAATACTTTCTAGATTTTTGTACATACCAATAAGAAAATGCTCTTGCATCACGTCGAAGATGCCATGTCCAAATCTACGAGCTATCCTCGATATTCCGCAGAGTGGACTCAAAGTCGTCCCACACCTTCAGCACAATCTCCAAGTGCTCCAACCCCAGTTTCCCATGCTCGCTCTTGGCCAGTGTAAGCGCCGTATTCACCGCATTCGAGATCTCTCTTCCGTTCATCTCGACACGATGCGTCCTCTCCACAACGCTGTCAAGATCCAAGTCCTTGTCCTCGGCCTCGACGCGGCCCAACTGCTGCCTCCAAATCTGCTTCCGCCGTTCGGCATCCGGGGCGTGATACTGCAAGGCCAGGTGCAGGCGCGACCGGATGGCGGGATCGAAGATGCTGACGCGGTTGGACGTCAGGAACAGGATGCCCTGGAAGTACTCGAGCTGCTTCAGGAAGATGGCGACGAGGTTGTTGTGCTCGAACTGGTCGGGCCCGCTGCTGCGGGCCTCGAGGAAGACGTCGGCCTCGTCGATCAGCACGATGGCGCGCCAGATGGAGGCGTACGTCAGCAGGCCTTGCATCTCCATGGCGATGCGCGTGCCGTACGAGCCCAGCTCGCCCGTGGAGATCTTCAGCAGCGGCCGCCGCGTCTGCTCCGCCACCAGCTCGGCCGTCAGCGTCTTGCCGCTGCCGGGCGTGCCGTGCAGGAGGGCGATGAGGCCCTTGCCCTTGAGGCTGGCTTCGTTGCGCGCGTTCTCCGGGAAGCGGTGCGCAGTGACGAGGGCCTGGATAAGGTGCCGCTGGGCGGGGGGGATGATGAGAGAGTCCATGGCGTTGGGGATCCACTGGACGGGGCTAAGGGAGTCGATGAAGAGCTTGCACCACTGCTTTGTTTCGAGGGAGAAGCCGAAGACGAAGGGAGGGCAGAAGAGCGGGTCAGCGGTGGCGTTGGAGAAGGCTGAGGGCTTCTGGCTGGCCATGTCGCGGCGGCGGCAGTCGTCGTCGTCGTCGTCGTCGTCGTCGTCTTCATCATCGTCGCAGTCAAAGCCCTGAGCGTGTTTGGTGGCCTCCTCGACAAAGGTTTTCGGATCGACTACGACGCGGTGCGAGGCCGTGTGAGGGAGCCAGATGCCATTGAAGGATGCACACTCGTTGTAGTAGTCGTACGGAGGATTCTTCAGGTACAGAAAGAGCCCCTCGTAGTCCCAGGTGGTAACGCCGCGGATATCAAGATAGCGGTTGCCTCTCTCAATGAGGCGCTCCTCGAGGTCGTCTTGGTGGCGCAGGAAGCTCAAGGGAAACAAGGGAAGGTTGTCGATGGCAGTAGTTCCGGTGCCGACGAAAACCTCGCCGTGCCAGATTCTGATGCTGACGGTGGAGGTGCCGGCCCTCAGGCCATCGCCGTTGGTGAACTCGCAGGTGACGTCGAAGTATTTCCCGCCCTGCAGTGCGTGTCCGTACGCAGCCTTCTTGCACCGGTACAGACGCGGATGGCCGTGTTCGGAGGCGAACAGGACGTCGCCGGGCTTGAAGATGGCCCAGAGCAGGTCAAAGGTAATCAGGCCAGCATCGACCATGTTGCGGAGCGCAGGTCCATCATCGCCCATCTCCGACTCGAGGAAGGCCAGAAGGAGATTGATGTGCGCCGTGATGGTGTCTGCTTCGGCGTTGCCGGACTCTACCGCCTTTGCGGCGTATTGGTGGAGCTCGGTCTTGTGGTGGTGCAGCATGGCGTACGGGCTCTTGCAGACGACCGAATCCTCTTGGCCGAATTTCAGGGACTCGGAGGGGTAGTAGCTGACGACTTGGCTGAGTGCAGCTCGGATGTGGGGTGAGTTGATCTCGACGGTCGTCTTTTCGAGGTTTCTCTTGGCGTCGAAGGTCTGCTTGGTGACGAGGGCGTGGGAAGCAAACTTGGAGTCATTTTGAGACTTGGAGTACTTGTCCTTCTCGATGATTTCGAGCTCTCCGTTTTCTTTGTCTGGGCGTTCGACGAGTGCCTTGATCGAGAGTCTGGATCCTGGGCCCTCGGCCGGCTCTGCATCATCGGCATCGCCTTCGCTGTTGGAGCTCTTGGGTGTGTCTTGGCTGGAAATGTTCTCGGTGGTCTTCAAGAGTAGCTTGTAGAGCAGAGGGATGAATTCGTCCATGGTGCTGGGCGATGGTGCGCCATCATTCGTCGCGGTTCGATTGGCGTCGTGCGATGGCATTGTGGAGGAGAATGGCGAGTGGTTTCGAAGAGCAGGGACTCAGCTTAGGAGGCTGGGGCTGATGTCGTGTTGGCATTGTTCGAGGAAGGCGGAGGGAGCATTAAGTATAGACACACTAGTGGCGGCGGCAAGGCAACAGCAGGCAGCTACGGTCAGCGCCTCCCTCTTTCGGCGTCACCGGTGCAACACCGCAGCTTCTGGCATAGAAACCCCAACAAGTCGCCGCGGTGTTGCGATCCCAAGGCCTAGCGGCCTAGCGCCTGTCCAGACATTGGCTCTTGCTTGCTCTGCTGCCTGCACAGGGTTGGGGGCCGAAACGCCGTTTGATTGGCCGACTGTCTGACCGATTTTGCCCGTTTTAAAAGACAAATCATGTGGTTTCGTGTTTCTTCAAGGTTATCTCGTCCTGCGCGTCGCGTACACCAACGAATACCGCCACCGGCGAGCGGCGAGCGAATATCCCCAGCAGCGAGCGAATGCCTCCAGCAGCAGCGACGAGCGAAAACCGCCACCAGCGACGAGCGAACGCCGTCACCGGCGACGAGCAAACACCGCCACCAGCGGTGAGCGAATACCGCTAGCTAGCTACGCGCTTCGCTGGGGGTACATATCAGTGAGTGCTTTACTGTCAGCACAAAACCGACGGATCAGAAACGAGTACGGGTTCACGCAGGACAAGAGTCATGTTCCAACCGTTTATTCGTTTCATCTAAACTATCTTGATGACGTACGGCTCACAGGAACACATCCACCAACGGATCAGCCTAGACAAAGTTGCCCTGGCCGTTGCAGCGGGAGAGCGGCGGGCTCCTGCCCGGCTTGGTGCACATGGAGGTGGCGCCCTCGATCCACTCGATGCCGTTGTAGCTGCCGTCGTTGTGGCTGTCGGCGTACCAGGTGCCCGTCTCGGTCGTGGCGCCGACGCAGCCCCGGAACTGGCGGCCGGAGCGGCGGGTGACGATGGGCTGGGTGATGAGGACGCCGCAGTTGCCGTCCTTGACCGTGCCCTTGGTGAGGATCGACGTCTGCGTCGTCCAGGTGCGCGAGAAGTTGATGCCGAGCGACGTCGTCAGCTTGTCTTTGAGGAACTTGAGGTCCACGCCCGCACTGCCGCCCGCCGTGTTGGCCACGCTGTAGCCCGACGACACGGTCACGTCCATGTCGCCCACGGCGCACACCACCGGCGACATCTGCACGTCCCAGTCCACGAACGTCTCCGTCTTGTCCGTGACGATGGAGAAGGTCGAGTCGCAGTCCGCCTGACGCGACTCGAGGCTGTGCTCGCTCTCCGCCACGTCGTTCGAGAGCTCGTCCGCGTCGGCCGTGATCCACTCCGGGTTCAGCTCGGGCGCGCCGATGGAGATGCCCTGCGCCTTCAGCTGCGAGACGTAGGTGCTCTCCTTCATGACGTAGGCTGCCGCAGAGTAAGCTGCTGTACTTCATCCAGAAGCCGGAGGGAAAAACTCACGCACGCCCTCGATGGGGACAATCAGATCATCTGCCTGGAGCTGGTAGCCCTCGGTGTACTCGAAAGGCTTGGTGTCGAGAGGGCTGGCGCCAACGATGGCGGCGAGAAGGAGAGTGGAAAGTCCCAGACGGTACTGCATGGTGAAAAGAGTGGACAGTGTGTGCTGCTGCGATGATGCCGCCAGTTGCAGAGACAGCATGCGAGTTTTATAGGCCGTTGGCATCCAAGTCCAAGTCCATGATTCCCGTTGTTTCCTCTGCCGATTCAGCAGATACGAGCCAAGGCGAGGTCCTACTCATGTTCGCGACCGTCAGGCCTCCAGAACTATTCTTTAAAGCATGGCTTGGTGGGACAGCCGCACACCTGATAAGGCTGAGATCAGCAGGCACATCCGACACAGGGCTGGGGAATTTGCCCGCCTTAATTTCTTTGTTTAGAACCGAACCCCACGTCAGCGCTCGGGGCAATCATCTCCGTGCAACGGTTTAATCAACCCTCACAACCTAAACCTCAGTAAGCTTCGAGCTTGGAGAGGTCTGAAATACTGCGATATAAGTTCCATCAACAATATCAATAATGCAGGCAGACCGAGACACTACTACTGGCAAGATGCGGTGTGGTGTGAATTTAGGCTCGGCGCCACTCGCTTCGCAGCCCCTTTCCTCTGTCATGCCAGGGCCGGCCGGCCCTACGTCACTCGCGAGTCGTGCAAGCACCGACCTGACTCCTGTGTCGCTAGCGAAGCCAGACGGTCGCCCCAATGCTCGCCGCGACTCAAAACTGCGGAGTAACTTATCTGTGGAGCAGGCGCCCAACACCGCACGCCCCTTAACGTGACCATCTCATAACAGATACGAGCGATACAACACGCTACAGAGCAGAACAGGCAAGTATTTCGCTTTCTTGGCTACCATATACCAGACGGGAGCTACAAACATGAGTCGCACCGGCACCACGCGGAGCCGAGCATGCTAAAACATTGAGCGAGATGCACACTGGGGTCGCGCCCTCCTGTATCATCTGGCCACTGTCCTATATAATCCTTCATCGCCGTGCTCTGCATCAGTCACTCAACCCTCGGCACCCGCTACAAACACTCAACATGCAGTTCTCTCTCCTCGCTGTCCTCACCATGGCCGCTGGCTCGTAAGTGGCACCTCGATCAAACACCTTCATGCTGCCGCCTGCTGACCATCACCCAAGCTACGCCGCCCTCCACACCGCGGCGGTATGCGTCTCGAACCGGGTATCGTCAACCGTTGGCGGCACCGCCTGGAGCGTCAGCTACAACTGGCAGACTTCGTACGAGGTCCTCCCCGACGCCACCAAGTGCGCCTGCGACCTCTACAAGGCCCGCAATACCGGAAACAACCAGTGGGATCAGTGCCCCGACTGCACCTTTGTAAGTGCCTGGTTCCCCATTCCCACCGTCCTTGTCCTGACCACGACGACAATAGGGCGACGGTCTTGCTTGCAACTCCGCCGGCAAACATATTGGCGGTGACGAGATGGAATACTACTGCTCGGAGAAGTGCGGTGCTCAGGGCTCCGAGGCTGACTAGATGGCTTACCATGGGGCGGAAGGGCTGACTGGGTGGGGGGTCACGATATAGAAGGCAACGACGTAGATGGCTATACCTGCGGACGCGATATATGCACGAGAGCATTGTTTTTTCTTCCCGTTTTACACAAATCAATGGATCCGCTTTAAATTCCGATCGGCCTGTTTGTATTATTAGAAACTTCCCAATCCTGATTCGCCGGGTGATGGATGATGGGTGTCGTCTCGAAAGCCGATGTCACACGTGCCTTGCGCTCGGGCTCAACCTTGTCGCCCCATATATGTGGAATATTGAACCCTGAGGCGGGGCTTGCTCTCACGGTGACCAAAACACGGAGTGGGGCCACAATAAGTGCAAGGCGGACGTCGGGGCGACGGGCGGCGGGGGCGCAAAAGCCACACAAGTGATCGCCGGGGTCCATTCGGCGATACCCGCTTCGATATGGCGTTAGAGTTCTGGCAAGTCGTGATGATCAGGTACGGTTTAGCGTTCTGGCCCTGACTGCTGGGCTGCACATTCGTGTTCGGCTTCGTCGGCGTCTGCTCGTTGCTCGGCTTCCTGACTCAATGGCGTAGGGGACGAAACCCCCACCGCTGCTGTCGTACTCTGCATCCTTACATTCGCTCGCTACGTAGGTTCGCAGCTGCATGCTAAAACCCGTTTCATGTCACATGCCGGGTTTGCCAAGAGCTGGGCACTGCGTCGCGCGCATTTTCCATGAGGTGAGCGCTTACGCACGTACGTCTGCCCAGGCTGTCATGAAGACAATCGGCCGAGCATCGAACATCTCAATGGTCTCTCGCAATTGCATTACAAGTATAAGCTATCCTTCCATCAATTCTCGCTTTTGACGGGAACAGCAACCGGGCGGCTGAGAGGAGGTCTGGCCGCGGGTGGAGCCTGCAGATTACCAACCCATTCCGCCGATCAGCGGAAAGGGTGCCCCCAACTGACAGAGTAAGGATATCTCGGACACAACGTGACCGAGGCCAGCGGCAAGCTGAAGCATGCCCCCCATTTCGATGGAAAGGCCGAATTCCAGAGATACATCATCAAGGCAAGCGACGTTCCGTGCTCGTTCTGCCTGCCGGGCTACTCCATGTCGAACTACGAGTCACAACATGTTGAGGGAGACGATGGCGTCTTGACGTTGTCATTCCTGTGAGTGGGAAGGCCGAGATCCCATGAGTGGGAAGGCCGAATTCCCACTCGTGACATTGCGGAGGATGCCGGTATGTCTTGTGTGCTGCTGTAGACCCTGGCCGAAGCCACACTGACTCTTTGGATGCAGGGAAATTTGTCAAGGCCACAATCAAGAACAGGGAGAAGCTGCTCGACGTGAGGTGTACGGCGCAGCGGATTAATATACTCTGAAGCAGATTCTGGCTGAGTACGAAGCCGTCACGGGAAAGAAGACACGGTTCGCGCAGGTGTCAAATAAAGAGTACAAGAAGTTCCTCCCCGGGCCGATCGCAGAAGAGATGTTGGGAAACCGTCTTTTCAACGAGGATCCCGGCTACTACAACGGTGCGAGCCTGGAGGAGAGCCTTGGGTTGCTGGAAGAGAAGCCGGTGAGCTGGAAGGAGTTTGTGACAAAGTCGTTCAAAGTAGCACAACGTATGTACACGTGTCTTTGACGACACCGCTTGCGGGGTTTTTCCGATACACACGGCACCGTCATCAAAATTATTCGATATTGTGTGAAGCTCTACTTACAGAACATGGGCCATCATCTGCTGACCGTCCCGTTTATGGTAGCACCACGATGACATTGCCCCCCTCGGGCCGGATATAGAGCGAACCCGCCCATATGCCGTCGACGAATGTCGCGTTAACGATTCGGTTCTCGCATGTGATGGACGGAAGGTCTTAACTCACGGTTTGCAAGTCATTGTTGGTGTTGTCGAGGGTCTGGATGATGTAGAAAATCCTGTGTTGATGATTAATAAAGTTGATTTTGGATCAAAGGCGTATTCGTAGGTATGTTGCTTTGATGCCGGCTAGCGGATACCATTTTATCGTTTACGAGACAAATGATCATTTCAAGGAAGTCAGACGGACGTTTCCAGATGTAGACTCAAATTTTCCCTGCAATCCACCGTTCCTGGGCTTACTACTGCCGTTGTTCCATCGATACCATGCAGTTAAAGCATAATTTGGGATAAGCCTCTATAACGTCAATACTTTTCAATTCCATCCGTTGCAAGTTTCTGAGGCAAGGGCCACGGATTTCGCAAGAATTATACAATGACCACTCATCGTTTTAAAACATGGCACAATTTGCCGAGTGCGTTGGCTGTCAGCATACGGGGTACATGACGCGACTTTTCGGCTATATCGGCAGGTTAATTGCACCGTATCACTTTTCGATATATGCAAATGTAAGCGCTAATGCACTCCTCTTATCGCCACGTTTTTATGGTAGTTTTCTGGGAATATCTACCAGCCATGCCGTCGCACATGCCGAAATTTGTAGTTTATTGCGCTCGTCGTGAATCGTGATAGTCTGTCTCCCCCAAAAGGCAAGGCGGGACGCGTCGAAACACCAGTCTGTTCGTTTAAATCAGCATCTTTAGTGCTTCCACATCTCTTGACCAATTACTTTGCCGCCCCCTGCATATTTGAGCCGGCAGCTCATGTAGCATGGCCATGATTTTTCCTCCCGCTGGGGCGGCATTGATCGCCGGTGGCCTGCTGGTGGTATTGCATCTCCTGTATCGCGCTGCTCTCCCAAAGCCACTCCCTGGCATCCCGTACAACAAGGATGCAGCTTCCAAGCTGCTTGGGGATGTTCCTGAGATGATAAACTACGTCAGGCGTACGAAACGCATCTTTGTCAGTCTGATCCCGCTTTGTCTGCTCAGCGACCGCCCGACGATGCGCCTTAATGCCGGCTAACCAAACCTGGAAATAGTGCTGGCTCAATTCACAGACGACAAGGCACCGGAGCCCCATCGTCCAGGTTTTCATCAAGCCAATGTCGCTCCCGTGGGTGGTGGTAACGGATCCTTTCGAGAGCCAGGATATCCTCCTGCGCCGCACGAAGGAGTTTGACCGGGGCAGCTTTTTTGGCGAAGTCATTGGTGGCATTCTTCCCGAACAGCACTCATGGCGCAAGTCAAATGAGACGCGTTTTAAGGAAAACCGGAATCTCATCAATCACCTGATGGCTCCCTCTTTCATCACCCAGGTCAGCGCCCCCGAGGTGTACAACTCCGTGTGTACCCTCATGAAAGTATGGCAGGCCAAGTGTGATATGGCCAAAGAACGTCCCTTTTCTGCGCACCACGACATTACCTACGGGGCACTGGATTCTATTTTCGCGTCGTCATTTGGACTCGCCGAGGCCGACAGTATCACTACCCAACGCCTGGATGCAGTGTCACGCTGGGCTCCAGAGATCCGGGACGACCAGGAAACGCCGGTCGAGTTTTCTGACGGCCAGATTCCCGAGATTTTCAGGGCCATCCTCACCCTGTCAGACTCGCTCCAAGTGGGGCAGTTGTCCCCGTCGCCCAGTCTCGCGTCGTGGGTACTCCGCAAGTTCCCGTACATGAGAAAAGCCACCGCCATCAAGGACAAGTTCATCAGTGACAAGGTCGAGGAGGCTGTCCGAAGCATCGAAAGCGGCGACGTACAAGCCCATACAGCCCTGCACTCAGTGCTTCTACGGGAACGTGACGCGGCAGCCAAGCAAAACCGGCCGCCGGCGTACCACCAACGCCCCATTGCGGATGAGTTTTTTGGTTTCCTGATGGCCGGCCACGACACGTCGGCCACAACCGTTGCCTGGGGAGTCAAGTTCCTGACCGACAATCCGGCGGTCCAGGACCGCCTGCGGACCGAGCTACGCGCCGCCATTCCAAAGGCCGTGCAAGAGAAGCGTGCCCCGACCTACCAAGAGCTCGTCAAGTCGCACGTTGCATACCTCGACGCTGTGGTCGAGGAAGTGCTCCGCCACGCCAACACCATCGCCTTCGTGGCGCGCGAGGCTCTGCAGGACGCCGTCATTCTTGGCTGCCGCATCCCCAAGGGCACCGACATCTTCCTCATGGCCAACGGCGCCGGCTACCTCGAGCCCGGCATGCCTCTCGACGATGCCACACGCAGCCTGGGCGCACGCCAGAACGGCGGCAAGTCCCTTTCGGGGCATTGGGACGACGAAGGCATCGCCGCATTTCGCCCTGAGCGCTGGATCGCCGTCGACCCAGAGTCCGGAAAGGAAGTGTGCAATCCAATGGCGGGGCCGACGCTGCCGTTTGGCCTCGGGCCTCGTGCCTGCTTCGGGCGGAAGCTGGCGCTTGCTACTCTGCGCATCCAGTTTGCCATGGTCGTCTGGCACTTCCATCTGCTGAAGGCGCCGGATGGGCTAAGTGGCTATGATGCAGTCCAGAAGTTTGCGAGGGAGCCGGTGCAGTGCTACGTTCGTCTGCGTGCTGCTGTCATCTAAACTGTTGCCATCTCAATGTCTATTCTTTGACCTGAATCTGCACCGACACTACCATGTCCTCGCTCGACCGAGTCTCTGTGCCTGCCTACAGCTTTGGATTAGCATTGGCAACATAATGCCGTCATTCGTGAATCGAGCTTTGGAATTTACTTGGGCGTTGATACGAGCCCCCAATTGTGCTGTTTGGAATGGCTACGCTGTCTTTGAAGCTTTGGCGTAACTGAAAGAAATCTCCGTTATTTATCTCCACGTCCGGTTTCCACGTATGATATTGCCAGGTGCGGTGTACGTGGGATCGATAATCATCCGTCCAAGGTATCATTCTATTACTACATCTAGAAGAAAAAAAAATATCTACAGTAGGAAACACATCCAAAACGCCACTCAAGTATTACTGGTTGAGACGTGGCAAAGTTCGCTCAAAACAAAAACGAAACTCGTCAGTAATTCTTCAGCTCCTCTTCCGTCCACTCCCACAGCTGCTCGGCGAGCATGTCATCTTTGGCGGCTTTGTCAAGTTTTGTAGACAAAACACCCACAGGCTCGTACATCTGGCCGTTCATTTCCTTTGGCACCTCCCCACAGGCAGCCCAAAGCTGGTTATACGCGCCCTCCTCGGCCTTCACCATCTGCCATCGGGCCAAAGCGTAGATGACCAGCTTGTTCACTCCCTTCGTCTCTTCCATGATGCCGGTGGACACGACGCCCGGGTGGATGGCCAGGGTGGTGATGTGCGGATACCGGCGAGCCAGCTCGCGGGCGTATAACAGGTTGGCCAGCTTGCTCTGTCCGTAGCGCACAAACGGGCCAAAGACTGCAAAGTCCTGCACCGTCTTAAGGCCTTTGAAGGCGATACCGCCGCGCGGGTGCATGACGAATCCGAGCGAGGTGAGGAGCACGATGCGCACGTCGGCGTTGGGCTGCCGGCTGGTCGCGTCGAGCAGCGGCAGCAGCTTCTTGATCAGCAGCGCGTGCCCGACGTGGTTGGTGCCGAACTGGACCTCGTAGCCGTCGGAGGTGAGGCCCGAGGGCACCGCCATGATGCCCGCGTTGCACATGAGGATGTCGAGGCGGTCGGACTGGTCGAGGAAGCGCTGGGCGGCGGCGGCGACGGACTGGAGCGACGCCAGATCGCATTGGACAAAGTGCAGCGGAGGCGCATCGGGCGTGCTGGCTTGCACCGTCTCAATCACCTTCTCGGCGCTCTTGGAGTTGCGGCCGCTGAAGTAGATGGCCCGGGGGTGATGCTGAGCCAGTTGCATGACAGACTCGGTACCGAGGCCGCTGGTCCCTGCAGGCAATGAGTTTGCGACACTTTAGAGTAGCAAGAACTTGAGAATTTCACCTCCGGTGATGAATATGACCTTCCCCGACAGGTCGGGAATGTCTTTCTTGGGATCGAAATTCATCGAAGGCATTGTTGAAGTGGATGTGGGGGCGACGAGTCACGAGATGCGGAAACTCGACAATGAATAGTCTTAGGATGCGAGATGGTTGTTCTTGGGATGCGAGGCGAATGGTCTTTGCAATGTGCTCTTTCGCTGCATTTATTGTCTTCGTGGACGGAGGGATAATGCTGCGTTCGGATGAACAAGTAGCGGCATGCCCCCGGTCGCGGCGTGCTGACAGCGCTGCGCCACACCAACCGCTGCCGCCTTGGACGGCGGACCAATGAAGCTCACCAAAATCACAGAGGGGCCTGACCGCGGAGCAATTATTCAGCCGCGAACACGGGGTGATTCTGGTGTGTAGTTTGGCAACCTCATAACGTCTCTGTTGTTATACACAACTTGGTCGGCTTTCTGTAGAAGCCACTCCATCGCCTGTTTTCGCCGGCATCAACTCGGACTTTCGAGGTGTTCTAGTCGTGTGTGACGAGGAGTGAAGCGGGGAATATATGGTGTCCGTGCCTCATCCTTCCAACAATTACCGGGGTATGGGTGGCCCAACCTTTACCCCGAAGGTTATCTGCAGTCATCGTCCACAGCGTGTACACCGCCATGTGCAGCTCAGAGCACACGAGTCGAGAGAGTTGCGTGGAGCGGGGACCGTCGTCGATGGAAGGTGGTCGCGCAGGTGCAGACGAATATATCGTGAGTCGAATTTGGCTATCTGATCTGAGATGTCACGGCTCAAGCTGCGTACGTATCGAGTCCCGGCATCGCCACATTCCCAAGCATGGGAGTCACTCGTCCGCCGTGACTTTGAGGACGATTCGCCCTGCGACATCTCCCTTCTCGAGCTCATCATAAACCGCAGGCAGATCCCTGAACTCGCGAATGGAGATCTTCGGTTTGACAACCCCTCGCCTAACAAGTTCAACAGCCTCCAAACATTCCTTCAAAGAGCCGACAAGATTCCCCGTAATGTGGAGACCTCTGATCACAATGGTGCTGATGGGGACTTCAAGAAAACACTTTCCGGGAGGGATCCCCACGCAACACAGAGTCCCACCCACTTTCAACATATCAGCTGCCTGGGCGAACGCTGCAGAACTTCCAGCAGTGACGATGACAGCATTGGCTCCACCGCCGGTGAGCTCTCGAACCCGTTGAGCGAGGTGCGGGCTTGTTTTGAAGTCGATGTACTCGTTGGCACCGATCGATCTGACAAACTCTTCTTTTGCCGAGCCGCCGTCTATTCCGACGATCAAACCTCCTTGGGCACGAGCGTATTGAACTAAGGCACAAGTCGGTTGAGTGCTGGAATGGCCTCGTGCGTGGACTGACCTGCTAAATGACCTAGCCCGCCCCCTGCGCCAATCACAACAACCTGATCTCCAGCTTTGATGTTGGCATTCTTCACAGCCTGGACCATAGATCAGCTCGCGCAATTGTGGGACTCAAGACACCACACTTGCCTTGTAAGACGTCAAGCCTGCGCAAAGAACTGGTCCGATGACCGCCGGGTCAATGTCGTCAGGAAGAAGGGTCAGATAGCCCGCATCCAGAGCGATGTACTGCTGGAAGCTGCCATCTTCATGATGTAGATGGTTTGTGCTTTTGACGCAGTACTGTTCTGTTCCAGCCAAACAGAACTCGCATCGGCGGCAGATTCGACTTGCAAACCGGATGCCAACAAGCTTGCCCACGTTGATGTCAGCATCCACACCAGGACCCAGAGCGATGATTCGCCCAACGCCCTCGTGTCCGCCAACGTGCGGGAGCTTGACATTGGTTATCGGGTTGCCGTCTGGTCCCGATGCGGTTCCAAGCCGGGTGTGGAGATCTGTTGATTGAGTCAACTCGATCGCTCTGCAGAGAACGCAGGCTCTATAGACGTGATCTTACCACTCTGGCAGACGCCCGTGTAAAGGACTTTGGCTAGAACTTCGTTCTGCCCTGGCTTGGGAACCGGATAGTCATCCACAAACCTGACACCACCGCCAAGCTTGGGAACAGTGGCCGCGGTCTGGGTTTCAGGAATGAGAGGCATGGTGGTGGGTGTAGGTTGATATGAAGGACGAATGAGGTTCGATTTAAGCTTTTATAATCTGGCACCGTCAGGCCCGATCTAAAACATCCATGCTGACGCAACCGGTGCCATGTACGGATGACCCCCACGCTGAACTCCTTTTTTTGAGGTTGTGCGGGACTTGCTGACCACCCTCATTATGCTGGACACGTATGATGAGTGTCCCCTAAGAGAAGGTGTACTTGCACCCCAAACTAGACCATTTGGGAACCAATAGCGGACCACTCATCTCCATCGACCCTGAGGCCTATCCTCCAGTCTGTGTTGGTGCGCGTGGGATACGTGTAACTGCTTCTACGTGTAAGTGCGGCCCCGCCTTTACCGGTCACTGCGGGGTAGGCGGGGAAGTGCAGCCAGATGTTATGCGCTGGGCCGGCAAACACCCAGTGGCTGGGATTGGTCAGAATCTGCTACGGTTACGCCTTTCGGAAAGGATGGTTTCCAGTCCCCGGGATTGGAGTACTCGAGGATCGGCATCCGGTGGATGGTAGGGATGGCATTGGGGTCACAGTCACCCGCATTAATCTGTGCTTACGCTGCATGTCCACCGCTTGCATCTGCCGCAACCCGCCCTCAGCAGTCTAAGAGAAATCTTGACTTATTACTAACTCTGGGAATCTCTAACCGGATGCCGCATGCTACTCGAATCCGTCTACGAGGCTTTGCAAAGCGGTAGGTGTGCTAGCCAACCTCCCTTCGTTTTCTAACAGTCTGACGTTTCCAGCGGGCATAACCGTGGAAGAGGTTATAGGCGCCGAGATAACCGTCTTTGTCGGTGAATTTCTTAAAGACTACATGGACAGTCTGATGCGTGATCCTGACACGTTCCCGCCCTTTGACCCGCAAGAAACCGACCATGATGTACAACCAAATCTCGCACTTTTAGGACCTCCGCGGCCCCAGCATGACGGTGGATACGGCTTGAGTTGTTCCATAGGACTGGCGACGCCGCACCAGGCGTGCCAAAGCTTAAGAGCGGGAGAAGACGAGATAGCCATCGTCAGCTATACAAATTTCATGATTAATCCCGACATCTTCGTGCTCATGTCAAGCCTGGGGTACCTAGCTCGTCTAGCTCTATTCCCAGCGATTACGCAATGCTGATAAACAGTAGATTCCTAAGCGTAGACAGCAGATCGTACGCGTTTCACAACCGCGCTTCGGGATACGGTCGCGGCGAGGGTATAGGCACCATTATTGTTAAGCTTTTACGGAAGCCCTTAGAGACGGTGACTTAATTAGGTCGGTAAAAGCTCGCCGCCGCCGCCACTTCTAGTGGTAAACGCTCGCTGCCGTTGCTAGTGGTAATACTCGCCGCCGCCGCTGCTGGTGGTAACGCTCGCCGCCGCCGCTATTGCTAGTGTAGCGGGGCTGTCACGGAAGGCGGCAGGGACTTTAGGGAATTGGCCGGGAGGAACTCGGCCCGAGGGGAGCATTACGGAAGTTTATGTATTTAAGTCGGAGGTTGTAATTTTGGTAGTCGACATGCATTCTTTTCTACTCCTTCCGGACCGGAACGTCTGGATTCCCGCCTGCCAGAGCAGGAACTAACGGAATCCCTTACTCTCCAGCGAGAGCCCGATAAGAAACCTAGAGAAATCGTAGTATTACCACTACTATAAATTAGTCTCCCCTCCTAGAAGCTTTATTTCCCCTAAGTTTCTACGTGTTTCCGTGTGAGATCCGAGGAAGAGAGATAGACCCCTCCCCTATTTAACGTATTAGACACGACTTCCTTAGACAGAAAGAGGAAAGAAAACTCTATAGAAGAAGTTCCGAAGGAAAGGCCGTAGAATCCGATAAGTTCCGGTTAAAGGAACTAAGAAAGACCGAGTTAATTACCGAACGGGGTAATCTACGATAGTTCTAAATACTAGTTTCCCCGAGGAACTCCTAGTTCTATACTATCTTACGAAAGTTCCGAAGAATTCCGACGAATCTATTACCCTAATAGGGAAAGACCTAGAAGAAGAACTCCGAGGAACCTAAGAAATACTAGGAATTCTAGTAGAAGACTATGGAAGATGGCCTATACCGCCGTTTTACCTAGACGAAAGCTTCGGAAGATGCGTCCTAAGGTCGGAAGTCGAGGAAGAAAGAAGAGAAATTACTAACCTATACGGAAATTAGCGCGAGATAGGAAGACCCGGGCCTTACTAGAGCCCGAGGTACTTAAGAACCTTCTAAACTCGCTTCTTATTCTTATTACTACTCTTATTCTAGACTTTACTACATCCCTCGGAAAGCGAATTACTATAGCGAATAAAGGTATGCGATACCTAGTTCCGGGGGAAGTTAATACTTCCTTTAAGGACTTAACTACTACCGTAACTCCCGCTATAGTTCCTCCCTTAGTGTAGGTCTATATACTACTACTAATTCCTAGAACGCTAGGTGCTCCGTTATTTACTAATAAGGACGTTACGAACTTCCTAACCCGATACTAATATATATATATAACTTATAGCCGGACTCGTTCCGAGGAACTAGTAGATAACCTCCCCTACTACTACGAGAACCTAATCGCTATTAGAATCTACGCGATATTTAAATCCCTCGAAAAGGACTAGAAAGCCCTTTAGAAGCGGCTTCTTAAGGAATACCGGGAGTATAATTCGGATACGAAGATGCGGATAATCTCGTTTCTAGAATAATTTACGAAATAGCCGCGGAAGGACTTAGATAACGTCGCGGTATATTATTAGTAGTTCTACTCTCTATCGGCTCCGCTATTTCTAAACGGGAGCTTAAACCCCTATACGAGGAGTAAGTTTTTCCTAACGGGTCTTTCGAGGGATACGGCGGAAAAGGTAGTTACTCGACTAAGATTAGACCCGGACGAGCTAGAAGATTAGAAGTTCGAGAAGGTTTATAAGAAGGGATTAAAGATCGCGGAAGATAAGACTCTTCTAGGGCGACTTATTTCTACGGAGAAAGATACTTAGGACTACTCGAGCATTATAGATAAGTTCGGAAGAAAGTCGGGATAAGTAACTTTCGACGTTTAGGACTAAACGGGACAACGTCGCGAAAATAAATAGTTAGCGGAACTTATTTAAAAGTTCGAGGCTCTAGCCCTTCGCCTAGGTGCCGCTTCTAGGAATTCGGTTTCTACTAGGGATCGACCTTTCCGAACCTATTATAGCTACAAATCCCCCAGCCATCTAATCTACTAATATACGGAATTATCTAGGCTTCGCTAAGAAGGGAAGATCCGCTAATCTAAAGTTACGGGAAAGGCGGTGTTAAATCTATTAGGAGAATCTAAAGTTCCCCGGGTCCCTAGAAAAACCCTCGCGGAAAGTTACTAAATAGCTTAGGAAAACGCTAGTGCTTAAGTCCCTACGGGTGCCACGCGGTCGGTTACTATATATACCCTAAAGGAGGATACGGAAGATAAAGAGGAACTCGAGGGATATTATATAGAAGTTCGTACGGCCGCGGGCTGGAAGGAAATAATAATACGAGTAGAGTAGAAGTAGAAGCTTCCTAGTCCTAAGGGGTTCCGGAGTAAAGCTTATACTAAGCCCGAGGTAGATAAAATAGAAATCGATAAACTAAAGTTCTAGTCCGAAGGGTACTAGGAAAGAGTAAATTTCCGGAAAGGGATCCTAAGGGAAGCTAGCGAGAAACGACTCCTCCGGAATTTATTCTTTAAGCCGCGTATCTTCCGACTAATAGACGTCCTCGGTATATTATCTCGTCTTAGGAAGCTAATCTTTAGAACTATCCAACTCCCGAAGATAGAGGCGAAAGTTCTAAGAGCCTCTACTAAAGAAATCTAAGGTCCCGTTAACTATAGTACGGGAGCGGTTTTACGTGCTGAGGAACTATATATCTCTTCTAGCCTAAAAGTACGCGCGTCGCTCGGGGACTTAGAGTATCCCGCGGTAATTAATAGGGGTGCCGAGATATATATAATTATCTACGAGCTATATACGAAAATAGGTCTCTCTATAACTCGAGATCCGCGGCTTCGAATAAGATCCGCTAACGGAAAGAAGACCTCTCTTATAGAACTTATAGAACGCGCCCTAATCCGGATTAAAGGAATTAAGGTAAAGTATCTCTTATTCGTTTCCGAGGCCTCCGGCGAGGAGCTACTATTAGAAAGATCCTTTATTAGAAAGACGTTTACCGAGGAAAGGAACCTTTCTAACGGTTTCTACGAGTATACGATATATTCCGAAGACTAGTAGACGCGGGTTAGCTAGAAGGCCGTAGGTCCGTATACTAAGAACTAACTATCCCTACTAACCCGAGCGGAACTCTTCCTATTACCGGAGGCGGGAAACGATTTTATAGGTTAGTAGTCTAGGCGACGCTTATAAAGATCTAGCTAAAAAAGAAGGGAAGAGGAATTCTCCGAAAGGACCTCCCGCGATTCTATCCGGGGTACGGTTAAGCGGGGGACTTTCGTCTATCGCGGAGGGTAGACGAGTTTACGGAATCTTATCTATTTTAGTTACTACCTACCGTAGAAAGTTGCTAGAGAGAGGGTGCCGTCCGTACGGCGTATAAAAAAAAGGCGGATAAGATAAGACCGGTAAATTAGATCGAGGGAGGTAAGGCGCCGGCTAGTAGAGAGGACTAGAAGAAGGCCGTTCTTAGAAAGTATTATAGAGGGTTAGTAGCCCCGAAGGTTAAAGACGGGTATAACTCGGTACTAATTTCTAGGATATATAAGGAACCCCTAAGGTTTCGCCTAACGAAGGACCGGGAGAAGGACCTCCTAGTTAGAGATATTCGTTCCGAGGAAAGAAAGCTCTTAGTCGCGATAATACTGCGAAGAGAGGCGGTACTATCGTAGACCTTTAAAGAAAAAGGAGAAGTCCGCCTGGAAGTAGTACCCCCGTAACGGATTAAGATAATCGCGCATAAGCTATAGTAAAAGCTAGGGTATACTATATCTAGGGCTCTATTAGGACTCGTAGAAGATATACTACGCGATCGTCTAAGATCGGGGGTTCTAGAAAGATGCGAAGAATTCTACTAGAACCCGTAGTTTCTTACGGTAAAGAAAGCTCCGGGCTAATACCGACTAGTAAATACGGCTATAGATATTAATAGAGTTACTATTAGGGACGTAAACCTCCCTCTGGCGGCTAACGAATACTCCGAGGAATTCGCGGAACTAGCGATCGCGCTATTATTAGATCTTTTCTTCGGTTACGACTAAGTTCCGCTGGCGGAGAAAGATAGAGACCTAATAAGATTCTAAATACTACTTAGACTACTACGGATAACTATTCTCCCGTAGGGAGGGACGAATTCCGTAGCGTAGTTCGTCCGGATTATAAATAAGGTACTCGAGGATAAAATTCCTAGAGTCGGGAGAGTATTTCTAGACGATATTAGCGTGAAAGGGCCTCGGATAACGTACGACGAAGAAGAAGTCCTAGGTCTACCTCGAGTAAGGCGGTACGTGATAGAGTACGTCCGGAACTTAGATAGAGTTCTATACTTTCTAGAACTAGCGGGCTTAACTACCTCGGAAGCGAAGAACTATTAGTATAAGAACGGCTTAAAGATCGTCGGATACGTATATAATTCTAGGAGACGGCACCCGGACTCCGCGAGAATCGTTAAGATTCTAGACTAGCCTACTTATACCGATATACGGGAAGTTCGAGGTTTTCTCGGCGTTTATATTTACTACCGCGTTTAGGTTAGGGATTTTACGATAATCGCGGAACCCCTCTACTTCTTACTATAAAAAGACTAGGAATTCCGGTAGGAGTTAGCTTAAGAAGAAGCGATAAAATCTCTAAAATAGGCTCTAACGTCCGCCCCGGCCCTAGTAACTATCGATTACGAATTAGGAAGACTTATTATTCTAGCGGTAGACGTAAGCGGAACCGGATAGGGAGCGGTATTAATATAGAAAGATAAGATAGATCCTCGGAAAAAACATCCCGTAAGATACGAGAGCGGAATCTAAAAGAGAGCCGAAGTAAACTACGATACTAGGAAGAAGGAGTATTACGGTATTCTAAGGGCGATTAAGAAGTTCTAGAACTATCTATACGGGGTATATTTCCGCCTAGAGCTAGACGCCTAGACGCTTATCGCTTAGTTAAATTAAAGTTCCTTGGATATTCCGGGAGTACTAGTAAACCGCTAGATCGCGTATATCCGACTATTTAACTTTAAGGTAGTCTATATTCCGGGAGTAAAATATATTGCTTCCGATGGGCTGTCTAGGAGGCCGGAAATAGAAGACGACCGAAAAGAAGCG